ATCGGGGTGAAATCCTGACCTGAAGAGAACCAATTTCAACTTGGGAATGGTCGGATTGAATGGAAATGGGGGAAAGGCCTAGGTCGGGCATCAATGTTCTGTAAAATTTGCTGATTGAAAAGTGAAGACTTAGGAGGTATTAGTTTAATAAGATTGGTTGGCTTTTTCTAAACTGAAAAAATTGCAAGAGCCATTATCGGAGAGGTTTGACAGCGTGGCTATTCTGGCCAGAATCCATAGAAACGCTCGGCGGCGGCTGTCCGTCGTCGTCGTTGTCTCGTCGCATTTTTCAAAAAAGGGGAGTAGAGAAAGGCTTGGGCAGAAAGGGTGGGGTAGAGGAAAAGAAGGGGTTGTCGAGGAATTTGGGGAGAATAATTGGTGGGGCCTCGAATCCGCACCACTCCCTCTAAAAAGGGGACCGGTTTGGGCACCAAAAGAAAGGGTTGATTTTTTAAACATTTAAAAAAGATTTTTCAATTTCCTAGGATCAATTTCGGCTGTAAAACTCTATAAATTCATAGGTTTTTGCATTCGCAATTACGTCTATGTATCCGACTCGGAAAAACATGCAAATGAGGATGGAAAACGCAAAAAATTCAGTAATTTTTCATCAAATTAAGCTTTGTATACTAATTATTTATAATTCCGACTCCACCTCTAAACCCCCAAAAAAATACTACCAACTCCCCATTAACGTTTGCTTACAACAGCCAAACCATCCCAACAACCCACAAAAATATGTCAAAACGAGTAACGACCCCCGCCGACTAGCTCGGCAGAAAAGCCCGGGAAATTAGCTGGCAAGGGTGAGTGATGGGGCCATTCCTAGGTCCTAGAAGCCCCGGCCAATCCAACAAGAACCAACCTTCCCCCTCCCTCCAAAAAAGTCAGAATATCAGGAGGACGAATGGTTCCTCTCGAAAGGAGAGTGAGCAGGACATAAAGCTCCCTGGGAGTTTCCGACCAACTGGGAATGCCATGTTTTCGAGCCACTAATGAGAGGAGAGGAAAAGGGGACACAGGGACGGAATATAGGAAAAAGAGGGGCCCTCTCCCCCCTTCCATTCCACCTCGGAGACACATCAAACATTCATAAGAGCCATGGATTTCCGGAGTCGAATTCGAAAAAATTGCAATGGCAGGGGAACGTGTTTGGATTGAAGTCATCAAGGACAGCTTCAAATTTAAGCTTGTCAAGCAATAATAGCATAAAATCAGAATTTCAGTTAAACTACCCTTTCCGGTTCAGCTAATTTTACGAAATTCCTATGTAACATTGGACATAAATATAAAACTGCCCAAAGTCAATTAACCACCAAATTAGTTACTTGTTGGTACCTTTTAAAATGCTTCAAAAATCCAAGAGTATGCTTCTAGAAATCCTATAATAATTGTTAAAGATTTTTTTGGGCGAACACCCACTCAGGAGGCGCGACTCGAGATGGCTAAACGGTTATGGGATTCAAGAGCCCCTCTCAACAAGAAAGACACTTGGTGGCGTTCTTTGTACCAATCAAAATTGAAACTACATTCTACAAGCGTCCGGCAAACGGTTTTTTACAATATTTAATTAAATCCGGGGTGCTAGCTACCCACGATTAATGTCAAGATGTTCAACAAAACACTTGGAAAGCCCTTTAATTTTTGGAAGTGACGAGTGTAGAAGGGCTGGGAAGAAAACGGCGTGTTAGCTAAAGCTAAACTGTCGGTCCCGTCAGGGGATTTGCACTGCAAACAGCGCAGGAACATGGTGCAAGAAGTACCAATCATTTCCTAAAGGCTCTCAGAAAGGTATTTTGGGGACCGCCGTGTTATCGTCAAAGTAAGCTTCGAAAATTCAAACAGGGACATTTCCGGGAGGTTTTCAAAATTTACGGTTAAAACAGATCCGCGCCCATCCATATAAATTTCTGCATTTTAGAAATTTAGCAAACGTGGGAAATACTGACCGGAAAACAACAGTGGCTACCGTATACCATAAGAAATACCGTTAAAAATATGAGAAAGGGTAAAAAATGTTCACGCAAGGTAAATCAGAAGTAGTAGAATCTCGAAACCAGGTTGTTTTCGACGATACTTGTGTGTGTAAGTGCGCATGTGTGGTGCATGTCGGTGTGGATGCTGTTGGCCGGCGGTTCGACTCGGCTGCCCAGCCCTTCCCCCCCCCCCCCCGCCCTTCTCTGGCCAGTCTTTCTCTGTATGTTTGTGTGTTTGTATGTGTGTATGAGGCAGTAAGAGGGGGCAGGCAGCCCGAATGGGCAGTCCAAGGCCCCCCCCCCCTTCGATGAACGGGTGGTGCGCCCGAAAAAACGGCTGTCGGCAAAAGAGCGAAAAGGGGTGGAGGGGGACCTGGAAAACGGCTCTCTTCTCGCTCTCTCTTTCTCTCTCTCGCTCGCTTTTACTCTTTCCGTTTTTTGGCGATGTTGAGGCAAGCCCGGGGATGGAGAATGAATCGATGGGAAGGCGGCTCTGTGGGTCTCTGGCTCGACTCTACCACCACACACATACACACATACCACCAACAAAAAATGACTGCCCTCGGCTAGGGCCGTATTCCCATCATTCATACTTGGATGTTGAACTGGATGAGGAATGGGTGCAGTTGGGCTTGCTTCAACTTCACTACCCACACCCCGATCCACCCACACTGCCACACGGCTGCCCCAAGAAATTTGTCTAGCTGGCAAACATCGGTTTTTAAAATTACTAAATATAAATTTAAACTGGCCTTTTCGTTGCCTAAAAATTGCTAAAATTAAATTTATTGGCTTCGGTATTTTCACAAATTTTTATAGACTATAATGTCCACATTAAAAACAATAAAACATAAAGTTTTCATTATTGGCCACCCCGCATTCATAGGTTTTAATAGCCTAAAAATGTTAGAAACTTATATTTACTGGCTCATTTTTGAGAAATTTTTATACCTACCTACCCACCGCGAAAAACTAAAAAGTATGTATTTGATTATCAGCTACCTTTAGACGAAATTTTAAAGATAAAATAAAAAGGTATGTTTTGAAAACATTATTTTTTAATTAGGAAAGTGCTGTCTAAGGATTTCTTAGTTAAAGCTACAATAATATTCGTAAAATAGTATATAAAAAAGCAAACTGTTTTTTATGTCACAAAACAATTTGGGAATGACGCTCCGGAAGAAAAATCTTATTTTACTCTCTCACGCAATACCAATCTGGTCACATCATTTTTCACACAAAAAAATAATACCAAAACGGGGGAGAGGCCCGAGGCGGCCAGCCTAGCAATTATCCCCCGCAGTTCGTCCCGGGTTATTATGCGTCCCGGGACGGGGATAGGAAAGCAGGGGAACGGCATAGAAAAACTCGCTAATCCTTCTCTCCCAGCACGCAAAATTTAATTAAGCCCACATCCACTATTTATATCGGGGGATTTGACTATACGTGGTTTTCGAATGTCACGAACCGGTTACGCCTAAAAAACGAAAAAAATTACTGTAAGCCCGGTTGTAAACGGATCCAGGAACAAGTTAGGATACAAGAAAAATAAAGCTATGAAAATCTTAAAAATGAAAGAATGGGAATGAGCATGAACTAAACGCACAGAATGTCGACTTTCAGGCGAAACCCGGCTGCCAATCCGAATTCAATTAGCGCGCTTGAAGGAGCGACTGCCGAGATGGGTGCTGGAACTCTCGGATCGGGGGTGGCTGGCCAATTTGCCGGAGAGTGAACGGAAGTCGGAACGTCAACCTAGCTCCTGCTCGTTTTTTAGTTGCTGGTTTCAGTATAATAAAAAACTCTACAAAAAATAGTATGCTTAGAGGTAAATACAAGAAATTTCTACCTGCTGGTCCGAAACTTTCTAGAGCATCAAACCACTCAAAAAATTTCTATGGCACCTCGTTACCAGCTGAAAACACAGGTCCGCTAATGAGCATCAAGACTAGCGCACCGCATAGGGTAGCTTAGAGTATCTTGCCTCTGCTTTCCCATCGTAATCTCTATCCTACTTTGATTACCAAAACATTTAGCTATACTACGACTAAATATACGAGATAACACAAATTCGATCCAACATCCCTAAAACCAGCCTCCACCCCACACCGCGCACATACACACACGGCAAAAAAAAAATTGTCCCGTTGATTGGGGAAGGGGGACCCGAGCCCGCTGAAATTGAATCCACAGCATTTCTCGAATTTACACCCCCCCCCCCCCCCCCCTAGCATTTCGGGTGACAGATTCTTATAAGAAAATTTTTAACTAGTACCAGGGTTGAAAAACCGCTTCGCGGCTTTTCAACCCTGGCCCCGTCTTCTCCAATGATATTCTTGACTTTGCATAATCTTCCCGGATTCGGATGACGAAAATGAAAAATGCTCTTGCCGTCCCTTTATATAGGCTACCGCGACTTCCGGTGCATGCTAATTTTTTCCTAACAAATTGGGGTGTCCGATTTTCCATGAAAAACTTAATTTTAATGTCGAAAACATCATATTTTGTAAGATCTGATATGTGTGCAGTCATCTCGAGCCCATTACGCACCTAATGACGTATCGAACATACCCCTAAGTACTTCCCATCTTGAGATACTACTGGAACACGCTGACGGAAGTTGCATGCAAATGCACACACACACACAGGAACTATTTTTTTATATATAGTAGGACTAGTATAATCCTTTGCAACGCCTAACTACAACCTGTCTGCAATTTCTAAATATCCTCCAAAAACCAGGTTGCTACATTAGAAAATTATGTATTTATTTGCGAAAATCAATTTGCCGATTTACCCTGTAAAATAAACATTATTGAAATATAGGGATGAGGCTTCGGGAGTGGTGCAATATAAGTTTAACTAGCTTGGCATTGGATGCCCCTGCCAGCAAGGGCAACAATGTGTCCAAAAATTTGCAACTAACTGAATGTAAATTTTGACATGAACAGGAATCACAACAACAGAAATCACACAAATTGAGCAGAAGGTAAAATCAAGAATAAGCCAACCGTAACGCTACTATTGGTCTAAACTTTTCTGAAATATCGCATCGAGATTCAGGAGTTGTCTTAACAGACTGTCCAAATCCCAGAGATCAAAAAATTCAATGGTCCGATGTGATTCGACCCAGTCCAAACCGGCTGTCTAAAATATGAAAAATATTATTGTGTTCAGAATATGAATCGGTTAAATACTGTTTTTGAACTTCCGCTTCTCCGGTTCACTTACTAAAATCGAAGACAACAATAAAATAATTGATCCAAGTCTCTCAGCAGGCGGCTCCCCACGTTCGAGATAAAACCTGAAGTTTGCGCATAAGATAATGATCTAAATCGGTTCGACATACTTGTGCAATGAGGAGATGATCCCATCCAATTGACACTTCAGCACTGGTCGCCCCTCTGCCGAGACATTTTCGATCGCTATCAAGGATTCAGAAAAAGCGTGAAAAATTATCTACCTCCTTGGAACGAGACAAGCCCTTTTAGCGCTACAAATTCCTCAAAAGTGATACCAAACTGCAGGAGGGGTTTCATTATATCTTGCATAATCCGTTCAAGCAATGGCTTGTAGATCCTAAATAGGTGATGGAAGGCCACTAAAACTTACATTTTCTTGGTATGGCTCGAAATCTCTTTTTCATCTCGCCATCCGTCATCACAATCCTACATGTAAATATAGCGGCATTAAAAGCTTCACTAACTTCTTTACAAGACACATAACCTCCGTTTTGCATTACAAATTTATCGGGCCACCCGCATTGTAGCGAAATGTACACTGGATCGAGGATGGTATGCAGCAAAACGCATTTTCGAAGAAATGACACCTGAATAAAGGAAAACTTGCAATAAAATTTGCGCTACCTTGTCCTTATTGCTCAACGTTGCATAATCTGGCCAAGCTTGTAACCATTCATACATGAAAAGAATATGTGTCCTCATGGATCTTCTGAATTCTTGGAAGACCAAAGGACGGATTTCTTCTTTCGTATATGGCTAAAAACACCAAAATTCATCCAAAATTGCCTAATTACCGAATGCTGGTTCTGCCCTAAAAGATTATCGACAGGTCGGTCGCAGAAAATAATTCTTCTCCGTTCGCCAAGCCTCATTTCTTCTTGGATTAAGAGTTGTAGCGGCTAAAATGGTTTTAAGAAGTTGTTACTTTAACCAACATCTTTTATAGACGTGGTATTCGTTTTTGGTAACGGTGCCGGTAACGGTGTAGCTGGGCCACTATTCAATACGCAGGCATCTGATGGCTAAACTCGAAGTGTAAGAGAATTTTCCAAATCATACCGTAGCGATGAATAGACTCTTCACACTCGAAGGTGCCGATACATCATAAGGATTTTTCGGGCTCCCAGTATACGCGATACATCCAGCTCGCTGGGGTTCCATATACAACGGCGTTGGAGGCTTTTCTTCTTTTACAGAAATTGGACCAGCCCTCTCATTTAATGGAACATATTGGTCCACATCATCTTGCTCTTCCTGGAATCGCAACAATTCCCAAAATAAATAGGTTATTTAGCAAACATACTGTTTCCGAATACGGCTCCATCCTACCGAAGCTCTTGTTTCGTTCAATCCCAGACTTCGTTGCAAAAGAGCGCCCCGCTTTTGGGTCTTTTGATCGGACAGCTATAAGTTTACTTTCAGAATTAATGTTTTTAAAAACCTCCTCTCTTCATCCCTATCGTTAAGCATTGTAAATAGCGACAGGCCCGGCAAATCTGATGCATACCTATTTTCCTTTTTTAATGACATTAAAATTCCTACTATAATGTATCCGACAAAAACCATGTCCTGTTAAACAGTTGAATTCGCGATTTAACGACACTGTCCGTCTAAAACGATACTAAACGCTTGCGAAATATTACCTAAAAAATGCGGCACATGCTGAGCAAGCTTGCCCTCCAAAATGAAAACCGGTGGCTCTAGCTTCGCAAATAAGGCATTGTCGAACTGTACCTTTTTCGTCTGAATTAAAGCGTCATCCTTAAAAATTGAGTTCATACCCAAAAATTCTCGCTTTCGAATCTTTTTTACTTTTTGATCCAACGAGCTGTCAGCAGCATCCATAATTAGAAGTGGAGCTAAGATGGTATAATTTCATTAAAAATAAGGAGATATCGATACCATTCAATGCCATCGATCATCCAGGGGTTGTGGGCTGACCGGCAGGACGTGTGAATCCGGGGCAGAATCGAGCGAAATTTTGCTGATTCCGAGGGGGGTCCGGACGGAAGGTAGGGATGGAGAGGGAAAGCAGAGAGGAAGAAGCTGATAACCACCTAGGGGTGATAGGTCGGCAAGCAGCTGAGGAAAAGGGAGGAAGGAGCCATCACGGAACACTCACTACTTGCATCGCTTGTAAATAATCGGACAACCGGCAGCAGCAGGCTACAAAAAATGCAGTGAAGGATACGTCAACGAAACAAAAATTAAATGGGCGTGATTATAAATAATTTAACGTTTTTGTTATGCAAAACTTTGGTAAAAATCATCCGCAGGGACAACCGGAGAATTCGGCTTTCGGTGTTTTCGATATTTAGGAAATTTCATGCGCTAGAGGGTCAAAGTGCTTTTTTGTTGTTGTGGAACTATAACAAACTTTTTCTTAGAAAACTTTTACCCCCCCGAACCTATTATTTTATCCCCTATTTTTTGTGTTCCATTAATTTACGTGAAAAACAACTGAAAGCCTTTTTATTTCTTGATTTTAGCAACCTAGCGGAAAACACACCCTCTGACTCCTCTCGCATCATCGAATCCATGTGGCCCCCTACCTATTCTTGCCCCCACCCCCCCCCCCATTTCCTGCCCATTTCTTTACCCTCATATTCAACATCTAAAATGCCCTCAAAACGCGCTCGCAATAAGACCGTAGCTGTCCCCAATCGCTTTACAAGACGCATTTCACAATACAGAAGAAGTGTCTCGGAAATTGATTTAAAGCAGAGCAGGTATGTGATTTTCGTGGTACTATATGGTCATTTAATTTTTATTTAGAGAGCTGGTCTCCCAACAATTTAATTTTATCGAAGCAACGGCCATTCAACGATGCTATGAAGATATATTACTAGAAACAACAAATCTGCTGGAATTTTTGGACATATTTGTAGGGCCAGTTACGCTCGAAAACGGGAGGATCTTTAGGATATTGGTCTGCATGAGCAGCAAGTGTCAAACCAATTGGCACTGGAATTACAGGTCAAGTTTCGGAAGAAATTTAAGGTATTGAAAAAAATTTGATTTCGTTTTTAAATTTTCTATTTAGCTACCACCAGGGTTGAAAAGCCGCTTCGCGACTTTTCAACCCTGGCCCCGTCTCGGACCCCCATACTATTCTCCCCTTTGCATAATTGTTCTCCATTCAATCAGAAGACAAAAAATGAAAACAACCGTTTCTGCCTCTTTATATAGGCGACCACCCATTTCCGCTCTATGTTAATTATTCCTAACAAAGAGGTTTTTACAAAAACCTAAATTTAATAGCGAAAATGGCTAATTTTTCAAAATCTGATATGTGTGCAATCATCCCTAGACCATTACGCACCTAATGACGTATCATACGTAGCCTAATACCCGTTCCTTCTTGAGATATCCTCCGGACAGACAGACGGAAGTGGATGCAAAGTGGCACACACACACACACAAACACACAAACACTATTTTTTTATATATAGTAGGATATAATAGTCGGCCAATTTATCCGCAGCCAATCCCAAGCATCCGAAATAGTTTTTCGGATATAAAGTAAGAACAGTTAATTTTCTATCCCATTTTACCCGTTTAGTGAACTGTGCGATCAACTCACAACAGAATTGGATCTGGCAATCAAACGAGGACCACCAAAACCAGTCTCAAAAATTGCCTTCGAAAGACTCACCACTGGAATGAATGAAGTCATGCCAAGATTCAGATCAGAAATTATGTTCTCCAGTCTATGTTCTTTGTAAAATTATCTTCTCCATCAAATATTATCTATTAATTCAGTATATTTATTAAAATCACCCGATCTATGGACAATAAAAATTCTAAACATAAATGCAAAGGCACGCGGCAGCTTTTTGGCAGATAAAGGCAGGGGTATAGGGCAGTATAGAAGGGTAGGCAGAGATTCGCGAAATAAGGGCAGTAAAGTGTTTGAAAAGAACTGAGGGTGTATAGAGATAAAATGAGGATGATGGCACGTAAAGCCGGTGTGCTGGGATGGGGATTGGAAAACCGAATAAAAAATGAATAATTGAGTGGCAGTAATTTGGTCGAATCAGGTAGAAATATTTACATTCTGCTCATGCGGGCTACCGAGACGCAGAGTTGTTGTTTGGAGATGTTGCACCAGCCGCAACTTGCCTAAAAAAATTGGATTTTGAGAATTTTCTTTAGTTTTTTAAGCAATTCAATGGAGTTTGTAAGGGGTAATCTACCCATTTTCCCAATTTCTTGACTTATTGAATTTTACTGTTTTTTGCGCGCCAAAAATCCTTATCAGCACTCCGCGCACCAATAAACAAATCATGGTTTTCGCGGGGAAGATAGTTCGTAGGTTCTAGCAGATTTAAAGTTCCAATGGTCAATTAAAGTTTATATTTAAGGCTATAATTGCAAAATAAGCTTTTTACAGTTGCTCAAATTTTAGAAATCTGCTCGAGCGTACCAAACAATATACAACTTGACCAAAAAATGCGTTTTTCACACACGACTCGCACAATCGTTTTAAGGCAAATGTGTACTGTGCCGTAAAACGTTACATACCTGACAATTCTCGGCCATCCATTGTCTCCTCCTCGTACAGAAATTCTGAGCCCTCCAGAATGCACATGAGACATGCTTGTCGACGCAACCCTGTCGGTTGTCGCCGCCCTGGCAGAAGTTACACGACTTCCGGCAGTACCGGCCCATATAGTTTCGGTTTACCGTGCACTCGCCTAAAGAGGTGTTCATCTACAATAGCCAGTTCCATGCCTGTCCTTGCCCAAGCATCACAACAAGGATCATCATTGTAACAATTTCCGGCCTGCGTCGGTTGTGGGGCAGCAGTCGGCTAAAAAAACTATCAATTCTCAAATCCACATCTGAAATTATTCACTCCGTTTTTAGTTGGCCCCTATTAATATTAGTACCGGAAAATAGGAAAGCCGGCGCCAAAGTTAACGAAGTTCTATTTTTGGGTTAGAAGTGATCTTTAATAATTAGGGGGGTTGAATTATTTGTATCTCTCTCTATATTGCACCCTATTCGGTTGGGGCCTTCGCCCGCGGACTGTTGTTCGAGAGGGTTGGCCTCTTCTCTAAAATTGTATATGCCTTGGAAAACATAGACATGCTAATTTGGTGGATTTGAAAATTACCGGTACGGTGGATGGGGCGTTGGCCAGGGTGGCGGCGGGACGGGTTTGGGGTTGCTGCTGTTGTTGGGTGGGTTGTGGGGCCTTTAATTATACATTAAATTGTGATAGAATCAATTATGCAATGCATTGTAATATGGCCGCCAAGCTTTTATAAATATAGAATATAACTTACTTGACCCGGTCGACAAAATCCCGCTTGACACACTCCCTGATGGCAAGCGTCAAACCCTTCAAAGCCACGGCAGTTTCCTCCCATTCTCACCTTAAATAGTATACCTTAACTTTATAAAGTTCTTCATACCTTTGCCACACAATGCGCATTTCCACGGGTATCACAGAAAAGGTATTGACTCCCGCAGTATGGATTTTGGGCCGAACATGTTGGCCTTGGGGCGTAACGGTAAATTTGATCGGTGTAGATGTTTGATAGACCTGGAAATCGTAGTTTTTAACAAGCTTTCATTCATCTTAAAGGCCATCTTAAAAACGTACCATCACGGTTTTGCTTATCCCAAGGTCTCATTTGAGCATATGAGAAATGCTGACTATTCGCACAAGTGCCAATGTCAGGAGGATAAGCCTGAATTACTTTGGCTTCTAAGGAAACTTTTAGAAATTACAATTTCTCTCTGCGCTCGGCTCTGCCGTGTCTGCCGGTAGATCTCCCAGATATAATCGACAAAAGTGTGATGGAGGAAGAAAATCGGATCATTCGCTGCAAAAGAACAATGACTAGAATCCAGGGTCTAGACTTACCCGATGTCGTCGGCGGTTTCATATCACCACCAATCCAAAGATGAACAGAGGAATGGGCATATTCAAGGGCTGCGAAATTCGGGCGGAAGGGGCAACCTAGATCAACTTTGGAAGTAACGACAAATCTGACCTGCTTGAGGGGCTGTGTACGCTAGAATACTTTGAACATCTGGATTTGAGATGGCATTTGCGATGGCAGTTTCCGAGAAGAGTTTGCCTTCGGTGCCAAGTCGTCTGAAACGTATTAGCTAGCACTGGAGGATTTTTGAGCTATAGTTTGGCGGCGTTGTTAAACTTGAAAACATATACCTTACGATATTGGGCCTACCCTCAAGGGTTCTGAATCCGGCAAAGGAGCCAGTAACGACCTAAACAAACGAAACACTGTCAAATTTTTTCTTTCGTTACCTGTCCACCCCCATCCAAGGTTCCCATAAATAATGGAGTAAACATGATCGAATCCCGCGGATCCGGAAGATATGAATCGAGCACGGAGTCCCAGTATGGCATGCTCAACCCGGGGTCGATCAACCGGATTGCGATTTCGAATCTAAAATCGCTCTAAATTCCTTGATTTTACAATTCACATACCGCTTCATAAATTCACGGTGCCACGGCAAAAATCCTGGACCGGAATGCGCGCCTGATGAGGAGCCGACCTAGACAGATCGTAATTTCTATATATTCTGAGCTAACCTGTCGGTGCATAACCGATAACCGATCGTAATCTCCGGTTCTTTTCAATTGAAGGAGTGCATTATGGAATCTAAAAAACTGCTAAAATACAGTGATAATTGTTCAATACCGTATCCTCTCGTTGTCAGACATTGTTCTGTATTCCTTTCGCATTGACATTGTTAGAACACCGCCTTGTGGCAGCATGCATTGCCCACCCGGGCCGATGCTGCCCTAAAAAGAAACTTTTTCGAGAATTTGTTAACTTTGAGTTCCGGATATTGAGACCGGCGATTTAAATATTTTTACGCATTTTGGGCAGCCTTACTAGTTCTATTCTTTTACATTAAACTATTAAAGAATTCTACGTCCTGAAAAAGCCTATAGCGCGACTCGGCTAATAAATTCATTTTTAATCTATAGTTATAATTTTTCAAAATATTTAAATTGTAGAAACATACCCGAAAGTATGGGCATAAGCATTGATAGTTCATACAACCCTCAGCAGATGGTGAAAATGGAGGTGGCAGTGCGGGGGCCACACCGGCCGACATCACAAATGGAGCAAACACTGGATTTTGCTGCTACAAATTAGCATTTTTTTAATTTAGTAACAATTTCGTTCGATACCTCAAAAATTTGACGTTTTCTTATAGCTCTCCTAGCCATATGATCCATATCATGCATCATCACGCAAGTTGTATGAGTATCTAAAAACAATCAAAACCGGAAATTTGTAAAAATTGTATAGCGGATAACCTAATATGTCTAAACACCAACCTTTATTTGGCGCATTTTTACAATCATCCTCTGTACATATAACTAATACAAAGAGGACAAAAATCCAGAGCATGCCCTGAAACATTTAGCCTGTTATCAAATCAAGAAAAAAGATATGGAGATCGAAAACAAACTTTGTAAAAAAAATATTTTGAGATACGATAAGTACTCATTAAAAAGGAACTGTTGAGAAGTGAACTGGCAAATTGCATGCCTCGGATAGGGACCGATTAACTGGCCTTGACTTACTGCATCCTCCTGTCGTACCGGCCCCACCTCACCCACACACGTCTTCCCGATAGAAAAAAACCGGATCGGGACCCCAATCCGGGGCAGCAAAACATTAAAAAAAGGTTGCGTTCCAGGGGAAAATAGATCGAGACGGCCATTGGACCTTGGGCGGTGTCTGGTTTAGGTCACGGCTCAGACAGGTAGGTTTAGGGATTTTTTTGAACGAAGTAAGTCTGGAACAAGTTGTAAGATTGTGCATGCCCAGCTTTAAAAACTAACAAAAAAGTTAAAGCTGAATATTTTAATGCAAATTAAGAGCTAAACTAGATAACTAATAAATAACCAGGGTTGAAAAACCGCTTCGCGGCTTTTCAACCCTGGCCCCCTGCAGGACCTGTGAAAGTCCTTAATTTGCATGTTTCTTCCTGAATTTTAGCAAGAAAAAGTGAAAAACGGCTCCTCTGTCCCTTTATATAGGCTCTTCCAACTTCCGGCGTATGGTAATTTCCCCTAACGAACGGGGTTTTACAAAAACCTATTTTTAATAGCGAAAACCGCAATTTTTCAAAATTTTTAGGTGTGTGCAGTCGATTCCCGACCATTCCAAACCTATTGTCGTTTCTTCCTTACCCAAAAAACCCTTCCCCGAGGCTGTAGGAGCGGAACATCCTAACGGAAGTGCATGCAAATATACACACACACACACACACAAACACTATTTTTTATATATAGTAGGATCATAGAAAATCTATCTATCTAAAAATTTATCTTTGTTTGAAAACTGTATTTTTTATGAAAACAAAGCCTTGAAAAAATTATGACCGGAATGCCCAGCTTTTCATCTAAAATAAAAAAACGATGACTCGTAAATAAACGTAAAACAATAGCCGAACGTTATTTGACTTTCAATAATTTTTTAAGACCCGCCCCTAAATACCAAAATGCGAATAGCTGATCCTCTAGGATAGAGACAACCCCGAGAACATGCCATGACAAGCTGGAAAAAAATGAGAAAAACAATAAAACATATGAGAGGAAAAGCGGGAATGGGCCGGAACGGGCGAAGGACTGGTTGGCGGGATGGCTTTCGCTTCGGTCAATTAGACTATCGGTCTCAAGAGTCACATAGCCGTAGCAAAATGCGAGGGGCTGGCAAAATGGACTTATGCAGCAGAAAAAATTCTAATAAAATCTTTTGAAGATTATGGAATTGCTCAAAAAAATCCTAGAATGTTAAAAGTAATAAACAAATGGCAAGCCATAAAATAAAGAGAGCAGAAACTACGGGAGGATTGGATTGCAAATTTCTAGAACCGCAAAAGAAGCAATTTTTGGGATCACTTCTGATAATGCGATTACATCGTCGGTAATTAAAATGTCAGAAAAGTCTTGGAACTCCATAAAAACTAATCCAATGTTCGAATCCGATTTTACCGGTTCATCGAAAGCGAAAGCTCCACAATTTTCTATTTCTCCCCCCAAAAATGGAGATGCCGATCGAATTCCTTGGGAGCTGCAACCCCCCACACGTCCCATGAGGTCCTTGGCGCGGCTCCTCCTCTTCCTCACCCCCTCTACAAATCGGAGGCCCCAAAACCGTGCCCATCCAGGTCGTATCCCATCCGAAACGAGTGGACAGCACGATCCCGTCACCCTCTTGCTCCTCATCTTCCACCTTCACTCCCTACTTGCCAATGCAATATGTAAAAAAGAATGCCGAACCTTCCGGGGCACCACTCGAGTGGATGAAAGGGGTTGAGATACACTCACCTTCTAACGAACCAAACAGCGTAGATTGTAACTGAAGGCCAAGGTTATTCCAACGAACCGAGAGAGGGGGACCGGTTTTGCAGAAAGTTAAGGGAAAAATTGGGTCTGGAAGGTGTTTCAAGTCGCTTGTGTTGATACTGGAGTGTTGAGGAAGATCTGGAATTTTAACGGGGGCTGTGAAGGAAGCTAAAAGGTATATTTCATATTAGTAGCGCTAACATGGGCTCCAACGGCTTGGAGGAAGCTTGAAACAGGACGATTTTTACACAATTTGAAGGCGCACAAAAAGCGGAAAGCACATGTTAAGTTTTAGCACTAATTCATATTCGCTCGATATTAGCCAGTTCGGAAAAGCAAACCGGCTTTTTTTCAAAAGGTATCCCTTAATTAACATCCAGAACTCGCGTAAATCCACTTTTTTATGGTTTGACTAGTAAAATCCGAGCAGTTGCTTTTTTAGACGACGTATAAACATGCAAATTATCAACTTCCTGGTTGCATAACTTAGAAAACAACGTTATGGCGATTTTCTAGGCCTTAAAAAGTACCGCCCACCCTCGAAACCCCCAAAAACGATCGCTGTACTTTCGCCCCGCACCCTCCAAAAAGAAACCACCCAACATTCCAGCTGTTTTTTCGAGAACTCCAAGCGAAAATCCCGACAAAATCATTGTCAAGGCCAGGATACCCGGGCGTAAAACTTTGTTTATTGGGGCGTCGCGGGTGGAATTCCACGAGCGACCGTTGTGTGTTGTTTGGATGGAGGAGAAAACAGTGGCAGATTGCCTTATTTATCAGACTAGAAACACGCCTAGCAGTTCCCCCTCGATATTCGCGAAATGGGCGTCAAATAGCTCGGTTACCATCGGATCATGTTTTTGTTGGGCCTGACATTGGACACAACATATTTGGTGTGACTGGGAAGATTTGAGACTGATCTTGGGTGATTTTAGAAAACAAAATTAATGTAATGAGCCTGACATGGAGGTTTAGGCAATAACAGAGTTCCAGAAAAATAAAAAATAATTTTACAGCGAACAGGAAAAATTAAAAATAGATTTCTGGAGGAATTAGCAAGATTGCGTCTCCAAAAAAAATGCTCGATAATTACGGTGCGCTAGAAATCCACTATGGTTTTAAAAATCAACTAAATGCGCCATTAATTAGACTAATTTTTAACAAAATAATCGTGGAGAATTGCTTGAAACCAGGGGTTTCTCCGGCGACTGTCTCACCAGAATCCTAAGCTCCATTATCACCCAAACGCCTCCTTATGAGATTATTAATTAGCATAGAAAGTTCAGCGATAATAATTACAGAAAATAAGCTATCCAAATATCCTAGCACCAAGACACGAACAATAAAAAATGAGCATTAAAAGAGCAAATTCAACTGGTCAGTGGGTCGTCTCTACTAACAATACCCACCCACATCGTCCCCGCCTCTTTGCTAGTATTGCGTTGGCAGTAAGGTGTGAAGCTGACAGGGACGAGCCTCGAAATTGAGAAGAGATAGGAGAGCCCCGGGATGACAACGGCCCGAAAGTCGGTCACTACTGCCATTGCAAAATACATCCTCTCCGTCTGTTCATCCTATCCTTCGACAATCTAAGCTGAGGGGGAAGGGTAGGGCTCGTGTAATTTTACAATATGTTGCTTTACAGTGGTTGTGTGCTGGTGGACTTGAGGCTAATTTGGCGAATGGTTGAGTGGAAGGGAAGCGGGAGGATGAAGGAGTGTCTGGGTCACCGCTTGGAATGCTAGAGTCAAATTCCCCCTGTAGTTAGATTATTCTCATAATCCCAAAAGGCAAATAAAAAGGGTAAAAAGGACAAAAAGTGAAAAGTTCCGAAATTCTTAACACGCCTCAATAATTTTTATTCTGGTGAGCATGAGGCTGTCGCTCGGAGCACGAAATGCGATGCAACAAAAATACAACAAAAAACGCTAAAAACCACAGAAACCAAGCGAGAATCGAAAAACGGAGTATAATTTTCAAAGCTTTTACGAAATAATTTTTTACCTCTGATCTGGGGTAGACTGTAAAGCCTGAGATACCTCTCTAACCTACATAAAAATAAACCAAAAACCGGACCAAGCTCAAAAAATCCGTGCTACCCGGAAATCCGTGGGAACGAACCTATCCTCGTCTAGATCGCTGGTGATAGGTGATGGGTGACGAAATGGGGAGGATATTGTCCCCCCGACTCCTCCGCGAAAAGGTCTATGTGTTGTGAGACGATTTGCCCGACTTGGCCCGCGTGGAATGCGGGCCACTACTAGCGATTCGACCCCCCAGTCGAAGCCTATACCAAATGTGGGCAGCCCCCCTCATGACCTTCGACAGCACTTTCTTCTTCCCATGTCTGACCCCCGTGCGGATTTTGGCCCTCGCAAACAGCTATCATTTCCCGGACACACACAACCCACATCAACCCATCCCAACCCCCGCCGAAAAACCCCCGGCCACAACCACCATCACCAAATTCACCGAACGGCTTGCTACTACGTCGAAAAAATAGGCTGGTTCGCCTTTTTACGCACGTCACATGGCTATCAGTCGAGTGGGGGAGTATTTTGGAAAAGATCTGATCACGATTTAGCTGGGTGGGTGAAAAAACTTTTGAGGCGCATGAGGGGTTGTGGTAATGAACGCGATTAATATAGCCAACGTTATTAATTAACTTAAAATGGCCTGGATTAGATCGAAAAATAGCCTTACACAGTCCATTATAAAATCTTCATATTTGTTGATCAAGTATAACGGCAGATGACGGCTCGGGATACCATACGCTAACTATTATCGTATAACCAATATCAGATCTATACCTTAAAAGCCTCAGATAAACGCTATATCATAGTTAATTGGCAATTAATGGTCAAAAATGACTCCGGATTTACCGTATGCTAATCAATGGCTACCTGGGCTTGCACGGTTTCTGAGTAGAGACTATATTATGTATAGTATGTATCATAAGAAATAATAGCAAGGAATGGCTCGGGAAATTTACCTTAATAAGTTATAGGGCCTTTTCGAAAAATCACAAACAACACCCAACGAATTCCACCCTCAAAAGTTCGAACCTAGTATGACTACCTCTCTCCATCGCAAGCCAAAATCATACCTCATCCCTACCACTCATATTTGCAACAATGGCAGAATACCAACCCAAGCTTCTCCTCCTCTTCCTTCCTTCCCCACCCACAACAAAACAACGCCTCCTTTTTACAATCAATTGCGTTGTAAAGCCTGACCTTTCCGGGGCGTGCCCCTTATTTTTCCGAGGCTTAACTTCCGAAAACGTACACAGTGGCCACGTCCTTGGAACGGCAACTTTTCGGAAAACTGGGTGGAAGGGGGGAAGAAGGGGGAATTTTGGGGGGAAAAACCACTTGTCAAGCGGACTCTACAGTTATTGAATGGCATTCGGATGGATGGGGAATGGGGGGAGTAGATTTTGTGGCATCAAGGTAGGTGTTGAGTAATGTATTGGAAAGTGAAAAATCTTGGAATGCTAAATTTAAGGGAATGCGTCGAAACGGCTAGCTTTATTCGAATAGAAAACGAAGATATAAATGATTTGATTTCAGCCCTTATATATTGAAAAACATAAGTAAGCTAATGCCCAAAACTAAATTTATTAAAACTTTTTAAAAAACCAATGCTTACATAGAAATTCGATTTTAAAAGAACGGGGTTCTAAAATTTATGTATTAGCAGCTCCTAGGTTAACTATTAATTTCTCCACTTACTATTAATTTCTCCAAAAAATATAAAACTTAACCCTACTTGAAACTACTGAAAATCTTACCTAGAAACAAATTCACAAATTAGTCGTACCAGTAAACAAACACCCCTCTCGAACTTAAAGTACAACATGAAACTCAGCAAAAATTATCTGTCCGTCCTTGGCAAGTCAGGAAGTGGTCGAGAGAGGTCAGAGCAGGGATATTGCGAGACGAATGGAAATCCCCGGCCATCGGGATGCTCGAAATCCTGCGATTGCTTATATTCTATTTGTTGAGAAGATAGGATGCCGAGATGACATTGTTGACCGGTGTACTTGTCACAATCCAAAGGGAGACATCCCTCTCTACTAGACAGCTTCTCTCATTCCGTTGAATTCCTGTCTCTTACGCGCAGCGCCTCTTATTTTGAGCAACATCTCGGCACAAAAAGTAAAAGATCACAGCCTCGAGATTATGCGGTAGGCCGGTTGTTTTTTTGAGGATTCGACTGTTTGATTTATGGGATTGGAATTTGGAGGGTTGTTATTCCAATTTGTGCTCTATTCGCAGCTTTTTGGTATCTTGGGCAGATAATAACTGGAAAAAAATTTAAAAATTGTTTATTGGCTTAAAAACGAACTTAATTAATCACAGATTTAATAAAATGAAAAATATACACAATAAAAATTTAGGAGATCAATAGTATTATTCGTAATCAAGCTTAAGAAAGAAACGACACGTATTGGAAACATGAACTTTGGCAAATGAATATTTAACGAATGCGATCGAGAAGGAAACTGAAAATGACGGTCTTGAAACTTAACTTAAACCGGAATGTAGCTTAACCCTTGTTTCACTTGTGGATGACTATAAGAAATCTTTTCAGCAAAATTAATAGCCCTTTTAGCAAATCGTTTCATCCGCCAGACGGCTGATTTGCGACATTTCAGTTGGATTCGTATTTGCCATTGCCAGCTGCTTCTCCTTGTCCTAAATTCGAATTTATAGTTGGGGAATATACAATACCGTTCCATTGCGCGGATAGCGTTTTCGACCCTTTGATGAGCAACAATAGATGTAGTACATGACAATTCTTTTTAGCTGCACATCTTGGCGCTAAAAATCCAGAAATTTCAAGTGGTGTTCTCACTTACCATATCAATAATCGGGTCTAAACAAACACGACCCAACCATCCGAGTGAAGCCACTGAGCAGAGCATCACATAACTCATTAATGGATCTGATAGGCATGGAGGTTCTGACTAAAAAACGTCATAACTTGATATTAGATTAGCCCACGTCATAGTCGCCCTCCAATGATCCCATAAATCGAAGACAAGCATCTCTCATTGGTCCCGTAGCATAATAGGCAATTCCCATCAAAGCTATGTAAATTTTCATCCTGGGAGTTCCTAAAAACTTACCGCAGGTTATTAAAAATAATGAAATATGACATCCAAGCCGCCAAAGTGAAGCTTTATGCCTCAAAACAACGGAGGATTCATTGCACTCACGATGTCTTCTCAAAGCCCAGCAAACCTGAATAATTTAATCAGCTTCTAAATATCCCTTATTACCAGCATGTAACTTCCTAAAGTGATTAGAAAAGCAGCAATTGGCAATACAAGCGCGAGAGCCCCTCCAGAATTTGAATCACCATCAGATCGCTCGGATAGATTATGGCATAGATCGACAAACCAAAGCAACGACTGTAACGGAATTTTTTAGTTTTATTTTAGTTGATACTTCATCGTCTCGAAATCCCATCCCTGTACGGAGTCGATGTAAAATAACATAAATCATTCCGTTGCTGTCAAAGTTTGTGTCTTCGCTAAAAATCAGACAAACCAAGATCAAAATCTGATCTTGAACGTACTCAGTCAAATACATGATAATCCAAAGCGCCGTGCTCATAGCCAGCCATCCAAGCAATAAAAAGTGAAGAACGCGTCGTGAGCTTAATCTTGTCTACACGAAATTGTTGGGAAATGTCGACAAACCCGATATTTGAGTGGTGACTGTACTGCGTATCTGGTCATCATGGCTAAGCCACTGTAGCTGAATGCCACCGACCAATAGTCGAGTGTGATGACAACCTGGAAAGTTTTACTAATATGATATTCAACAAAATTTGTATTTGAATTTTTGAAACTATCAACAAAAAATATTAATTTTAGCTATGCTTATTTGATTGTTGGAAGCCTTAAAATTCCATCCGTATTGTCAGTTTTCCCGATTGTAAGTGCATCCACCAACCTGTAATGGCAACGGATTACCCTCCGGTTGATCTGGTGTACAACCCAAATGTACATCATGACAGGCCGACCGTTGAGAATGCAGAAGATAAGCCAAAATTACAGAAACCGTAACCAAATCCGCCAATGAACGGTTCGCAACAAAAAGGTATCGCTGAAATGGGTACGCGAATTGCGCTTCTAGAATGACCTTACCTTCAACGCTAATTCACGACGATGGACGCCATCTAGTAAACATAATAAGAAAACGATATTAGCTAGAAAAAGAGACCATAAACTTTAAACATTAAAGCTTACTAATCAATGCAAACCCGGAAACGGCAACCATGACCGGATTGAGCACATTCAATAGTTGTACGGTCGTATCGAGGGTGGATGAATCCGGACATGATTGATTCATGGTCATCTAGAAAATTGCTGCAACAGCGGGTGGAGCCGCAGTGGCCATTGTTCACGAAAGCATTCAAACCCACAACGGAACATGAAAATGGGAGTTCGCTTGCGTGTGTTTTTGCTTTTTTAAGGGCCCTAGTCTTGAAATACTCATAATTTGACATAAAATCAACCGTTAAATCAGGCGGGGGTAACTACACTTTTTGAGTAAAGCCCGCTATTTTTAGGGAGGTGGTATCAAATTTTGACCCGTTCGCGGTGAATCGAAAATTAGTTTACACGAAGAATTCGCACATTAATAGAATGGGAAGAATATATTATGTCCGTGTTTTTAATTATTACTACTGGGTTTTTGATTAACGGGAGAAACAAAAAACTACAGAAGTTTCTAAGCTTATAAAATTCCAGAATTTATCCGCGTTTAATTTAGAGAGGATAAAAATTGCATTAAACTGAGGTGTTCAACACGAATCTATATTCCGTCGTAAATTTCTTTAAAAAAATGCTAATGACCCAAAAAACGACCTCGTCAAAAAGAATCGACAACCAAGTTGCCTTCCCTTCACCCGATGGCCACCCACCATCAGATGAACGAAATTTGAGCCTCCTGTTGCCCCGCTCCTCCCCTCCCCATCACATCTAGTTGAAAATTAGGAAAAGCTAAGGTCAACTTAGAAAACAGCAAACAATAGATATGTCCCCCACCAACAACCCATCCATTCCCCAATTCAACCCACAGGAATTATTTTGCCCCCATCACCCGCTGGGCCCCCGGCCTTAGGGCCATTATCCGGGAAAAGCAATTTTCGCAAATATTTTGAAGCACGGTGTATTATAGAGACAATGGAGAAATGAGAACGTGGAAGTTTAAAGATGATCTTTTGAAGAGCTTCTAGTCTGACAGCCATAAATTTAGAGGGCGAACAGAGAGGCTGAATCCCTAAAAGAAAAATTAGAGGGAGAATCGAGGACATTATGGATGCGAACACGGGGAAGTGAACACTACTTTTTCGGAAATTTTGAAGTCTTATGGTCTATTTGAGAGGCATTGAGGGGAAGTGGAGGGGAAGTGAGGACAGGAAAAATTTCAATTAGAATCCGGCTTCACATTATGTACATTTCACTTGGCGGTCGGATCGGTGTTGAACCAGAAAGGGGGTTAGCTTTGAAGCGTTGTGTTGTGCTTAAGCTTAGGCTTAGGCTTAGGCTTAGGCTTAGGCTTAGGCTTCTGCTTAGGCTTAGGTTAGGCTTAGGCTTAGGCTTAGGTTAGGCTTAGGCTTAGGCTTAGGCTTAGGCTTAGGCTTAGGCTTAGGCTTAGGCTTAGGCTTAGGCTTCTGCTTAGGCTTAGGTTAGGCTTAGGCTTAGGTTAGGCTTAGGCTTAGGCTTAGGCTTAGGCTTAGGCTTAGGCTTAGGCTTAGGCTTAGGCTTAGGCTTAGGCTTAGGCTTAGGCTTCTGCTTAGGCTTAGGTTAGGCTTAGGCTTAGGTTAGGCTTAGACTTAGGCTTAGGCTTAGGCTTAGGCTTAGGCTTAGGCTTAGGTCAGAGGCGAGGGAGGAGCTGAATAATTACTAGGAGGGTCTAATTTGGGTGAGAGGATAGTGGTTTTGGAAATGAGGTGGACGTGAATGGCTAAATTTAGATGGTGGTCAAAGGGGGATCAGGGCATTCATTCTTTTTGGTCTTCATTCTTTTCGGCGCCTTTAAACGCCTATAATCTAGCCTTTGCGCTGAGCTTGAGACGGTAATAGACGGATTGAATCACAAAAAAATCGATTCCTGAAGGATCAAATAATAAATGTGGGATTGAGACTATGTGACCCAGTGCGTGTATGCCGCCCTCCAACCTAACCCCCTAATAAGTCATTTGGCCACGAGGGAATTTGATCGGCCAATCCACTTTTCGGCGCGCTCCACAAAAAACCCCCAGCGGCCACGGCTACTCACCTTTTGTCGAGCCTCGGGGCAGCGATTCTACGAAGTGAAGAAGCGAGGTGGCTATTTATTGGTATTAACTTCACGCCCGTCCATTTGGCTCCGGCCGATAAGTTTCTTGTCCGAATTTATTGGGGAACCGAGTGAACGGATTGATATGAAAGTCTGGAGTACAATGCTGAATTTTCTGTGAAAAGTAAAAATTATTAATCGTGAAATATAAGTTCAAAAATATTGAAAGGGCAAAATCATAATCTATATAATTTTGCCGTCCCGATCCCGAAAAATGAAAATTCCTTAAGGCATGCGCATTAAATTTTATGTTAGATTTTAGCTTTAGCTATCTCCACGGAAATTAAAAAATATATTTATATTTATTTTCCAAAATAAACACACGAATAAAATTAAATATGCAAGCCAAAATCTGGGCACCGTTGCCATCCACCGGGCCAATCACAACGAAATATAGATGATTATACAAGTAAGAAAAATGATTTTCTTGCACCACGTAAAATTTACAGTTGAATATAAATATTGGATTTTATGGGAGGTAGAAAAAGTAAAAAATATTATTATTAAATTTGTATAAATCTATTTTAGGAGTTTCTAGGCATGCGCAATGGCAGGTGGCTGTCCATTTGGTGCTCCGCCCACTAATGGTTGGCCCTAAATTGGATGAAATTAATTTTTAAAGTAATTCAAAATATAGCATAATAGATTTGTGAAAGTTACCTGGCTATCCACAATTCGGAACGCCTCCAACAATTCATTCAAATCAATAAACCCGTCCTAAAAATCCGTTAGATCCAAAAAAATTTTTGCTTACCTTATTAAAATCAATACTTTCGGCAATCTGCCGGATATCATTTGGTGATAACGCCTTTTTAGTATATTGCCCGATCACCTAAAGAATATATAAAAATAAAACCAAATTTGCCATACCCCAATCGCCTCAATAAATTCTCCCATGGACACGTTTCCGGAATTGTCTTTATCCATAAAACGGAATAACGTCTCCAGGGTCTGCTTATGACGATAAAGGGCTTCGACGACGTCTCGATCCTAAAAACGTTAATTTTTAAGGTTTCGATTCCTATATTCTTTTACTGCACCCGACTTCCAGAAAATTCCCCCTTCTTTCACAATCCGATTTTCATAAGCGAGGGCGCGTGCAGCCGGGATGCGTGACCAAGTCTATCAAAAATGCTAACGCCCCTAGATGACTTTCCGGGCCACTCTTCCAGTCATTCTAATTCGTGATCATGTCGACCCGAATGCGCAAAAAGAGAGGAAGAGGGTTATCCCCCGAACCCGGAAGGGATTAGGGAATTTGCGCAAATATGCAAGGCGTAGTATTTTGCGCAGTTTGCTTATGAGGCGCCAAAAACAAAAAAAAAAACTTCTAAAAAATTACGTACATCTTTAGCTTGCTTCTTGCCAACAGCAATAAGCGGTAGATCTTCTTTGTACATTACGTATTTCCCGTCGTCCGTGCAGGTTGCTAACTGGAAATTATAATTTACTAAAGGTACGGTTTTTGCTAAGCTTCGAAAGGATATTCGTTACTTACTCGATTGGCCAACGCATGCCAGGGGAGTTGCAGCTGCGTGACGTTTTCGACGCATTCGCTCCAGCGGTGCACGGTAATTTTTCCTTGAAAAAAATGGCTATTTTCTAACCTGTGAACCAACCTGTTTTGTCCGGGTCACATTTTGCAAATTCAGACTGTAACTCGGATGCAAAAGAAGTAAGCTTATCTCGAAGATCTCTCAATGCAGATTCTTCCACGGCTGATACTCTGAAAACCCCAATTCATAATTTTACCTGGATTTAGATTTACCAACCTCTGTCGCAACGTCGTCTTCCGATGTGTTTTACTCGCCATATATTGGACGAAATGGGCCTGCTTGTTCTTCCCAATAAATTTAACGTATGCACCACGATTCGAGCCGACTTCATAATAATTTGAAGCCGAGAATACCGTGAGCACACTAGTAATAGATGGCATTTGAGGAGAAGATAAATCTTACTTGTTGTTATGGGTGTACTCGTAGCCTTCGAATTTACATTCGTGTGACCGCACAATTAGGCGGAAGTTGTTTCTAAGAATGGTTGAATAGTTTAGGATTTTAGTACTTACTTTTCCAAAAAGGTTTGCGTCACATCAGCACCAAAATATGATCCGCCACCTCGGAATACATTTGGCCAGCATCCTTTATGTTGCTTAGGGTCTGACCAGAGTACGTCTAGCACCTAAATGCAAAATTTCGTGGTGAAATTAATGGAATCGGAAAATATCAGACCCGAAAAACTAACGAGTTTCCATTCATCCATATTCACACTCGGTTTACCATCTTCTTCTTTTCGAATTGGCGGTCGAAGAACAGAAACGTACTGAAATGTTTATATATTTAAATGCAAACTTTCGCATTACCTTATTCCTTTGCACTTTCTCAAGCTCGGCCAGATCGGTCCGATCCGAAATACCACCGTGAACAACGAAAATCTCTCTATCCACAACCGTGCATATCGGCAACCACGCAAACACTTCTTCCATCAATCGGGCAATCGGAGCAGCAACTTCCTAGATACCGTCATTTATTGTTTCTCTTTCAAAAACCAACCTTGTATTTTGTCATCAGCTCTTTGACGAAGCCATATCTGAGATTCATGATATGATCTTCGTGGTTTCCTCGATTTAACGTCACGGCGGTTGGATCCAAAGCGAGCAGACTCAAAAGTACCATCAGCACCTATGTACAAATGGAAATCAGAAATTTATTTTTATATACCTCTGTCGATTGGCCACCTCGATCTACAAAATCGCCATTGAAAATGTATGGGTTGTCGACGGAGGGATAGCCATTCTAAGGAAAATTAATTTTATACTATTTTTTCTACTTTGTATCTATGTCTTTCTGTGAGTAATCAAACGCTTCTGGAAACCTTTTGCTAATCCATAGCTCATAACTCTTCTTTTTCCTGGTATCCTGATTTAATCTCCTCCCACATCACTAAGCCGATCCGATCCAATTTATCACCACTCAACCTAAGGTCATATCCCTCAAATAATGGCTTCTTCTATGAATTCCCGGTAAATATACGCGACCCGCAAATGAGCTAGACCAGAAACCCTACGACAACAGATGAGGGATTTCCGGTCCATTTCCGTTCTGTGGGTCGAGAACGGACAGGAAATGAGCTTCTATACTTCTAACCACCCACAAAAGATATCAGAATCATATCCTTTCATAATATGGTAAACGTGAAAAAGATGAAGACACACGAAGGGCTCACTTTATGATGTTACGATCGCTCCCAATAACGTTTAGGTTCACTACTCACCTTATACAAAATAATACATAAATCATCGAATTTTCCGTGAAGATCACCAGTGATTGTTATCTTCAAAAACAATTGGCTTTCCTGAAAGAACTTACTTGATTGCTGATTGCTGTACTCAAATGAACAACAGTCGGTGATTGCTTCAAGATCCTTCGGGCTTCATGCAAAATCATCAAGACATATCGGGGATGTAGGATCTAAGCAAAAAGTCGTATTTCCGGTTCTAAAGTACCTTGTTCACTTTAAATCCATCAATCATCTCAACGATTTGCGGCTTGTCAAGTGGTAATTTAATCGATGGTCCTTTGTAGCCTAAAATGTACCAAATCTCGTATTTTAAGGTTTGATCCTCACCTTTCTCAATCGGAAACCGATTTGGGTTCGTCTCGTCGAGAAGCTTCCGAATCGCATCATCGTCTTCGGTGGCTGGAACGGATATGAGTCTGTTTAATTTCCGGTGCGAGTGCCAAGGTTATTTCATGTACTTTCGTATTTTTATGAACTTTTGAACCTATTTTAAACCTAAAATGGTGCTTTCCGTTTAACGGGGGTGGGGAGGGGGAAAGGATTTGGAGAGAAGGCTAGGGCAGTTAGCAGGCATTAGCTACTAATACTGAGAAATTTTTACTTATTTTCCGACAATTTTAGCCAAATGTCCGATTTTTGAAACGTTTTTACGGCGATACATAAATTTCTTAAACTGTTTCGGACGAAAAAAGCTCCCCGAATTTTACAAAAATCACTTCTGTTTTGATTACTGGACACAATTTCTATACAATTTGGAGCATGACCCCGGAAACTTCCTAGTGAATGCCCATCAATCTTCAAGCCATAGCACCCAACGGATCATTGCCAAATTGTTTCTTGCCACGAGCCCCCAAAACGACAGCTGACCCATCGAACACATCCTGTCGTTTTCGACAATTTACCGAGCCCCGTATTTCTGCCATAATACCGAAATCCTTGCCCAGTCACCGCATACAATTGAGCATGACCATTTTTTCGGGGATAATTTCGTAAACGGTGGTCGAGAGAAGTGAGGGGTCCGAACTGGGCCATCAATCCCGTGTCCCACCCAAATGGTTGGCTCTTCTCTCGCGTGCTGCCACCTGTTTGGCTTGAAGGGGGGCAAAGATGGGATTTGGGGGTCCGACAAACACCTCTTACGTTGGCGATAGAAAAGTGCTATTTAGTGGGGAGGAGGAAGTCATGTGCTTTGGAGGGAGTTTTGATTGAATTATTTGCATTAGGATATGTAAAAATCGTGAGAGTCAGCTTTAAAGGTCTTTTGAATGCAAATAGCTAATCATAGTTCAAATTTTGCCAACAAAATCTTTAAAACTTTCGTATAATCAACAGAATTAAATTCGGAGACAGAGATAGATAGAGGAGATATTCAAATTTAACGGCATCTAGAATGTATCTATCCCAAAACTGATACTATAATTTTCCAAATACCCTTTTAGATACCTTAATATTTTTAACTCTTACCCAGGCATAATTTCACCTCTCCCATTTACACTCTGATTCCACCATTCAGTCAAACACATTCAATTCATGCCCATCCCTTCCCCCTTCCACTGCCAACTCCCCCTTACGACCATTTCGAAGCTTTTTATGATCCCGAAAAGCAGCTGTAAACTATGGGAATCGTGAGCCTCCAAAGTCCCCGAAAATCCCCCTCCTGTTTACCATCTGCTAATGTTACCCAAAAAACGGCTATTGAAACCAACACCCCCCAAGTAACTACCAACAACTCAAAAATCAGCACCAACCTCCCTGCGGCTTGTTGCAGTGGTGGTTGAGGGCTAAAAATATTGTAAATTTGAGAAATAATTAATACCGGCTAGCAATGGTCCTTGCGTTGATCCATCCTCATCAAGGACTGTGGTGATGACGTCGCTGAAGAAGTCGTACAACTGGAAATAATTTATGACCCGTTGGCATATCGCGTGTTTGGATGGCGCAGGAAGGCGGAGGGGGGATGAGGTGTGGAAATATGTCATTTAGTTTGACGGAAACATCCAGAAATAGGATTGCAGGGAGACCGATGACCTAGATCGGGGAGAGGAGGTTCAAGGGAAGTATCGAATTGTAAAGTCAAACCTGTTTCGTTTGAATGTTTTGGTACCCACTTACTAACTCTTGTAAACCCTACAGGCATGTTAGTAACCTCTGCCGAACAAATTCCTGAAATTTTAGCGCTAAATTTCTCAAAGGTCTACACAAACGCCGGTGTAGACCACTCCTCGACTAGATCCCTCTCTTTAGTTGCACCAAATTCTACTTTTCCAGCCTTTCTGTTAACCCCGATCGATGTAGAAAACGCTTTCAAATTATTGGAGCCAAAACTGCACTGGACGCCTGAGAACCTGCCAGCCTTTTTCCTAAAAAACTGCTCTCAGACACTTTCCAAAATTCTATGCCACTTTTTCAACTTTTCGCTTCTTTCGGGACAGATCCCCGACCAATGGAAAGTATCGCAAATCTTCCCATTGTTCAAATCAGGGGACGAAACCTCGCCCGGAAACTACCGCCCAGTTGCCCTGACCTCCTCCATTTGCAAACTAATGGAAGTAGCTTTAAAAACGAAAATCGTGGCGCGTCTTGAGCTAAATAATTTCTTTTCGCCAGCCCAATTCGGCTTTAGAAAGTTTCATTCCACGACCACGCAGCTTTTGCAAATGTTTCACAAAATCTCTGAGAAAATCGACGCCGACGAGGACCCTATCACGATTTATTTTGATCTAGCCAAAGCTTTTGACAAAGTTTCCCACGCACTTTTAATCACTAAGCTTTCTCATATAGGTTTCCCGCAGATATTGGTTACTTGGATTGAAGCCTATTTGACAAATCGATCTTTCTATGTGAAAATAGGTGATCAAAAGTCAAACGCCCACCCACAACCCTCAGGTGTCCCTCAAGGTAGCGTATTAGGCCCACTACTTTTTCTCATCTATATAAACGATCTTCCTTCCCTTCTAACGAACAGTAGCCTAATTTTTGCTGATGACTTAAAAATTTACGCCGGCGTGCCACGCAACCCCACCCTGGCTGATCCTGCTTTTAGAGCCCTCCAGGCAGATATAAATGCGGTCAAAAGCTGGTGTGTTGAAAATGAAATGTCGCTTTCAACCTCCAAAACTTTTATCCTAACGAACATTCCCTCGGCCCGTTTCCAAGATCTCTACGTAGACAATACCCGGATACCAAGGACAAATGTGATTAAGGACCTAGGGATCACTTACAATCAGAAATTTAACTTTGAATCGCATATCGCCGCTATCCGATTAAAAGCCGCTCGTATATCCTTCCTTCTTATCAAAAGAATTCAAATTCCAAATGCGATCACGTACCGGCGTGCTTTCAGTACTTTAGTTAGGCCGATTTTGGAGTACGCTTCCGAGGTTTGGAACCCAACCAAAAAGCGAAACATCAATGAACTTGAAAGTGTCCAACGTAAATTTACTTTCTTTGCCTATAAGAAATTGTTCCCAAATGAGCCTATACCCTGTTACCCAGATAGACTAAAATTCTTTTCACTTCCCACTCTAGCGCACCGTAGAACAGAAGCAGATTTAGTTACATTTTATAAGTCTTTTTTTGTAGAAACTTTTCCCTTCAAATTTTTGGAATGCACAAATCGTCCGATAAGGAATGCCCATGCTTTTCAAGTGAAGAGAATCCATAGTAAGCAAGGTTTCCCCCCGTTCTTTCTTCTCGCGTAGAGTTGCGAAAACCTGGAATAAGCTCCCGCCTAGGGTCTTCAAAGAAGGTCAATTGGGAAATGCAAAGAGCTTTCGTGTAACTTTAGAAAAAATGGACCTGTCCCAATTTCTGTGATCTTTTCTTCCCTCCCCCGTTTGTTTCCGCATGTTATACAACCTCTGAACCATTGGCACCACACATTGCCCACTCCCCACTCTTATTCAACTACTGAATAAAGTATATATATATAGATCGGGGAGAGGAGGTTCAAGGGAAGTATCGAATTGTAAAGTCAAACCTGTTTCGTTTGAATGTTTTGGTACCCACTTACTAACTCAAGGGGAGCCGTTTTTGGGTTACGTTTGGGTTTTGCGACACGACCTACATAGCTTAATCGATAGAGCTTGTATTTCTGAACCAGCCCGATCTTTAAAAATATTTCTGAGCAAAATGCAATTTCAGTGAAAATTTTCCCATACGGTAATTGCTCAGGAATTATGAAATCGGGACTAGTTAAGGATTTTAAGCTCCCTCGAATAAGCTGGTCACAACCGAAACTCCAATCTCTTCAAAAAGGAGTTCTTTCAGGTCCAAAACTTCTTTATTTTCTCACCTCTCGTGTTCATGTTGGCAAACAAGAATCAATGTACTATCTTTTACCTCACCTTCTCAACAAATATTGTCAGGATGGGCTTTGAAAAAAATTTGGAAGGACTTTGGTTGGTTTTTTAGAAACAATTGCCCAGGGAAAATTGTCCAGGGAAACAATTGCCCTACTTTTTCTAAAAATTACCATACCCAGGTTTTCCTATTCATTTCCCATAGCCGATCTACACTCCATGAACTGTTTAATGGTCCCGGCAATTTGACTGGCCGAGACGACTGGATGGGGGAGGGGAAGTTTAGCCGAAAAGTGCATTTCCGAAGAGGAGAAGATCTCCAGTCGCTAATCCGTCGGCCCCTATAGCAACGGCAGTGAGTGAATATGGCTGGCGGATTTTCGACTCATCCCTTCTCACCAAATATACCCACACACCCACAGACGGACATACAGACACGCAAAAACCTTCCCTCAAATTGTGACCCCCCAGCCACAGATACTAATGAGCCCGATTTTGGAATGCCCAGCAAAGATCTGCCGACGGGTTGAAAAACCATGAATCCATGAAAATGCGCGGAAATTTTCGGCAAAAATAAAGGCCAGTATGCTCCCAAAAACTCACTTTTAATTGATCCTGCTCCCCGGCGTATTCCAATGCAGTAAAAATACTCCACGTCGCCCGTCTTCTCGCCTCCAGCCGAGCCGCACAACGACGATACCATTTTTGAATCAGAATCGCCGACTTTATCGCTAGAAATTATATATTATTGTAATCAGAGGATAGCAAAGGCTGTCACGCTTTAACTCAATTTGTGGGTGTCTGAAAACTTTTTTTGTGAGATCGTCGTTTTTAAAACCCAGGTATTGCCAGTGGGGGGTAATTTTTACAGCACTACACTGGAAATTGGTGTTTGACGGAATGTGGGAGGATGTTCGATGTTTTCTAGGGTTTTGGGTGAAAGGATTGGGTGGAAAGAAAGACGGGAAGGAGGAGGAGGAGGTGCAATTGAAGGGAAATCGGATCGGGTCGACAATCTGATTCGTTCCGGGCCCGTGGAACGACGTCTCTATAGTATTTTGAGGCACTTCAGAAAAAGGAAGATGCTTGCAGTGGACAGAATTTGAATCCGTAAAAAATGAAAACCAATCCATGCAGGAAATACGGCAATGCATCCAATTCATGCGCATTCCATTCCTATAAAAACCTGGTGGCCTCGAAGGAGGCTGAATATCTTCTTGAAATGTTTCAGTAATTTCATATCCAGCCAGTTCATCCTCTCGCTCTTCTTCGTCTTCTTCATCTTCTTCAATCTCTTCCTCACCATCTACCACTTCAACTGGAGAAGAGAAGAAAGATTTTGCAGAGATAGCTTTGACAAGGGGTGGTAATTGATAGGCAGGAGGAGGTGGTGGTACGGTAGGAGATTCTAATGGAGATTCACATGGGGATACAGTAGAGGGGGAGTCGCGTAGAGAAGTTGTCCGTTCCACTGGTCCAACACGGCATCGTCCAGAGCTGGCCTTACTCAGTTGCGGATGAGGTGATGGGGCTCGTCGAGAGGAATGTCGTGTAGATGCCGATTTTTCTTCTTTGCGTGGGGTTGGGTCGATGGGTCGTGGTTTCCGTTCTGAATTTGTCTGGTTAGGGAATAAACGGGTTCAGTTAAAGGGGTTCACCGCAAAAACAAACTAGCACTAGTTTTAGTGAATTAGTTTATTAAATTAACATTACGATTTTGGTTTTACGAGATCTCAACACAAAAGGTTTTGTTTGCTTTTTTGCAGCAACGACATGTTGCTTTTATGCAGTTGAAAGATTATCTTCCCTGACCAACCCGTGTCCCGTTCTGAGCGTCATAAGCCTCTTTTCCCACCACAAAAAAAACCGCAAAAATGATGCAGCTTGTAAATGCAAATCCAGGCTAGCATACCTTCGAAAGCGATCGTTTCATGCCAGAGTTGAGCGATAACGCCCAGCCGACAAAACATGCAAAAAGCATTCAAGAGCAAGCGAAAACACGATTAATTTTGGGGGGTACGTTAAGAGTTTATACCAGGGGGAAGTAGACGAGTCGAATTGATATTAGAAAAAATTCTTCTATAAAAGGAATTGACGCTGAACCTGAGATTCTGACTCAGAAAAACCGTGGGAATGTGATAGGTTGGCTTGAAAGCCAGAGACCAATCCTTTTCTTGAGACACTCACTCAATTCAGTGGAAGATTGGGGCGGAGGTCGACCCGATGACTGTCCACAGCCCATTATAATATCTCAGAACGCTCAGCTGTCGTTAGGTGCGGAATGTAGTGCCCACTTAAAAACTGCCCAATAAACGTTGATAAAAAGATGTGGGGAGTTGTATTGGATGAGGGAGAAGGGGTGGGTGATTCCCGTTTGGCCACCACCAGCCTGAGACCCAGTGAATGGGGCGGGGCTGGGTGAGGCGTTGCCCAAAACCCCACCGGGCCTCCTCGCCTCCTCCTTCTCCTCCTGGATCATCACAGCTGATGCCATCCACCCGCAAATCCCTCAAAACAGCCACCCCTCTTGCTCCCACCCTCGAAATCTCCCATTTTTTACGGATCTATCGGCGGTAAGGGGCGATCAGAGCGGGGAAACTCGATCTGCCGTCTTTCTCCGACAGGGGTGGAACGCGGCTACAAAAACTCGACACAGCGTTGCAAATTAGAGGTGTCAAAGAACGGTAGATCAAATGAGAGTGGCAATTGATGCCTTCTGGAAATATATGGCCATTGGTGGTTTCATTCCTAAATAAATTAGGATTTAAAAATAGTTTTCCGGCCCTGGACCCGTGTGGGCCGATCATAACTGACAATTTGCATATAGCTCCACTTGACAAAAAGGAAAAGCAGCCCCTCAGCTGATTTTATACGGCATACCCCAAATCCGACAAATGTTTATATTTCCTAACAAATAGGGTTAGCCGAGAGAGAGAGAGAGAGAGAGAGAGAGAGAGAGAGAGAGAGAGAGAGAGAGAGAGAAAGAGAGAGAGTGAGTGAACAAGCAGTCATCTAGAGGCCATTTCGCACCTAATGGCGTATTACGAATACTCTTTAACTTTCCCCTGAGCCTCTATGAGTGAAGTCCGGTCTCGGAAAGTGCATGAAAATTTTCACACACGTTTTTTTATAAATTAAATGCATCCATAAATATACGACAAGCCGTGATAAAGCAGGGTATTTAAGAAAGCTCATTTACAGTGGCGGAAGCGGTAATCCTGAATGGAATTGAATAGTATTAAACAGAATTGAGGGCGCTATTCTTCGTCCTTGCTAATTACCTCCGTAATTGGACGTTACGACTTCTTGAATTTTATTCCAGCAGTTGTAGAGAGAAGAGAAGACGACCAAACAATAACAAATTGTTATGTCTCCGTTGCCAAAGAATTTCCAAAGAATACGAAAAATTTTTAGCCGACGTTATTTCACGAATTAGGTTGAATTTCACGGCGTCTTCGCTAACCGCTGCGAATTTTCCTTGGATTCATGACAAATTCTTGAAACCGCTTGCTCCAAAACACTGCTTTTTCGGAGTCGCAAAACCTCTCAAAAAGAATGCATACCCGAGGGTCGAGCATGCACACACAGGAAAAACTCGTTCTCCAGTGCAAGGTCAGCGCGTGGAGAAAGACGTCGAGAATCGATCTAGCACCTTGATCAGTGCCTTTCTCCAATATTCCCCTAAGTTTTCTAGATTTCTATTTCCTATGCATAAAAACTTGAAACAAAGATGCCGTCTACCCATATAGATCATCACCACCCTATCGGACAACACAATAATGAGGCAAGCCAATTATCACCTTAAAAAAGCTATCCCAGAGGACCTTTTATCTATTTTTATAAATCCTACTATATATAAAAAAATAGTGTCTGTGTGTGTGTGTGTGCCACTTTGCATGCAACTTCCGTCACCATGTCCAGAGGATATCTCAAGAGGGGAAAGGTCGTAGGCTACGTATGATACGTCATTAGGTGCGTAATGGCTCTGGGATGACTGCACGCTTATCAGATTTTACAAAATCAGCTGTTGTCGACATTAAATTACAGTTTTTGTAAACATTTCGGGAATCCTCTTTGTTAGGAAACAATTAACATACACCGGAAGTGGCGGTAGCCTATAAAAATGGTCAGGCAGGGCGCTTTTCTTTTTCTGTGAGCGGAATTGATGACATGCAAAGTGAAGCATATCATGGGACCAGACGGGGCCAGGGTTGAAAAGTCGCGAAGCGGCTTTCCAACCCTGGTCCTAACCTAAAATAAAAAATTGCGATTAACTGACTGATGACTTCCGTCTGATTCAGAGAAGCCATAGAACTACGCGAGAGAAAAAGCTCGATATTGGGGACTGCAAAAATAGACTGCAATTTACAGGTGAAGGGAGGCGATGAGAAGTTATTTGTTGACCATTGCTCCGTTTCCTATATGACACCATGGGCTACTGTATTTGCCATGGCAGCGCTTTATGCATTGGCTTTATTATGGTTTTGCAAGCGTAAGTTAAGAAAGTTATTAAAACTTGTTAGCCCCTGAATGTTTATGCAAAAACCGCATGTCTCGAATTTTTTTGTAATCTTAGAACCCCCTTTGAACCAACCAGGCGTTATTCTGTGAATAGAACAAGGACGTCAGTGGTGATGCTGCAGTGAATGGGCTCAATCCGGGGATATTTTCATCTTTTCTATGGGCTAGCGAGTATTTAATATACGGGTTGTTTCACCAGAATACAATTAAATCAAAGAGATCACTGAGGTAGAAGGGATTACGGTAAATCCACATGTTTTACTGCTTTTGTATTTTTATGGGTTCTCGGAAATCAAATATTATTTTCTTTGAATGGTAAAAAAGTAAATTTAAAGCTACATTATTCGTTTCAGATGGAAAGAAAATGTGCCTCCCAGCCCCAGATACACTATATCCCTATATGAAACGTTTAAAAGCAATGAAAAGAGGTACTGTAAGGATGAAAACATTAAGTTTCCATCAGAGCTTGGCAAATTTCTGGTGGACGACGTTTTTATCGAGCTGACCGACGATAAGCTTGGCCAAGGAGCGGTTGGTTTTGTTTTTAAAGGTACGGAGGTTTTGGTGCAATGTAACTAGAATTTTTTAGGCTTTGTGTACCCAAGGACGCAAAATCGATATAAGCAAAAGATGTCAGCCGCTATAAAGGTGAGCATAAATTCTTTTTTAACTTTGAATTTTTAGATGAGCTATCCAATTCCGCAAAAATCGATGGGATTATTGGAAGAAGCTTGTCGAATGTCAAAATTAGGTGAGTTCCCTCATTTTCTCTAGCGACTTAATGGCATCAAACCTTTTGGAAAGTTAAGTATTATATTTTTCGTGACGAACTGTAGTCAGAACACGAACATATCGTCCGTCTTCTTGCTGTATCGAAGCTATCCTTCACGGCATTCCGGCCTTTGATCGTGATGGAATGGCTTCCGGGCGGATCGTTGGCTGAATATTTTCGAGAAGAGATCCGGGTATGCATTCTAAAGATAGCCCGCATCCCAATTTAGATGAAAGAAGACCACGAACGGCCGCCAATTTTTGTGAGGAGTGTGATCTCTGTATTGGCGCAGGTAGAGGATCTTATTCTTATTCTAGACCTTGTTCTTACAATTTAACCTTCTAGGTTGGTGCTGCATTAAAATACCTTCATGACAGTCGTGACGAGCGGGGGCAAGAACTTACCCACGGAGACGTTGCCGCAAGAAATGTCCTATTGACTAGTCGTCATTTAGAAACGTGAGCCGATGCTCCATTTTGGGTAATAATGTAAAAATTATGTCTCCAGTTGCGTGGCGAAACTCGGTGACTTTGGGTTGCCTGTCGATTTTGGGCCCAGACTTCCCGTTCCGTGGCTCCCCCCGGAAATTGTCTGCGCTCTAGATAAAAACCCAGCTCATCGGACGGAAAGTGATGTTTGGTAAGTTGGACTTGTGGACTTTAAAAATTTTGTGAGTTCAGGATGTTCGGGGTGCTTGCATGGGAATGTGTGACGCTAGGCGCAGAGCCACATTATCAGAGGACAATACGCGAAATTCAGGTCTGGATTTATCAAAATGTAATTTCCCCATTTTAGGCATGTTATCGTCAACCTGATAGAGGTCTTGTCTATCCTCCAGCATGCCCCGCACAGTTGTAAGTATAATGACCTTAAACCATATCTAAAAATTCACCATTTCAGATGGTCCTTAATCCTTGAATGCCTCTCCGAACAGCACCGTAGACCTCGATTCCTTGGCCCCGTTGATGGGCCCGCTTCCGCATTATACAAATTGCGCCAACTTCGCCAAAGTTTTGCCACATCTACGCATTGTCTGGGTAATTTATGAATAGATGTTAATGATGGTGTTTTCCAGAATTTGTGGCAAATGAGGGCCATTGCACTTGTGCCCAGCATCGTTGCCATGTGCCCTTGCCATCGTTTTCGAGAACTGGATAAATTTATTAGGATTTATCGTCATTAGTGGAGTACATATGCATCCAAAAAGATAGTAAAAAATACACAAAAAGTAGATCTATACACTCATCGATTTACATAAACAAAAATCGCTCTTTTCTTATTCTACTGTACGTGGGTAATTATATTCAACAAAAATAACAAAAATAACCATTCGTTTTTACATTTTAATTGGCAAGTTATATCGAATATCTTAATGGTCATTTCCCCCTTCCTCTGCCCCCTCTTGCTAGCTCTTTGTGTAAAATGCCCTCCGGCCTTCCTTCTTCTTGTGTGTAGCTTTGCTCACCCCCCATTCCTTTCCTTCCCATTGCATATACCCTTTGACCTATTTTACTGATTTTCTCTACCAGCCTTGCTGTGATAACCGCCAAATGCCGTCCAAGAAAAGTATTCAAGCTTCTAATCATTGTTTTACTGCGATTTATAGACAGAAAAACCGGTCCCAAATGTACGCAAGCAGGCCCGGCAAAGAAGGAGTGTGTTGGTGAGTTTGTATCAGATGCCACTCTTTGCGATTTTTCAACTTACTTTCTGTCAAAGATTAAAACTAACATTTAAGAACAACCTCCGACCGTGCAAGCCGAACCAAAAACAAGTCTTGAACGGCTACGAGAAAATGACGATGAGGTCAATAAATATTAAACGAAAATCTCGGATAATTTTTAGGTAATCAGACGGGTGCGGGATATGAAAAATTTACTATTTCCAAATATGCCAAATGCAGAGCCGACAATATCAACTGGTGGGCTAGCATCCAGCATCAGTTTGTACGAATCGCATTTTTTTCATTTGGAACCTATCGGGTTAAGCAGATCGATTTTTAGGCTCCAACTCACTGCAGAATTCTCAAAAATTAAATCGAACCCCGAAGCTGTTGAGAGAAGCTGAACCGTGTATTCAAGAATTAGCGGAGGCTTTTCGAGACTTAGCTGATGGGTTGGTTTCAATTTTTTTGGTTTGTTAAATCATATTTTTAGGGTAGAGTCGATGCGCGGGCAAGAGCAAGATCTCACTGCACAAGAGAAGCCCGGCTCTTAAAAAATAAATAAATAATTGAAAGCAATGGACCTTAAAACGGGTAACAAAAAAAAAGACAACTCTCTAAATATCGGCAAAAATAGGAGCTAAACATCTACTTTAGCCGGGAAACGCCCAGTTTATCGTGACAATTCCCCAGAACCTGTATTAATCCGTTATTAGCCATACCCTTGCTCCTTATCTAACCTTTCCCAAATGCAAACGCGAACAACGTGACCTGCAGTGATATGCGCATACAACGGCGTGTCCAAATTGCCAGCAGAAATTTGGTCAAGTATCACTCGTTGAAGCCAAGAATACAGATGGCTGGGTATCGAACGTTTATGTTATCAGATGACCCTCTCCACCCGCGAACATAAACATTGCTGTTGCCCGTGAAAATTAGTCCGGCATTTTTTCCGAATACTATCAATATTGCCTTCTAGTTTTTCTTTTATGAAAAATAATGAAATAACACTGTTAAATTTTTCATGAACAATTTTTAGGTCAAATCCCGTTAATGACTCAATTACTGTATTTTAAACGTATTTTAAACGCTAGTCCTGTTTTCCGAAATTTATCTGGGCTGATTTCAATTTTAATACGACGGCTGTGCATCAAAATTTTATTAAAAATGCAATAACCCCGCTGTCGAGTCAGAAACATTTTTTTTAATCCCAAACCTCAACTTTTCTCAACCTAGGGCGAGAAAATAAATAAAATCATCCAAAATAATCAATTGAAATCAATGCGCATGGCGAAATCAGCTGATTATATTTCTATGTTTTTATCTTATATTTTTCTCACAATTTACAATTTTAGCTATTCAAAACAGCGGTAATAATTCGCCTTATGAGACTGGGGAGACCATGCAGCTAATCAGATTTCAGATTTCAATTCGCAAAGTGTCGGCAACTAAAAACCCGCCAAACTCCATGTTAAAAACCAATTCAATAAAAAAAATGCTTTCTTGGGCACAAAACGTGCTTGCAGCTTGCATAATGAAGCTTGCGAAAACCACTAATAGCAAGCCCCGCCCCCCAGTTTCCATCGCGATCAGGCCCACCTCTTCCCCCCTTTGGTCTCCCCTCCCAACGCTAACGATTTTGTGAAATTCTTTCTTATTTTCTGAAAAGCGGAAGGAAGACGCTTTTGTGATCTGATAGTGAGGGCGAATATTTGTGGGTATGCGGGTCAAAACCCGCCAACGACTCACCCCTTTTGTGCATTATCCATATGTTCTGGTAAGTAGAACATAACTTTTTTTGGGGTTTGTAAAGTATCCCGTTTGGAAAAAGCTTTACTAATTGTCAGCTTTGGCCAGTTGGAAAATGCCTGTTTTTTCAAATGCCTCTTTTTTCAAATGACTGTTTTGCACTTAAATGCCTCTTTGTTGATTAATTTTAAGCTACAGAAAGTTCCATAATCCAAAAAATCTATTTATAGATAAAATAATCGATTTTTTGCAACGTTCGCACCCCATCTCAATCGTATATAACACTGATTCATGTGTCCCTACATAACACGTGGGAAATGAACCCCTAGAATCGGGTTCCAATAAATCGACTACACATCGTTTACAACAACACCTACAATAGACCCCCCATCATCCCCATTTTTTGCTCCCTTTCACTCCCCATCCAGCTGGAATCCGGAACCAAAAATCCTCAAAAAACCCCACCAAAGTTTAATGCCAGAAATTTTGCAGTGGCGTCGAATGCAAGGGTGGCCAGGGCTGGCGCTTATCGCTTTTCTCCTCTTCCTCTACGTTACAGGTGAGCCACACTTTTTGCTGACCATTTAATCGGATTTGCAACCAGTCGGGGAGGAAAAGGCAAATAACGGCCACCAATTAGTGCGTACTGCCCACCCTCGCCTGTTCGAGCGCATGAAAATTTGGGCTATCGCTTTTATGAGCGGTCCAGATTTTTGGTGAGCTTTGTTACGGGCCGTTAAGCTGAGCTGCTAGTGATATTTTGGATAGTTATAGAATGTGTAACTTTAAAATATAACATTTTTCAAACAAACAAAATCCTCTGAAATTTCGTTTTGGTAACGGATTTTTAGCAAGACCAACACGGCCCCCTCTTTCCAGCTGATCACACAAAAATGGAGTGAATGAAAAGAGAGAGAGAGAGAGAGAGAGAGAGAGAGAGATGGTCAACGCGATTTCCATACTAGCCTGTGCTCTCATGCTATTTGGGAAAATGAAGCGAAAAATGAACACACACGATTATAGCGGGACCTGGCGGAGGGACCACAGATGCTGTGGCGGCAGACCCTGAAGCTGGTGTCATCGACCTAAACGGAGAATGGAATTTCGTATCACAAAATGGATCTATTAAAGGGACAGGCAATGTTCCAGGTGGGAAACTGACGCCTTTAAATTAGTAAAAGCATTCTAGGCGACATCTTCGTTGATCTCCAAAATGCCAAAGTAATTGATGATCCGCTTTTTGGATTTAACGATGTAAATACACGATGGGCATCAAAGACCCAATGGAATTATACGAGAACTTTTGACTTGACCTCTGTCCCTGTAAGTGTCAGTCGAAATAATTAGTTAAAGTCCTCTCTAGGACCGAGCTATTCTCGAATTTGATGGTCTCGATACAATCGCAACTGTTTTTGTGAATGGCCAAAAAGTACTGTACGCCGACAATCAATTTGTACAATTTCGGGTCGATGTGGCAAAAAATGTAAAGCAAGGTAGGGACCCAGAAATTACCAAACAATTTTAACGATTTTTAGGGTCGAATGACCTTGTAATAGTATTTGATTCCCCGGTTTTGGTCGCAGAAGCCCAAGCTAATCAATTCAAGGTTTGTAAATTCACCAAAATACGAAAAAGTTTTAGGCAAACTATTCTCATGTAATTTGGCCGGAATGCCCTCCAGATATGTACCATGGGGAATGTCATGCAAATATGATACGGTATGATAGTCCGAATTACCTCAATGTTTTTTTTAGAAAAATCCAAGCGTCGTTCAGCTGGGATTGGGGACCGGCTTTTCCGACAGTCGGTGTTTGGAGGCCTGCAAGATTGATTGTCACGAATTCGCCAAGAATTTCCTCGCTCGAGGCTACTGTAGATTGGATTAATGGTTGGTTTCTAGTGTTTAAAGAGATTTTTTCTGATTTCAAGCAAGTTCAGAGATTCGGAACTTTTTAATTTAGACAAATTCGTGGTGAAGGTTGATGTGCGTGTGGATAATGCAGTGGCTGGAACCCGAGTGGCTGTGCAACTTGGCTTGAATCAGCCAGTCGCCAAAGCTGCCGATGCTTCAACTGGAGTGGTAGACTATTTGAATATGCATTAATATTCAATCTATTTATTCTTCCACGTTACATATATTTTAGGCCCATGCCGAATTCCCAGTCGAAAAGACCTCGGTTGAATTATGGTGGCCGAATGGACACGGCAATCAAGTGCTCTACAACCTTACTGCAAGCATCCCAGGTATTCAACATCTACTCATCGAGATTTCGATTTTTAGGTGCTGCAAAGAAAACCGTCAAAGTCGGATTCCGCAAGGTGGAACTTATTCAAGATTTTGTCAACGATCAGAAGCCAGAATGGGGACGTCACTTTTACTTTAAAGTGAATGACATTCCGATTTTCCTGAAAGGTCTGATTCTTTCTTTTACTAGATTGAAATTTCTCTTTATCAGGTTCAAACTGGATCCCAGTCGCAACATTCCCAGCTCAAGAATCGAATAATCGGCGATACAAATTCTTGATGTTGTCTTCAAAGGAAGCCGGTAAGCCAAGAGAAATTTATACATTTTATTATATCATTTAGGCATTAACGCGATGCGAGTCTGGGGTGGTGGGCGTTATGAAGAGGATATCTTCTACGAGTAGGGGGAGGTTATTAAAGTCAGAAGTTTTTAGTCTTGCTGACGAATACGGTATTCTGATCTGGGAGGATTTGATGTTTGCTTGTTCGCTCTATCCAGCGTATCCGGATTATCTCGAATCCGTCAAGAAGGAATTGACGTACAATGTCCGTTTTTAACCGCTTCAGAGAACCGGCCCATTCAGGTCAACCGCCTGAAACACCATCCATCGATGTTACTTTGGGCCGGAAATAATGAGAACGAGCTGGGATTGCATGATGGCTGGTTTTCTGGGGCATCTCGGGGTAGGTATGATAGAAAATGTGCATTTGTTTAAGACCTAAATACATACAATTATTCAGACGTGATGAAAGCCGAATATTTGAAGTTGTATAAGGAAACGGCTGAGACCCTGATCACCCAGCTCGATCCGGGCAGACCTTATGTAATGTCGAGCCCAAGTGAGGGGATTAAAGGAATACAGTAAGTTTTTTTTAAGACTTTGTATACTTATTTTTGCTGTTAACTTGAAATTGGATCTTATCAATCAATTTTATGAAAGTGACGACCATTTTTTACCTTTCAGAGAAGGCGGAATCTCGAGCAATCCAAACTCTGAAAACTTCGGAGATATTCATTTCTACAACGAATTCACGAATTTATGGCTCGATGCTAATTACAGGTAGAAAAACGTTATTGTTATTGATTTATTTTTCAGAACACCTCGCTGTGCCACGGAATATGGAGTTCAAAGTTTCCCAAGCACGTAAGGAAGAGCAAATTACAAAGTGTATGCAAAAATTAGGTACACGTTGAGTCGCGCAATGCCGGAAGGCGAAATGAAATATACTGGGCAACATATTATGCACCGTCAGCATCATCCTGGGGGGACCGAAAACCAGTTGGCCATGATTTTCTCGCATTTTCCGGTAGGCTATACTGAACCCTTTAATTAACCTATAAATATTCTAGATACCTAAGCAATGCCAAAATCAAACTCTGAAAATTCGTGACGTCAAGACTTGCCCCTATGCGCAGTCGCAGCCATTTATGGATAGATTTAACTTTTATTCTCAGTCACATCAATCTATCGCTTACAAAGTGCAGACTGAGCACTATCGAAGGTATTCTTACTAAGATGCAATAATTTGTATATTTTTTTAATTTAGAATGATGGGCCAAATCGCCGGCGATGGCAAAGGTAATACCATGTGTGCTCTCTACTGGCAACTAAACGACATCTGGGCCGCACCAACCTGGGCTTCTATTGACACAAACTTGCGGTATTGATTTGTAACAATTGCCTCTACGCCAGCCCAGGTGGAAAATGGTACACTATGAAGTGCGACGCTTCTTCCAACCCGTCCACGTGATCATTGTAAGTGTAGCTTACATTTTGTTGTGTAATATTCTTATATAGTACATGAATGGCGATCTACTCCAAGCTGCCATTGTCAACGACGAGCATGAGGATCAAGCGGGAACCGTCGAGATACAAATGCTCGCCTGGGACTCGAACTTTGAAGTAATTTTCGCAAAACCGGCGAAAATTTATTTTGAAGCTTTTTAGCCTGTGTACGCATGGAGTCAAAACACTACTGTTGCTAAAGGAAAGAGTATGGCGCTTACCCTAAACGGAAAATTGTAAGCTTCTTCAAAAACGTTAGATCGCACCACTTCAGGAGCCAACCCCAGGCTAATGTCATCGATTATGTGTTTGTGGCCCGTTGGAAACAGGGCGGCAATACTGTCGGATATGATAGTGTCGTCATTCCGAACGAATTATTCAAGGTGCTTCATGGGTTTTAGATCTAAACTTATTCATGCAATTAACAGATCGAGCTGACACGTTATGGGACCGTACGGATCGCCTCGGTTTCATCAGATTCGAATGACAACACTCGATACAAAATTTCCTTGGAGGCATCAGGGATTTCACCGCTAACCTGGATAACAGTCAATAAGGATTTCCTTGGATGGTTCTCAGATAATGCTTTCACTATGACGGAGAAAAAGAAGGAGGTAGGTCCAGTACACAGAGCCTGAAACCCGCGACCGCTTTAGATTACCCTGACTCTAGTTGAGCCGTTGGAACTCTCGTCGGCCGACTTTTCTGTGTGCAGTTTGGCTAACTGTGGTATCGATGTGCCCTTTAATTGATTCGTGCGGGTTGAATTTCGGGAATAAATTATCACGCGTCAAGTTGGGTGAAAATTTATTTATTGAAACAATATTTATCAGTCAACAATAACGTTTCTAGCGCAAACTAAAACACGCACACTAGGCACCTAACGCTTCGGAAAAAGCAAAAAAAATCTGAGCCACCGGCTTCTTCCAAGCAGCTAGTAGGCACCTAAGCGTCGTATCCTACAAAGAACTAACAATAACTACCCTATATTGAGTAAACCCCAACGCGGGCAAGAGCGCCGCCGCGCATTGGGGAAGTGGAAGCGGTGCGTTAAAGGCTCAGAAACAATTGATATCAACAGAAAAATCATCAGAGTCCACCTAGATTCACGGGCAGAGGAACAGCGAACAAAAATGGCCGTCTCGAGAGGAGCCTCTTTAGAAAAATCTTTTTCACAGAGGCTCCTATCGAGGACGAGTCCAGGTTTTTCGATCTCCGAACATGGCTTCTGTGTGCCTTCGGAACCAATAATTGCTAAAAATATCCATCATGGCCGGCCGGTGCCCAATTCAATCAAAAAAATTCGAAATTAGCAGATCTGGACCCTTGCGATTGAACTGAGCACCACCCGTTGAGAACAAATTGAGAGCCAGCCAGCCCATCTTTGGACACCACGAGAGTGGGACCAAAAATGTGAAGCACATAATGGGACCACTGATCACACCAAAAAAAAGCAATTGGCATAAAACTTTAAAGGTTATTCTAGTTTATTTGAAAAAAAATTTCTAGAAATGAGGAAGCGGGCAGGGGTGCAAAACATACAAAACACGCGACGAGAAATAATTGGGGCGGCGATCCGTGTTCGAGGTTATAAGGCAACAAATGACGAAACATAAAGCACCATGTAAACGATGAGTTAGTTCAAGTTGAGCAATGTCAATGATGGTAAGGCAGACAAGAGGTGCTTTCAGGGTCGGCAAAGTCAATGTCTTACTCAAGGGGACACGCTAGCTTAAAACGATGTTTGAAATCTTCATGAACTAGTATGATCTTTTTCAAAAGTGAAAAATGTCCGAAAACGCCAGCCCTACCGCGTAATGTTTCGTAGTTAAGTCACATACCCCTTGAAAAAACAATAGGCAAAACAACGAAAATGACTAACAACGAAAAACAACAAAACAAAGTTAACGTGTGAAACTAATGATCTAGTCTAAGGCTTCGTCCTTGTACGCAGCTGGCGGGAGGCCCTCCATGAAGGTGAGCGGGACGGAGGCGATGCCGTTGATCGAGCTCACAGTATCAAGGATACTGCGGTAGTTGCCCTCCATAGTCTGAATCAGAAGCATTTTCTTGAGCACAAAAATATCGTACCTCTGGAGGCTGCAGTGGGCGGATCTTGGGCACGTCGAGACCATTAGCCACATCATTCATCTGCTTCTGAAGACGGACGGCCTGCGTGGCAAGCACCTTGAGGTACTCGGTGCATTCAACTGCATGCTTGCTCTCTTCACCGAAAACGTCGCTGAAAAGTCTAAGCTATGAAACGCAGAAATAGGACAAGAAATAGGACCAACGCATAAGGCCAAAACAAAGCCCAAAACAGCGGCCAAAGACAACTACTTACGCATAGAACTGGTATGCCTTCTTCTCGTATTTCAGCGCTTCACGGAAATTTCCAAACTGAACCTGGGTGCGGGCGAACATATGATTCACGAGTGCCGTCTAAAATTCCCGATCACAAGCTGATTCAATCGCCCTCACCTTCTGAGACTTGCAAGGCACATACGGATTATCCAATGCAGACTGAAGATAGCGGGCTGCCAAATCGTATTCTTGGCTAGCGTATAAGTAGCAAGCGATCGTAGCCTAGGAGGGATAATTAGATGTATAAAAACAGGTACATTGATCTGGAACATCATGGGATGAGTGTCACCATAGGCGATCAACAACAAGTAGCGAGCCCGATAGATCAGCTTGCCAGCAGCCGGAACATTGAAAAGCGCAAATGCGAAAATCGAAAGTTGGACCTGAAAAAAACGGGGTTTTTTTTTAGTTAATCAGCGGAAAAAATTCGTTGACCCAAAAAAACTAACATATTCCGCAATGTTCTCGGCACTATCGACGCCATTGCAGCGCTCGTTGATGAGGAGAGCCTTATACTGCTGTTGGAAAGCCTCCGGGAAGTCGCCGTGATAGTAAGTGAGCACAGCCAAAACCCTTAGGGCCTGCACCAGCTGGGGATGAATGCTGCCGTAGACGCTGTTCATGACGGATACAGCCTCCTGAGCTGCGAATAGGGCCAGTGAAAGGTTGGACTTCTGCATCTCGGCCTTGGCGCGGTACAAGAGATTTGAGCCTTCCTCTGCAAAAAAATGGTAACCCGGCTTCTGGAAAAGGCCTACGGGCTAGCGGATTCTTATGGCGGAACACCGGGAACAGTCCAAGGATATCCTCTTCATTGAAGGGCGTCGGCTTCTTATCCAGTTTATAGTCCTATTAATTAATTTAAAAGCTATCGAGAAAGACGGTACCTTGGCGCAGATTTGAATACCCATCGTGCGGCAAACACGACGAAGAACAGCCACCTTCTGGATACGATATTTGGCCAGCCAAGCCTCGACCGAATCACAATCGCGATCCATCACGAAACCATAATAAATTTCCATCTGAAAATTAAAAGATAAACTCGGTCAGAAATCCTATGACGAATATATTCTGCATGCGCGCAATAAGCCAAATTACGCCGCCCTCAGAGACACTCGATAACTTACATCGGCAACTATTGAAGCCCAAAGAGCCTTCGTGGTAAGCTCCGACCAAGAAGGACGGCGGACTTGCGCAGCCTTTTTCTAAAGAAGGGATAATCTTTGGAGCGCAGTAATTACCTTCTTGCTCACTTTCTCCTCGGCCGCCTGTGTACCAAAGAGGCAATTGAGGAACAAAGCGATGCCGGCAGAGAACTCCATCTTCGGCAGCTCCTGGAAAAACAGCATAACACGCACGGCTAACTGGCAGTGTTTTAAGTGTTCCCAATGTGTTCATCAGGCTTCGTACTCTAATCTCTAACTCTCATAAAATCCTTGCCTGGAGGAACTTTCGCATCACGTGCTTCACAGAACGGCAAAGCAATTCAGAGCCCATGATTGGCACGACATAGGTGAAGTCCGTTACCTAAACAAATGTCTTGCTTACTAAAATATCAAATGCATACCAACGACAGCATGTAACCCAAGTAGCGAACATTGATGCCAGCGTTATGCATCCTCTCAACCAACTCTTGACCATCAATGCAAGCGGAGTATATGTCGGTGAAAGAGCGAACAAAGGTCGGAATCTTCTGCTCAACGAGGAATGCTGAAAAAAATGCCCGTAAAACAAAAAATTTACGGAAGTACATGTACTTGAACAATTCTAGCGAACGTGTTCGATAAAACAAACCGGCAACGTCAATAACAAGCTGTTGTTGTTTCTTCAGCTCGTCTTGGTCCGCGTGCTGAATAACAGGTGCGAAGCAGTCTGGGTTGAATCTGAGCTCCAGCTTCGTCGGATCAAGTGACCTCAGCTCCTTCGCAGCCTGAAAAAGACCTTAACCGACAGATAGCAAGAAATACCATTGTGATGCATTCCATCACCACCTTCGGATCATCACGTTCAGCGAGTTTCACAAGCCGCACTGCACCAACGGTACGTGGAATAAGATGCCAGTCTCCGATTTTCTAAACACAAAACAGAAAATGGTCTGATTTCCAAAAGTCTCCGATGAGTCGGTTGCGGCCAGGTCCCTAACCAGAAACGAACCTTCTCATCCTCAGCGAATTTGTCTAGCGCTTGTTGCAATTCCGCCGAAGTCACAGCCATCTTCATGGCGTCGCGCTTCTTATAGTAATGGGCTGCGGTCTTTCGGTAGAAAAGCAGCTGCGCGTCCCTGAAATTAAAAGGTTTTTATCAAATTATACCAATCGCCAAGCCATCCACATCAAGAAAAAACTTACTCGATGTAATGCTCCAAAATCTCAGGACGGAGGTTGGTGATCTTGTGGCAAAAAGTGCGTGGGTAACCCAATTTCTTCACCGATTCCGACAGCTCAGCCCCTTCCAGATAATTAGCATCCGGGGGCAAGGTGCGAAGCAGATCCAGGAGGTATTTGCGACCATCATTTCCGATAATGCCCTACAAAACTTATGATAGAGGTAGCAGAACAAAAGACCTTGTTCTCAAAAGATGAGTAGAATTCGATAATTTTCTCTTTTCCTTCCGCATCCTTTGTAACAAGCTTGTGGGGCTGAAGATGAAGGGCCTCGGCAATCGGCTTCAGAAGCTCGTCGTATTCAGCGTTGCCCAAAATCGTCTTTCCGAAGTCGGATGAACCATAGATCACAGATTGGTCCTAAAAGTGGAGTGAGGTCAGTGGGTGCTTTGCAATAACCTGATCACGATCGAGAATTCCTGGGATGACACTCTGAGCCGCGATCCTGGTTCCTCTGTAGTCAACAACGGCCATGCCGAGGGTATGTAGTTTAGGAACGTTAATGTTAGCGTAGAGTCGCACGTTCTAAAGTAAAGCTTTGCTGAAAGTAAATCCGAATTTACGGCCAAATCAGCAGCACTGGCAACATGCGCTGCAGCATCGCCGCCGAAATCTTTGTAGTGATCCTTGACGTCAAAGCCGAGTGAATAGAAGATATCATTCCAGATGTACATATGAGATCGGTCTTCCTCTCCCGGGTTCAGTGGCAAAACGTTTCCATCAAGGATGTTCACGGCGCCCTAAAAGCAGAAATTTCCTATTCAACTTCCTAGTAAATTACAACATCAATCAATAATGCAGTAGTTTGAAACTAGTCAGAATAGGAAAAAGGTACCCGAACACAAGCATACACAAAGTCAGCATGGATCTTGTAAACAGAGCGATCCCGCATCAATCGGGCCGCTGCAGTATCTTGCGGCATTTCAACGGTGGCTTGGAGCTCTTCATTCCAGTTCCTCAGCTGACCAGGCAGAGAGTCTTCAAATCCCAGCCGCTGCGGCTGAGAAGCCTCTTCGGCACTAAAAATTCCAATCAATATATCGACAAAAGTCTGATAATTAGGCAATGTCAGTATCATGGAAAAATTACCAGATACTGTCGGGAATCGGCGTCAGCGGATGCGGGACGCACCAGGCGGTCACCGGATAGGGGGCAGGGAGACGTTCGAGAAGATTTTTGTCGGAACGTTGCTTGAGAATATTGGCATACGCCTTGCGGAAACCAGGGGAGGCCTGGTTGAGAAGTTCGACCAGTCTAAAAAATATGTAATTACCGTAAAAATTCCTTTACGTTCGATGAGTGGTCTCCTTCGGGCCGGGAGCATGAATCGGCTTGAACAAATCCTCAGTGCTCGCATTAATGTAGAAGCCCTCCAGACACGCGGTAACATAAAGGCGACGCTTTTCCACCGTATCAATGTCGAGGTAGAGGACGTCTCCCTAGAAACGTGAGACGTTATCGATTAAAACACAAAAAACAAGTAGCCATTAAGGTGGTCAGGAAGTCATGATTGCAAATGATGGCAAATGCCGTCAACAGGCATTTTCGACTCCGCCTTCCACCCCATTTAATGCGAAAAAGTCTAAATCACCTTCAATTTCCTGGAACCGATTGGCGGGTTATATGGTGAAAGCGCAATATTCGACACCGCCGAAAGAGTCTTGCCCATCAGTCCCATGTAAGGGAAAAGCGAATCGAGAGGAGGCTCCTGAAACAAAGTTAGCCTCGTCCAAAAGGAAAACGCTACCTTCGGGCCTGGCAGAAGAAAATCCGGAGGGCGATTGATCACGTCCTTAGCGCGCTCTGAGAAGAGCTGAAGCGTCTGCACATACGATGGCGACTGGCCTTCTTGCGAGTGGTAAGCCTAATTTTTGTTTTCGCCAACCATGAAAATTCTTACGTCATAATTGAACCGGCCACTACCGCATCGAAGAATGTCCCTGATGTGGTTGAGGTGGATTTTGACTTCACGCACGGAGTAATTCTCTGACAAAAAAAACACTGCTAAGACTCAAAGGTTGCGTACCGGGCACAATAGAGACCTTCATGCTTGTAACACCCGGCGCAACACTACCAAGCTCGGAGAAGGCATCCACCCGCTTCGAGCCACCATTTTCATCTTCTAGGTACATCCTAAATTTCCGTATTAATCCAGAAGGTAGCGAACCCGAAGCAAGTACGATGACAGGTACTGTCTCTTTCCAGAAGCACTTGAACGATCTCATTAAACAGTTCGCCGGATTTCAGCTAAATCAACAATCAAGTATGAAATCAAAAGCAACCTGTAGATCAAATGTATCGTTGTTGACCGAAACCACTTTCACCGCAACATTATCATTCATGTTAGAATCGGATGAGGAGAGAGTAGAATCTGAAATGAGAGTCAGCGGCAGAAAGTACAAATTATACCCGTAGCGATGTCTTTTGACGCCTCGGTTGGTTTCGCCGCACCCTAAAAAAGATCATATGATCCTTCAAAATGTATACCTCGGCATCACCGTTGATCTTCGGCGATTCATCCGTGGCCTCTTCAGCCATCCTTGGCAGCAAGCTCTAGGAAAAAAAAGATCATCAAAAGGCCGCCGGAACTCAAATCACAAGTAAGAAAAACTGCAGAGAAAGCCAAGCCGCGAAACTAAAAGAAGATGTCAAAATTCAAAGAAGCTCAATTTTGGGAAGTAGGCACGCGATGCGAGCCAGCAAGGCGGTGCGTGCGCCCTAATAGCATACGGCAAGTGCGCCTTCAAATCAGCACCAATAACACGACGTGCATCCCCCTCATAAGGCTAAATAAAAGCATCTGCCACCTAACAGAAACCCTTTCCGTGACCTTTCATTGTCCTATCGCCAAGAAGTTATTCTGCCCGGCTATTTAGATCCTATTGATTCAAACCAATCCAATTTCTTGAGGTTTAGGGCCCGAATCCTGGGATCTGCTCGAGGCCTCTTTGTTGTTTGTAAACCTAGGCCCAATCTAAATAGCTTTACGTCTTGAATTCCGTTACATTTATCTAGGGGGAAACTTACTCCATTGTTACTGCTTAGGTTGAAGTTTGAGGACTAGTATGAAAGTCAATTGCCTCTAATACCTTTTTGTTCTTACGTGTCTGATTAGGACGTAACGCATGTTAGTAATTTCACTCAGTTATAGCAATGACGGACTCAAAGTACTTCACGACGACGAAAAAAGGCGAAATCTTTGAACTGAAGACGGAGCTGAACTCCGATAAAAAGGAAAAGAAGCGTGAAGCGGTCAAGAAAGTTATTGCATCGATGACCGTGGGAAAGGATGTCAGGTGACCATAAACAGTAGAAAAAAAGCAGAAAGAAAGTAGTGAAAAAGATAAAAAAGAAAACAAAAAAGCCTCCCAAAAACATTAGACCAAGAAATTCCAAAAACGCGAAGGCCTTTCAGCGCCCTGTTTCCGGACGTCGTCAATTGTATGCAGACGGACAACCTCGAGTTGAAAAAGCTTGTCTATCTCTACTTGATGAATTACGCGAAAAGCCAGCCAGACTTGGCAATTATGGCTGTCAACACATTTGTCAAGGTATGTTCTTATGAAACGTGGTTACGCAAAAGATCCTAAGGCTTTGGTTTGTCGGATCCGTCTAGAAACTGACCTGCTAAAGATTGATCCTAGGGTTTTCCAATTAATAATTGATAATCTAAACACTTTTACAGGACTGTGAGGATCCGAATCCTTTGATCCGGGCTTTAGCTGTACGAACGATGGGTTGTATTCGCGTGGAAAAGATTACCGAGTATTTGTGCGAGCCGTTACGAAAGTGTATGAAGGTTTGTTCCTGTTACTATCTATAAACTGGTGCTTCTCGCAGGGCATCTCGCACTTTATGCTTTTTAGGACCAAGATCCATATGTACGGAAAACCGCCGCTGTTTGCGTGGCCAAGCTGCACGATATGAACCCTACTTTGGTGGAAGAACAGGGTAAGTATTGGAACGCCGAAAAACCAGCTGATATTTTTAGGATTCGTCGAACTCCTGAACGATCTTCTCTCGGATGCCATCCCAATGGTTGTTGCGAATGCAGTGGCTGCTCTTTCAGAGATCAACGAGCAACGTTCCCTCATTGAGGTGGGCTTTTCCAGAAAACGATAATCGCCGTAATTTTAGGTCAACTCGCAAATGGTCAACAAACTTCTAACGGCCCTGAACGAATGTACGGAATGGGGACAAGTGTTCATTCTCGATGCTCTTGCCGGTTATGCTCCCCGTGATGAACGCGAGGCGCAGAATATTTGCGAGCGTATTTCGCCAAGACTTGCCCACGCCAATGCAGCTGTTGTTCTATCGACCGTCAAGGTAGCATCTCCATTCGAAATGTGAAAACGCAGTGTTTAGGTGTTGATGAAGCTTATTGAACAATTGCCCAACGACTCCGACTTTATCACTCAACTGACCCGCAAGTTGGCACCACCCATGGTATGTGGTCATTTACCTACCTGTTTGGAGAGATTACATGGCTCTAGTGCGGGATTTCGAGCTAGAGATGTTATAGCAAGTTGGGAATTTCCTCTCCTATTTCAGGTCACGCTTCTCTCCGCCGAACCGGAAATCCAGTACGTTGCGCTGCGCAACATCAACCTTATCGTGCAAAAACGCCCGGACATCTTGAAGCAAGAGATGAAGGTTTGCACCGAAACTCCCGTTTTATAGTATAAAAATCTATAGGTCTTCTTTGTGAAATACAACGATCCGATCTACGTCAAAATGGAGAAGCTCGATATTATGATTCGGTTGGCCCAGCAAAGCAATATTGCGCAAGTGCTGTCCGAACTGAAGGAATATGCCACCGAAGTCGATGTCGATTTTGTACGAAAATCTGTCAGGGCTATTGGAAGATGTGCTATCAAGGTCAGGGCAAAACGATCCATTGAATTCCATTGCTTTTCCAGGTCGAGCAATCTTCGGAGCGTTGCGTACAGACACTTCTTGAATTGATCCAGACCAAAGTCAACTATGTCGTGCAAGAAGCTGTTGTGGTGATCAAGGACATTTTCCGAAAATATCCTAACCGCTACGAATCGATCATCTCAACGTTGTGCGAGAATTTGGATACGCTTGATGAGCCCGAGGCCCGCGCATCCATGATCTGGATTATTGGTAAGTTCATTGAAAATCAAACAAACACAACCACCAACCATACAACGGAGCTTCCATGCACTATGCACTTTTAGGAGAATATGCCGAGCGCATTGACAACGCCGATGAATTGCTAGAAAGCTTCCTAGATGGATTCCACGATGAGAATACCCAGGTAAGGAGCTAGAACATGCGATTATTAGTATTATTGTCAGGTTCAACTTCAACTCCTGACGGCCGTCGTCAAGTTGTTCTTGAAGAGGCCGCAAGACACGCAACAATTGGTGCAGAAGGTGCTCTCTTTGGCCACGCAGGACTCGGACAACCCGGATTTGCGTGATCGTGGATACATCTACTGGCGTTTGCTATCCGCTGACCCGGCTGCTGCGAAGCAAGTCGTACTTGCTGAGAAGCCATTGATTAGTGAGGTGAGTCCTTTCCCCAATGAGACAATAGCAACAACAAAAAACAGTAGACTAAAACCAACCAGTATACAACTACCTTATTTTCAGGAGACTGACCTACTGGAGCCGTCGCTGCTGGACCAGCTTGTGTGTCACATCGGAACGCTGGCTTCCGTCTATCACAAGCCTCCAAACAGCTTTATTGACACCGCGCGCCAGCCGTTGCGTCAGATCAATAAGTGCGTAAATAATCTTTAAAAAGTTGACGCCAAATGGGCTTTTATAATAGACACTTTTCAGTAGTGCGTCGAACCACACTGCTGCCGCTGCTGCTGACATTCTAGGAAGTGCTTCCGTCTCTAGTGCTCCACAACCTGCTGTGATCCCTGCCCAGGTAAATATATAAATAAAATTTCGTAGTATTGAGTTTAGGACAACCTAATTGCTGATCTTCTGTCACTAGACATTGCTGCGCCGACTCCGGGGGTCAGCGCTGGAATGAGTGCCGGTAAGAAAAAAGTAGATTTCAAAGAGCATCTTTTTAGCCCCGATGCCAACGACTGGCGGTGATTTCGATGACCTGCTGGGCGGAATTGGTGGCGGCATGGGCGGAGGTGCCGATTTGTCTGGCCTTGGTGGAATTGGTGGCGGAATTGGCGGTGGTCTCGCCGGATTTGAAGATGGAAATCAGGTTTGTTTACCTGGTGGTATTATAATGTTTGTTTACAGGCTGCGGCCGGCAATGCCGGCATTGGACTTTCGGACTGGTTTGGTGGCTCCAGCGCTCAAACACAGGGTGTTCAGCTGCCTCGCCAGGTCTGGCTCGATGCCGCAGCTAACATGGTATGCTGATGCTATCATTCGTCTTCATTATCACTTACTATAGGGTCTTCAACTTGAAGGAACCGTTGTGCGAAGAAACGGAATGATCACTTTGGACATGACGATCACAAACAAAGCGATGCAAGCAATGTCCGGATTCGCTGTCCAGTTCAACAAGAATTCATTCGGTCTGCTTCCGGCCGAGCCGCTCCAGGTTAACGCTCCGTTGTTCCCTGGGCAGACTATCAATGTAAGTTTGTAGACCTAATCATGCAACTAATTATTTACTCCAGGTCTCGCTCCCTTGTAACACTGATGGGCCAGTGCAGCGGATGGATCCGTTGACTAATCTGCAGGTATTATTTGAGCTGCTAATAGTAAACTAATTTTGTTTCATTAAGAGTTAGTAGCTTTTTTGGCTAGTTGTACGTTTAAGTTCTTGGATAGGTAAACGCGGTTTTAGGCGAGGTTCAGGTTCTGGCGTTGACATCGATACTTAAGAAAAAGCATTTATCGGGGACCCTGTTCACTTATGGTTTGCGCTTTGGGCATCCCAACGCTAATTCACGTACTGCTCGGCTATGAGGGTGAAAGATAAAGATAGAAAGGTGGCTGGGTGATCATGGAATCCAGGATGCTTGGTCGACGATGGCCGTTGTAATTTCGTTTCGGATTGCGCCAAACAACGTGTCCATCAATTTGCTGTCGACCGCGCAAGTGTACCTAATATGTAGCTTAGGGTTAGCGGTGGAAGTGGTTGAAACAGTTAAAGATATTTAAAATTAACAGAAACTATAGACTTACTTATGGTAGGTCCCCTTGTTTCGCTTTAATTTATCTGAAGTTGCAACATGTGCAACCTTCGAGGCAAGACATTTCCTCATCGATTTGTAATTGTACTCTCCCGTATTTTGCAGCCTTTCTCGGTCACCCTAGAAGAAGTATTGAACCGGATTTCGGCTTACCTTATCCATATACTTGCCCAAATATTTGATCGTCTCCCGGCGGACCTCCGGCAAATCCTTGCACCGCTGCATCTTATCCTTGAAGATGTCCTCCTTATTCAAGAAGATCATCACCCCACAATTTTGAACGGGTTGTAGCTCCATAATAAGCTGAATAGGGGGCGGGTTATCTGGGGCAAAACATTTCCCTACCTCTAGCATTTTCAAGCTTTCGTCGAAAAGCGTCAAACCGACGTGGACTGGATGTTGAATGTTATATTCGGGCATCGAGACCACGTATAAGATGAAATTCCGATAGTTTTGTCGGTCAGCCGACACCCAGTTATTGATATAGTTGACGGTTTTTGCCTAATATTAGCCTAGTTATGGGATTTTTGTGAAAACTTACACGTTCCACCTTCTGACCTCCAATGTCGTGAATCATGACTTTCATGTCATTAATCGAAAAGCGATAATCGGTAATTCCGGTGGTTGGATCCCTGGCGTGTAGGATATCATCGTCAGTCGGAGAGTAGGTTTGCAAAAAGACCTATTAAAGTTTTTTTTTTGCTTGCTTACCAAAATTATTTTACCTGGCGTATCTTCGGCTCGTTTAGAAAATATAGCGTACCGTCGGTAATCTGCAGTTCACCCGTCATTTGAGCTCGCTTGTCGTACGTATCTTGTATCTAAATAGCTGGTTTTGTACGAGATTTTTCGGGACTGGTTCAAAATCGGAATTCGATTAGCAGTGATTTCTTTACCGTATTATCGTTGAAGAAGGCCAATAGCTTCTTTCCGAGATCCTCTTCTTGTTCCCAATTTGGTGCAATTCCCTCTGCCGTAAAAATATAATCGGCGAAGTCCTTTGCCTCAGTGTCGATCAATGCTTGACCCCAATTCTCAGCTTGCTAAATTTATTTTTATTTTAGCATCTAGTCTAGCATGCCTACAATAGGAGTCGACTGCTCCTAACCCACCTTATACAAAATATGCAGCGCATCAATAATATTTCGGCGTATGATCTTTCGCCACCGTAGCAATTCGTGCTCTTTGAAGGAGTGGGTTATTGGCTGCCATTCATCGTCGTACCTAAGCGCGGATTTTATACCTTTGGGGGGAGGGGAGGGTTTACATTTGATAGTCACCGGGGCGTAAATGGCATAGTTTTTGGAGCTGCTTGATTATTGTAGATTTTCCTGCGGAGCCCATGCCGACCATAAAGAAACGGACGATTTCTTGATCTTCATCGCTAGTGATTGTGTTCTAAAAAGTGGTTGATTATAATTATGACTAATCAATGTGGGTTCGACTTTGATTGCCCGTAGAAAAACGGAGCCAGCCGGAAAGAATGATAAATTTCTTCTTTTAAAAGCTCCTAGTGAGTTTTACTATCGGATGGTCACGTATCGATTCGAACCTTTTTGTAATTGTCGGGCGATCGATCGGCGTTTGAACAGCAGTTGCCCATGGCTCTAACACGGGGAATGCGATAAGGGCTGAGAAGAATAAGAAGTGGGGAAGGGGGTGTTGGAAACGAAGGCGAAAAGCTGGGCAAGGAAGGGGCAGAAGCGATGAAGGAGGAGACTGGCCGAATACGGCCCCAGCTCTCCACGATGCCCCCCAGCCACAAAATCTCCGGTGTCAGAGGTCAAAGTAGAATATATGGTTGTCAATTTGCCCGTATCTGTTTGTTTGTTCTGCCTAGTCAGCGCGAAAAATTACGTCAAAAGCGTTGTATAGCTGGTACAGGGGGGAGGATGTTTACCGTGTGGGTTGATATGGAATACACCGGATATTTTCTGTAATACATGGTATACAGCAGGTTTCTGTACTTTTTGATAATGGAGAAAAAAATGTGATATTAATTGCGCTAGAAATTTACATAAGCTTGGTTTTCAGGTCGCCGTCAAGAACGATGTGAACGTGTTCTACTTCGCCACCATCGTGCCCCTTGTCGTCTACTTTGCCGAGGGAGGCCAAATGGAAAAACGCGAATTCCTTGAAATGTGGAAGGAGATCCCCGAACAAAACGAGCAGCAGTTCCAGATTCAGAATAGTCAACAGCTCTCGGCCGGTGGGTATTCATATCTATCTTACGCGGCGCCTGCTCTCTCTCTCTCTCTCTCTCTCTCTCTCTCTCTCTCTCTCTCTATCTCTCTCTGTCTCCCCAATCCATCCTAACCACAAAATAACGAGTATTCCTCAGATCAAATTTGCAATAAACTGCAAGCCAACAACGTCTTCACCGTCGCCCGCCGATCTGTCGATTCTCAGGTAAAAAAATGCCATATAAGCAATCCAAACCATTAAAAATATTAAAAATTTTCTTAGGAACTTCTCTACCATTCCATCAAATACACCAATGGCCTCTACGTGCTCTCCGAACTGAAGCTCCACCAAGGGTCTCCCAACCTGACGGTAATTTTGAACAAGGCCAACACTGCAACAGCGAACATTTAGCTCTCGCTGAAATCTCGCCATCTCTCCGCAATCGCCAACCTCAATGAGATGTTCCAGCTGATTTTGAACTAATTTATAGGCGTATGTCCCATTTGTTGTCCATATTCCCCCTCCTGACTCACCAAAGCATTCTCTATTCGCCACAATGTCGCCAGAACAGGATTCCAGAGCTACTGTGTCCGCGGTTACGATATTTATCTCCCCCTTAACTCTAACTTATTTGTCTCTTCCCCCTTTGGTTGTGCTCCCTTTAGGTAACGTGCGTTTTTGAATGCTTAAATTATAATAAATTATGTAGTATTTATTTATTCAATGCAGAAGAGATACATGATACAGGTTATGATTAGAAAGCACCACCACCAATGCCAGGTGGACCGTCGATTTGAACGCCACCCCCGATTCCTGGAACTGGAAGATTTCTTTAAGTTAGTGTTTTTCAGAACTAACCCAGATTTTCGACATTTACACCTCCTCCAATAGCTGGCGGTGCTTCTTGGAATGTTGCTCCACCACCAATTCCGTCATCTGAATTGTTTAGTATAAAAATTTAAGTTCATTAGCTCACTTCCGGCTTCTGCGCCACCACCGATTTGCAATGCCGGTGCCGAGCCACCACCAATCGACCCCTAAATCAGGTTATACAATTCTATTAAATGCCACTAGTACCAATCTACACCCGAAATACCCTCCAAACTACATTCTACTCACCACAGCCTCACAATTCACCTCGTCGTCCCCATAGGCTGCCATCCCTGAAAAAAGAGAATGTTACGAGAAGCACGGGTCATCAAACAAAATCAATAGAACTATTTGCTGTGGCCGATCAGAAAGTGAGCAAACACTGAAATAGACGGACCCCGATCTAGAGCCCCGCGTTTTAACGCCTCGAAAGAAGCTTTGAAAACCCGTGGTTTCTCATCGGTTTTCCTTGACGGAACGGCACTGGGAGGGTTTCCTTGAGTTTTATCACTTGTCTGACGCATAATCCAGGTCCAGGGATGGGACCGCCTCCATAGGTCGATGATTCACCTTTGAGAATGTTATAGGGTTCGGCGACTGTCATTCGTCTTCGTCAGTTTTGTCGCCAAGAGACGCGCGGATATTTCGGGATAGCAGTTATGGTAAGTCTTGGGCTTTTTTGGCTTGGTTGTGCCTTTAAGGCGCATCATTCGGAAATTGTTCGACTATGCCTATGAACGTATCTCTGTGCAAATAGGCGTATAATTAGTTTGTTTTAAAATATATAATTTTCATTAAAAGCGGATTTAAATGAAAAAGCGATAAAACATTTTGAAAGTAGAAAAATTAATTTCTCAGATTCAAACTCTACCATAAAGTAAATATAAACTTATTTCCTCTAGCACAATAATTTGAAAAGTGGCAATTTCAATGGTCTATAGCTTTTAAAACAAGTCTTTTACAGAACGGACACGGAATCGGAGGTGGTGCCGGGCCATTCGCCCCGGGAATCGGTGGTGGAGCCGCCCCAAATATGCCGCCCCCGCCTCATGGTATCGGCGGCGGGGCCGGGCCGAATAACGGTAAGTGATTGGGTGATTAGAATGGATGAATGACAGCTAGCAGCTATAAGCGGTGACACCCACACACCGACGGAAGTGCCGATAAGCCGTTTTTTATAGGGGGGATTGGTCACGGAGCTGCTCCCGGGCCGTATGGAGGTGGAATTGGAGGAGGGGCATGTCCACAAGGAGGTGGGAAATATTGAGGGGGGAAGCGTCGGGAATTCTGTGCATTTTTCCTACAGATCAAAATCTTTTCTATAATCTAATATGTTTTTTTCTGAAAATTGACGGCTTAGGAAGCAATAGAAATAGTCCACCAAGGGCTTTAATTCGGAACGCATTTTTCAAGATTTTACGTATTTACGAGTCTAAATTGTGTTTTCAAAGTTCCTTTGAATTACGCATTTTAAATTCTCCGATTTTTAGGCGTTTGAAGTTCCGCGCCGTTCTAAACCAAACCACCCCCCCCGTAAACTCCACTCGCCCTTAAAACCGTCTCTTCTCACCTTATCATTTTGTCAGGAATTGGTCACGGAGCGTCACCATGCCCTCCCCCAGGCCAATCAGGCTACAACGCCTACGCTGACGCCAATCAGGGCCATCATCACCATCAAGGACACCAACACGGACATCACCATTAAACAGCAAAAGCTCGATTTTTGTTCTTAACCCAGCTTTAATGTCCAGGCATAATCTCATGCAACACTGTATCTCTGACTGCAAGACTAAATAAACAACTGCAACAAATGTACATAAATTTATGCAAAGCATCAGTATGGCAGCAAGAATCGGTGAGCTTACACAATGTCAAAAAGGGTTTGGCAGGAGAGCATACAATTTTATCACATTCACATTGCCACAAATTGCGTAGGGAGTTAGCGGGTGGAAAGACACTTTCGGAATGTGAAATATAAAGGTTGAATTGTCGCATAAAACAGATTTTGATTGATCGATAAAATTTGTGGGCCACCTATAACCGGAAATTGCAGGAATTGATCCCTAGAGACCCGATTGGATGGGGTTGAAGCATTGCATAAGTAATACTGAATCGGAATTGAGATTTTTTCTATAAATCAGAATCACAGCCAGTAGTGCTCCAAATAGGGGAATCGGTTGGTTGACGCATGACGGCAAATGCAATGGCAGCAATAAAGAAGAACGTGTAGACGCCGAAGCTGATCCAGCGACCAATTTGCTCCCATTTCTCCGGCTGTAAAAGTTATTGGACTTAATCGAAATGTAGAATTCTTTTAAAAGATTAACATATTTTTTGGGACATACCACAACGTTGTAGAGAATGAAGAATCCACAGAAAAGTCCCGTAATTGCACCGGCAATGTGGGCCACATGTGAGACACGATCGCATGGGTCTTCGTAGAAACGACGGTAGATCGTTCCGCCGACATCAAATGACACCCAAACGGCCAGCACTAATAGACGTATCCAACGGAATGGCATCTCGGACCAATTCTATAAAATACTTCAGTTGTAAAATTTAAGTTATTGTTAGGCTTTTTTAAAGGAGCAAGCAAGGCGTATTTCTACGTTTTTAGCGTGTAATCCATTACGCTACGCATATGGGATCCATAGACAAAGAAAATACTGATACACCTTGTCCGCTTATTTAAAAAATCAACGATAGGGTAACCCCACTCACCAGAGCTAAATTCGAAATGTGAGCCATAATAAGAGCATAGACTCCGGCAGAAGCGCCAACAAGCATCACACTCGGATCCATCGCGTATTGCAGAAGCGCTCCGGAAACCACGGCCAACAAATATAGCGGGCCGATTCTCCAGATTTTGTGGACCAGCTCGAGTGGAATTCCGATGATGAGTTGTATAGTGAGGTTTGAGACGAGATGCATAATTCTGGAAACAGAACTCATAAGAAGAAATCGTACTAGTGAAACCCCGTTTAAATAAATTGTAAAACCCCTGTAACTCACCCGGCATGTAGAAACATATACGTCAGGAAGCGCCAAGCTTGGGCCCTCATTTTTGGCACAAACATCATTGGGCCAACGTGATGATTGACGTAGCAACCAGCACAGTATGTTGAGATTGATTGACTATGTGGTTGTGTCCAATAATAGTAGAAGAAAACGCCGATCTAAAAATATTATAAATATATAGATTTGGAAACTATACCTGAATGGCAGTGACAAGTAGGATAAAAACGGGTGGTGGGCAGAAATTATATTGATGTAGATAGGAATCAATCTGGAACGTTTCGCGATGAGGCTTATACAGTGTATGTACATACCTCATTAGCTTGTTTTGGTGTCGTCACCGCCAAAGCCATGGCTTGCAGTACAGCTCGCTTTCGAGTCGGTTGGGCTTGAGGAAGTGCTGCCTAGAAAATTGCACGATTAATTTTTGTTAATTATCGTGCTTACCATATTCTGAACATCATCCATATAAAAGACAACCGCATCATTCTTTTCGGCTACTTTTTGGCAAGCTTCTGCCTGGGCTTCGTTAATCCTGGAATGCAAAAGTATGTCAAAAAAATGGTTTACAAACCCCAGGGCTCGATGGCATTCCGGTAGTTTTTCGGCCAACTCCCGGCCAGTCATACCGCTGTCCGGCGCATCGGAATCGCTGGCTAGCTGGAATTACGGTATTTTTTTAAATTTGAAAAATTTAACAAATTGGTCTGATTTTTCTAGTTTTAAATCTTACACTGGGATAAATGCGGGGTGGTTTCATGGGATCGGCGGGATTGACCGGGGATTGGTGGGATGGTTGGTTGTATTGGAAAGGAATCGCGCGGAGGGAAGGACGAGGAAACGGGGGCGCTAGGACTAGATCAACACAGACACACAGACAGACACAAGCACACCCTGTCCACCCCTTACAGCCTGTAGACGATCACAATGGAGCGCCACGGTGACGCATCGTACCGGATTCTGGAGAAATGGCACGGCAAAACAATGCCACGCTTTTGCAGGGTAAGACAAGGAAAATTTAGCGGCTAAAGGGATGGTGCACTGATTTAGGGCTAAACACGCCTTCTCAGCCCCTTTAAAAATCAGTTTTTGGTAGCCTCCAGCTTTCAAAATATTAAAATTAACTTACCGCACTGTAGGCCGCCTGGATCTTCTGACTCTTCTGTGCAGAACGTGAACGTGGAAAGGTTGGCATTTTACCTGGAAATTGAGAATTTAAATCAATGCCCCAAAATTAAAATTGTTTAACTGGGACTTCAGCAAATGTAAGAGAGGAAAAATGTTGCTAGTCGATAGCGAGAAAAAGACATTCCTAATGTTTATTTTGGAAAAACCGCTGGAGAAACTTTGAGGCACGCCAAGAATTTCGTCATCAAAAAGACTCACAAAATGCACTGTAATATAAACTTTCCAAACTTAAACTGAGAAATAAAATGTTTGAAAGGGTCTTTATTTTAAACCTTACACTAGAAAAATAAAGAATACATTGTAACTTTTTAGCAATGCGAAATTTCCGGATAAACTTGGCAATAAATTGCAAAAAAAGAAAAAGCATTGGGGCTGGGAGGGTGCGGGGCGCTTATCACTTTGGGGCGCATCGAGCATACTTGCCGGCTGGGAGGATGAGTAATTCTGTGACACGACAGAACGTCAAACATTCACACGGAGCGGCTGGGTTCCTCGAAATTTGAATCGTAGTTTTGAATATTCATTAAAATATGGAGTCGTGTGGTTGGAAAGCCCATTAGGTTATGAAATTAGTGTGGTGAGAGATAGAGAAAGAGAGAGAGAGAGAGAGAAACAATAGGTGCAGGTGCGTCACCATATCCCGGGGGTCATTTGAATCTCAAAGAGACTGGCGAGCTGGGAGAGACCGGGGCCATTTTGCGCCAGCAATATATATCGATCTGAAGGGGATCATCAATCTGATATTGGGAAGAGGGAAAGACGATATCAATCTACAAATCTGTGCGGAACGATTGAGGCCAGAACGATTCCACTTTTTGGGGGAGTTGCCAAAATTTGAAGTGGCCATTGTGGGCAGGGACTTGTTGCGAAATCGGCTAAATCGACCCGGGCGGTGATGCATATTAAAACAAACCCATTTTCAACTCAATTCGACATGTTAAAATGCACCAAATTCCTTATTACCACGAAAAATAGCGCTTCCAAGATTAATATTTGCTATTTTGAGACTGTACCACGCATAACATTAAAATTTATATAATATTCTAACCGCACAAAAGCAAGATATAAAAATGCTTATTAAGTAAAATGGCAACAATTGTGTAATGGAATGGCAAATTGCGATAGAGGTGTAATACTGTATAAGTCGGAGCGTGGAATGGGAGTCGAATTTGATAGGAGGGGCTGAGCATCACAAAAAAGGCTTGCGGAATGAATGATATCACGGGATTGGCACTAGAAATTGAGAAAATTGAAGCAAAAAATGATATATACATTTTTTCAGTGAATTTAGCATCCCTGCATAGTCTGAGCATGTTGACCGGGTGTTGTGAAAACCTGGAAAAAATGTTTAAATGTTTTCTGCGTAACCGGAAGTAGTCACTGTAGCTTTTGAGACACCTTAGCGTTACCTACCTCATTTAATGGCGGGATCCCAGTCCTAGCTACCAAAATATGCAGCACCGGCTTTCGCTGAATATATTTCACCGCCCGATCGTGGGTGACCATCGTAAAATCAACGCCATTTACCTAAAATTTTATTACAGAAATTGGCCTTTTTTACATACCCTTAAAATCTTATCATGCTTGACGAGACCGGCGCGTTCGGCTGGAGAATCCGGCTCAACATTGGTTATGTAAATTCCCTAAAAATTTGCATTGTCAAGGGAGTGATAAGCGCCACCCTACCGTATCTGGATATAAGAACGGGGCGCGGCTCGGGTCTTGGTCAATACCGCCTCCGATTTTAAAGCCAACCTGAAAGGTATGGATTACATGGAAAGTTTATCAAAAATTTCGGGTATTTCTAGGTAATCTAAAGATTTTAATAAATACCCTGAAGGCCGGATTGCCGTCTCGATCGTAGACCTGCTCCTTTTTCAACTGGATCGCTAGAGAGAGGCATTCTAGCGGATTTCCAGCCACGTGCCCATAGGCTTCCATCTAAATTGATGTAGAAAATAGGGCTTAAAGGGGTAAATAAAAGAAAAATAGACATTAAAATCATCAAGGCAGATTTTTTCAACCCACAAATTACGAAAAACATAAAAAAACTAACTTTGCAAATTCCAGTATAAAATCGGTAAAAATTTTAATTAAAAATGCAAGTTTGGAAAATTCAAATCCCTAGGAATCAAAATCATCTTCGGAGTAAAAATACTGCAGAACACAATAAACTAGTTCTACAAATCCCACCATAAAAGAAGAACCTTGTGAGGTGGTGACTAATACGAGGCAAAGGGGGGGGGAGGGTTGAGTGGACGATAGCCCCTCCAGATAAGCCGTTCCCAGGCCGTCGATGGACAGTCGCGCACACCGACGCATACAATACACGAATGGACAGATAGATAGAAGAGAGAAAGAGAGTAGAAGAGCAACAGAGGAGTAGGGATACAGACGCATTTCTCCCCGAAAACTATACTAGAATCCGTCCCGGGGGTTGCCTAAAAATTGCCCAAAATGGCTCGATTTTGCCTGCTGATCGTCGTTTTTGGAAGTCACTAAAAAAATGTGTTTAGGACGTGCAGGTGTTGGATAAACATCTGGTGCCCTGGTTCCGATAAACCCGGACGGAAATAATTTTCTAATGACAGTATTTGGGCGCAGATGTTGGCGTTTAAAATTAGTAAGCGCATTAAAGAAATGATTGTTGATTCATGATTTTCGTAATTTAACTTATCGAACCACATCGTTTTTCAGTTTTTAAATTTTGGCTTCCTGTTTAACTTATCTTTTTAGCTTGGATGGTTCTTTAGAAGCAATAATTTTAAGCCACGGCGATATCCAATATTTTCCATCGTTGTCTATCTACTTTCTAAATGCTACCAATTTTCAATATTTCAATACAGTCCATTACTGTCCTCCCATTTTTGGCTCAAACCATCCACCCACTATTCAACATTCAAGCATAAATTGCTCGTTCAAGTATATGGCTGTTCGGGGGGAGAACGGGCACAAGAGGCAGTTTCCACCCCACACACAGAGCGGGGATGCAACACAACATGGATGGGCGATAGAAAAAGAGAGCGAGACATTGGGAGACTTGAAGAGACGCGAGGCGTGCCGCGTTGCGGTCATCCTTCCATTCCTTCGTTTCCTTGCTAGACCCTCCTCCTACTCTCTTCATCGTCCACCACCGTCCTCGACACCGGATCATCGGCCCTTTTTCGGAGAAGACGAGACACATCGGGTTGAGAAAAGCTCTTTCCCTTTCCCCTTCTCCTCTCCTCCTAACACTTTTCTATCGCCCCGTCCCCCTTCTACTCTACGACTTCATCTTATTCATTTCTTTTCTTTTCTATACTACTATCTATTCATTCTAAGACAAGAAGTACTCGACACGATACAACATTTTCGTGAAGGACTTGCCGGATGAGATTGAAGAGTATCGTCTAGTTCGTTTTTGAAGCGCCTCAAAAAGTCAGGTTGGTTATGGAAAGGGAGGGGGTTTGACGTTAGGGTATAGGGAGTTGCAGCTCATATTACAGCTCACTTCCTCAAACAAGCGTTTCTCTTGGTTTTTAGTTGCTGAAGTCATATTTTCTTCTGTTTTTGAGGATTTAAAATCCTTTTCGAAGTTAAAAACTTCTTTCAAATTTACTTATACCTGAATTATTTATATTTCTCTTAAATAAGATAGTTGTAACTAGTATAATCCAAAATTTCAGACCTAACCATGGGTAATATCTGCTGCATAAATGGATCGTCGTCTAATAGAGAAAAAATTGAAGAGTACCCAAGAAGACCACTCCCAGATGTAAGTTCAATAAACTTAATGCTACCTCCGTAGTGCGTGTTTGAATTTAATTTACAGTATATTGTGTATTACTATTTAGTAATTTTCTTAAACGTTGTCACGTGAACCCTCACCAATTATGTTTAGTTTCAGTATGTAAATGCCACATTCCCACATGAAGACACCTCGCACAACTTTCTACCTCATATTAGCGAACGGGAAGTGACGGATGGTAAATTTAATACAAAAATTCTTTTAATAGAAATTTGATTAGATTGCGAAGAAGATCCATCAACTCATCCAACCGTTCGACCAACATTTATTGAAAGAAGTCGTTCGGAAATGAAATGTTGGTTTTTGAGTTTTTCGGAAATGACTTTTAATACCAAAATACATCCATTGTAATTTAATATTTTTAGTGAAAGATAATCGACGTTCTTGCTATCGTTTAGATGCTCTCTTAGCCAGTGGTGAACCTGGGGTAAGCATTGTATCCTGAAATTAACAACATCTCCTAGCTCGGAAACTCCCTACGAAAATCCTCCTCATGCTCAACAATTTATCTCGACGATTCAACGATTAGTCAGCCAAATTTGAAGGTAATAATTTTAAATATGGTTTGATACCTAGATTTAGAACACGATAAAATGTATTTCCCTTGCCGTTTACTATCATATTGCTAATCGAAAAAATCGGGGCAACGAGCGGTTGATGGAAATCTTTGAGGAAAGGTTACATCCGATTACGGTAAGTGAAAGTAATTTAACAGAAGTTCATTACTAATTTTTAGAGAGATCCTCTTGGCTCAGACTTGGTTGCGCATGACCCTGATCATAGGCAGATATATCGTTTTATAAGAACACTTTTCCACTCGGCACAATTGACGGCTGAATGTGCCATTATTACATTGGTAAGTAGCTGAATCCAAAACCCATCATATTTAAACAAAACTTTACTTTTTCTATAATTTTGCTTTAGGTATACATCGAGAGACTATTAAATTATGCCGAAATGGATTTGTGCCCCACGAATTGGAGACGTGTCGTTTTGGGTTCGATTATGTTGGCTTCAAAGGCGAGTTTTGCTATCTAGTTTTTCGGATTAGCATATTTTGAGTTAATTCACGATATCTTACAAGGTTAAATTGGAATATTCAGGTCTGGGACGATCAAGCTGTTTGGAATGTTGATTATTGTCAGATCTTGCGAGATACTAATGTTGATGACATGTGAGTTTTGACGACTTATACTATACTATACTATACTATACTATACTTATACTTAAGAGCTTACACGCTATGCAATTTGAATGAATATGATACGCGAAAAGTGCGCGCTGCGTTCATATTAACGCTTTAGCAATAAGCTCTAAATTTCGATTTTAGGAACGAACTGGAGAGGCGCTTTTTGGAATGTCTCGATTTCAATATTAACGTCCCGTCATCTGTATATGCCAGCTACTACTACGATTTGCGTACATTGGCCATTGCAAATGATATTCAACTCCCGATATTTCCGCTTTACAAAGAGCGAGCAAAGCGGCTTGAGGTTTGTTATTTTGGAAGTAGATGTACGTACAAATAGTAAAGATTTTTTTAAATCTTCTAGCTGTCTCTTACCTTATTGGTATCAGTTAATTTTATGTAATTTCAGGCGTTGAGCCGTGGCTATGAAGACCGCCTTGGACCGCTAAAGCGTAGTCATTCCGTTGAAAAATTATTCCATGAACCACGCTCACCAGTGGTTTTGTCCTAAAACTACATTGCCCTTTTCTCTGTACCCTACCTACTTCTCCAGCATATCTAGCATTTTCTAGATCTTTAGCAGATCTCACCCCTCCTGTCAATGCGAATCCTCCCTCACCCAATACACAGCTACTATCTTTCCATCTCCGGGTTCTTGTGCTCAGCATCCAGTTGTTCATCAGTTTTTTACTTTTTAAAAATACATTTCTTATTATTTGAATTGCGGGACCGGTTGGGTGTCATTAATCTTATTTGTCATAATAACACTGTCAAAGCAGATTCTGTGGGTATTGGAAGTTAGCATTATACTACTTCCAAATATACCCGAACTCTTCAAGTACCTCCTGATTTTTGAATGTGCATTGCCGTCAGACCCAAAACTTTTACACCCGTGCCATCTGCCCCAAAAAACAACACTTTTCCTGCTGGGTCGGTATTATAAACAGCGTATCGTGAAGATAAAGTATTTATTTGAAGCACAATTGCACATGATAATTGTTTTATTGCGTTCAAGGTGGCAATGGCAAGCATTTATTAAATCAGTAAAATACAGACGTAGGCAATTATTATTTGGTACTCAGAATTGAGCGTGATATGCAGAAAAGTTAGGTTGATAGATTAAAAGAGATAAGGAGATTGTTTTTTATTTGTATGCATTATACGGTAGTAGTGGCAGCTGCCGCCACAGCCGGGAGAGTACCAGAGACACCTCCACCTGTCACCAGACCTGCTACAGCGGAATTTACCTGGAAAATCCAATTGGTATTTTCTAAAGCTAAATAAAAATTCAGAGTTTTGAAATAAGAACATATTACCCACCGAACATTTGCATTCACAAAAAGTGCCGGCCGTCAACGTCACTGTCGTCTGAATGCCCGAATCATTCCGCACCACTTCTACCGTACGATGTCCCGTCGTGCATGTGGCGTACCCTGAATTTATACAATATTCAAGCGCAATCACTTATTAGCTCTAAAACCAAAAAAAATGATACCGGATAGACATGTCAAATCCGAATCATCGCACACGAGCTCGTTGATGAATTGTGGACTGAAATCGTTGTGTTTTTCATAAAGTACGGCACGATTTTTTTATAAATACTATTGAACTCACTTATAATTATCCGGCAATTTCCTCCACACCCAACATGAGCTGCACAACGAAACATAGCCCGAGGTATCGGTTGTTAGACCCTTCGTTGTGCACGAGAGTGGGAAACGAGTCCCTAAAATCAGATAAAAAATTTTAATTCGTTCAAATACCAATCATGGTACCACTTCCGGTCATTGTACTTGATGTACCAATTGCTCCACGTCGCGTTCGATCTAAATTAAAAATACTATAACATAAAATATAGCTAAAAAGTTGCTATCAAAAAAAATAAAAAAGCAGGGGTAGGAGCAATTCTCATGGGTCAAAATAGCTTTAAAATAACAGGCAGACATGCTCGCACCAAAACGCCATTTACCGTGTTTATCTTTCTTTTTCTTATTTGTCTTCTTTTCGGCGCTATCTGAAAAACGGAACATACAGTACCTTTCGCAGCTTTCGCAGCCTTTCTCGCGGTCTGCTTCTCTTTTTTGGTCTTCTTAGTCGTTTTTGACTTCTTTGTCACGTCTACGATATGTTAGTAACAGAAGAAGAAGCCTTGAATATTACCTTCAGAACTGTCAGAACTAGTGTCATCGCCTTTCTTATCGCTTGGCTGAAATAAAAAATAATCAATTATTTCCAGATTTCTAAAACTTACTGGTTCTCCATAATCACGAATTCCAGTCTCCTTCTTGGTAAATCGATATCTAAATGTATGAATTAATTTTTGAAAATACAACTTTATACCTGGGACAAAAAGTGCTATTTGCCGTCGCATCGTTGATCATATTTGCGCTACCAGTAGGTGGTGACATCAATCCAACCTAAATTTTTCAAATTATGCTACGTAATTTTATAGATCGAATTCAATATAAAATGACAAAAATACGATCCGTGACAGTGTTCCAAGAAAACCAAAACAAAAATTTATAACGGCACACCGAAAACTCGTGGGGATCCCCTAACTTACTGGCTGCCTCATACCAATCTGAATTTTTATTTGGGCCTTGATAATATTTTTGGAATAAGGCTTACCTGTTCGAGCTTCAGACGCAAATCTTCTTGGCATTTTTCGCATTCCTGTGTTGTACAACTGACGGTTGTCTGAAGGCGTGAATTAAAAAGATAAATTTTTGAGAGTGGCTGGGGTTTCGAGTTAGAAAGTTAGTATGGCTTGTTTTTGATAATAGAAATCAATTTTGGCATAAATACGAAAAGTTCATGGAATAGCTTGATTTTAAAGGTAAGAAGACTATTTAGGCAAATCAAATAAAAAAATGAGCTAGTTCAGCGAATAGCCGGTCTCCAAAGTTCAGGCCCAGCTTAAAAATGCAAAAATGCGATTACTAAATACCAGTAATATATTAAAAATATCACAAAACCAAATTGTATCTCGAAACCGCAACTTCACTCCTAAAATCTCCTTAAAAGAACAATTTTTCAATCGTCCCGGCATGCCATCCAAACCACCACAACTGGTTCACTTACAATCCTAGTGGTTACGTGAAGTTCCGTGGCGACATAATTCTAATTTTATATTCAAGGAAGGCTTTTTTGAATTCATTTTGTTAGATGATGGTAATACAATACAACGGCCAATACCCGAGTGACGCGTACTTACTTGTCCCGACGCGTGAACGGATCCGTCGGCAATAATTATCTTTAAAAAATTGGGGGAAATGACACGATTTTCGAACTGATTATAGAGTACACTCTATTGAGCAAAGAACGCGCAAGTCTTACAAAAATTTGCACTTGAATTGATTATACTAATTCTCCCGATTAAATTCTGCAAAAATATAAAAACCCTATTCAATTTACACAAATTTTAACTAGCGGAAAAGCTCACATGTAATGGTTCTTCCGGTGCCGTTTCATTTCTATCAATTGACAAATCAGGAAAAGACAACATCGCCTCTTCCAAAGTTGTCGCCTGAATGTTAAAATTAGGTTTAAATAAAATATATAAAGGTATAATAATGTATAAAATACCAACTTGAAACCGGGTATCATATGGGAGGCATGATCCAGAGTTTGACGCTCGTAGGCACGGGCACTAAATTAGGTTCGGATAAATTTCTAAAGCCAGAATTATACCTGTAATGAATCGTAGCTTGACGTAGAAGTGGCCGATTGTGAATCTTGTGCAAAAACGGCAGCCACTGCCACCGTTATTGCAGTCAGCATCCTGGAATTGGTAATTGGCGATGAGAGAAAAAGAACAAATTAAAATAAAACCAGAATTATTATCCAATACATATAATCATAGCACTATTCCCAGACTTCCGCAAAACAGGAGAAGCTTAGCCGATATTTCCTGTAATCCAGCCAACAATACAACTCCTATCGTCGGCGCCAGGCTACCGTATCGGCACGTTGCTAATCTTGGATCCATTTATTACCGGAGCTAGACTAAAACCATACTTCTGCATAATCCACGTTTTAGCAAGACACAAACCACACGCCCCTTGACGCAGCAAATCTTTAAAAGCTAGACTGACATAAAAAAACGGCCGGATCCCCGTGATTCCGCTAATATTTGCGCGTGAATTGGTTTGTGTGGATTACCTGGCGCCTTTTGGATAAGAACGGAGTTGACGGGATAATTACCGTGCCATAGTACACATGTTGGTATCCGAATGGTTGTTGCAGGCATTAAGAAATGGATTATGGGATTTAAAAATTTATTTTTAAGTAAATGTTTGGCGAAGTTTATATAAAATTTAATTTCCTCGGTAAAATGCTTATAGAGAGCAGAGAAATTTATGGATCAAAGAAACCTATAATACCTCAAATTTACCTCCTTCCTAATACCCATCTAAAAGCCGTGCAGCCCCGCTAGGTATTTATTCGATGGAACGCTTTGCCCTCTCTCCCTCCCCCCAGCTAGCCGTTGTTCCGCATGAATTTTATGCAAGGATTAACTCTTTTGAATCTGAAACGACTCGGGCCATAGGCCGGCGAGGTACACGGACAGTTTTTACGTCGTAATTTTTAAAAATACTCTCATTATGCGCCGGGCCATTGCTACGTAGTCAATCGTGCAAATTGCATCCTGTCCAGTCGGGCGGGCCTCGGGGCGTGGCTTATGTAAATGGGGGGAAACAAAGTTCATTTCCGTGGAGGGCATGTTGTGTGTAATTTATAGAAATTTTTGGATGAGAAATCAGGCGTTAAAGGTTACTGTAAGCTCATTAAAGAGTAATATTTTAAGGTTTGAGACGTAGTCAGAAATATAGGAGAGGTCTGTAAAATTTGTTTGAATGAGCCGTCCTGGATTAAAACTTACGGTATGAAGTTAAATTCCGTATAGGCACTAAATTCAGGGTTGAAAGGTCGCTAAAGGTGTGTGTAATATTTATACAAATTGTTTGCGTGAAAAACCATGCTTGAAAAGATGCTGTAAGAGGTTAAGCTCATTAAAAAGTACTATTTTAAGGGTTAAAGGTGACTAAAATTTCTGAAATCTTTACAGAAATGAAGCATACACACAAAACGGACTACATGTAATCGATACGAAAGTACCCCATAAATTTTGATGTGTCCATAACTTCCGGTAACAATTTCTGGCCAATACGTGTCAAAAATTGCTTTCAAAAGTTGGCACTAACACTATAAAACCGGCAGAATCAAATGAACAGCACACCCCACATCAGAACCTCATCGAAGCTCTGAACATCAAGTGGAAAGTACGATTGCAACACAAAAAAACCGGGTGCGCACACCGTTTTAATGATCACACGATTGGTGTGAATATAGAGGAGATTCAAAGGGTTAGAGCCGCGAAGGTTGATTGTTTTTCACCATTCCTCCCGATGAAAACCGGGGGAGAGGTGCGATGAATCGATGGGCCATTTGGCTAGCAACGATTATGAAGGTTCAACCAATGGAAAGAAGAGAGGCTAACAGTGAGAGAGGGAGACTCAAACGAGTAGCGGATGGTAATCGTGTAGAAGCCCACACTGAAACAACCAACCCGAAAACGGTCAACCCAACTACAGAATGAACTCTTTCGTCATACGAAACTGAGAATAATCCGCTCAGCTGGTCACGGGTCACGTTGGCATGCAAATTTCAATTCTGCTGGTCCGAGACCTTAAAAGATCAGGGAAAGACCGATCGAGATGGGAGGGTAAACATCGGAAGTTAAGCATTTGATTGTCTTTCTGTCATTGCTTGAGAATTGCTACGAAAATCGAGTTATTGCCATAAACTTTATTCATAAGAACATCGCCGTTTCATAAACAGTACAAAACATAACCAATAACGGCTAAAAACGACACACTCAATTAACATCTGCAAATAAATATTTTAAAATTAGTCTGCTTACACATGATATTACATAATTTAGCTATATTTTATTAACATCTTCAAATATTAATTCCACGTTTTTTAAGCGCGAGCACCGCCGCCTCAAATCGCATATCCAGATCTTTCTAAATGTTGCTTAACTAATCAAAAAAAAAACCAAAACTCACGATGGCCTTATCATCCCAACTTCCATAATATCCCATCGAAGCCCAAGGATCTGAGAATTCACCGTCGCCCCAATACTGGAATATATTTATTTGATATGAAATCGACAACCAGCTGGCACCAACTAACTTAAATTTTTAATTTATTGAGAATTACCATGTCAATTCGCCGCTCGTTCATCGGCACATCCCGCGTCAATTGTGCATAATCGTAGACCAATTTCTCAAGTCGGGGCACCGGATTCGGTTTTGGGCCATAAATTGGACACCTCGTCACCGCATCATACCCACTTCCCACCTAAATCAACCTCCATGTATTTCTCTCACTCCATTCTTACCAAATCCGGGGCTAAAGTGACCCATCCGGATTCTCTCATCTCTGAAATACGAGTAAATTCCATTTCCCGCACGTAATTTTGTAGCTTCTCGTAGGTGTCAGGCTCGCGATTTCTAAAGATTCAAATATTCAGCTTCCAAAAAACAGTACCTTCTAAAATCATAATCACAGTTGATTAGAGTAATCTCGTTGATATTTCGAATCAAAGCGAGCCCTTCACCCTAAACGCTCAATTATTTAAGTCTTTCCAAAGTTACCGTATCCCTCCTTTTCAGAACTAGTCTTTCCACAAATCTAGTCTGCTCTGAAAATCCAGATTGAAAAGTTAGCTGACGATCTTCAGATTGAACCCAGATTGCTGCAAAAACTTTGCTATTGGTGGATTCTGGAGACTTACTGTTCATTATTTCTTCCAGAAAATTCCTCGTTGCATCGATAAACAAAATCATGATGACCTCGAAATCGCGAGCGCCGTTGTACCACGACTGAAATAGATTGCTACCATCTAATTTTTACCTTTAAAACTGACCCAAATAATGTCCCATAGTTCGTTCGATCCATAGTTATCAGAAAATGGTCCTTCCAAGTTAAGGTAAAGCCGTTTGAAAGGAAATTGGAGAGCACTGCCCAGTTCGTTTTGCTTTATTGTTGTTGTCACTTGTTCGAGTTGACATTCCTAAACCGGGATAGTAGCACTAGGATTATAAAACCTGAACATCTCGAAGGAATTGTAGGGGGATCAGGCGCGTTTCATTAAAGAAAATATTCTTCGTCCGCAACGCTTCTAAATGGGTGATTCTCCTCCTTGCCACTAGCATCTTCGTTTTTTGTTTCAAACCTACTAGCCATGATGAACAATTGCGGCCATTCAGCCACCGGATCCACCAGCTCGTCAATCTTACAATTGATTCCCCTCCAATCGGCGATGTCATTAAAAGCCAGACCTTTTGCCTAAATCATAAACCTTATTCTAGAAAATTGTTATAGAAACGAACCGATGACAATTCAGCATTTGTGAGGAATTCCCGTAAATCCCTGGCAAAAGACAAACACCGGAAATCTCGCGGACGTCGATCGTACTCTTCCAGAGTCCTAGAAATTTAAAATTGTGCTGGACGATCCCAAAAGGCGAACCGTATTTTGTAATTCTTCGTCGTCCAAATATTTCCCTGTGCGCCCGTATTGTATCGTACGGTGATCAGAGCAGGTCTTCTCTCAATAATCATATAAATGGCCCACTTCTTCCATCTTCTGACGGCACCGTGCAGTTTTTGGCAGCTACGCGAAAGTTGCAATTTATCTTCATGTGTTAGATATGCGCCGATGTACTCGAGGACCTCGTCGGGTAGTTGTAGTAACATAGGCGCCCTCAAGCTCACCATATGTGGAAATGTCATAAGTAAGTAAAGGAAAGCACGGAAGGTTGAAAAAGAGCTTTGAACGAGATCGATATTTTGCTAATATTGTAAAAAGGAATTAATGGCTGCAATGGGTGAGGTCAGAGAATTGGCGCTGTATGCTATTTATGCCACGCCTGGGTATCTCTGTTCCCGCACAGCCCAGCTTTCGTCCAAAGTGTGACCTAAAACCTTTGGTTTTTGGATGGGCTAACCACTCTATGCTCTCTAACCTCTTCTCTGAAACAGGGACCTGACATGCCAATTGAAGAAAGTGCTGTGACCCTGACAATCAACAAATTTATCAATATGATTAAATTATGTAAATTACAGCACAGTTTCAGAATAAGCGACCTGAACGGGGGTTATTTGAGATGACATAGGAGTGAATGATCGGGTTAGCGCCAACGGAGATGTCCCTGATATTACGAACACCGACAAGTACCAAAAACATGAGAAAAGAGTGGGGGAGCACGAACAAAGGAGTTCATATTGTAATCACACTTCAAAAAGCTCAAGCCGCAAAATGAACGACAGCAAAACCCGATTATAAAATATCGCCGTGTGTTTAAGAAAGACCAGCCTGACCAATAGATATGGCGGAAAAGAAAACCCGACAGAAAAATCAACGAAATCAGATCACTTCAAATACAGTTGTAAATGAGGGAGTGTAGGATTCCGGCAAAATGCAAGGTTACAACATACGAAATGACAAAAACCTGTACAGCATAGACTAAAGATACTAGATAGATTTAATTATGCTTCGCGCGATTGCCCCTCGCATATCCGGCCCAGCGTTGTCCGATTTCCGCCAATTGTTCCTCGCCAGACACGAGATACAGCCATTGCAGAAGATAGACGTGGACAGCATGGTAATCCCATCTGAAAATCTCCGGTAATTGAAAGGGCTTCACAGAACAAAGCGGACGACACGATAACTCATCAACAAACCTTGCCAAATTCGGGGCGCTAGCTAACCCAAGATGTCGGAGATCATAGATCGACCCGGAACCAGTATCGTACAATGGCAGCAACGCCAACAAAGACTGCATTCCGGTTGAATAAAGATGCGAAGCCTTCATAATGCCGTCTGAAAAAACGTACTTTAACGAGATGGTAATTCCTCACCAGCAATTGTCTTGTTCAAAAAATTCTGCTCTGGGATGCTCGATAGATCGTAGAGCCCGATCAAACTGTACATGAAGCCATTTAGGACAAACGAGCCGGGTGTTGTCGGGTATTCTTCATACCTGGAATACCATACTTACATGGTGAAAGTATACATACCATGCCAGTTTACCGACAAAATCATTTCTGACACCGCCATCCTGAGCAAGCTAAAAAACGTTTGTCATAGGCCCAAAAATAAAATCACCTTCTCAAAAAGTCCAAGAGCCTTCACGGCAGAAACTAAATAGTTTTCATCCCTGGTATCATGCCAAGCCCGGGTCAGCAGCGAGATCATATGGCCTAAATGAAACAATCGGCTATTACTACAACTAGAATTTTACCTTGCGCCATGGCTGAATACCACCCGGGTGGCAGGACCAGCTTACGGTCTGCAATCGAACGTTCAACCGGAATCGGCCAACCACCCTAAGGAAAGTTAGGCCAAAACACTGATATATATACCTTTTCATCTTGCTGACTAACAGCCCAATTTGCTGCCGTATGGAAAAGCTGACGATGAACCTGGGTTCGCTGCCAAATTCTCTGAACGAGTGTGGCTTCACCGCGGAAACCGACCGAGATAAATTTCAAATCGCCTGAAAAAGTAAATTTGAATTTCTAAATATTGCCACAAGTCTCACCGGGGTGGTAAATGATATTATCAGTCTTTTTGCCGGATCCATTTGAGGTCATCGCTCTGGCAGCATCAACTTGCAGATCCCTGCTCACATTCGACCATCTGTCAGCCTGATCCCCAAGAGAATAGGTGAACGAGATCTAAAAGGTAGATGAAGAGATTAAGAGGTGCTAGACTAATCTACTGACCCGATCCTCTCCGGCTGCTACCCCGTCAGCCCAAACGCATCTCGGGTCATCGGTCTGCACATAGTTCAGCAAAATTACAGCACCCGTCTCGCGAACTTGCAACTAAAAAAAAAGACGGTTTCACAATACCAATGAATCAAAGCGTTGAAACACTGTCAACCCAAAAACTATAATAATTACCATAAGTGTAAACGAAGCATTCGCCTGTGGCCTCCAGCTGAATTCAACAATGTGGAGGTCCGGGTCCTGCTTCAGATAGAGATAAACACCGCCATTTGTCAAAGAGGCTGAAAAATGGTATATTGAATTAGAGAAATGACCTACAAGAACTGCTAATGTTCACGTATTCAGTCTTCGTCTCGTTGTCCGTAAAATAAGTCCGTATACTGATCTGGTGTACCGTGGAGGCAGTCCCCTAAATTCAGTAATGGTCTAAAGGCATCTCATACCTGCCAATCACGATGTTCTTTCCCAAGCTCTGCAACCCTGACTTCACTGCGATCCTCTAAACAAAATTCCATTTTTACATATTGAATCTAACCGTCCACCATCCGGCTATAATGCTGCAGTCCATATTGAGCTATTTGGATGGGATAATAATAGGGAGTCGGATCCCATTGCGTTGACATGGGTACGCCTGGAAAATTGATAGTGATAGCCTTACCAGCTTACTGACCAGTATCTGGATTTATACACCTGACACGGTCCCTGGTCTCCACACTGTAAGATGCAAAGTGGCCAAATTCTGACGTGTAGTTATAGGCCTTGAAATCCGGAATTTTGACACGGGCGTACGAGGTGATCCACTCGAAAGTATCGTTATCTGAAAAACAAAAATGTTAGCTATCCATCAGACCTTATTTGATTTCTATCTATGGGCAACATGTTCTAAAAGCATGGCTCACCAGTTGCGTGTCCAGAGATGTCGAAGCGCTTCTTTAAGAAGTTGAACGGGAAGTAGTAGTCGGCATCGTCACGGAGGCAAGTCAATTGTTGTCCATCGGCCGAACATTTCACCTTCCGAGCTTCTTTTTCTATCGGTACTGGATCAGCCTCAGATGATTCACTCTTCTGCATGTTGGGGTAATACTTCATTTGCTCCTCGACGGTTGCTAAATTGTAGACATATAAATCAATCCATAGGGAGTGAACTGACCTTCACCCTCACTGGCAAAATATAGGTTGATTAGAAACAGCAGAATCATCGCGCCGAATAGGTAGAGGGACTGCCTCCTTATCCCGCGAGGCATTTCTGCGTGTTGTAGGCTTGATTCCCTATAAAAAGATAGTTTACGGAAACTCTGAAACGAATATTTGAGAACCAAGAACACACCGCGATAAGTACCAAGAATCAGGTCAACTTCAGAAGTGGGACTATTTAGACCTGGCTCAGGCAAAATAAAATGGCGCTCTCATAAGGAAAGCCTGGGCTCTACTATCGATTTCACGTATCCGTAAGGTAATCCGGCTAAATTGCGTTATATGGTCACTAAACGGATTTTGGATTTTTATATACCAAAATGTTCAGCAGTTCGAGCTGGTTGAGGATCAGTTGAAAAAACTATTGGGAAACACTTCTGGAGCGAGTTATAACATTGCAAAGTTGGCGAGTGTCGTATTTGGTCACTAAACGGATTTTCGATTTTCATATGTCAAAATGCTCAGCGGGTCGAGCTGATTCTAGAACAGTTGAAAAAACCTTTGGGAAATACTTCTGGAGCGAGATATACCACTACAAAGTTTGGCGTCACCCCGGCCCACTACATAACGTTGTCGCCCCGGCGAGTCAGTTTTCGGGGTTGCGAAAAATGGTTGGGTTCGAAATGGGTTTGGCATGAAACTACACACCCGATCTGAGCCTAAAAATAAGGCTTCGTGCCACCCGGGGCCTAGTCGCTTCGGATGGGCGCGAGCTCGTACAGGGTTTCTAAATGGGGGCGCCAAGGCCGGCGAAGCGGCCGGGGGCGCCCCCATTTCGAAAGAGTGGAGCGGCAGCCCATCCGAAGCGACGGCCCACCTTGCCTGACTCATGGGAGTACGTTGAATAATATACCACTTATGAGATATACCACTTCGAAGTTGGGCTTCAAACAGCCCCCTATATACCATGTTTTTGCCCCGGAAGTTCCGTTTTAGGGGGCAGGCAGATGGATAAGTGTGCGATAAGCGTTTGGCTTGACATTACACACTCGATCTGAGCCTGAAAATAAGGCTTCGTGCCACCCCGGGGCCTAGTCGCTTCGGATGGGTGCGAGCTCGTACAGGGTTTCGAGACCGGGGCGCCCGAGGAGCGCGAAGCGCCCAGGCGCCTCGATTTCGAAAGAGTGGAGCGGCAGCCCATCCGAAGCGACGGCCCACCTTGCCTGCCCATGTATTTTTTTACCCTTGAAACGGCAATTCTCTACCATTCCGTTTCTTTCCGAGGTACAGTTGGCGTATGTTGGTGTACTACCTACTACTTCAGGGGCTGAATGGACGGTTTGTAAGCTAGATATCTCGCGACAGAGATTTTTCCCAAAAGTTTTTTCAACTGATCTAGAATCAGCTCGACCTGCTGAGCGTTTTGACATATAAAAATCGAAAATCCGTTTAGTTACCATATACGACACTCGCCAACTTTGAAGTGTTATAACTCGCTCCAGAAGTGTTTCCCAATAGTTTTTTCAACTGATCCTCAACCAGCTCGAACTGCTGAACATTTTGGTATATAAAAATCCAAAATCCGTTTAGTGACCATATAACGCAATTTTCCCGGTAATCCCAAGTCTCAAAAGGCCGCTCCAACTTGAAATTCTTCTCAGGCATAACTACTAATCTATTTGATCCTAGTTTTAGGCAGCCAGGTAGCCGATAAACGCCGTATAGTAGGGAATTTCGTTGAGCAAAAGCGTATACTACGGAATTAATTCAGACCAGGTGAAATACTTGAGCTTTTTATCGCAAATCCGGTCTAATCCGGCTGGAAGGAAGCGATTCGGATACCCGATTATGACATGTTTAGTTGCGAGCTCAAACCACTCTGTCGGAGTGTCGATTGGATGATGTCGGACTTAAACGAGCGGCTCGGAAGATGTTTTTATTTCTTTCTTTTGAGCTTTCTCTGCGGATTTTCGCTACTTGATTATGATTTTTAATTTTTGCGTTTGCTTCGATTCCTATACTTTTCTAGGATGCATTTGCTTCGCCTCGTCCGCACGGCACGGCCCGCTTTCGCCTATGGACAACAAGTCGCGGCTCTTTCGACCAAGGGTATTCGTAAAAATAATGGCTACAATGTTGTTTAGCTCCCGAAATGATCACTGTCGAAAAGACTGGCAAGGAGAACCGCGTGCAGTTGATCAAATTGAACCGACCGAAGCGTCTGAATGCTCTGTGCGGGCAACTGATGTCCGAGGTAATTCTTGTTTTTGTGGTTGGTAAAGCCGATTGGCGGTTGGCAACATCAATATTTTCTCATTTTCAGTTGAGCGATGCCTTGCGCGCAAGTGATGACGATGATTCGATCGGTGCTATTGTGATTACGGGCAGCGACCGCGCTTTTGCCGCCGGCGCTGACATTATTGAGATGGTATGCTCGTCTATTTTACTCGTTAGGTTAGATTTAGGTGAATAAGGAATTTGCGTCGACGTATCAAGGACGATTTTTGGAAAATTGGACTGCCGTGACGGAGACAAGGAAGCCTGTCATTGCCGCGGTTAATGGGTACGCACCAGGCCACCTTGTTTTACGAATATTGGAGTCACGCCATCACGATTCGTATATTTATTTTTCTAGATTCGCGCTTGGTGGTGGCTGTGAATTGGCAATGATGTGCGATATTATCTACGCTGGTTTGTCGGCCCGTCGATTTGGTGTATTATTGTTGTTTAGGTGATAAGGCGGCATTTGGGCAGCCCGAAATCAAACTTGGAACGATTGCTGGAGCCGGTGGAACACAGCGGTTGACGCGCGCCGCCGGCAAGTCGCTGGCTATGGAGATGAATCTGGGAGGCGATCCGATCAACGCTGAAGACGCTCTCAAGTCCGGACTGGTCTCGAAGGTATTCTTTTACCCAAGGAGTTTGTATGGTGTTGCCATGATCATAGTTATTTTATCATCTTCTTTCAGGTTTATCCAGCTGATCAAGTTGTTGGAAAGGCCGTTGAACTTGCGGACAAGATTGCTTCTCATTCTCCACTCATCGTCGCTATGTGCAAGGTGTGTATTTATTATTTTATTGGGAGGTTGCGCTGCTGGGTAATTTGTGCAGAACGTCTTTTCCTCGACAGTCTGACCCACATGCAACCGGTTTTGAAGGCAGGGGCGGAAACCTGGAAGACCGCCGATATACTTTTTTAAACCAATTTTGATTTCTTAGGAAGCGGTCAACTCCGCCTATGAGATGACTCTTCGTGAAGGGCTTCACTTCGAGCGTCGTCTCTTCCACACCACGTTTGCTACAAATGATCGGAAGGAAGGGATGACGGCCTTTGCGGACAAGCGGAAGGCCAAGTGGACGTCTTCCTGAACTAGCTGGTATCCAGGAATATAAATTATTAGTTGTGATTTATGAATAAAGTTTTTGGCAGGTATGAAGGTACACTAGGTTTGTTCAACGCGCGTTGCAATGACTGAATTCTCAACCCCCGCGATTTCTTCTCGGCTCTAAATGCTAACGACCACTCGTTTCCACCTTTGGATTCCATTTTCCATATGGATTGGCTGGGTGTGTTATGGACGGGGTGGAAATGTCCATGATTTTACCTGCGCCCGTCACGTAATGATCGCTGTGAAGGTCGAGATCCAGTGGCTGGAGAGTCGGGCAACAACCCGTGTTCTCACAACTCGACCTCCGATCCCAGGCCCGCGTGAGAATGGCATGCTGGCACCCATGACGCGACCGCAAGTTGATTCTTGGGTGTTATTTACCTTGGTTGGATGATAATGATTTTGTAATATAGTTGCGCAGCTCAAGTGATTTGTCTGATAATAGTTTAGGTCTTCGTCGATCTGTTTATTCGCACTAATTGAGCTGGGCAATCCCTAAGGTGTCCAAAAATTATTCACAAGAGCGGACTTTAATGATTTCGCATGCCCTGTAATAAATAGATGAAGCTCGGCCGCACATGTGCACATGCTCGAGCCGGCTCATCGACATTTTCTAACCGGATCTATGTCCATATAGATTTGGGAGAACAGAATGATTGGGGCGTTCCGCCAATAGACCGCATTCACCACGTGGGGTCGACAAGCACAGGCGAAGAGGATGGCGATCATGTGTTTCCTATGCGATGGAACAAAGCCCGGCCAGCCGACCCCCTGCTGCCAGCCGTCGTCGCTTATCAATGCACCCAGGAATTGTTGCCGACGATCGAGGTCACTCCAACATCATCGAGAGAAAGATGCAAAGTCACGTGGCCGCCCAAGCTTTGTTCCATAGCTCTGTATTTCTCGGGGATCGGATGCATACGGTGGATAGCTCTCATCTTCAACTAATCGCGCCTCAAATTTTGGGGGTATATGGGGTGCTGGCTAGGCGGAGCCTAAAATCCCCTCGTTAGCAAGACGCTTCCAGTTTCCTCAAACGAACCTCGCGCCACAGCTTTCAGACGTTAAATCGGTTTGGTGGGAAAGGGAGAAAAAAATGCTTTGATTTCAGTGTGGGAGCGGGCACTTCCCCCCTTAAATAAGTCGATACCTTAGCGCTCCCCCCAAAAGCCCCGAATCCGGAAAAGGAGGAAAGCCTACCCGCCGATGGCTTGTGGATTTTCCCACAGCAGCACTGGGCAAAAGCCTGATGGCCCGCCCACCCAGCAAAGGCATCTCTTATTTCCATGCCAATTTCCCTCTGCTCGATTGGTTAAAGGCATTCCGCGTTCGGAATTGCGTCCCAATGCTTCAGCTCCAGTTTTTGTTGCATTCCGTTAGCATGGTTTTACATAGTCATTGGATTATAACGGCCTCATCGCGCAATGAAATTTCATCCGGGGTATCTTTGGACTTTTGATCGCAGCAGAACTGTGACGCGACTTCAAAAACATCCAAGGCTATTCCAATAAATACAGCCCTTTATTGCACAACTAAGCCCCCCTATTTAATCCTATCGTTTTTGGCCGCGGAATTGTTTGCGCAAACAGTAATTTCGAAATTGTGCGTGATCGTGGGACAGCTCTAAAATTCGTGTGCATATCGCTGCTGTCTGCCAACCGACCAACAAACAATATTTGGTCTAGTGTGTGCTGGCGTCGCGGGTCTCTCACTCAGCGCCATCCCTCACTGAGATGTTTTTCTCGAATGTTCTTTCACTCTCCCATCCACCCCACCACCCAGCAACCCCCGCAGGCAAAAAGTGTGCCTTGCAAGACTTATCGGTCTGCAACGAAGCTAATTTATTCGTTTTTTTTGCTTATCTTTCCCACTTGTAGCGGGTTTGCGACTGATGAGCAACTTCTCGCGTAGTTTTCCTCTATATACCGTACGCCTCGTTCGCCTTTAAAGCTCCTTTAAAATGCTCTAACTAGCTTTGCGATGCCAGACCCGTTACACAACGCTAATGCGTATATTTTTGGCTCTTGCTCATTGCCGTCACGCTCTAAAGAATATGACAAAGCGTCAATAGAACATTTTTGGCTGGGGATTAGCGTCCACTTCATCGCTTGGCCAGTGATCGGGTGAATTATGTTTCCTAAGTGCAGATTTGCATATACATATTTACGTGATCGCCCTTCAGCGAAAATGACTCACTTTGTGGGGACACTGCCCACGGTCCTAGTTTTTTGTTGACGAATAGCGCGGACTCGAAAAGAACGTTCTAGGGTCTGTGCCCGACTATGTCCTTTTGCTATATGGAAAACAGCTACCTATGCACTTCATGCCTTACGACATGCAAAAAAGATCGTGGCCGCCCGATACCGCGATGTCCCATATGCTAATTTCACCTTTATTTTTTATTTTTTTTAATGAGAGTATTTCGTGGAACCGGAAACCCGCCTATAACGGCTTCTTTAAACAAGGGAACGGGGCGGAGAGTTGTTTTGTTTACCTCGAATAGTCGGGTTTTCACTGGAACGGGGGCAGTGTTATGAGGGTGCTTTTGAAGCGGGGCTGTCTGCCCTTGAAGTGAAACGTCATTCCTTGTCCGACATCCCTGGTTCCTTATCTTTTTTTAGCACGGTTTGGTCATTGCCAAGCAATTGTCTGGCCGGAAGTTCATCATGTTTTGAAAGCATTTAGGCTTCCTTGTGAAGTTTTTTGTAATTAAATTTGATCAGTCATTTTTGGAAACTTTTACAGCTCTCTCTTTGAAATTTGATGGCCATGTGACCTCAGAAATGTTCCTCAAGTTCCGACTCGACGACATTTTTATGGCAACAGCGATAGATTGGACAGCTGAGTGATGCCCCGTTCGGCAAACACACTTCCCTTTCCTCCTCAACACCAACTCCCAGCCCATTTATGATAAACCAACCAAATCATCAAATACTGGCAGAGATTCCCATCAACTGATGGCCTTGAGTGCCGGCTCGGGCCGAGACCTCTGGGTACAATGTCCACCCTTCCCATGTTTCCGGTTTTCGCTGCAAGAAATGCTGAGGGGGAAAAGCTGCAGCGTTCGTATTTCAAAGCATTTTAAGATCGTTTTTAAGAGATTTCAATTTTTTTTTGGGAAATTCAATTCTCTGAATTCCTTTGCGCCCGAACTTCCTCTTCTGGATGCAGCCCAAAACTAACCAATTCTTTTGGGCGTTGGCCTCCCCTTCTCCACACCCTGAGGGCCTCCTTGCACAAGCCGAAGCTGGCAGCTCGCACCCTCGGCCCCCTCCTTTTGTTCGGGAAGTTTTTTCCGGAATCCCCATGGGATGTGTCGTCTTCCTCCGACGGCCAATCTGCCACTAACCCTTGTTCCTCAAAGGGCAAAGAGCAAAAGAATAATCCTGACGAAGATTTATGCTAATCCCAAACCAATCCAACGTATTTACAATGATTAACGGCAACAATAAGTAGCTGAGAACATCGCTGCCATTTCCTTTTTCCTTTTTTTTCCCAGTTTCGAGGGGTTGTATTTGAAGAGCAAAACTGGGAGATGGGGCAAAAGCTGCAGACAGTTGCATGAAATGTTCTTGCTGTTTTCTGGCACATTGAAATCTTTGAGGTCGTGAGAACACACGGCCGTCGGTGTGCCGCAGTTGCCCATTGCTTGTGTGTGTTTGTGGGTTGTTGACGAGAGTCCCCCCGTCCGACCCCGTTTTGCACTTTTCCCCACTTCTTGCACAACAAGACTAATATGTAAAGTGTGTAAGCCGCAACTGACTGCCAGTTTTTTTCCTCCCACGAAAATTTAATTTAACTACTATTTACTACTTTATTTAACAAAATCCAAGTATATTTCAAGGTGTCCCTAGAAATTTCCAAAAATTATGATTCGTGCTCCTGGAAACCTCAACTTCTAAATGTTCCAAACCTTAAAAATAGTATCTTTTTATTATTTTTCAATTACGTGCTTTTACATCTTTTCGCTTTCCTCCTTCCTATTGACGGGTTTGTCCGGAAGAAAGAGGACTATTTTGCCCACTGGCTCTTCCCCGGAAATTTGAGACATCCGAAGCAAAAACGAAAATAAGACACCGGAAAATTATTTTCTTAATTTTGCTAGACGGAAATACTCCACCTAAGCCTAAAAAAAGTGCTTATCCTACCTTGTCCTTTTCTTCATTGCTTCTATTTCCTTTACGTTACTCCCCCCCCCTTCCCCGGTGAGTAGGAAGTCCCTGGGGGTCTTCGCTCCCCTGAAAAAATTTCTTTTCCAAAGTCAATTCCCATTTCCAGAGAGGGTTTGGGCCGGAATCCCAGTTGGTTGCCAAGAAAGATAGAGAAAAACAGACATGCTCCCCCTCAGGCCAGACCCCTGTTTTTGCCGGCTGGCAAGCCGTGGGCACCTTAACCTCGTTCTCACGTGGCGCATCCACTGACTCGTTCTCCGCGGCGGCTTTTTCCTCTCCGTCCGCCTTGGTAAGAACAATGTCCCCAATTTTGCAGCTGATCAACGACTCTAATTTAAGCCATCTTAAATTTATGGGCTTATTTTTGGGTAATTTGTCACGGTGTTAGGCATTGCCTTGCGTGTGGAATTGAAGAAAACCACTGACTGAGGATGTGCTTCCACAACAATCGCTTAAAAATTGATAGCTTTTCCACGATGTTTTTAGAGTTTTGTTTATGGTTTTTTGTTGGGGCCTCTGTCCAAAAAAGTGCTCTATTTTGCGATGTTAACCTTGTATCCATAGACCGGAAATGATCAACCCCGAGTCCCTTAACAGCTGTTGTGCTCTGGAAGTATATTTTTGTCCATTTCTCGTTCCAGATCTATCCCTATGCTTTCGACTTTTCTGTAAAAGAGCAAGTTTTTAGTGCCTTCCGGCAGCTTATGTAACCAAAATGATCTTCCATTACTTCACTTCCGCCCTCAGCTGGCTGATATTTTCACACGTAGGTTATTAAAAATATAAGAATTGTGTGTGGTTAGTTAAGACCTTGGCAACGATTTTTTTTTCTTTTGCAGCCGTGGTTCTGTCTCCTTCTAATCATCATTGCCGTTGTGGTCGTCGTCGGGTTTCTGAATGTGAATGTTGAGCCAGATTCTGGTACCTCGACCCCAGGCAAGTATCCAACTATTACGGAAATTAGACAAAAAAACCATCGTTACACTATTGGTCCTTTCAGAATCGAGCTCCAGGAGACTTTCTTTCATACATGAAGTTGAAGAAAAGCTTGATGCGACAGGGGATGAAGCCGTACAAGCAGCTCTTAGCCTCCCACGAAGACGAAAGCGTGATTGGGCCAGAAAAGTCTATCGAAGCTTGATTGTAAGTTTATCATGCCATCTCGAGAACTCGACGTTTTAGCAAAGCGAATCTTCGGGGAGTTCGACTCCAGAAGAACCGGAAGGGCGGACACCTGAAAGACGGATACCCAAACTCAGCCGTCGCCACTCTACCGCACATCCATTACACCTGGCAAAAGAGTTGGCACCTTTTTGTCCTAAATATGGTCGATGTTTTTAGGATCAAGCGTCGAACCATGCACTACTTTCGACAAAGATCAGGCGGTGCTCAATTTAACCGTGAAGCGCTTCCAAGTCCGCCGATGGAGTTCTACGAGCCAGCCGATTTGCCGGCCATACCTCATGATCTGACGCCTGAGATGTTCTACGTGATGCATAATTTAAAGTATGTCTTTTCATCCACAGCATAGCACACCCATCTTTTTATAGAATGCTAGAGCTTCCGGCCGAGTCGACTGTTGACCCTAAAGACATCGTAGTGACACAGTATGAAGCTGATCAATTTGTTGTCACTCCTGGAGATGAGGACGACAGCATGTATATCCCACTTGATGGCTCGTTGGCTGTTTATATTGCTGTAAGTACGACAATTGACTCCTAGAAAACCACGAATATTTAGTGCGCCGAAGGGAAGGATAGCAAGGATTATATGGTGAAGAAAATCCATCGTGGAAATGCCTTCTTCTCCCTTCTTTCAATGCTAGACATGTTGATGGGATCTCCATCTATGTTCAAAACGGTTTCATTGAAAGCTCTAGAACCGACTAAAGTCGTACGGTAATATTTTAGAAAAGGATTGTTAAACTCGAGTGATTTTAGATATTCAATCCGATCATTTGTTGATGCCTACAAACAAGATCCAGTATTATGGTCAAGAACGATTCAGGTTAGTCCGAGATCAAAACTTGAAAAGACCATAATTTGAGGTTGCGTGCACTCGCCTACTTCATGTGACGATGACAACGTTGCATAATTACATGGGATTAAGTTCAGAACTGATAAAGCCGGTGAGATATACATTTTTTGGTGAATATCTCGAGACCTAGAGAGTGAAAGACCCTCGTTCAAATACGACACCATTCTCACTGAGCACCGATTCAATGAGAAGACATGCGGCCGGTTCTCCATTCACCCAGAAGCTCAGATCGATGTCTCTAGGCCGACGTCAGCAAAATGATTTCGTCGAAGGTTTGTAAAGGCATTCCGTGCGTTATTTCGATGCTTTATTTTATAACCTAGTTGATTTTTTAGCCAAGGCTGAGCAGAAGCCAGAAATCGCAGCCCGTTGGTTCGCTGAAGCACTCCAAGTTACCGACCCGGCCAGCCTGAAATTGATCGAAAATTTGAAAATTCAGGTAGCTTCGCCCAGCATTTAATTAATTAATTCATTTCAGAACTACGAAGAAGATGAATTGATCCTGGAGCAAGGAAGCGAGGACGAAAGGCTGGCAATAGTCCTGCAGGGGACTGTGTTGCTAAAACAGGAATCAGTCTTTGATGAAGAAGACCCAGATGCAGAAGAGAAATGGGCTTCGTCCATGCATTCAAAGGAGCTGATTGGTGGCTTGCAGGTGAGAGCAACATGTATATTTATTTAATTCCATTAGGTCCTCACCAATGAGCCGTCATTCTACACTTACAAGGCAAAAAATGCTGTATCGGTTGCTTGGCTTGATAAGGAACTTGTGCAAGCGTAAGTTATCAAGTACGTTATCTCACCGGCAATTTTCGTACCACAACTATAAAGCTATTTTCAGGCTGATAGAAGCCCGGCCTAGCGTTTACCTTGTCATCGCGCATTCAGTGCTCTGCCGGCTATCTGCATTTGTGCGTGGAGTAGATTTCGCACTGGATTGGGTGCTAGTCGACAGTGGACAATCGGCATACCGGTATTTAGGCTAGAAAAAAGAACAACAGTCTTTTTTCAGATTCGGAGACACTTCCGACTCCCTGTTCGTCGTCTTGTCGGGTCGTCTTCGGTCGGTTGATAAGAAAGTTGTAATCGAAGAGTTTGGACGTGGCGATGTTCTTGGAATGGTATGTGTTATGATATAGCCGTCAGCTGTATTTCAGATTGACCTTCTTCAAAAGAAGCCCCGCTCGACCACTGTCTTAGCGGTCAGATTCTCACAGTTGGCTCGAATTCCTGAGGGCTTGCTGAATTATATCAAGCTGTCGTTCCCACAGGTTGTATTCCCATATAATAGATCAATGACTCAGATTTCACCTATGCAAATTCAAAAGTTAACAATAAAAATTCTAGGTCGGCTTCCGGCTTGTACATTTGCTGGGACAATACTACACCACTTCTCCATCTAGAAGATCCATGTTCAGTCCATCAGCCAATACCCGCTATCTCGACCAATCTGGGGCTGACCCGATGAGTCATATCAAGGTTTTATCTCCTTACAAAAACCTATTTTATCTATTCAGAATCTGCGCACCATTGCTGTCATTCCGGCCTTCCCGGAAATCCCCCTCACTTCCTTCTGTTGCGAGCTTTTCGCGGCGTTGAGTAAAAACTGCCGGTTAGTCGCTGCTCGAAGTGCAGGTTAATATGGCTTTCAGGGTGCTTCGACTGAGTTCCGAAAAGATTGCTCGGACGTTGGATCCCAGCGTATTAGAAAAGTAGGAGTGTCACAACTTTATTTCATATTTTTGTAGGCCTGCTGACTTCCGCCTTATGCACTGGCTGAATGTCCAAGAAGAAGCCTATTCACTGGTGATCTATGAATGTGATTATTCGGCGACCAATTGGAGTAGGAGGTTTGTAAAATCAACACGGCTTTAAAAAACGTAAATATAGATGTCTACGACAGGCAGACGCCATTCTGTTCGTAGGACTTGGTACCAAAACACCACCAAAGCATTCCCTACTAGATGATGTAAGATTATACTGTAACTTTCTAAAAGTATTTTAGTTGAAAAAAGATGAGAAGGATGGGCTTCGGACAAATAAGGAACTAATCCTGCTATGGCCGGAAGATACGCGCACGCCTACGAATACATACCAATGGCTAAAGGGATCGTACTTTTCTGGTCATCACCATATCAGGAGTCCAAAGAGAATGTGGCAATGGCATATGGCTAAAGATGGAACAAAAACAGTGTGTCGCTATGGCCTTGTTTGTATTGTTATATTTTAGTGCTCGGAACGTGAAATCATCGACTACTATGAGGAAAATGTCAAATTTGAGAAGATGGATATGCGGTCGGACTTTGGACGACTTGCGAGGATTCTAACCGGAAATGCGATTGGGCTGGTACTAGGAGGAGGAGGAGCCAGGTGAGTGATTTATTCTACGAAGTGAAACTTATTGAATGTAACACTTGAAAATTTAATGTTGTTTTTAGAGGAGCCGCCCATCTTGGAGTGATCCAGAGTATGCAACAACTCGGGATCCCTATCGACATGGTAGGCGGAACGAGCATTGGTTCGATGATTGGCGGTCTTGTCGCGGAAACGACAGCTGGTTCAGAACTGATCCCACGTGCCAGGAGCTGGTTCATGGTATTGTATATTCGCGTATTTTGAAGTTAAATTTTAGGACATGACAAGCTTATGGCGCAAAATTTGGGATCTCACCTATGCACATACGGCAATGTTCACAGGAGCCGGCTTTAACCGGGTAGGTGTTTTTAAAGGGTCCAGCTTCGTAAGTAACCATGAATACGCTAGTGTATTGCAATAACTTTTCAGACCCTACACGATCTTTTTGGCGAGCGTGTAATCGAGGATCTCTGGATACCATACTTCTGTATTTCCACCGATATTTCAACGTCGGAAATGCGTGTCCACCGAACAGGGCCATTATGGACCTATTGCCGTGCATCAATGTCGTTGGCCGGCTACTTGCCACCAATCTGCGACCCGCAAGATGGGCATCACCTTCTCGACGGTGGCTATGTCAACAATTTGCCGGCTGATGTAATGAGGTACGGTATCGTACAAAAAAGCAACAACGCCTTTGGTTAGCATAAATAATTAAATACCACTATCATCTTATAGATCGATGGGTGCGAGAGTAGTCATTGCAGTAGATGTTGGGGCCGTTGAAGAAACGAACCTCCACAATTATGGTGACACCCTCTCGGGCACCTATCTACTACTCAGCAAATTTAACCCATGGGCCCAGCCAGTCCGCGTATTAAATATGGAGGAGATTCAAGTAGGCTCTTTTTATTATGAACTTACAATGTTATTTAGTCTCGACTGGCCTTTGTCTCGTGTGTAAGACAGCTGGAAACTGTCAAAAAGGCTCCATACTGTTGCTACTTGCGACCACCAATCGAGACGTTCAAAACACTCGATTTTGGACGATTCGAGATGATTATGGAAACGGGCGAAAGATACGGGGAGAAGGTGCTTGTGGACCTGTTGAGGGAAAATGAGGCGCTTCGGAAAGCGATGGGCACTGAAGAATGCACAAGGAGGTTAGCTCGACAACAGAGCGGAATTGATAAGGATCGCATTGATCGGTTTGTTTTTAGTAAAATATGGGTTTTATTTCTTTCTCGATGCAGCTAAATAACGAAGCTATTTTAGCTGTATGTCTACTTCGTTCACTGACTTGGCAGCAGCCTTGTCGAAAGTACCATCATTCCATCGAAGAAGAAATTCCCTATCAGCCCTCGACCAGATTGACCCATTGGAAATGGAGGAGATCCTCGAGGAACTAATTAATAATGATGGTGGGACATAAAAAAGAATACCTTTAATCAATTTGATACCGTACCTTTCAACCGATGTCTTTCAGATTCACACAGCGATATCTTCATTGTATCTGAAGACGCAGACGGAGAAGAGCTTCATGATGAGCTCGTTGAGACTCACTAAACTTATTTACGGTTATTTGTCTTGTTAGTTTGTTCGTGTAGTGGCTTTTTACGGTTAGATGACCTTCCGGAAGAGACATTTATCGTGTTGTGTTGTATTCCAGTTTCTCGATCTTTGGTGCATGCTATACGGGATTCTGCTCACTGTGTAATATTTTGTTGAATTAGCCATGTTCAGAGTTTTAATAAACATTTTTATTTGCTGACGACAAAAATGGCAGCGAGGAATACAAGTAAAACATCGAGGCAATGAAAAGCGAAAAACCCGTGCTTCTGTGCGCCCCGGAGTGTGAAGTAGTCGCGTGGTTTGGCTGCCAGTCTGAATTTTTTTTGATAACTCTATGAAGCAGTTATACCGTAAAATGTAACCGAAGTACGACTCTTTCTCTGTTTTCGGCTTGTCGATCAGCATTGCAGATAATCTCTTGGCAGATCTGGCATATCTGGAACCAACTCTTCGATTAGTAACCAAGCTTGGGCTCAAGGCAATGTTTTTCATACTTTCCATCCTCGAGCACGTCTCTGATTGCGCTCTCGACACCTTCAGGGGTGAGGTTCAGCTTATCTAACACTCTCGCGATCCCGAAACGCTCAGCTCGTTGGGCGTTAATCTGTAATACACATAAATACCGAGTCGTACGTTTTCAAGTACCTTTTGATCGGCGAACAAAGGCATCAAAACAGCTGGAACTCCGGCTTGTGCCGTTTCTAGCAGAGAATTGTATCCGCCGTGCGCAATCAGTAGTTTCGTCTGGGGATGCTCTATAAATTCCCTAGAGATTCAAAAAGGATCCTACTCATCAATTGCTTCTGCGGCAGCCATTTCAACAGATGAACATGTTTTAATCCCTCTATACCAGGAACTCCCTAAGAAGGTTTTCTTACATAAGCCGGTTATCACCTTCTCCATCCTCCACAAAATTGTGTAAGATTTAAGTTGTGCGAAAGCACCCAAGAAGCTCTTCTAAACACCTCTTATGTTGTTGTTCGACTGCCGATAACCCACGATCATTTGCTCTGGCATATTGGTGGTATTTGAAACAGTCCCCAAGGAAAACAGAACAATGCCATCACTTGGTGTCGTCAGAATATTTTCTATCTCATCACCGAGGCCTTTCGATTCAGCTGTAAACCTGGATCAAAAATTTCCAGATCCGTTCACCTTTTGCTGTCGACACTCCTAGTTCTCCCGTAAAGGAGACGTGAAGTGAAAGAGGTCGAGGAAAATCTAGCATTCGTTCTCCATTAATTAAAAGGGCAGAGACGTCCATGGAGAGATCCCATAAGTCGCTCTCATTTGGGCCTACCAGCTCTGAAATTTAGCAGCCTATTGTTTGGGGCGCTCAGTTTTTACACCACCTCTATACATATCGTTCTCTTCATATAGCAGGTTTTGTGGCAGATTTACAAAATCCAAGAGCGAAATGTGCCATAACAGGTTTTGCACCTAAAATTTGTACAAATCCATTTGGAATTTTCGATTACTCGATCCCAAAAATCCAAGGAAAAGCCGCCGCTTGACAGGGGGTGTGGTACGGCTGCGGGCTGTGTTCTGAGCCCTAGCTGAATACCCGCAAAATCGTAAATTGACGTTCCATGTGTGATCCAAACCATCTAAACAATTTATAAAAAACCCAATCGTAAATTCTTTTTACCTTGCTTACATTCGCTTTATGGGCGATTGCTAGTGGGCAGAGATCGTGAAAATGGCCGATGGCTAGGTCGAACCTGTCAGCCCGCAATTTAGAAAACTTGTCGTCAGAATCGGCTGAACCCATGCATTCCTATTCAGATGACCCTTACTTAGCATTTGATGGCAAGCCTCAAGGCGCATCGATCGAAATTCTTGGCCAGTCCACCACAAATCATAGGCATCCCCAGCGGAAAACATCATCGATTGAAACACCTAAAAGTTGTTATGGCTTTCCCAAAAGCCTAAAAATTACCTTGAGTCCCTCAGTCTTCAGAGAATCCGTGAAATGTATATTTGTACGATATTCCACGGTACCAGATGGTAATTTATTATTGCCTGTATCGAGCATAGACATTTCCATTTGCGTCCACAGGACGACTTCATGGCCCAAGGATCTAAAGAACAATAATTTTGAGGTTTAGGTGAATTGGCTTCGGATAGGTTGCAAACCTTAGCGTCTCCGCCAGACGGTAGTTAAATAAAACATGGCTATTGGTAAATCCCGGGACGATTTGAAGAATCTAAACATTTTATTAAGAATAATCTCGTGCAAAGGATTCATCGAAAATGTTGCTTCGTGTTATAAAATACCTTTAGCCCGGAAGCAACATTAAACAACAGAAATAAAAATATTTCATTTCGTAGCAACATTGGCCACGCAAAGTTTCGTGAACGAACTGACCTTGGGTTCGATATCAATAGGTTGTCCTCTCTCTTATCCCTTGCCTGGCATCCCCTACCGGTAATCTCCGAGATCATCGCGCTAAATTAGCTCTCTGCGGCTCTTTACGTCACAAACTCCGTGCACTTTTATGCGATCTGTTTCATAACGTTGTAAGAGTGCTAGTTTCGCAAGTTGAAGTTGATATGTTTTATCACAAATTGGCAAAGTTAATTTAGAGAAGTTTGCAAATCATACTAGGGATGACAGGAATCACAATCGCAGAATAGCACAGCAAGTCGGGGCAAAATAAAAAATCGGCGATTTTTTCAAGAATGCCATGGCAGACGGGGGAAGCTCAAATGCTCCGCGTCAAGCGGGCAATGAGATATATTCATGCATTTATTAATTATACATTACACAAGAGGGATGAAACTAAACCCGGGTAAGTGCGAAAATCGGAAAATAAAAAGTGCTGGAAGTAGAGCGAAATGAGTCGGGTTAAAATGAATGTCAGGCCCGGGGGGTTTTAGTTACAGAAAAAAGGGATGGAGGCGAAAAACATACACAAAGCGCCCGAGCTAGAGCAAATTTAGGCAAATGGAAAATTTAAGGGCGGATCACAAACTTCCTCAAAGACACTTGCATTTTTTCTCGGATCGGTCACCAGTCCCCGCGTTCAATGTAATCGATCGGACAGCTTCAGGATCATTAGCTTGGCTCTCACGCTTGGTGCGAAGGATTTCCCTCGTTATCAGTTTGAACATCTAAAGAAACCCAGGTTAAGGAGTTGCTCTCACAAGTTGAAAAGTTGAGATCAAAGAATACCTCTTCCACATTGACGTTTTCTTTGGCGCTGGTCTCCAAGTGAGGAATGTTCATCGAAGCGGCAAATGCGGTCGAATCAGCTGGGTCCACAATCCGCCGCTCAGTGTCCTCACATTTGTTTCCAACTAAAAAAATATTAGAATTATAGAGGAGAAAGCCTTTACCAAGAATTTTTCCCACAGATTGGCAGTGTGTATCTATTTCTCCCAGCCATCGCTTCACATTGGCAAACGTTTCACCGGCTGTGATGTCGTAGACCACGATGACGCCATGGGTTCCACGGTAATACCTAAATATACCGCTTTTTAGTGTATTCACCATCGCCAAATTATGGAAAAGAAAAGCTCACGTTGAAGTGATAGTCCGAAATCGCTCCTGGCCAGCTGTATCCCATATTTGAAGCTTGATCCTCTGTCCATCAACAACGAACGTCTTTAGTTTGAAGTCCACACCAATTGTCGTGATAAAGTTCTCTGAAAAAACACAAATCAATTAGGCACAAAACACGGTGATCTTTGAGAACCCTCGCCCTTTTTAAAACATGACATCTTTATGTGGATTCAAAGATGCCAGTCCAACTATAAGGATTTAGCTATTTTTAGGGTGAAGCCCTCTATGCCGAGTGTCAAAGTAGGCATCCCATTTTGTAAACACTGCAATTTCTAACAGAAAACTACAGTTTTTCTGGTAGGATTTAAAAATTAAAACACCAGTACCGCGAACAATTCCAGAACACCGAATTTGGTAGGGTTTGGTATTTGGTCCCCGAGAAATCCACTAAAAATTACCTCTGAAAGAATTCTCGGCAAATCGTAATAGAAGGCTGCTCTTCCCGACGCCTGAACACAAAAAATATTCGAAACGCAAGAAATCCTTACCAGAATCGCCAATAATTAGCACCTTAAACAAGTGGTCGTAGTCCTTCACCATGGGTTTGGCTGCCATTACCCTAAAAGAAAATTTAGCAGGAGCAAGCAAATCAGAAAAGAAAACACGATGATAGGAGGAGAACATAGGATAGAATTTTGGCCAGGAATTGCTTATTGGGGAGCCAAAACGAGCTGATCTCCACTGTTTATTTCAAAGGACACTGGGATCCAATAGACGCGCGATTATGTGGTTATAGCAGTGCCGCTTCCGGCGAGGTGCGACTCATCGCTCAAAAAGCTGGCTATCACGGGCGATATAAGAGTGAAAGTAGGAGACTGAAGAAATTCTGTTCAACCGCGCGAAACTCTGGATTGATATAAGTCGTAGCGCTCGCTTATAAACCGACGGGGGGACGGAGGCCATACAACCCGGGGCGCTCGTTTCACTGGAAAGGCAAAAGGCCTGTAGAAGCTCCAAATATAACATTAAACGGCTTTAAATTGATATAAATACTCTATAATAAATTATCTATATGGTGAATCAACAATAGACAGCTAAAACAGAAGAAATCGGGCCAATTCGTCTTTTTCGATGTGAATACGGTTATTGTAGTTTATTTCAGAGGTTTTTAGCTAATTCTTCTCCCGTTTCTCGACGGAATCGGAAGCAGCATAGCCGAATCAGTCGTACTTGATAGATTTTATAAGCTAAACCGGTTATACATCGATTCTACCAATTTTTTTTTGCCTTAGGTAAGCTTACCGGTGAAATGAGTCCCGTATAAAGCGGGTCTATCGAGATACCGGCCATTTTTCGTGAAGTACTGTTTACGCGGTTGTACTTCAGTCATTATTTTGCAGTCAACGGTAATACAGGCCATACGTTTATTGGTATAAGGAAAACACAAAGCTTTCGGCCGCATAACCCGAGGTTGTGAGCACCATGTGATTAAAAGTCGCTGTTATACCAATCTTTATACGGCATAGTCCATTGCCTTTAGCTGCTTCAGAAATCCGGGATTGGGATTAGCCGCTAAAAACAAAGGATTTTTGCTATTATCGGTGACGAAAATGGGTGACTTATTGTTTACCTACCTGTTCTGTTAGCCTTTACTAGCTGCCAAGCTTCAGCAAAGCTTTTTCCGCTGCTGATCAAATGCATTAAAAGTAGTGATGGTGCTCGCGAAAGACCCGCATTACAATGAATAAAAATCTATGAAGGTTTTTTGAGCCAATTTGTTTTACTTTTCCGCCCTTTCCGGTGGCGGCACTAATAAAGGCATTGACGCGTTCCTGATATTCGTCGAGACGCGTTTCAGGCAGATCGAGCATCTGGAAGGCTTGGGATAAGATGGAGCTTTAGTGAGGTTGAGTAGTCAAACATTCATTAGCTTCATAGACCGACCTCCACATTTAAATACTCGAATTTCTTCGGGAAAAAATTGCTCACGCCGGTTGCACAATTAATAATGTGGGTGATCTTGGCAGTGCTCAATATTTCCAGATCAGCAGCGACATCTTGGCTACCTGATCTAGCATGTCGCCCCAGATAGAGTTGTCATACCCAAATATAAATTCTCAAACACGTGTGCTAGCTGAAGGTCTGGGGTTTCATCAACAACAAATCCGAGGCGTCGTCGATATTCGCGTTTCTTCAGTTGACGATTGGATAGCTGCAAAGGGAGCACCTCAAACATACGCTTGAGATTTTCAAAATCTTGCAGATAACTGAAAGTTGTTCTGAGGCGCTTTGCTATCGACGGTTTTAGTAACAGGACACGTGTTTTAGATACACATGCTCCTTACGCTTTTCGCTTGAACCGCATCGTCTCCCGCAGCATTTAGTTCATCATCACTATCTTCGTCTTCAACAATTCTAGCAAAAGCTCCATCGGCCGTTCGTCTCTCTCGCACTTCTCGCCCATCTTCTAACAACACGCTAAACATACACTAGAGATTCAATTCAATACTCGTTCCGCACCTGACTTCCGTTTGCCGTAAGTTTCCCCTTTTTGCCTGAATTCGTTCGAGAAACGACATGGGCGGAATCTCGTGTTATTCACCGTTGAATTCCGAACGTCGACTCATCAAGGTTTTTCCAGTACCTATGGCAGAAAGAGTCCGATGGAACCTGGTGGAGCTGACATTAGTACGAAAAATGTTGGCGGCTTGAATCCTAGCTCGTATCAGTACCTGTGAAAAATCTGCTCACTAGTCAGCAGATGTAGCTAGCGAGAGTGAAAGGATCAATAAGTGGCCAATCATTATGATTTGTTAGATTTCCAGGAAGTGGTGTTGGGCCGACACCGGCAATAACTTCCACTACCCATTTATAATTTAAAATTTACTAAAAATAATTTTTGATGGCCGAAATTTCGAAGAATCTATCTAAAATAGCTCAGCGAGTTGCCGTAAGAATGCAATTCCAACTCGTGTTTAGTTCTTGGGTTCGGCTAACGGCGCTCGTTTGAACCTGGTTGTGATATCCGCGACGCTGCTTTAGAGGCGTTGCGCCACTCAAAAAAAGGGTTTGCTTGCATAATCAGATTCGCTAAAGGAGTTACTTGACTCATCGACCGATGCCTGATAGTTTTTCCGCATAGCAATATTTTTTCCAATGTTGGATTTCTTACAAAAATCCCGTGAAAAGTAAACAAGCGTACCGGAAACCGGGTATTGAAATTTTTGGAAAAAAACTTTGCCTTCTTTTTTCTTTGATTATAAGGGGTCCACAATTTAGCGAAACTGACAAGGAGACTCTCCTGGATACGAAAAACTCTTTCAAAATACACTTCTCCAAAATGACACCTCCTGAAACGCCACCGGAAATGACCCACACTTTCCCCGTATTCAAATCTGGCTAACGCTGTTGCCGTTCTGTGTTCTTAACACAATTCTCGCCGCCTTCGTTCGTCCTCATTTTGATCCCGTCTATTCCGGTTGTTACTGGTTTTGACAGAAAAGTGGGGCAAGTAAAAAAGCATGCCAGATGGTAAAAACGGCTTTTTTTGTACAGTAAGCTGATCGAATTGCAGCTACGCTACACCCGAAGCTGGTCCTTTGTCTCAACTTTTTTTGGCACAAAATAAAAACTTTAGCGATAGACCTAGTTTCCGTATTGATATTGTTATTGGCGTTTGATGCTTATATAAATTCACAAGAAAGAATTTATGCACATTTTCCCTCAAACATAACACCAACCAGAACCATCATTCTTATGTGACTAGATCTCGGTGTCTTAGACACACTATTTTCCTTTTGACTGTTTTCCTACTATCATCTACAACTCAATGGCGTGTCTATTTAGCGGTTCGCTTCCGGTTTATGCTCGATGCCTCCGAAAATGAAGTTAAATGAGGTGTTCGGTGACAGGACGAGGATCTGTGTCGCGGCCACTCAAGTTGGTTGATTGTTCCCTTTTGATAACTGAATTTTGTGATTCCTAAACGTTGCTTGCCAACAGCGCTCGACGCGCATGATAAATTAAATCAAAAATTAAAATTGAATTAGATTAAAAAATTTCAGGGTGGTCGTGCGCACATGGAGGATCGGATTGCTGTTGAGGTCGTGCGTGGGGATAATGGCATCGTCTCATACACCTTCCTTGCTGTTTATGACGGCCATGGTGGTGGAGAGGCTTCGACTTTCGCAAGGGACTACCTTCACTATCATCTGCAGGTATTGTACTCATTTCCTAGTGGAAAAGGCTTCCTGGTCTCTGGCTGATCGTAGTGTTGGAGCACAAACGTATCTCATATGCACTCATACGCAGGCGAACTATATGCACCAACGCCGATCCCCGTGCCTTTTCGTCTGATTGTATCTTTTTCATTACAGAAGGACCCACTGTTCGCATCAGATGATGATGACGATATTCTGAAAGCTATCTGGAGGAGCTTTGTCCAAACGCACCAGGGGATGCAACGGGTTGTCGGTCAGTTATCATTTACAGCTATGAGATAGGGCATTTAGACATATGGGACAAAACGGGCTCTGGTTATCGTAGCACGGCTGGCACCACCGCATCAGTTGCTATTATCAAGAACGGGAAGCTCTATGTGGGCCATGTAGGCGATTCGCAAATTACACTCGGCAAACGCTATAGGTTTCAAGGTATCCTTTCCTCTAGCTTGGCTTTTGGTACGAAGGTTTTAGATGTCAAAACTAACACGGTGCAGTGCGTGACGAGCGGCTTTGCGATTACAGAGGACCACAAGCCTAACTATGATCCCGAACTCTCCCGCATCCATGTTTGTCAATTGCCTCCTATTGAATTTACGAGGTTTAGGCTGTCGGTGGACGAGTTGCTAGGAAGGAGAACGTGGCTCGTGTCGTTTGGAAGCGCGAAGCCCCAAAGATGCATCCAGGCAGCCCAACTAAATACGAATACATTCCATTTCTGGCGGTTGGCCGTGCTCTTGGTGCGTCGTGTGCGAATGGAAGAAGATTTTTTTTATAGGCGATTTGTGGTCTTGGAACCCAGAGACGAATAAGTACGTCGTTTCCCCGTACCCTGATGTGTCTGTATACACGCTTGATCCGGAAGAAGATGTCTGTTTGGTTCTGGCTTCGGGTAATTTTTTTGGGTCATGGGCTTTAGATCCAGCTCTGTCCCCGCTACTGTATTTCGGCTGCCCACTTTTCCCCACAGGCTCGACATTTGCGGCCACCACATTTGCGGTTTTGCAGTTTGCTATGGGAACGGGGCGCAAGTGTCGGGGTCACAAATATAGCACCGTGAGGCATCCCGAAAAAAATGACCAAACTTGGCATCTGATGTCTGTCTTACATATATGCTTATTTAGACGGGCTCACCGGTGTGCTCAGAGAACCTTATTTGTTACCTGGGATGATCGACGAATGTGAACACTTTACTTCGGAGATAACTAACGCCGATGCATTGGAACGCACCGTATGTCTTATTCCTGATTGATTGAAATCTGGATTTTTTAGAAAGTGTCCAGCTTCAAGAACCCGGCAAGGTATCTACTGCAACAGGTCATGCAGCGCAGCAGAGCTCGCGCGGATAACGTTTCTGTGGTCACGGTTTGTATTTGGAAGATTTTTAGTTTTATTTCTTTTATTTTTTAGGTGGTCTTTGATCATTTGGATGCTGTGTTTCCCCTTGGGGGTAACCTTGTAAATAGCATTGGATGTGATACCTCCATCGACCGTCTTTTGCGGGAGAACCCGGATTCCATGGTAGATAATTATTACGATCATCATGAAGTTTTTAGCTGGCTGTCCACACGCACTCTAGCTATCTCTTTGATACTGAATACGTACCTATCCGTTTCAACGACCCGGAATACAAAGACTATAGTGAGTTACCGCTTAGCTTCACGTTTATCATTTTTAAGAGACTGACTACGAAGGCCCAGGATTTGTCTCAAATGCGGATGAGGCTATGGCTGCACGGGCGTGGGACACTGTCATGGAGGAGGATTCCGTGGAAGAGGATGCTGTGGAGAAGGTTACGGTTGGTTTCCGCCTGGTTTTGTGTTCTTAGTGTGTTTACGCTTTAAGAACGCAACATGTTGCTTTTTTAGGCGGCCATTGCCGAAGCTCCAATTGTCGATCATGAAAAGCTGTGGAATGAGACTTATGCGACTGTGCGCCGGATGCAGTTTGCTGAATGGGTAAGTGATTTTGACGTTGTCCGCTAAGCGAGTCTTTTTCAGCCAAATGACAGTGTGGGCAAGTTTGGGCCAGATATTTGGTCGGAAGTGACACCGATTTCTGATGATGCCGTCCAAGACGATTCTTCTGGACCGGTCACCAGAAGCCGTGGCAAGCCTAACATCGCCCTGACCGGCCGAACCGTCAAGAAAACGCCGTCTCCAAAGAACAAGAAAAAGCCAAGTTCGTCTGAGCCGAGGGCCCGTCTAATTAATTTTAGTACGGTCTGCTGCTGACTACTTGAAGTCACGTGAAGGCGTCGCCATGACCCCGAGCAGAAAACGTACGCATGAGGGTCAGCCACGCAATTCAGCCGAAAGTGGCCTAACACCACATATCTCCGTTATGAACGTCGTAAGAATTCACTGCGTTTTGACAACTTGTTTAGAACAATACCAAAGCTATGAAAGTCGGAGCTGAAGCTGAGAGCGTGATATCGCTGAGTGGAACTTTGGTATCATTACGAAATTGCGCAGAGCTATCTATATTTCTAGAATCAATCCTACGCCAAGGCCTCATCTTCGGCTGAGCCTGACGCCAAGAATGTCGTACAGATTGTAGCGATTGACCAATCGGCTCTCGTATGCACCCCGCAGAAGACACGCTCGCCAGCCCGCCCAAATCGCAAATTGACATCTGCTCTTCGTATGAAAAATCGCGTAAGGTTTTAAGAATTTTTTTTTGCTTTATACGAAACGCAATCAACAACTTTGGTATTATCTGTCCCATACTGGGTGTGGCCAGGGACAATCATGTGATTCCCAGATTTGCCGGCAAATGGATGAATATCCATCACAATTTTGTTTTTAGACAGGACTACGCAACACACCGAAGCTGCCCCCCGGCGTGCCAGAGATTACTATCCAGCAGCGTTCGACACTGAGCCGCTCGTTCTGTGAGCCCGGCTCGCCCCTTCCCCGTTCTACCAAGGATCCCGTATGGACGCCGCCCCGTCCCCGCATCTCCTACAGCACTTCCGGTTCGTATTTAAGCATAGATCATACCTTTTTCTTTCGCAGTGATCTCTTTCATTTGTTTTCTTTGGCAATTCGGAGAAAATTGACGAAGACTATTAAAAACAGGGCGCAATGAGTGGGGGGAGGTTATTTTTGTTGTCAGGACCTACATTTTCATTTCCAGCCATCGACGAGCTGAAGAAAACAACTACTTTCGATCCCGACGCCCAGGAGCCGGCCACGAAGCGCTCTCGCCTTTGGAAATTCCTCAAGGGCTTTATTGGCCTGTAAACTGATACTAACTTTTCGCTGTTGTTGTGATCTTTGAATTCTTTAAGTGATTATTACTAACTCTTTTGGATCTCCTGTGTATTTTGGGCATTGCCCATTGTTGATATTTTCTGTTTTTCTTGTTCTTGATGGCTTTGATAAAGTTCAATTAACGTTATTTTTATCCCTGTACATATCGTTCGGAATTTGAGCCTATTTGCAACTGCGTTCGGGTCGCCGGTTGATCACTCATGGGCTTTCGAAATATTCTTGTATTTGGATGGTTTTATTGGTTCGCGGTCTACCATCGGTAATGAAGCTGGATACCCGTTTTCAAATCACAAACGACGAATATATGTAGACAAAAAAAGATAAGGAATGATGAATCAAAAGTAACGCAAATGTTATTTACAGAATGCACCAAGGGGATCAATTTTTTAAAATTGAGTCAAACGGGGTCATTTAACCCTAACCATTGGGATTGGAGTCGGGGTTGGTGAATTTCGGAACCTTTTTTGCATTTAGCTGAGGCTATTTTGCAAATTTTCGTATTCTATTCTTCCTCATCTACACCCCATACAATGACTTTGGTTTCAGTCAAGACGACCATTGCAATAAAAGCGGCATAAATTCCGAGTAGACATCCGGCATAGACCCGGCGGAGATAGAATCTAAAATTTTAGTACAATTCTGGCATGAACATTGTTTTTTGACCGGAACTACAACACACCTTTGGACTATGCACGCTGCGAATGTGAATACTAATGAGCATCCCAAAAACAGCACTAGTACATGGTTGATTGTAGAGAACTGAAAAATCATCGATGTTTTTTTGGAGAAGACCAGGCATCCAATGACCATTGTTTTAGGCTACCTGAATCTCGATGGATGTCCCACTGATGCGCGCAATGGAAAACGGCAGACCGAAGCCGATCAGAAAATCTAGCAAATCGGGGGTAAGTGTGCTTCTTTGCAGAACTAACTGAATAATGGACCTCCAATTGCCGCCGCCAACGCCATATTTGAGTATCCCTGTTTGACGACGGCCACATCAGCAATCAGGTCACCGATCGAGTTGGCCCAGGCGAGAATCGTCAGACCGAGCAACTAAAAGGTTTCGTCTAATATAAATATTAGCAAGCGGCTGGATTCGGGCCACCCCCCTGAGCTCCCTCGCCCTCGCCGAAACGCGCGTGACCTGGCTCACTATGACCAAAATCGTGCCAAAGTCGATTCCCCAGGGCGCAACTTTCAAAGTTAACTTTAATAATTTAAGCAAAAAATTTTCATACTTTTTTCTCCGTATGTGGTTTCTGACCACGCTCTATCCGAATCCGACGAGAACTAAGCTCTAGCTGCTTTCCCCTTCGAGTTGAATTCGGTTTCTGGCACGCGGAGACCACAGCAAAATTATTATATCATGATAGTTGATATATTTTCAGAGCATTCGTTTAAGTCTTAATTTTCAGGAATTTTGATTTGTGATTGGGCCTTCTTTTCCTTTTTAGCACTCGTTGATGAGCAATGCGGGGGGCGTGCTGGGTATGCTGATTGTCACTTCAGTGTTGCATCGGGTATGCGCCCTGCCCAGCAGCAGTGATAAGCCCTGCTTCCAAATACGGCATTTACGTCAAAGTAGAGCCTGATGAGGGGCCTCAAATGAGACTTTGAGAAGTGCCCCCTCCCCCTTGATTGACCTCTGATATGGTAGCTTTAGGCGTATTACTGGGCGACTTGGCGCTTCGAAAATACGATTATCCAGTGACACGACCGTTTGCGCTGTGGTTCCGGCTGTTTGTGAGCAAGTAAGAGTTTTTGTGACTATTGGCAACCGTTTCGTTCCCCTACCATGCCCAATTCAAGCAGCTCACCTCGTGTGACAGCTGCGATATAACTCCAAGCATTGTAACAACACCGACCACCTCATTTGCAATAATATAAATCCAAGCTATCGACATCAAGAAGCCAGCATAACTGCTCAATTGCTGAAAAGGGTACATTAACCCAAATTCGGGTCCTTCTTTCAATCTCTGGCCTTCCTTATAGGCTTGTGACGCCGAAGAAAACACTCTCAATTTTCCATCGGGGATTGGCCTTATAGATAAGAAGAACAAATAGAGCGCCAAATTTACAAGAGGCCAGAATAGAGACAGGTAAAGCGGCGATTTGGACAGTCTGGTTCAGCCAATTTGCAAAAGCTTACTTTGTAAAATCTTGGTTCATCTTTTACAGTGGTAAAAATCAGCAACAAGACGATGAGAAGGGCTGAGATTGCGAGTGCATATGCCCACAATCCGGGACCATTAAATGGATCCGTCGTCCATACTAAAAATTAGGATACTCGTATAGTAAGTTACACCTTACATTGAGCGGCAAATAAGAAAAACTGAGGCGCGAAAAAGGCGTTTAGAATGGCGACAGGCTTCGACCAAGGCAAATCAACGAGTGGAATCGTCAGGCAAAACGCAATTGTTAATGGGATCTAGAAATATATCATAAGTGAAACTGACCTTATAAGTCACCTTGACCACCAGCATTGTTTTACCAAATACCCCAGCTTCATCCCAATCTTCTTGCGAGATTGGGAGTAAATGGTGATAGATATCCATAAAAAGAGTGGATGCCGAGTGTATTTCAGCCGGGGGAACTAGAAATCAAGCTTAGCCAGAATTTAGGACCGAAAGTACATCCATATTTCTAAGAAACTGACTGATTGACTGGGCCCTGCTTCGATTCGCCGAGGCTGAAATGAGATGATGTCCAACCCAGATCATTTCCTCCGAATCAGTGTCGTCATCCTAAGACTTAGAACTAAACGATGGATCACGTATACACAAACCACGAATTTCGGGTTTCCTTCGGTTATAAGGCCTGGGTGCAAAGTATTTGTTTTTACGGTCGATCTTCTTCTGCCAGTGGACTCCCTTTTCCGTGCGTAAAGCTAAAATACAATGTAAGTGTGATTTTAAGCCAATTCCCATGTCTAACCACATGTGAGCTTACCGAGACGGATAATCTTCGCAACTGATTTGCAGCCGGCATTTCCGGCTCTTTTTCGACCTCCTTTAAAAAGTGACCATTAGCATTGGCGATTTTGGCGACGGCTGCCGAGATAATATGAACGGGGGGAGCATCTGTAATTTCGAATGAAACTTGTCCGATGGACCTTCGAAACGAACCTTCATCAGTTACAGCTACGACGTTTGGTCTGATACTTGCAGCTCTGCTGATATGGGTGGAACCGACTTTTGAGGCTCTTCTTGCTGCCTAAAAGAAATACCGTCCGTTTCCAAACAGTCTCCTCACCCTCCGACGTTTATGCATAAAATGACTAAACACGACTGTCCCAACATAAAGAGCATATAATAGGAGAAAAACTAAAATTATTCGTTGACATCCTAAGCCTCTCCATTTACCGAGCGGCTCAAAGGTTTTCAGCATGACCCCATTTAAGAAGATGAATAGAATCCAACCCAATGCAACCATATAGAATATCAAATCACGAAGGGTTTCGAAGACGGTTGCCTAAAAATAAATACTTCTCTATGTGTGTATAGCCTTACTTTAAATTCCTTCGTAAAAACGATAGTGGCTGTTACACAAAGGGTCACAAAGGTTCCAGCACCTAGATTCGAGGTAAAATACTGAATTCAGCACTACCAAGCAATTCTCCGACGGCAAATCCTGCTTTTGGTTTTGGGGTGCCGAGGACGGAAGCTATTGCACCGAAAATATCTGGGGCACCATTGCCAAAAGCCATGAAGGTAACTCCCTAAATTTAAGTTAGTTTTTCTAGATATTCAAGGTATTCAGGAGCCGTTCAAGTAATTCAAGCTATCCAATTTTTCATAGATTAAAAACCCACCGCAATACTCTCCGAAATTCCCAAATGGGCAACAATTCCCGCGACATTTGGCGAGAAGAAATCATCTGCAGCCGAGGAAATAGCAATAAATAGGTAAAGCATGTAGATCACCGCCGCAATGATGATTCCCACCTAAAGTTATTCCATCACCTTGCGATATGTCCCTACAAACCTTTTCCGGTATACTATCTTGGCATTCGACATATCTAGTCCACAGGAAATACCCTCCGCCTTCACATTTGTCAGTCTCTTTTGTCACATAGTCGCAGATTTCTAAAAAATAGCTTTACAACGGTTCCTTATTTTTTTTAGAGTTTAAATGAGACCGATTTCTCCAAACCCCAATATTTAACCGATTACATGTGGTTTCCAAGTGTCTAAGCGAGCAGTAGCGGGGCCATGATTTTCTAGATAACGCCCAAATTGGGGAGCACGTGGGCTAATGGGATCGTTACCGGAAGCTTTACGGAAATGATGTAAAATTTTTATTTTTTATTTGGCTCACCGGCTTGTGTATAGGCTTTGTCGATGTAGCAGTAATTTCGGTCCGGGTGCTTTGGCAATGAGCCGTTGCCGACACCGTTGTCAAGTGTTGCCACGGGGAAGATCCAACGGGAACCTAAAATAGATTGCTTTAAAAAATGTAAAGCTTAAAATTGCTTATTGGCCATAAAAACTACTGTAGGTTTCTACTTACCATAATACCGTCTCCCTTCAGTCGGTTGACTGCCCAGCCAGGCTACGGCGGCCAACAATAGCCATAACCGCATCCTTAAACCGGAATTTTAAGAAATGGCATTCGGAACAGTTGGGAAGACAAAGGAAGCATCCAAAAGTCAAAAAGAAGTTAATTTCCAGGACAGTGGTTAGTAATTTGCTTGTTTTGACAAATCGCTTGATAATTTCCGGTCAGTAAGTTGACGAAAAAGATGCGGATGTAGGGAAAATATATCGGAAATTTGTAATTATTCCTAAGAAAAGGAAAAAGCTGGTTTTGTTGCAAATCGTTAAATGAATAGGATTTGAATTGCAAAGTATATTCTCACAACAAAGCTGGTCTAGTTTTTTGCAAGTATCTAGTAACAAGACTATATTTAGGTAGTAGCCATCCATAAAAGCTGGGTGAATGATTTATTTGAGGGGTGGCCAGTGTCATTGCCGGCTGTGAAGAGGCGCCTGTGGAATTGCCCGCAGGACCGCCGATCAAACAATTTGGCCGATAAGGGGAGAAGAAGCCTCGGCAAGGCCCGACAAAATTTGATTAAAAAATGGCCCTCCTCCCAAATCGGCCGAAACGACGAATCGGCTTTTCGACTGTGATGAATCCCCACATTCGGAATAGCTCTTGTGACGTACTTGATAAGCATTCAACTATATTTTGAGGGAATTAGGAAGGCCTGAATTTACTTGAAAACAAGGAATTCGCGTTGCATTTGCAAATGCTGGGTATTAAAAAGCGCGTCGGCCAGAGTGTCTGACCAGACAAACCTTTCAGTTCCATATTTGACTGACCCCACGGGGGTCAAAATTTCCTTTGTACAGCTAATATTGCGAGACGATAGAGTACTGAATGTCACGATCCTTTTCTTGTCCACCCAATTCTTGGCAAACACAGTTCCAAATCCGGTTTGTTCAGTTGAATAGGTGGGGGTAAAATGCAGCTGTAGGCCGGTATTTTCTAGGTACGTTTGCTGTACACCGTCAAAACATGACAACACAAGCATTAAACTCTAAAATATAGGCCTATGGATGCTTTTGTGCTTATATAGTGTCTTTTTTATATAATGTAATAATTTTTCATTTTCAAAAATATATTTATTTCATAATTAGTCGGAAATATTCGAGAAATATTGGTTCCGGGGGTACGCACAGGATCACACAGTACAATAATAATCTTTCAATGGGGAGTCATAATCGGAGAAAGGTCAGATTCGGTTTGAACAAACAGAGGGAACTAACTAAACGAAAGCCGGTTGGTAGAAGTTTGACGGGACTTTTTCCTTAATTGTTTTCAAAGTTCCCGCTTCAACTTTCCTAACGACAGAAGAAATAAAATTCTATAAGTATGTATAGTGGTTTGTTTAATGCAAGGGTAAATCTGAGGGTTTTTAAGAGTGGGGGGATGCTAAGCGTGTAACTAGATGGAAAGGACCTGACTGGATGGACCTCCGAGTCCGAAAGGGGGGAAGTTTATCACAAGGAATTGAATGGATTAGGGAACACATCTTCTTAAGACAACAAATTATATATCAAAATATGGACGGAGCGAATCGAGAAGCTTTTCGAAAAACGAAATGGGAGCGATAGATCGGCGACTTGATAATGGACCGGTAGGAAATGCCAATTTGGACAATTGGGTATGGAGGGAAGGGTCGTCACCTAATCGTTTTTGGCTTGGGTATTGTAGATTTTAAAATCTTTTTTCGCCAAAGCTTATTTTATAGATCCAAAATACCCAATCGATTTCTGTTCAGAATCAAATTAATCGCGGGGTGTTGGAGAGAATGGCTGAGGCAAGAGAGCAAAAGATTTTTTTACAATGAAAAACTAAATTTTACTGAGTATATCTGCAAAAAACGTGATCCGATCCCACAAAAATTGTAGAGGAAAAAAATGTTAACAAATCTGGCTAAAACCGGGGGTAACCCGTGTGAATGGGCAAACCGGAGTTTGTGGTGGTGCCAGAATTGTGTGAGTGATTTTATGGAGGGCTGAGGGATCGGGAATTAAAACAGGTATAAAACCGAGACGCGGGGTTTTTTTTTGGCTAGCCAATGGGGCTACTATATGGCTGGTCCCAAAAACATAACGATTATTTAAGGTTTTGAAGGTACAGTAACTCGACGCCCCAAAAAATTTGGTCCATTTCGCAATGCTGTACCTATCAAAATAGCATGGCTTAATTCGAGGGACTTGGAACGGTTACTCTCAAGTCTAATTAAAAAACCATTCCCGAGTCCCTCGGAAAATATTTGGTATGAAATAGCGGTTGAGGCAATGTGAGAATGGACGGTAATAGGGGGATGATGTGTACAGGAAATTGAGTGAAAAATTGTGGCTTTTCTTCTGATGACAATGGCACTGTCTATAGGCTTTTTAGAACTTGTGAGTTATCTATAGGCTTTCTTGTTTTTCCTTTCGACAATAGAGCTCTTTCAGGGTCTTCAATTCCTCGATCAGGGCTTTGTTCTGATTTTCGAGGACGGCCACCCGGTTTTCGAGGCATTTCACATACTCCTTCTTCTTTCGCCGGCATTCCTTGGCCGCTTCGCGGTTCTTTAGAAGACGTACCTAGAAAGAAACGTTGTGAAAATATGGGTGGTGCTATGATTTGCTTATTTACGAAATTCTAAGCACGGCATGCGGTGAATCGGTCAGCACATGCCGTCGATAAGTCCGTATTGTCAGATAGGGCCCGTAAAGTGGCTACAACTGCCGTACCTGTCGCTTTCGCGTTGATTCATCTTCGCATCCACCGAGCCCACGTCCCATCCCAGATGGGGATGGGGAGGAGTTGTAGCCGGAGAGCAGCTGTTGCTGCCAGTCGACAACTATAATAGAATATAAAAATTAATCGTTTAATGGATACTTACTTTGACCGCCGACATGATTGGCAAAGGGGTTTGTCGGGATCTCCCCCATCGAGGGAGGCTTTAGGCCGTGCAGCTCGGCACCGGGCAGCAGCAGGCTAAAATTAGAGTTATTAAAAAATTGATATCCGAATATATGTAATACATATATATTTATGGTATAAAATACGTAGTAAAGTATAAAAAATTACCCTGTGCTGCCCGATGGAGTACCCTGCGAGGGCAACTCGTGCTGAGACGACGTCGGCGTCAGTTGGCGGTTTTGCGACGCGGCAACCTAGAAAATTTTATAACCTTAAGTTTATAAAACAAAGTAAGCCCCCATATAACCCTCCAAAGCCTAGGTTTTTATGCAAAAAAAAACTAACCACGGCCGCGGCGATAGCTGCCGAATTGTAGTCCCCAAGATGAATGGGTTGCTGCAGGTCCCCGTTCAGCGGAAACTTAAATAACATATTTACTAATTGCATTGTAGCCATTTTCGAATAGCGGGAAGAGTACAAATAAAAAGGGTGCCGAGGGTGGAGAAGACTTGATTTTGTGGAGGGCAGGTGAAAAAACGGGAGCGCGAATTTTAGGATAATTACCCGTAGCAGGGGTCAAAGAAAGCGGGTAAAGCGCAGATGCAAACTTTTTTTGTTTTGGCGAGAAAATCAGAACAAAGGAAGGAAGGCAGGTACAATCTAGGCTGGTTTAGAAGTTCAGGGTTTAGAGACGATAGAAAGATATGATAAGGGAGAAGTGAAAATTCATGAAATAAATATTTAATAAACCTACCCCGAGCGGATGCGAAAGAGCTGTGGTTGCTGGAGGAGGTAGAAGTGATGACCCAAGTGGCGATCCGTATGGAGAAGCCGATGGACCCGGCAATCGGGCTGCCGAGGGTATCTGCAAAGATAGAATTGACATACATTCTCGGAGGGTAAGCTATATTATTAAACCGATAAAACGTGGGATTCAACATCAAACAAACTTTTTTGAAATCTCTTGTGCCCAGTCCAGAGGTACCAAAAATTAAAACCCGTTGCACTACCATAGCCTACCTACGTATGAATTACAAGAATGAGGGAAGTAGCTTTTGGTTGGCACTGAGCCCGAGAATCCCGGTAAAATGCGCCGGTCGGCCTCTGATCCCCAATCCGACAGAAATCCAAAATCCGCAGAACCACCCTCATCTCGACTCCCCACCCGATTAGCGTTGTTATTCCAGACAGGGTCGACTTGGAGGATTTCGGGGAGGTGAAAATCTTTGGAGCTGATACCCGAACACACTTTTCGTGTGCCGCATACAATCAGAAACCCGAGAAAATCCAGGAAAACCCGGATAAAATACCGCGGAGAAGTTGGTAGTACGGGGGGCACTAATCCGGGATGACATTTGTGTTGAGGTGAGGGGTGAATGTTTGGCGAAAATGAGAGGATATCGGATGGGAGGGGTGTAGAATGAAAATATTTGTGTCGGGTGGGATTGGGATTATTGGGGAGGGTTTTCGGAATTGGATATGATCACGAAAAATTGCGAAGGTGTAGTAGAAAGTGATTATCAGTTTTGGAAGAAATTTTTGAGTTGCAAATGAAGGTAAATGAGCGGAGATCATGCAATATTGATCTGATAATGGCCGATATGATAGATAGTATCTTTTGCGGCGCAGGGAATCGAACTGGAAACGGCGCCCGCAGGGGGGAGAAGGGCAAGGGGGTGAGATACTATAAAACAATATTGAGTATCGATGCCGGAGAACCGGTTCTTATCGATCGATGAAGGGGGGGATGGGGTGGAGCTTTGAATAGAGCGGTGTATTGAAGACAAATATAGGTATTGGAATCGGCACGGGGGGGGGGTGTAGCTAAAGGAATAAATGGTCTGTGGTGACTAACCTGTTGAACTTGCATCGGACTTGGCAACGGTGGGGGTCAGGTTTTTAGGGTGATTCAGCGGAAATGAGATATATGATCCCAAAAGGGTTTTATTCCGTGGTCGCTTCCTATAGTTTGGGGCTATCAAGCACGCACTAATGGGAATCATAGATTGATTGCAGCAGATAAAGACTGGCTTGCAAATTCTGCATGAAAATTAGGATCTAGAAGTCAAAAATAGAAAGATTCAACGCCAATTAGCACGTTTGATCAAACCGCAAAATCAATCGAATCACGTTCAGCTGCCCCCCACTCTAACCAACCAGCGCTAGGGTTGTAAAGTGCGAAGGAAATAAGCGATGACCAGGCACCACCCTTTTGCTTCCTCAACCTCCCCAACCTATGCCCACAACAAACAGACAAAATGGCAGGAAAGGTGGCCCCGGGAAAACCCTCTCAAACGCTAACTTCTTCTGGGTCTCCCCCCTACCCTCATCACAAGAAACTTGGGCTGCAAATAGCTTCGGTCATCCCCTCCACCCCCAACCCCTTCGACACGTCATAAAGATAAGGGAATCGACGGCCTTTTCCTCTCTTTTTTTTTGGCGGAATCGCGAACGACACAAATATCGAGGGTCACCAGGCCCCTTCCGCAATCGCAAATCCATCAGAAATCGGGGCACCGGATGCGGTATTCGAAAATCGGTGGATGTGGTATCACTTTTGAGGGCTTACTAGGGAAGTCCAAGATACCCGCAACACGAATCGGGCTGAAAATTTGCACAGTTATAGAACCGACCATGCTGATCATCGCCTCGTTTTCCGAATTTGCTACCGAGCTTAAATAATTAAGATATTAAACTTTTAAAATGGGCCAAAAACCCGCCACCCTGATCCTGGCTCACTAGAGCGGGTGGGGTTCAAGAGGCCTTTGGGAAGTCCCCTTTCCAGAGTTTCGGTAGTCAACTGGTAAGCGCCTTGGTTTCGAGGTGGAGGGACCGGGTTCGGACCCGGTCAGCGCATTTTTCTTTTGCTTTTTGCTAATTTTGCGCCGCACATGTGGCGCGTGTCCAGATCGTGTTATGCACACGCATTTACGTACATCCTAGAAATGAAATTCAACGAAATCATAAATTTATGAAAAAGGTTCATAAAAACAACACTAGTAAAAAAATTGTTAAAGACCAGTATTCCGTAATTCGACGGCAGAAACTGGCTCATCTGCGTGTAGTAAAAAACAGAATCTGGAGACGCGACACATGTGCGGCGCAAAATTAGCAAAAAAGCAAAAGAAAAATGCGCGGACCGGGTCCGAACCTAGACCCTCCACCTGGGAAGCGAGGCGCTTACCAGTTGACTACCGAAGCTCCGGAAAGGGGGCTTCCCAAAGGCCCCTTGAACCCCACCCGCTCTAGTGAGCCAGGATCAGGGTGGCGGGTTTTTGGCCCATTTTAAAAGTTTAATATCTTAATTATTTAAGCTCGGTAGCAAATTCGGAAAACGAGGCGATGATCTGCATGGTCGGTTCGATAACTGTGCAAATTTTCAGCCCGATTCGTTTTGCGGGTATCTTGGACTTCCCTAGTTAGAGTCGTCGGGAAAGGTTGATTCAAAAGTAGAGCTGGTCTGATTCAGAAAAACACCTTCAAAACTGAGAATGGATTAAGCTTCGGTTTCTGCTTCAAATCTCCAAATGCTAACGCTTATTCTTTAGAAATAGAATAGAAAAGAAGAATTTTAGAAAAATTTTCTTAAACTTCGGAGCTTGAAAAACTGCTGCTAACGCGCTTTGCATGCAAAAAATTTCGAGATTTGAGTAAAAGTGATCTTAACCTCATCCTGATTTAACGTTAATAAAACCAGCCCTATTTCAGAGTAAGTTCATCGGAAAATAAAGTCTTTCATGTAAGTTTCAGTTTATGAACCCCTCGGCCAGCCCTTAAATAAGCACTCATTTTCCACCCCCCCAAGCGTCAGTGCTTTCAAAATCTGGGAATAATAGCATCAGAAGCGCATAAATCGCGTGCTGACGATTGCATGTGTTAGCCCCCCAAAAATAGTTGCTGCATACAAAAATCGGGCTATTCGCGTCAAGGGCCAGAGAAAAATAGGCGTGCGAACGGGAGGGTTGGCATGGAGAAAGGATGCAGGTCTACAGATGTTTTTTTCCGGGGGCTTATTAGTGGGTGCGAGGGGTTGGATTTCATCGGCGGTCTGTGAGAGGTTGATTCCAAAAAGGTGCTGTGACCACTGTGTGGGTCTCGACGAAACGGCAGAAAAGTTAAGCGGATTATGGCGTGTGCCCCCGCGGGATCGGGAGCACTCAACGGATCGATGTGTTGTTTTGGTGGTAATTCCTGCTAAAATTGGCGCTAATTAAAATCTAAACAAATTTTTTAGAGCTAAATTTTGTAAAAAAATCCCTGATATAATTATTGCCATAATTTACCCTAATTAAGATGAAACCAAATTTATTACAGGATGGATTATTAACAAAATTTTCCTATCCTAATTCTTGCAATAAGTAACACTAATTAACAAACTAACTAATTTACTAAGTCATTTAAAAAGTTTCCCTGACTTCAAAATCGCCCGTTACCTAATTACCGCTGACTAATCCCTTTCAAAAATTCAAACTAGCCCAGATCTAATCAAAAACAACCCGGAAAACACTAGATATCCACCCTCCCAATTCACAAGACCGTTGAACCAACTCGCATTTCCTCGGCGACATTATGAAAAACAATCGAGCCAGGTGAAAAACAGCAGCATTCACGTGAATCACGTGCCCCAAAGATTTTCCCTTTTTTTCCACGTTCATCCCACCCTCTAATTTCCAATTAGCCTCGCAGGTGATGTGTATCCATCTACCCGCTCGGGATTTATGCGCGAAAAAGGTGTGCCTCTGAAAAAAGTGGCCATTTAATCGGCTGACCTATAATCCGGTAGGGGAAGAAAAATGGGATGGATGGTGGAGCCGCCAGTAATTAGGGACGACTGGCTTTTGAATGGCGGGGCGAGGTTTTTTTAGGAGAGCTCGGATCGCGGGACGGAGGGATGTCGAGGAAGCTGTGGAATTGACTTCAGATTTATTGCGGTCAAAAATATGGGGTAGGAAACGTCATTATGACAGGAATCATATCGTAATTTGAAAATTTGCTGGTTGAACCGTACGTTTTGCTTTAATATTCTAGTTGTAATGGCTGGTCATTAATGCGTTTGTGTGCCTTGAAAAATTGACTGCAGACAGCCTGCAAGCAATCGACCTAAAACTACGAGTCTCGTGACAGCAACGCGGCTTTGCTGATAATGTTTCGCTATAAAACCGGCAAAGCCTTGAATGGATATGGGGGGGGGCAGAACTCAATCCAAAGTAACGGGGCTGGCCGACTGAAATCTTTTGCTGAAATAAGGGATGATCCTTGGATGGATGAGCGCATCTTACAGCTAGATTTGCGAAAATGACGCACTTTCCAGGTATTTCTGGTCGAGAAGGGTCGCGGGAAAAGATAGGGACCATAGGAAGGGGGGAAGAGGGAGGAGAGCATGATGATAGGGGGGGAAGTGATGCGATATCTCTACGAATCGACCGATAGAGGGGGCCTGCCTCTCTCTCTCACTCTCTCTTTGTCTCTCTCTTCACTGACCTGACCCGGCGGGTTGTGATGGATCACCACTTCTCTTGTTCACATACTCTCGCAATCGCTGTCTCTGTCTCTGTCTCTCTCTGTCTCTCTCTCTCTCTCTCTCTCTCTCTCTCTCTCTCTGCCTTCTTTCTTTTTTAGCGTCAACACGGCAAAACAGATGCTCCAATGGGCAATAGGTTTTAAGGGGAACGCGACGAGTCCACAAATTTTTCGCATAAAAGAGGATTACCAGCGATGCCAAAAAAATTTTTCAAATCTTAAAACATGTCGAGCCTAATTTATATATCGTACAACATCCCCCAATTTGACTATGCGTTAAGAACATCTAGGTCCATCCACTTTATTTCCGATCTCAAAGTGATCATTTCCGGTCCAGAATGTCAAATCAAGCCCCCTCCGCTTTTATTTCCCGCGTCAATTAGCACACCTGGGTGAGGGTGGTGGTCAATTTTCGATGGGCTCCTAATTGAAAATCGGGCCCCAGGGAATTGTCTGTCTGCCTGTCTGTCTGGATGTCTAGCCATTTAGGTCGTTTCACTCTGAATTAATAGTACGAATTTTTGAATGAAATACGGGGATGCACTATGGGCATCAGAATTTTTATACAATACTTACTACCGCTTTGGGGTAATGAAATTTGTGCATTGAAAATTCACTAAAAAGCGAGGTCCAAGTACCTTAAGTATAGATGCTATGCATTCAAATCCGAGTTCGGGATAGCTGGCTAATAAAGATGCAAAGCGAAAATACTGTAAATTTATAGGTCGAGTATCTTTATTAAAATCTAAGGTTTTGAAGTGAAGCATGCTATCGGTTATAGGATTTAGATACGTCACTTCCCTAGTTCTGAGTCCCAGATAAACCGAAGATCTACTGAAAAACGTTTCCCGAGAAATGCAACATACCTGGACATGCAATTGAAGCTGTGGGGGTGGCTCGTTGGACGCGGGTGGCGTGTCTTCAGGCTCTTTTTTCAAATTCTTGTCGGCCGTCTCGAGGTCCTTGAGGATCATCCTGCAATGGAGGAATTCACAATGACCATATGCCCGAGGCGGGTGCTCACAATTTTTCGTGATTTTTCGCGTTCGTTTTTATTGGGAAGCCGGCGGGGAGCACACCGTCTTTTGATGATTCTAGGACTTGGCCAGTTCAAATCCGGGGCGACGGCAAATCCGACAATTTACCGCGCACACGCCAGAATGACAACTATTTTTGCCTGGACGGTTCTGCGTGAAATTGGCGCTTTCGAAAGTGGGGATGTGCAGTTAAAAGTGTAATACCGTTTACAGTTAGGTGTTAGTAGAAATTTATTTTAATTTTGTTTAAAATCTTAAACTTTTCGACCTCTGCCAGAGGAACGGGTTCATGAGGGGACTTTGTTGAACGTGGTACGAAGCAAGCAGCTCAACCAAGCACGAAGGTGAGTCCATCCAAACGAAGATGGTCCAAGCGATTTAGAGATGATTTGATCTACGAGAATGAGAATGTCAAATTGGTTTGAGAAAGAAATATGAAAACGAGAGAAATAAATGTCAGTATAACGACTATTCGGTTCACGAAATGAAATGACCAGGTCACAAGAGGACACCCTCACGGTTTTGCGTCTTTCTGCTGATAATTCAGCCGACACGAATGGCTTCTGAAAAAATCTTCTGAAAATAGCCACAGCGGCCCACTGATCGAAAGATATCAGAAAATCGGTGCCGCGGCATGTGGGGGTGGCGTCCATTTGAAGCCCACTTTTGCAAAGTGCTTTTCGATGTTATCCAGGGGGCATTTATGTGATCAGAGCACATGTGTTCGATCGAAGCGTTGGAATGTCGTGGAAATTTAATAATGGGAAACTGAGGGGCAAAGGGGGAGAGATCGCTTCCGCTTTCCGTTTTGTTTTGAATTGTTTTTTTTAAATGATACGGGTAAGAGGGAGGGGCTAGTCCGTGTTAGACAAGTCTGATCTAGCCCCAACTGGATCGAGTGTAGGATTTGAGAAATGAGGGGCGGAAAAACCAAGGTGCCCATCAGGGAAGGCGGGGCCCTATGTTGTCAGGCTTCGCCCAATACCCGTACTTACAAATCGAGTACTAGATACTCAAGCTTAACCAGTTCTTCGAAGCCGTACAAACTGATTAGTATTGGCCCGCAAAAAATGTCCTTGTAAAGGTTAAGCCTGACGGGGGGCGAAACCCTAGGAGAGTCTGAAGCGCTGAACTTCAGGTTCAGTTTTTAGGGGAGGAGGCGGAGATCTGACATCAGAGTTGAGAACATTTTTCCGGAGGCTGGATTAAAGGGTCAAAGGTAGTGTGTAGGCGTTTCTATTTCTTATATATTCAAATTTTAGGTTTTGATAAGTTTAAATTGGTGTTGTTATCGGAACAAATGAAGGACATTTGTCCGAGGCCCCGACGCCGAACTCGCAATTCCAAAAAGCACCGGATGACTTGGTGGGAATGTGGCTTTTGCCCCCGCGTTGGGGGTCACCCAAAAGATGTGGGAGGGCACCTCGGCTGGACACGCAATACAAGGCTCACGAAGCTCGAGAGGGCCGAATTGGGGGAAATGAAGAGGAAATAGTGGGGGATGACGAGTTGAGACTACGCTGATCTAGGATGCGATGGTTCCTGCATTTCGCCGGTCCACTTGGCGAACCGGCGTTTTGAAATGGAACATTGTGGACAAGACAATATCCGGGGATGTTTGGGTCGAAAATAGGATGTTTTGAACAGAAGAGCTAGACTGTTCTTATTGTTCATCCTGAATTTCCTAGCGTTCGATTTTTTTAATCATCTAATCCTTCTCACTTTCAAGTTTTCCGGATGACCGGTCCTTATAAAACCTTTCCCCTTATTTTTCTATCCAATACGCCTGGGCTGGGCTTCCGGTATCGTTGCCGCCTTCACAAAAACCGTGCTCCCAAGGCAAAAATTGTCGCGGCTCCCACCAAAAAAACCCCTCAAAAAGCCATTAGTTGAAGAGAACAACCCGGCCAAAAAGCCCTCGCAATTTGTAGCTGGTCCCACTGCCAACCGGGCTAATTGCACGTTTCCGGAAAGTAAAATTTGGCTTAAGATATGATTTTTAAAATATCGATCAAAAAGTTAGCTATTGTACCGTACCCTGCCGTCCTGCATTTGATGCTCCAACCACCGTAACCACGATATGACTAAAATGCCAGAAAATACCGGTTTCAGAGTGACTTCAACGTCATCTCCTCGCGACAACTAATTGTAGATTATATTCCCCCAATTACAGTTTTCTATAATTATAGCCCAACGGGCGTTTTGACCGGAGTCAGCCGTCAATTCTTGAATGGAATTTGGATACGGGACTATCGATAATTATATATATATCGATATATCGATAATTACAGATATGGTCTTGTAGCATTTGCATTTAAAGTTGAACTTTTAGGGTTAGTTTGGACCACCTTAGGCACAACACGACATTTCCCATTGTAACTATACCCGTCAAAGACGACCAATCGAAAGTCTATGTGATTGGAGGGAAAAAATTTAAAAAGCAAACCTCCCAGCATATCTGTTATTGGTTCTTTTGATTGGGCCATTGTGACTCGAGAATTTTTAGCTATTAGAATAGATTAGGCAGCTAATTTAATTTAATTTTGGAAGTGGAACGTGTGGGGAATTGAGATCTCCGGGGCCAAGGGTTGTCTTTGTTGCCACGCCTCCCCCCAATGGCCAACCAAAAGCTTTTGAGGAAAGCAATCTGCAACAGGTGCCCCCTTCTTTTTCCTTCATCAAATATTCACTCAACCATTCCCACACCCTCAACCCAACCCTCACCTTGGCTCGCTAAGCAGGGCGGCCGAAAAAAAAACATGGAATTAATTACGACGGAAATCTCGGAGGTACTGGCGAGTGGGGTGGGAATTTGTGGGAGGAGGGCAAAAGGTGTGTTCCGAGATGCTTCGTTGAGATGACGGGTATGTTTAAGGAATGACTCAATTGAAGTGACATGATGTTGAGTGCAGGGGAACTTGGGGTGGAGAACAGGGATAAAATGGACAACTCGTAAAATTTGAAGGACCTGAGAAATCACCAAAATAAAGATTATCTATTTTAAAAATGGAATATTATACTTTTTAATTTGATTATTCGAGAATTCAGTCAAAATTCCAAAGTGCAATGTACTGTTACGCAAAAAATAAAGTTCGCACCGCTACCGTAGCTGTAAGCCCCCAGGAGATGACAAAGCCCGTCTGGGGAGGCACTAACTACGGTATTTCATAAAATTATGACTATTGCTACAGTACGTCAAACGCGAAAATTCACGACACAAAAAGCTCCCCACAAGCCAGGCTTGTAATAGTAAAAAAAGCTATGCAAATGCAGCTTGCGTATGCAAATTATTTCGGGCTTGTACCTTTCCGTACCCTGCACAAAACTCGACAAAAAAAAATAACAAAATTGATTTTTGTCTAAACCTGTGCTGACAAACCCTCCGAGGCAACCACCTAAAACACTCCCTGGGGGTTTGTGGCGGTTTTTGGGGGTGAAGAAATGATTATCCATTCCACTTGAGGACTCTGCCCACCACCTTCATCCTTCACAGCCCTTCCCCGCCTTCACTGCCCACTCCCCTCAAAAAACAGATACACAGAATTAATTAGAGACACTCGGAAAAAGTGTTGCCTCGACCGGGGGGAGGGGGCTAATCCACGGCGATTATGATGGGATTAAGGGGTCAGTCTATGCCAACCAATCGACCAGTTTTGATCTCGACCCTACGTGTATTCGAAAGTATAGAATTGTAAGAGCGGATTTATGACAGCAGGGACTGAAAATATGATAAGTTCAAAGCCGTTGCCATCCGGGAGCGATGGCAGTAACCCAAATGCCAAAATCTAGCCAAGGCGCGGGTGGTACGGGCGGACTCCCTAAATTTGCGGGTGTGCCAAAGCCAAACCATCATGATAAAAACAGGCTATTAGTCGCGGTGTGCCCCCGTAATTTGACAACTTTAGCGATAATTTCGGGTTAGACAACGCTACGGGTGGCATTTACGGATACGGATGCTAGTTAGATTTTTTTGAGGGGAGACGAATTCTGGGGGTGAGTGCAGTGAGACCATTGTTGTAATCGTACAAAAAAGGGATTGTGGAGGTACGGTAATGGGATGAAAGCCTAAGCTCAGGCATACATAACTACGTAGAGACCTATCTACGCATAAAGTCTGCGGCAAAGAGAGAGGGGTAAACGTTCATAGGTGTATACGTCCAGTGGCCTGAACCGGCGCCTTAAAGCGGACTTTACCAAAAAAAATTTGAGGTATCTAAAAGTCACTTAGTTTTTAAAACCTTTCTATTTTTGCCAAATTATTACACACCTAAAACCTTTCAAAAATTACCTATGATAGTGTGCCGTCTAAAGTGCGGTAGATGTTGTTAGTCAATTCTTGGTGCAATGCCCATTCATAGTCTTTTTCTAGTCCAGAGCGAAGTAGCTGCCCTCCACCTCCTCGCCCTTCCATATCCCCTCCTTCCTTTCCTTTTATGTCCCGCCTACATAATTAATAGAAGCCCTCTTCAACACCGGCTCACTTTTTTGGGAGCCCATGGGGGGGGGGCAAGTGTTCAATACCCGAATGGCTTATGCTTTTTGTAGCCAGGGGATTAGGAACGTCGGGTCATTTGTATGGTTGCGGATTTGGGCGGTGGTCTGGAAGCCAAATCAGGGTGGGTGCCTTTGCTTGAGGGTGGGTTTGGTTATTAAGATATTATATTTGAGGGAAAGGTCGGGAATTATTCGAGTGTATCTAAAAAAATTGCTAATAATTTTCGAACCCTCGCCAAAACGGATATGCTTGAAAAGAATGCTCATAGGAACAAATTACGTAATTTTACGAGGTGGTAAGTGAAAGCGACATTTTAAAAGAAAAATACCATTCAGTATTGAGATACTATGAAAGTATGAAGGCTAAATAGCTAGACGTAAAAATCAAGTCCCCAAAACCGACTACCCTATAAATCAACCCAACGAAACCAAAATTACCGTACCCTAAGAACGCCCCCAACAGCCAAAACCGAAAGTTAAAAGTGTCGCCAGATATCCGGTCGAAAAGTCGCAACCCATAATCCCAAAAGCCTACATCATCCCAAATAAAAACCAAATCCAGACAATCCCCCGATAAAAAGGGGTTTTAGGCGAATTACCGCAAGGTTTTGACTCCGTTTTTTCCTAATTACCGCCGATGGTCCAACATGTCTTCTTTGGCACGTGCCACTAGGGCTACTTATGAAAACTTACTAGTGAAACCCCGACCTGCGGGCCTTCGATTTGAATAACAATTTTGTGGGATTTCGGGTTGATTCTAGGAAAAGTTATTTTTTTGTGGCCGTCTGATCATTGGTGGTGAAGGCGAGTGGATTTTATATGGTTTCTGAATCTTGGTGTGAACTCTGGCAGAGATCGGGACAAACTTTTAATAATTTTAATTGCAAAATTATTAAATGAAATGATATTAAACAAAAAACAAACTAACCGATATGATGGCCGTCTATTAAGTTGTTCCCGTCGTTTTCGCGCTTCATCTTCGCTGATCTGCTCGTCGGCGCCGAGGCCAAGCATCCCATTTTGCTGAAAATGATAGGTTTAACGAAAAGCTTAAAAATTAAAGGATCTTTCTAATGTAATATAGCCCGTTTTATCAAATAGTTAATTTAGGCTTATTATTTTTCATTTTTAACCTTAAACATAAGCATCATCGTTGCCCGAAATCGGTGGAGGACCGAGTCGGAAGTTGTTGGCGACTTTCAGATTTTCAGGAACTATAAATAGAACCCTCTCATAAGGTGTATAACTCTGAGCGACGAGAACATCAAAATCGGCACGAAAATCAAGTCAAAAAGGGGAAATGGGCTTATGGGAGGTGAAAATAAACACTACAATATGATGGGAAACCGGCTAACTATTTAGCACAACCTTACTGGGAAATTTCGAAAATATGTTCGAGGTCAATTAAAGGGCGAAGGGTTTACCGAAAATTCGGCTTATGTAGCGGAGACTTATGAAATAGTTTCAAACGACAGGAAATTTGATGATTCCGATGCAAAAAACCAAAATAATCCTGAGAAAAATGCGGAGAAAACGAGAAGGTAGTACATGTTGTCAATTTTACATATCTGGAATTCAGATTTCAGCGCGAACCCAACTCATTTCAATAGTTTATAACCTGGTCCCCATCCAGATCTTATAAAATATGAAGGGAAGTGGGTTGGGTGGGAGAGATGTTGAATAAATGTGAGGGCAGAACCGAGAAGGTGCCCTTGGCTGGATGGCCGAATCGCGGATTCGCGTGCAGGTCTCTTGGCCTCGGTCCGGTGGCAACTTCATTAGTGAAAGGCGATATCCCGTCCATCGCTCTCCTCTCCTCTTCCTCCTCTTTTTCCACTGCCATTCCATTTTTCTTAGGCTCGCTAGAGGCCATTTTTTATGTGCCACCCCCTTTCGGATAGAACGTCTTCGGAGCTAGAGAAAAGGAGAGAGACGGGGGTCAGGGACTCGCCTAAAAACGGGTTATGACCAAAACAACGATCAGTCTGGCCTCGATTACGGTAATTGGTTGGTTGCCGTGAAGCCATATGGAAGTATTGAATTCATAAGATTGGTTTTTCAAAGGATTGCATGGGTAATCAACAACTGAAACCATAATTTGATGGGGACTGATAGATCGGGTAAAGCTGTCTGTTAAAAGGGATTAAAAACGGCAAAATATTATTGGAATTTATCCAAAAAGCGCTACGCCGGGTTTCCAGACGTATAATGCAAGGCTATATATTCATGAATAAACATAGGAAAGTTACTGCTAAGACGTGAGATTTCACTAGTGTAATCCAAAACCAGGGGTAAAAAGTGTGGCCACAAACAAATTCGGCATGAAAGGCTTCCGGTGGGCCGGGATTGAGAAGACAGAGATTATATCATTTTGGGAGTGGATTCCGCGTCTTTCCGGTTTGTATTTGGGTTGTGTAGACGAGGGGGCCGTGTGTATGTCAGATTAAAAAGGCTAAGCCAAGGAACAGACTGTACTGTGCCCCTCCCGCGCCGCAGTCCCACCACGAAATTCTCACTTGAGCCGCCCAGATTACACGCAATATTTCAAGGATTGAATGGGTGGCTAAGGCTTTTGGTCATCAAGAAGTAGGCGTGGAGGGGATAAGGGCTGAATTTAGAGATACGACACGAAATTTGTGATTTCATGTTCATCAGGCTAAAAGCCAGAATTACATGATAAATTCGAGCTACATTTGAGTGAGATTGAGCTACTTATTTGAAAGCGCATGTTTAGATTAGATTAACTTTGCGAGCTTAACTTATTGGCAAGCAAGCAAAGTCAGTAAAAGCGCGTAGACAAATAATATATCGCGAAAAATTCATGCCCAGTTTCATGGCTAGAAATGAAGGCTAATCGGTTTTGTTCGCTCACCTACAACACAAATTGGCCGATCGAAAAGGACTGCGCTCTTAGTCCCCGAAAAAACGGTTGCCCCTATGACGGGGAATTCGTTGAATTGGTTTCCTGGTCAGTTCAAAATAAAAAAATCAATTGAGGGATGTTGGGTGGGATCTATGGTAGTTGGACTCAAGCGGGAACACACACCAGTAGCTTTTTCTAAAACTACAAATTTTGATTCCTTTAACTTGATAAAAAATTCTGTGCAATAGAGAGGAAGGTAAGAAAATTTTAGATATTTTTATGTTTATCGAAAAGAGCCAAGAACAGCTTTTTCAGTTAACTTCCCCAAAAAAACCCCAAAAAATTCGTCATTTGTCAAGAGAAAAGAGAGATTCGATTGCGCGATTCGGGGGGAAAGGGTCGAGCCCCGGCAAAACGTGATGGGATTCGAGGGCAACCGGTGTTTCGCCGGAACATTTCCTCTACACTCCGCCCCAACAAACACCGACACACGTACCGTTTTCCTAAATCTTGAAAAGGCCCGAAATTGTGAGAGCTCGAAAAGGTCGCCCTGAAACTTTCGAGGCCCCCCGACGTTTTTGGCCGATTTCCATCGATCAGTTCAGTTTGTGTCGCGGGGCAAAAAAAGCCGGCAGCAAATCACAGAGACAAAACGTGACGCGCCTCCTGACTCATCGTTAGACAAAAGTGAAAGTGCCAGCAAATTAATGGTACGTTTGTTCAAAATGGCAAAGTGGTTCGCCATCAAGTTCGAAAAGTTCACATCGTGATTACGGACCAATACCATCAAATTGCTCTTTTACAAGTTGAACTAGTTTTTTGTAAAATCAATAAATATTACAAATTAGAATTAATCCCAACCCCTAACATTATCCATATTCCATTTGCCTAGCCAGAAGCTAACGTGTAGCCCCACGGGACATCAGGTTTATCAGAGCGGAATCGTGACGACACCATCCCCCTTTTTCTATAGATTTCTAGGATTAGGCCAGCCGTGGTGCCAATTTCCGGCCCATCCCCCGCGCCAGATTCTATCAAAATGCAAAGCATCCAGAAATCATTTTTCCACGCTCCGCGCGTCGTTTTGAATCGAGCTAAATTAATCAGAAATGAAATTTTTGGATGAAACGGCTGATTTGAAAGGGGGTTTGAGTACAATACATGTTAATCGTGGCTAAAAATTTGGGATGGGTGTGGTTTTGAGGTGGGAAATTTATGCAAATAGTGAAGGAAAGGGGACGAAAAGGAGGGAATAGGCTTTCTAAATGGGACTTTTGTTATTCTATATTGGGGCCGGTATAAGTATTCTAGGTGCAGCGAAATCCCATGCTACAAAACGCGCTCACAGCGGATTAAGCCATTATGGTGCAGAAAGTTAGCTTCCGTGCGTAAAGATTTAAACAAATTCGCAGGAGTTACAAATTAACAATGTAGTTTCACGAAAATGTCGTTTTAAAAATCCTTTTCAGTCGCCAATTGTGAAAATGGGAATTGAGGGAAAATGGCATGGCTTGAAAACTGGCAGCCCATTTCAGGAGATGAGGGCAAACACCGGCTCACTAAAGGCCCACCCTCAACCCCAAAAGACCCACAATCTCGCCGGGGTTCTTTCCACCCGGGTTGACACGTCATTTTTTAGAAAGCCACAGCGGGAAAGAGAGGAACCAGAAGAGACCCAGAAGGGACCCAGAAGCCATGGCCATTCCCCTCCCCGCCCGGGTCTCCCCTTTAAAGGCGACAGCATTCCGCAAAACTCCCCCTCAAAAAGTGAATGCACAATTGGCCAATTGCCCTCGGACTCTGGAGCGGCACCCCCGCTTCGACATCTAATGCCCTCCAACACTTTTTTCGCGCGGCTTTTGTGTCGTTCAGAAAAATTTCGGGAGGGTTGAATTGCAGGAATATTTGAGGGGGGAGGGGAGTGACGGGAGGGTCAAATGGCGGGTATAGTTTTTAGGGGGAGTGCCCATTGGATTCGAATGGAATGGATTGAATAAACAAACAGGGTGCCGAAAAAGGAATGTGGCAGCTGGATAGATGTTTAAAAGTGGAAATTTAGGGAAATAGGTGTAGTTTGGAAAGTGGTGATGTCTGCGCTATCTCGTCAATCAATAAAATGTATAGATAAAGTGTAATTCTTGTAGATTTTAGCGTCAGCGGGCAAGAGGAATGAAATAACTGATAAATTTAGACCTCTTGCCATCGTATTCTTTGAGTAAATTCTGATATTAGCAACTTAAAATTCCTATTAGCAAACAGCCATTTTAAACTCGAATGGGAAAAGTTTAAAAAGCTAGTGGAAAGCATTTTGGGAAAATCGTGGTTTTCCATGTGAAAAAGGCTCCATCAAATGAAAAGTTGCCTTTAGTTGTCCTTTCTTTCGCTCTTCTTATTTTATTATATTAGGCTAGCAATTCTTTGAAAAATTGGAAGAGAAAGAGCCATAGAAAAGACATGCAAAATTTAGAAAAAGGTATAAACCTAGGAAACCGTTGCCCCATGTTGCAACCTTTGGTCAAAACGAAATTAATCGGGGGCCCCCTCGTGGGTCCCGTGGCGAACAAATTCCGCCGGGCTCATTGCATGCAATTGGCGGTTCCTGCCATTGCTCTCAAACCCTTCCATCCCCCCTTTTCTCTTCTACAGCTCTGAAATGGGGGCCATGGCGTCGCCTTTTTTCTGCTAGTTGCCAGTGTGGCCGAGTGGAGTGCCCGTAAACTAATTTGGTTCGCTTATTGCCGGGGGTTGTGTGGCAAGCCGCGCAAAGCGTTTCCCCCCACGGCTTTTCAACGCTAGGTCTTTTGATTAATTTAGTGTTGCGGGGATGCGATGGGTCAGCACGTCAATTTAGGGCATTATTTAGGGGGTTTGGTGCCTGGATTTTTTGGAGAGACGTGGGGAATCTGCATAAATAATAAAAATCGGAAAAAAAACAGGTTTTCTACCGTAATGTGGCGTAAATGTAAAAAAAGTGTGTAAAATAGGGTGGATCTAAAAGTGTATCTTATATTGGAATTAGCATAGCATTTATAGCCATTAAAAACGTTAGGAAGATGGAAAGGAGAGGCACCAGAAATGCCTGCCTGCATACCGACAAAATTCTGATCAATTATCAAAAATTAGAAAATACTTCCTTTTTAAATTTAATATGTATTTTAATATGAATTTTAATATTTTATTTTAACAATTACACGTTTATTACCAAGCAAAGCTCGTGCTCTGATTAGCAATTTAACATGCAAAAACGTTCACATATATTCGGGTGCCATAGCTTTAAAGAAAGAGGGCGATCGCAAAATTGAGCCCTAAATAAAAAAGACGGTAGAAGCGATTAGCTCCCCACTTTCAGCACCATTAAACCAAATGTTTCTACCAGAAACCCGCTCAAAAAACGAGAAACAATATAAACAAGACACAGTTCCAGAGTTCCAGTAGAGGAGTGTCGATCGAAGCCCCAGATAACAGACACACACGGTTACGCTAGTAGACAGCATCGAGGGTGAGGACAACCAACCGACATGAAATGCAATGTTCGGGACATACAGACAGACAGACGAACAGACAGACATACGCACACAATTAGTCCGGATAAACCATTCGGGCCGAGCCCGTTGGTTTTTGGCGTATTTGGGCGGCGTGGTGGTGGTGCGTCTGGGTCATTGCTGCCTTCAGGGGACATATGGCTTCATAGTGCCAATAGAAAACACGGCTTCGTTGAAATTCGGGTAAATAGCTGACGACTTTAGAGTTCGAGATTGTGATTTGGGTGTCAAATATCTTGGAATTCACCAGATATTTAATGCAAGTAAGGCCCAAAAAGGACTGATACGGTAATTTTTATAGCATTTGAAAGCTCTTAAAAAGGCGAAAGTTGGAGCGATTATAATTTTCAAATTGATCGCTCCATATGCATTTTTCTTGTAAAGTTGAAAAACCTGCATTTTTTGACCGGAAATTCGAAATTATCATGCCGATCTTGATAAAAATTAAAACAGCATTTTTGTTTTTTTTCATGACCTTGAATGGAAAACCAAATCATTAAAACCGGGAAAGTTATCGAGCCACTAGTAGCGAAGCTTTTTTGGAGAAACCCTGTAAATTTAATAAGTTGAAATATCTATTAACACCAAAACGTTTTCATCTTCTCCTTATTCAATTCCACACATCATCCACTCAACTTTTTCCAGACGCACCACTCCCTCTACCCACTCCATCCTTGCGAAATCCAAAACCCGTTCACCCGCGCGGAATTCCTGGATTGCGAAATCAACACGCGCGCCGGTCAACTGTATGCCAAGCCCGTCGTCTTCTCCGCGCCGCGGAAGGGGTGCCCTGGGTGCGGTGGACAAACATGCAAACATACAGACGGACAAACACGCATACAAAGCTTTCACAAAAATAGACACGGGGCTCCCGCCAACGGCTCGGGGGCCCAGCGCGCAAACAGGGCACGCGCGCTGCGGGGCCATGTACCCCGGATCCGCGCGTGAGCTCTAGCGCCATCGCGCGGTTGCGGTCAAAATATTTGGTAAGGGGTGTTAATGTGCCACTGGGGGCTGAGTCAGCTGATCGTCATGATTGAGAACTGGTTGTGAATAAAAGACGAGGAAGTAAGAAATGATTTAAGGTACGGCCGGTCTTATTCGCATTTTAGTCTTAGGATTTGTAAACGAAATGTAGAATTTTATTACGCTTCGGGTTGAAAAAAGTAGCTCGAATAAATTTGAACAAAATTTTGTGATTTGAATTAGAAGGTCCGGATTTCAAGGAGGCCCGCAAACGCGATTCTAGTGGACCTCCGGTTTCCACCAATGACAATGCAACAGTTTCAAGGAAAAGCCCTAAAAGGCATCAGAAATCGGCATCTCAAAAATTACAGGGTTGTCGGTAGGGTGCCCCTGATTTGGACGGACACGGAAATCATAGGCTGGGTCTCGTCTAGAATTAAGGGGCGCGCAAATCAAAAATGCAAAGTGTAGATGTTTTTCGAGGACCGACCACTTTTCGTGGAAAAGGTATGATTGCTATTAAAATTATGAGGTATGATTTTCGGATTGTCACGGAGGGAGCGTACTTTGGAAATTGGAAAATTCGAAGAGGTCAAAAGCAAGATTATTTTACAGAAAGCACAAAATCAGAGCCGACATATGGACCACAGGAAAAAGGAAAAAACCAATATATAGAAAGGGATGTTCACAAATGCCTCCAGAGGCCAGTTTTCAATATAAATTAAGAATTTATAAAAAAGCTTTAAAAACACAAAAAAATATTTGCCGATTTGAAAGGAAAAGGTGAAAAATCGCAGGGCAGCCGATGGCGGATGGCCGGAGCGGTAGGGAGGGGGGGGGGCCGCGCGGAGAAGAGCAAACACACACGCTGGGACGGACGGCCCTCGAAGCGGACGGTCCCCCCGCCACCATGCAAAAGTTAGAAGGCAAAAAGGGGCACGGTATAGCGAGAGGAAAGATCCACACGAGGACCGTCCATTCACCCCCCATCTCCCCCCTATTTCCCCACCATTCCGTATGGCTACGGGGGGGCCCGTCCACTGGCGCGAGCCGTTTCCGTGTTCCCGGCCAACCTCTTCGCAGACGTACACACAAACACATACAAACATACACACTTGGGGGAACGGTTCGGGCAGATCGGGGTGGAGCGGAAAGCGATACAGGTGAAACTAGCTATGTTAAAAGTTATTCGATTTTTTTAAGATAGAGTTTACGCTTGATTCATACAGAGTTTCTGACATATAAATTAAGGCGGCACTTACCGTATTACCTCTAATATCAATTCCTTTACTCACATTCTCATGGAATTGGTCAAAATAACCAACTTTTAATGTCGAAGTTCGGTATTCGGTCGCCAAAAACGGCAAGTCCTCCGTCTAATTAAATTTCTACGTTTGGGTACTGCAAGAATAAAATCCTCGGACGTATATTAGAGTAATATACCGCATTGAAAAGGATTAAAGAGCTCATTTACCGGATGTCTTAAAAATAAAAAACCCATAGTCCGATATTACGCAACGTAATTGCTAGGTCCGCGACCTGCCATCGACCCGGTGGCGCGTGTCGAATTTACAATAATTTCTACAAACTTTGAAATAAAGACATATATCTTCCTAAATATACTCCTCATATATACCATCAAAGAACTAAAAATTAGCATCACCAACCGAATTTTCAGGCGGGCGTAGCAGGGTTTCGGTGGGCGTATTGTTAGAGGAAGTTGCGCCGGGGGATGAATCGTCGCCTGGTGAGGAAGACATTCACCTGGGAAGGTGGCCTCACTAAAACATTGTACTTAAAATAGATTGAATAATTAAATAAATTAACAATTACTTCATGTTTAAAAAGAAAAGGTAAAAAGGATTTGCACGGAAGTAATGTTCAATTCCTATTAATTTGCAAGGGACAATTAAAACTAGCGTAATAAATGTCGTAACGAAATAGTATTCTAGAATTACGAAGCAACGATAGTTCAGAGCATTTTATAACCAATAACATCCATTTTTAAATACTTTTCCATTTTTAAATAGCTCCCCAACTTATGAGAACTTAACATCAATAAAATATTTTAAATTCATCCCACTTTCCCACACACAACCATCAAATCAAAGCGATCGAATCAAAAAAACATCACATCAGACGCACGAAAACAAAAATTGCTCGCCGGCGGGCAAAAAAGCCGGCTCGATCCGGGCGGCTTATCAACGAAATGGGAGAGATATTGGGCGAAATCAAGCAAAATCTCGGGTCCAAATGAAGCTATTCTGTAATATCAACCGGTAGACTACCGTAAGCACGGATCCCTACCCTTTTACCGACGGCCATAAGTCGCAAAAATAATTTCTAAACCCCCAGATTGCTCACTTTAATTCGCTAAAAGGCGGCCCTCCGGGGCTGCTCTCACCCGGAGAGGCCAGAGAAAGAGGGAAGGAAAAGAACGACAGACATGGCTCACACTACCCCACTACGCGCCGCTACACGCAGCGCACCCCCGTAGTCACCGCTATAGGAGCCAGCCGGACAAACTCCATGCATGAACCAGCTGGCTGCAAACCCGGGATAACATTAAAGACGTCACCCACTAAATGTCCGAAATACCGCCTGGTGATTATGCCCTCGAGCTTGGAGCAACATTCAGTTCTTCGAGTCCAGCTACCTACCATACCCTACGCTACGATTTCAAGCCACAAAGTGTAACTGCTGATTCTGAGTCATACATTGCTGTACAAGAGGAAGGTGATGTACAGGTGGTTGTTCCAAGTGGAAGTGATGATCTTACCGTCTACAAAGGGGCCCAAAAACCGGTCAAAGAAAATAAGGAATGCCTATTATTTTATGACCCAGCCACGGGAACCTTGAGGCTCGAAAAACTGGAAAGCAATATTAGCGTGAAAAAGACAAGGGATATTGAATCGGTTGAGGCTTTGAAGAATGAAGTAGACAGGGTACGGAACAAGGCTTCAGACGACTTTCCGGAAGAAGCTTTCTATGCAAAGACTACGATGACATCCCAGGCCCTACCCCCTCCAACCCGTGAATCACCAAAAAATCCGGAAGAAATGAGTGAAGCTAGTTCTGATGATGATAGCTCCTCTTCCTCCTCACAATCTGGTGATAGCAGTCGAAGTAATAGCCGATCAAATTCGCCAGTTCATGATGATTCGGAAGATGAATTATCAAGAGCATTAGAAGATCAGATGGTGGCTCAAGATTCTCAACCCCCACCGCCTGTGCGCCCGGCCCTACCATCAGTTTTTGATCAGTTAGATGAGCCCATGCTTCCATCAAAACCAGCCCCAGTTCATAAAAGCAAGACAAAGGATGTTATTGATGATCTACAGCTCAGTGAAAGTTCTGATGAAGGAGATTAAGCGGTCTTTGAGCTTAAATTTTGACGACATTTAGTACAATTTTGGCATTTTTGTTACAAAATTATGGCCGGTTTCTTTCTGGCTTGTTGTCACCGAGGTTTGGAAATACGATTTAGGTGGAATTAAAAATAAATACACCATGCCTCGTGACAAAAACGCCGATGCTCCTTGGGTTTTGCTGTTCTTTCTGGTTTATCACCTGTGATCGTGCTTATCCCAAATCCATATTTGTACCCTTTTTTGCTTGGATTTCCCTCGGTGACTGGTCTATTCGAAAATTCGGTTGTGATGCGTTTTTTTAATAAACCTGATCTTTCAGGTGATGGGCTTAAACTTCCTAAAACACGAGGCGGCCTTGAAAGCGGCTGTCAAGGAAGTGGTTGAAGCCTCAGAGCCCAATGATAAGTGGTAAGTCTTTGATGTTTAAGCCATAAAGTTATACGCCAAAATAATTCCTTTTTTTGTTTGTACTATCGGCGACTATTTTTATTTCTGCGCCTCCAGCGGACCCCCTCTAGAACGATGGTGCGAAAGGAGCGGGGGCTTTGCAAACATCATTCTCGTCGTGTTGACATTATGACGGGGCGCGCGTGAATTTGTTGTTGAGCATTAGCTGGGGACCCGGGGAAAGGCTTTGACAAAATATATGCATAGTATTTCCGGGTTCAGGGCAAATATTCAAATTTTTAGGGTGATTCTCGAATATGAGGGGCCTACAAATGTGATTCGCGTTGGAGAGGAGGGAGGTATTTGAAAAATTTACATTAGTTATGATAGAATAATAAATTTAGATGGGGGTCTAGACGAATTCGGATCGAGTTTTAATGCTGGCAGGATTCAGTATGGAGCCATAAAAGTGCAATTCAGCGATGCCGCAATGCCAAAGATGGTGCTGATTCATTGGGTTAGTTTCCAGGAGCTATTACTACAGTAAACCAAATAGAGCTACCATAACAATTTCAGATAGAAAAATTATCCTGGTTGTTTGCCAATTATAAAAACGAGGAAGCAAATTTCCACCCTAAAATTGGACCATAACAACGAATTCAAACAGAATGCACTTTCAACAATATTTCAAAGCTGTTTTTCAGCAGGGCGAGGGGGTCCCATCAGGTCGCCTAGCAACTACCGTCAGCCATGTGAGGGATGTTGAGCGGTTTTTTAAGGTAATTTACCCGGCTTCACCAGGTGGAAATGAACCAATTATTTCGTTCCAGACGGTCCATTGTGTTCTACATGCCCGCAGTGAAATTGATGTGGAAGAGGCAGCCATTCGGGCTGCACTTTCAAAGTTGCCAAGTTTTGGCGGTAATAAGGTAGTTCAATACTTACTGATTCATTCTGTTTTCTCTCTCTCCCTCTCTCTCTCTCTCTCTCTCTCTCTCTCTTTCTCTCTTTCTCCATCTATCTAACTATCTATCGATCTATCCCTCTCCTCGTGCAGTCTTTCCAAAAATTGAACTTTTATAGGTCGAATCCCAGTATTCTGTGCCCGAACCTGTCGGCTCACTCTACAAGCCAATCAAGCCGCATAAGGACATCAACCTGCAAGAACGAGAACAATTCTGGAAGAAGGTCGAAGCAGAAGAATCTCAGCGCAAAAAGTAACGCCATCTTTCATGGCTAGAAAAAAAACATTTTTAGGGATGACATTGAAAAAGGGCGACAAGATGCTGCCAATCTGAAGGTGCAACGCGAACGTGAAGCCAAGGAAAGCGAGCAGAGGCGTGAAGAAATGGCGAAGAACAAACCGAAAGCGCCGGTGGCTACCAATAACGTTCAACATTCCGTGCAACAAACACCGGTAATTTTTCCTTGGCCAAATTTAAGAAGATTTTAGAAGCCGAGCAATGCTAGCCCTGCGGGTCACCCTCAAAGCAATCTTTGTGCAGATCGCAAAAAAATGTTTGAAGGCAACAAAGATCAGAATGTGCCATTGCCGAAGGTGTGTTAAGTTTCATCAAATAATTCCTTAGTTTTTAGTCTCCAATAAAGACGACGTCGACCACCAACCATAAGGCTTATCAGCCTCCCGCTCCGGCTCCTGCTGCTGACTTCTCACATTCAAACTCGAATTCTTACAATTTGCCGCAAGCCCCGGTTTATGTAAGTTCCCCAGCTAACCTTAGTAAAGATTTAATTCCGTTTTAGGAAGAAATTCCCGAGCTTAACCGAGCCCCAAAAGCTATTGTGCCATCCACCCCAATTCCGGAGCCGATTCCGCTGCCGAAAATCCAACGTGAACCATCACCAGAACCTGAGCCGGTATAAATTCCCGACAAAATTTGATCTGTGTTCTTAGGTGGAACTATCGAATTATTACGACACTGTCCCAGTGATTTCCACAACATCTGGTACTCAAGCTCGTGCATTGTGGGATTATCAAGCTGGTTGGTAAAATTCACATTCAAAAGATCCCTGGTTTTAGAAGATGAGACGGAGATCAGCTTCGACCCAGACGACCTAATTAGTGAGATCGAAATGGTGAGTTAGCTGGAATTAAGACGATCAAAAAATTACTCTTACATTCATATACATAAAATATAAATAAATCTTCTAGGTCGATGATGGCTGGTGGCGTGGAAAGAACAAACACGGCCAAGTCGGACTATTCCCTGGAAATTATGTCCAACTTATTTAATTTCTCATGCCAAATCTCGATCCAAAACGTGATATTTTTATCGAACAATTTTATCTTACAAAGTTCTAACCCAAATATTTTTCGCGTGCCTTTCCAACCCTTGTGCCTTTAATTTATCAACATGGCCTTTGCAATCAAAATGTGATACCCATTGCTAGTCCCAAATTTTATTTCTCCTCTAGTCATGCTCATTCCCCCTAGCTGTGCTTACAAGGCAAGAGTCTCACTTGAAAATCCCCCGCAAAACGCTTATCGCTCAACACCCGTGAATAATAACCAAATTCACTTAAACCATTGAAGACGTGTTGTATCCCGCTTTTTCTTGTTGTGCTTTTATATAAATTTATGGAAAGATATGTGGAATCGGTTAAGATGCATTGTATGCACACTGCAAGATGACAAGAAGGATGAAAAGCGATGTAACGGTATGATCAAAGTTTTCTCGGACATTTCGCGTCACTGGCTTATCAAATGAGGACTCAAAATATTGGGAAAATCACGAATCTCACAATCAGATCCGGCCTATACTACGGGGTTGCACAGATTAGAAATTATTGGAGCACGAGGTTAAGCATGCGTTAGCAGCCTTTGCAAAATGAGGGAATTGAGGAATAACAAAGTGCATATGTGTGATAGTTGGGTCAGATGGTAAAATCTTTACAGTATGCCACAGGCGGACCGAGGGTTGGATGGAATTGATTCGAGTAGTAGTAGGTATCCGTGTATTTAGAATTTTTCTCATAACGGCTTAAAATATTTTTTTTTGCGATTTAAGTGGTGTTTGACAAGATACACAAATGCTAACCACTGATGCTCAATTAGCTTTAGCTTCAGCTTTCATCGAACAGCTTGCTTCCTTCCTAAACCCTGAGCATCACCTCCCAACCAATTGCCCCAACACCAATCGGCTTACGGCTTCTTCCTCCATCCCGTAGCTAGGGCTGCAAATGGATGTCTGTCCACCCGCCTTGCTGCACTTCGACCAAAATCCCTTATCAACACCCAAATTCAAGTGAAATGTTAGGAATCTCACGAAAAGTGTGGGCTGCGACCTAGTGGAACAGGGGGTTTACGTCACCTGGCGTCTGAAGGAAAGGGAGGCTTCTCGGCTGATCGACGCCAGAGTTGAAAGTTGAGACCGGTGAGATGAGAGATAAGCCGACTACTGGGTGCGGGCCTTAAAAAGAATCGCCGGATAGGCCCATCAATCCTCATTGGCTTCAGAATTTAATGTACAGGCCGGCCCTGGATGGCAACATTTCCTTTTGTAGCTTTGTAAATTTATTGCTTTAACTTTATCTCTTAACTTCTAAATAAAGGCTATATATTTTGATGAAAAGAATTGGTTTGTTAAGGTATGACTGGCAAGAACAATGATGGCTTTGAATGCGATAGCTGCGAGCATGAATATTCAAATGAAAAGAAGGAAGAACTCATCGACGATTTCGCTGAAACCAGGATTGATGTAGGGGAACCAGATGTGAAGGTATAATATCTTTCCCGGCTTCTTTAAATTAACTTTTAGTCTCGCTTCTCCTTCCGGAAATTATGGAAGTTCACCGGGCCCGGTTTCTTGATGTCGATCGCCTACCTGGATCCAGGAAACATTGAAAGTGATCTGCAATCCGGGGCAATGGCTCAATACCGGGTAATTGAGTTCCAGGAGATCTTTATTATCGCTTGTTTTAGTTGATCTGGGTGCTATTGGCTGCCCACATACTTGGACTTCTTATGCAACGTCTATCGGCTCGAATCGGTGTGGTTACGGGACAACATATGTCCGAGATTGCGCATTCGTATTATACAAAGGTTCGTTTGATGGCTATTATTTTAAGGCAGCTAAAATTGACTTATTTGAACACGTCGCAAATCAAAATTATGGTAGTTTGGGCCTGAGTACCACCAGCTTTCTTATGTACCGTACACCAATATTAGGTTACTGTAATTTCCGGTCACTTCCGGTGCCTATCGCCCCCAAGCCGAACCACGAATTGCGTTGTTTTTAGCTTAATTAGGCTAAGCCTCTAATTCAAATAGTCCGTTGACCCGATTTACCACCGTTTTGCCGGGTTTCTGTATCTAATCCCCTGGGGAACAAGCTGATAACGCCAATCCGACCGCTTAGCTTTTGCACCCAAAATGACCCATGACCAGGAAAGTGGCAGAGCAGCAAAAAGGAAGAAGTGAGAATACTAGAGCGAAACGTAAAAATATTAAAAAATTGTGGTTTTGGTTTAGGTTCCGCGCTTCGCCCTATGGATTATGGTCCAAATCGCCATTATCGGATCTGACATGCAGGAAGTCATCGGGACGGCTATATCGCTGTTTTTGTTGTCGAATGGAAAGTCAGTTATATACTTTTTTAAAGTTGTTTGATTTACGCTCCACTAACTTTCTTAAAAAAAATACAATAGCAACCTCTAAAAACACATTTTAGCATACCGCTCTGGGTCGGTGTACTGATCACAATTTGCGATACCTTCTCTTTCCTGTTCCTTGAACGGTAAATAAAAAGCTATAAATAAAAACTCTATCAATTTTTAGATACGGTGTCCGATATTTCGAGTTATTCTTTTGTTTCCTCATCTCGTGCATGGCCGTCTCGTTTGGTTACGAATTTGTGAAAACCACGCCTGAAGCAGTATAGGGATTTCGGAATATCGAGAACTATAACATTTCAGGGAGGTCTATTCAAGGGGATGGTGTTGCCATGGTGTGATGGATGCGATAGTGATCAATTATTACAGGTAAAGCAAGAAGGTTTTGGATTATAGGTGACTTTTAGGGTATCAGTATTGTCGGGGCCGTTGTGATGCCGCATAATTTCTATTTGCATTCCGCCTTGGTGCAGGTACCGTAATTATTTTTGGGTTTTTTTTTTGAAAAGCGCAACATGAAGAACTTTTAGAGCCGCAAAGTTGACCGAAAAAAGCGTGTTGCGGTGCAGGAGGCCAACCTTTATTATTTCATCGAATCGGCTTTGGCCCTGTTTTGCTCGTTCATCATTAATGTGCTGGTGATGTCCGTGTTTGCCGCTGGAATGTATGGCAAAAGCAACGCACATGTGGTCGGCTTTTTAGCTTTAAATAATTTTTAAAAATTCATTGATTTAGATCGTCCCCCATCCCTGTAAATACAACCATTAGTTTTAGCGTGAGGTTTGCGAAACTACAGACAATGGCATGTCCAACTTCTACAAAGACGTTTTTGCCAACAACACCGATGATGCCGAATCGGACATCTACCATGCTGGAATCTATCTTGGTATGCCAAAAACATTAATAATTCAATGCATATTTTTAGGCTGCACTTTCGGCGTTGGGGCCCTTTACATTTGGGCAATCGGAATTTTGGCCGCCGGCCAAAGCTCGACAATGACTGGAACTTACACCGGGCAGTTTGTTATGGAGGTATGATAATATCTGTAACTTTCATATCTACAATGTATATAATTTAAATAATACAAAAATATCTATAATGATTCTAGGGCTTCATCAAACTACGCATGCCTGCCTGGAAGCGGTTGCTTTTGACCCGTTCTTTGGCCATTCTTCCAACCCTTGCAGTCGTGATTTTCAGTGGTGGAATTCAGAATATCACTGGTACGCTTTAATATAAAAAATATACAAAACTATCTAGGCTTGAACGATTTCCTGAACTGTGTGCAAATGCTTCAACTCCCATTCGCCTTGATTCCTGTCCTAACGTTTGTAGCTGACAAGAAATTGATGGGAGAATTCTCGTGCTCCTTGTAAGCTGAAACTTTTAAGTTCGAGGAAACACGAATTCAGGACCCAAAAATGGTTCTCAATGTTGGTGTCAATTCTCGTATTGGCGATTAACATTTTTTTCCTTTATGAATGGGTTGGAGAGGAATTCGGGTGGACTGTAAGCAAAGAATATATTTCTAAATTGTGCTACTTTTTAGCCAATCGCAATTGCGTCAACGGCAGTCCTTTGCGTTATTTATGGTGTGCTGATTATTTATTTGACGTATTATTGTCTCGTGGCTATGGGCACCATTTCACCATGGAATTCGGTCGGTTTTAAAGGGGTTGAGCAGGCAAAAATCATCAGCGAGACCCGGAAGAAAGCTTATTTAATTTATTTCAGCAATGGTTCCCCAGCCCAAAATATCAAAACTTTGATCAACCGTGGACCGAAGATGATGTCAGCCAAGCCGACTCGATCCACAAGAATTAGGATATTGCTTTCGATCTGCACATATTAATTTGATCTCAGTGGTCATTCAGCCCACCTTTGATAAATAATTATAATAAAATGGCAATGCAAAACTATACCAAAGTACAAGCAGCCTCCTTCTTCCCGGATGAAGTCCATTAATCCAATCCACTCCAGATTTCCTGGTACCCTCCACTAGATAGGGATGATCGTGTAAAAAGATGTCTGCCGCTATTTCCGATCCACTCCACTCGCTAGGGCAAAGAGTGAGAACGGATTCCATCGGAAATTAGCCCGCATGGGGGTGACGACGGATTGGAGACGAGCCAACTGGGTTTCGCTGGACTTTAGGCATTGCGGAATGGGAAGGGACCGGTTCCGCAAATCACCACGTTATAAAGGGCACCAATGGAAAAGCCGAGATACATCAAGAAACGTATTTTTACGTAGTTATGGCAACATAAAGTGTAGAAACTATAACTAGTAATGATTAGCTCGCTAACCGTCCGTTTGCTAATTCAAAACAGCGATCACAAAAGGCTTTAGAAATATACAGCAACCCTGTCCACAGAAAGAGTAGTCAAAAAAGTCACGGCCATCCGCTTTGCCCAGGATCTAGCAGCCACTGCCAGACAATACGGTCCAGAAAACGATTCAAGATTTGGATCGCTGTCGACACCCAGATTTTGGGGCGCAAAGCTGCGAAAAGCAGAACAATCTAATCTAGGAACAGCAAAGCGCAGAGAGCGAATTCTAAGGAAGCGATATCGCCTAAAATATAGTCTGTTTTATTTCTCGCGAAAACGTAAAAATGAAGTGTTAACGCACGGTGCGCTAGGTGTGTGAACGACTCTCAATTCCTCATCTCTGTATTTATTGTTATGTAAATCTCAATTATACGCATTCGCCAGACGAACCCTTGGCCTTTTCCTTGCACTATACTGTATTGTAAACAAGTTTAAACCATAAATATTTATTATTAGAAATGACGCTAATTACAATTACAGCTTTATACACGGCGATGACGACGGTATCCGGTGCGTCCGCTTCCGGAGGCGGCAGCTAGAATGGGAAATATAGCTCGATAAGAAAACATGAATGATTTTACGGATGCTACTCTATGTTCAGCCCTTACCCTCGAGGGTTTCCCTTGCTGGGCATTTACAGTATTCGGCATCTTTTCCTTGGAGGCCAGCCTGGCCAGGCAGTCCTTCCTCGCCGTCAGCTCCAGCAGCTCCCTAAACATTCATTAGAAAAAGTAAAGCAATAATCTACCTGGAATCCAGGCGATCCTTCCTCTCCCTTCGATCCAGAACGGCCAGGGCGAGCATGACGGCCTTGGGGTCCAATGGGGCCTTCGATACCAGCCTCACCAGGTGGTCCACTAAATAAAGTTTTAATAAAGATGCATTGGCTTAGGCTAATATTCATTTGAAAATTAAACAAACCGGGGTCCTTTGCGTCCAACCGGCTTCTCGGCATCAACTCCACGGAGTCCAGGCTCGCCAGGCTTTCCATCTTCTCCAGGAGGTCCAGGTGGACCCATCTCGCCTGAAAATTAGGAGGATGCTTACAAAATTTTGCAAACGCCCCTCTCGAATAAATTATTTCAACAGAAGACTCACCAGGCACTCCTGGGGCTCCGTCGCGTCCTGGGTGTCCTCCTTGGCCTCGGGCTCCACGCATACCACGCATACCAGGGCGACCGCTGGTTCCTTGGTCTCCGGGAGGGCCCTGAAATCGATATTGTTGGTTTCTCATGCTCCCGTAATCTGATTAAAAAAATCTAAATTATTCTATAAAAACAGCTTGGTGACGCTCAGCTTTTGTTTTTAAACCTACAGGTGGGCAGTGGAAGCATCCGGTAGCCGGAGTATTCTGGCGATCAGAAGCATCTTGGCCGTCCTTACCGTCTTGACCGGGAATTCCGTCCAAACCATCCGGGCCCTGATCTCCGACCTAATCCATAAATATAAATATATCCTTATTATGAAGTTCCTACCTGTCCATTTGGTCCTGGAGGGCAGTGATTTTCGGTGGTGCACTGGCAAGATTGGGGAGGTGGAGAAAATGAGTTGACGCCAGCTGGAGCACCGGGGAATGTTCCTAAACGTTATTTTTAAAAATGATGAGTTGATAAGGTCGCACCAGTTGGTCCATCGGTATTTCCTGCAGCTCCGTAGCCACCGTAGGCTTGACGCCTAACACGGTTTGCTGGTCCTCCGGCTCCAAGCGTCACCATGTCGGTCCAAAGATCATCGGTCAAGCTCTAAAACAAATAAACGTATTGAGTGCATTATGGAATGTAATGCTTTTCCGTTCGATACAGTTTAGCTTCACTTACTCGGAAATTCTGGATATCAGAATCGAGTTCCCTCCAGAGTGATGTGACATCACTGTAGATGGAAAACGCAGCGAAAAGTGAGATTAAAAGTGTCGCGCCGGAGAAGGTGAGGGCTATTCCGCTGACCCCAGGAGACCACATTCTCTGAAATTTCGTGATGAAAAGGAGGTTTTGAAATTGGGAAGCTTTCACGAACTTCATAAAGCGAAAAATCGAGCACTATAAGGGCATTTCCGGTCATTCAGTGATTATCTAGTTCGCTTATAAGGTTGTAAACTCTAAAATAGAGTACTAGGAGATTTTCCAGCTACGGTATGCCTTCAAAATTAACAACTGAACGCTTGTAAGAGAACGAGCTTAAAAAGTCCTAAATGTGGACAATTTTAAAAACCTATAAAAGCTTTCCGATCCTTAAAAGATAACAGTTGTTTTCTTGCTCATTCAGTTGATCCAATTGGCAACACCGTAGTTTGTATAAAAGCGGAATTCCAAATGGGATATAAGGTGTTTGGGTGGGAGTAGTGAAGGAGAAGCTTGTGCTGAATGATCGTGGAAACGACGATGAATTTCCTATATAGGCTAGGGAACCGGGGGTAGTCTCCGCCTCTTTTGAGGACCCTTTTTCCAGAGCGGATTTGGGGTGGCTAAAGAAGATCCATCCGCCTGGCTCGATCCCATTTTCAGTTGTGGAGGCCGCCATTTTCGGTCCACAGCGGCGCCATTTTGGGGGGAGAAAAGAAGCCTCTTGCTCGAGACACAAGCCTAGCCGCCGCAAAACCACAAATTTTGCGAGTTTTTCCTTCTTCTCCCGAAGAACGAACGAACCCCTCTTCTTCGTCTCGTCCGCATACACACAAGGGGTTTACGGCCTGGGGACAAGCCAACAAAAAAACTTGATCCATAAAACCCACATCCACCGCCCATTCACCCTTGTTTCCAGGCTCCGATAATTTAGATCTTTAGAATGTTTTCCTTCTCCATCACTTTGTTTGGATAAGAAACCGGTTTATTTGGAAGTGCACGTGCGTTTTGCGATGATAGATTTAAAGCAGGGATCGTGGAGGTGTCGTTACGACTCATTCCTTCCATCCCTTTGCAATAATTTTGTGCTTTGGGTCTGTTGGCTTTTCGTGAAAATTTAAAGGTGTATTTTATTGAGTCACAATCCATTTCGGCCTACAAAAATTGACTAGAGACGCTTAGCATCTTGACAATCAAAAATCCAGTTAAAAAATCGGCAAGTAATAAACGGAATATAGGGATCGGGAAATCGTAGAAATGCTAGACGGACTATTAAAATACAGCAGCTTCGAAGAGATAAATTGCCACGTTAGTTACAAAGGAAAACGTTAATTGAACAGGGCCACTGAAATAACTGCACGATATAAAATATTTACATATCATCAGGAATCAGGTAGGTTCAAAGAGAATCAGTATCGGCTGTGACAATCAACACATGGTGTAACAATTTTAAGCTTTCTTCTCCTCAAAGGTAATCTTATTGAATTTACTGACATAATCGCAGTTCCTGAGACTATGAATTCTGAAGTCATCAAACAGTTCCCAGGCGCTCGAGTAGTTGTGGGCGACCACCACCAGATTATAATTCTAGAAATTTTAACATCGATTAGCTTCGAAAACGTACGTATGTAAAGATCATCGGTTCTTTCGTGAGACAGTAATCCGTATCGGGCATCATTTTTTCGAAGGATGTTCTTGAATGAAGAAATGTCTAAATTCATCGTTGATTCGGTTAGGTTGTAGTGGGATCTTTCTGCCTGTGCGCACTTACCTCATCATGCATCAGGAAAGCCGGCGGTATAATACAGGTTTCGATTTGCATAATACGTTTCTCACCCAATTTCGGCGGGTGCTAAGAAGTGATGATCACTTTTAGGTTTTGTAAGTTACCTCCAAAACCAACTTCAACAGCTTTCTGAAGTTATGCGCAACGCGTGTTTCGCTCGTCATCTCGGGTACCCAATGGAAATTGGCAAAATTCCGGTAACGAACCTAAACAAAGATATGGTCGGGGAAAATAGTGGTACCAGATGGAAGTATTGCGTGAGGGCATCCATCGTTTGCCAGCATGCGATGGTGAGCTCGACCTAAACCATATTTTTGTACTTTTGGACGGCACGGAATTGAGACTGATTCCAGCAAACTTCTGAATAATGAAAAGTCAGCGCTCACCTCAACGTGTTGAGTTTCTGGATTTTCTAGAAATTCCTTGTTCCTTGTAATAGGCAGGCCTGGGTACATAAGTATTTTGTGAAATTGGAGCTTTTCGATATTCAATAATTCCTCATGTCCATCCAAAATCTCGCGATTCTAAAAAAGACTCATTATCAACCACCTCCTATACCCAGATTAGCGGCGTACGCGGCGAAGGTTTAGGTAGAAAAATGTTGCACTTACTGATCCACAAAGATGGCTTTCCAGCTTGAAAATCTTCATTCGATCCGTTAGAGCATTCAAGGTAACCAAGAGCTCCTCCTTTGAGTCAAATTCGAGCTCATAGTTGAGCTCCGGAGTCAGGTCAGGCGCTTCTTGCTTGATTGTCAGCCTAGAAATAGCATTGATCTAGCAACCAGGTTCATACCTATGTTCATAGTCGATCGTAACTTCAAAACGAAGTGGGGCGAAAATGGTCGAAGGTTCTCGGAACTCTATTGCCATCTATAAATTGGAACTATACGCTTATTTGCATACGGGTACGGTATTGGACTGTTAGCAGAGGGGGAGCTATTTTTCCTGTACGGCCCTATAACAAAACATAGACCATTTTTATAGCCTTTTAAACAGTTTTTAGATATCAAAATTTCATAAAAAACGCATCAAAATTTTCGCCAATATTTGACCATTTGGGCAAAAATGCGTAAAAAGGCCGAAATTCTCGAATTTTCAAAAGAATATAGATATTTTTTAACTTTTTAGCAATCACAGACGAATAAAAACATTATAAAAATACACTGCTTATTTTTAGCAGGTCGGTAAAGGCGGAAAAACAAGTTAGTTAGGTTTCCCATCTGCTAAAAGTCCAGTACCACTACTACTTCGTATGGGTTGTCGTCTACAGTCATGTAGGCTACACGAATCTGCGTGTCGATGATGCTGTTCGCGGGCCAGCGAGCAGCAAAGACCTAAATTTTTTTCATTCTTACGGTTAAGCGGCTCAATGTCGGGTCATTAGGCAACCCACCTTCTGCGCCCTTCGAATATAGAGCTTTTCATTGAATCCGGCCTTTTTGTATACCATATTTTGCAGCTCGACGGGTAAAGCGTGGAAATTAAAGTCGACATCAGCCGGTACACATAGTGACATCCCTAATCTGCAAAAATACCAGCCTGTGCCAAGCTAGGGCAGGAGAAATCATCAGCCGTAACAACAACCTTCAGAGATAGCAAAAAGAGGGATCTTGAAGATTGATCGATCTCAACAAAACGCGCAAAACTAAAAGGAAAGTCTGTAATCAATGGTAGATTTAGATTTTCGAAACTGAATGAGAACAATGTCAAATGAATTCTTTCCGAGCATGTATAGCCTAGTGATCGAGCCTTGGGTGGAGGGCATCTCTAGCCATTGCATCGCGTAAGCGAAAGCGTGTAGCCCCCTTGCCCACTTCTAATAGATTCATGTGGTACGCCTCATATGATCAACGTTTATCTGGGAGAAAATTCCCGTATGCACCAATTGAGATTGAATTGGGCAGAAATAGCACTTTGGCTTGAAAAACAACAAAAACAACAACGGAAAACGCAACAAAAAGACATAACAACCTAGTACCAATTGTATCGGCAACGATGCCGCGAGATCTAATAAAGTAGTAAAACAAATAACCGTACGGTCAACGCCGCAGCCGTTCAGCGACAGCGTTCATGCAGCGGCTCATCAGTGGCTGACGACTTCGGCGGAACAGCTGCTTTGACTTCATTTTCTTTCTCTTCCGTAGAAGCCTTCCTAAAAAGAAGAGAATATTTAAAGAAAGGTTCCTTACGCAGCTTCGACAGCCTTTTTCTTTTCACGCTTCAGGTCAGCCTTCTTCTTGGCATAGGCCGCGTAGCTGTCAGTCCTCAAGCGACAGGAGGCGCGCACCGAAGGGATATGAACTAAAAAAATATTAATTTCGTGAACACCATAGACAAGCATACCGTTAATGGCCAAATCCTCGTTGATCTTATTGGAGTATTGAACGGCCAACCCAGCCCAAATGCCAATGTACAACCTTGTACCTTGGCTCAACAGATTTCTGGCTGGGAACTATAACAGGGTTCAATAAATAATTCAGATAATACCAAATGAGGGCGCATCAACTCCCATTGCACCATACTGTCAGCCTTTGTTTCAGCAGCCAACGAACCGTAGAGGCTAGCATACAACATCTTGTCATAACCTCCAATCGAGGATCGTTTCATCAACTCACTAAAGCATACGTTAGCTTACAGAAATGCCAACTAGCCTGTAGAGCGGATAGCTATTCATCCTAGGAAAAATCCTGATGAAATCGCCCTTGCACGAGTCTTCCAGCTCCAATTTCTTCTTGAATGCGTAGGTAATGCATTCCGGGGAACCATGAGAGTAGTTTGGCTGCTTCTAAGTTTAAAAATACACTGAGAAGTGGAATCATACGGATTTCTTCTTGACATGGCGGTGTCCCACAGATTCGCGAGAACTATGACGCCCTAAAAACAAATTAGCAAAGAGAGCGGAAAGGAACCTCGGCTGTTCCTGTTAACCAATGGAATGCAGGCAAGGTTAAGCAAATCAGAGAGCATCTTAGACTTCAAGACCGAATCCAGCGGGGCGTCACTAAACAGCTTCGATATAACAATATAGAAAATTTCCAACGTACCACTTCAAACTAGGAGAAATATTGACTTCAAGAAGCCATGGCTTTAGATTCTCATCCACCAAAATGTCGAAGCCATACAACTGGAAGGCATTGTCCGGCGAGATGAAGGTGTTCCTAAAATGCGGTTTTCGTTAATGGGAAATGTTACTTGGCCCATGTGGCAATATGGTCTTGCCCCGAAAGCAACGTCTTGATGATCAAGTCCTCGATACGGACCATTAATACTAAAAATTCATGGTTAACCTTTAGAGGGCGCAACTTACGTTCCGAATCGATACCATCATCCTCCAATCTGCGCAAAAGGGCCCCAAGAGTGCGTTTATGACCAACATCCTCTGACATAAAAGTGTCGTTCCTAAACGAAAATGTAGAAAAAACGGTAGCCAAACTTGATATAATTCTGGTTGTCCTTATTCAAAGAATAGTTGGTAAGATGAACGAATTCTGCTTTCTCGCCGACGTCTGGAAGGTATTTCTCGGAAGCCAGCCTAAGCAAAATATAGATGGGAAATGCTTCGATAACCTCGTCATTCCTCCGGAGTAGACATAACAGATGAGAGGATTGAAGGACGTGACGGCGACGTACACCCTAAAAATCACAACGCGAAGTTTTCAGATGAAGTCAGATTTTGATACCTGAGGTCAAATTTGTGACCATCTAGCAACAAGGGGTTGTCGATGTACTTAGAAACCAGCATCTTCTGTTCCAACGGAATGTCATTTGGCTAAAGCAACATCGCATAATCAGCAAAAATAGACTTACTGAATCGGTAAAGAAAATGCCGCGCCCTTGGCAGCCATCAACCGGCTTGACAATATACATCGTGGGCTCCACCGAAAGCTTCTCGTTTTTCTCGTGCTCTTCGACAAGTAGGTCATAGTCACGCGGGGTAACGTAGTATTCGGGGATCTAAGCGACATTATAAAAATCCACCCAGAAAACTCACAAAATCGTAAGCTTCCCCGAATTGCCTCCTCATCAGCGAAATGTTGTCATAAAGGTAATGCTTGTACGTGATCAGGAAGGAACGAGGAAAATGATTCACGCGTTGCCTGCAAAACAAACTAAAAAAAGATCAATTAGGTACCATGGCTGCAAGTCGCGAAGTTTTTCAGGCGGAACGTGACCACTAGACCAAAACAAGTTGAACGAGCGACTCTTCGGAGAACACTGCATAAAGCCATGCGCATGAAGCATAGTCTTCACCAGTCGATTTTCGGTTTTCTTCATCATAAAACTAAAAAAAAGGTAGGCAAGCCGTTACTCCTTACCCCAACTCGTTAAGACGCCCCGTGTTCGTAAACTTGTCGTGTTCCGAACCGAAAGATACATCCGCTCCGACGAGTGAGATAGCCTCCGGCGAGAAAGTAGCGTACTAAAACAATAATCTGAACACGTAGCAAATGTACCTTTTTCCCCTCGTAGCGCTTCACGGCCAACTTGTTGATCGAGCTCGGCACCATCAGGCTTTGCCACTCGTTTGCTGTAGCTGGTCGGCTGAAAAAGCGAGACATTTCTAGTTGAAGAAACATTCTACGAGATGGAAATTTCCAATTATCGACAGGAAATGGACGGGCGTTCTCAAAAGCCTCGCTGCACGTAATTTTCAATGTCAGCCATACCAAACCTAACGTTAGTCTGCATTTTGCAGTACCACAATTTAATTACGTCGAAATATTTGACTGATTGGTTTAACGGAAAAACCGAGTGTCGATGTACGGATACGGGGCTGCTAACGGCGGTATACCGCGCGATAAAGGTTACGATAAAACGATAAACCACTACATAAGAAAGAAAAGAAAAGAGGATACCTCGGCAGCACCGGAGCCCCGTCCAGTACAATGCCCGCTGCGACAAGCACCGGCTCCAGCGCGCTTCCCCAATCGGTTTCGGGGGCATCGGGCTGGGCACTCGTGGACACAGGCATCGGCGGCTCCGCCGACAACTTTATAGCCTAAAAATACGCTTAATTCTTAGCCAACTAAAAAAAGCCGCGCGGTCTAAAAACTTGCCTCAAATGACCCCCAGGGTTCGGGCAACTCCGGGCCGCCGTTCGACCAATACGAGGGCTGCTCGACGACTCTGGAAAACGCCCGTTGCCTTATGTAATTTAGTCCTCTTTATTTAGGCACCCGACGTCCAGTAGATACGTCGAACTTCCTAGCCAATTTAAAACATGAATTCAGAATTTCGAGCTTGTTTTTAATATCCACGCCGAACACCGGATCCGGGCTGGCACATGAAAAAAAGAGGCCAAAAGAAGACACCAAAATCGAAAGCGAAAATAGACATCAATGACAGATAATTGAGGACAAAAGGAGAATACCTACTTCTTTCTGGGGCTGCCAGGCATGAAAAGAAAGTTGAGCCTGGAAAAAATGATTGGCAAAGTTCAGGGAGAAGCCCCAGAGAACGCTAAACGCGAGAGAAAATTATTTTTGAACGCCACTTGACATTCAGACCTGTGATCGCCTGCTAAGTTAAAGTTATTATGAAAAAAACTTCGCAGACCAGGCTTACAAAGCCTAGGGCTAAAATCAACGCGCTTAGCGCTTTTTTGGCAATAATCGGTCCTCACAGAATATAAAAAACCTAGTAGACCACCCATTATCTAAAGCTTAAAAACATGATCGAATTTGAGCTTGATAGCCACAAGCATAATAATGAAATCTAGCCCTTGGCAAAAAGACCTCTTTGTCTAACTTGTTAGTTCGGGCGATGCAGTTAGAAATTTGGATATTTTGGAAAACGGAACCGAAAAAAATGACGAAAAGTTGCGGATTTGGAGTTTGAAGGTGAAATAACGGGAAATACCCTCCTCAGAAAAATGGATTGGAACCAGGTGGGAAAAAATTAAATCAAAAACGAAAAATTGAAAAAAATTTGACGTTACTCCATGAAAACGAGCCACACTAATGACGCCTTTGTGTAGCGTCAGCAGATGGCCGGCTCGAAAGGTAAAAAAAAGCGACTTGCGAAACTAGCATAGGCAAAACTGGCAACGCGACTGGTATTATTTTCTCTCTCATAGGAATCTGACCAGCGCATATTTTCTTGAAATTAACTTTTTGACTTGCTGGACATGGATGTCTCACTAAAATCTCAATATATTTGGTGCGATAGGGCGGCGATCGTGACGCAAGCTTTATTTAGTAAGAAGAGGCTGATTTCTAATGTGTTGATGTTTCTATTTTTGTTCTTTTAACTTGGCTTTCTGATTTCCTGTCTAAATCACGTGCGGTTTCAGCATGTCGAGCCGTCAAGACTACCTGAATTTCGTGCTGGATAGTCTGCAGGGAAATGGCGTATGTTGTTTTATTAGTTTTACCTTGGTTCTGGAGAACATGACGGAGATGGGTTTTCGTTGAAATACTTTTCAATTTAGGGGCTATCGGGTACCGCCCGGGGTGTCGCCCGTCAAACAGCTTCTGCAGCTGCCGGCACAGCTGCTGGAGGGCTGCTTGCCGGCCCCGGCGGCGCCCTGTTTGGCGGCATCATCGGTGGCCTTTACGGATATTTCACGACGGAAAGCTACTCAGTAAGTGTTAGATTTTAAGCTGTATGTTTTGGGTTTAGAGCCTCTTCTCGTTTTACAACACATTGGCTGACGATGACAGGCGAAAGGTTACGGAGAAGGTCGGAATTTTTTTGGTCTCTTAAAGAAGTGGCAAAGTGGTAGTTGATAAGATAGTGGTTTTAAAGTGTGGATTCTTTTTTTGATGGTCATCATTTTTCAGATTCAAGGCTATGTCGGGAGCACTTCGATCAACGACTTCACGGGCTGGATTACCCGTGATGGGAATAGGGACATTTTGGTGACAATGCTTATTGAGGTTCGTTCATTTCTCAGATTGGGTTCTTAGGTTTTTAAATTTCGATGATATTATTAAAAACAAAATGAAATATTCGCATTTTAGTTGATGCGCCATGGGATCTCATCAATGGGATCTTCTGATGCCCCGTCGTCCTCGGCGAGCAGCTCATCCCGTGGCCGTCCGAGTTCATCCAGGAACGGAGCTTCTCCCCCACCGTCCGCCCCGCCATACGGATTCTACGAGCCGCCGCCTCCATATTCCAACTAAGTCCAGTCAGAGTTTTGCTTACATACGGTCTCAAAATTCATCAGTAACATCTATGTGATTTCTGTAATTGTATTTTTTTGTTAGATTCAATCTCAAAACTCGGGCCTCTGATAACGATGACTTTTTGTCTTACACGTTCGCTCATACATACCAGAACCATTTATATGCACCTGAAATGATCGTCTGCTTATTTTCTTAGCTGTTTGTATTGCAAATGATTCCCATGTGTACTTTTAGTGGGCTTTACTGCTGTATCTCTATTGATAACCTTTGATATGATACCTCATTTTTTTCGATAAAGTGGAACATACAGATCGTTACGCACTTGGAAAGGGAAGTAGGGGACCTCGGGGACTTTTTGGACACATGCGGTAGGTTTTTAGGCGATTTTCCCAGACAACCAGCAGCCGTTGACCCTCGAACGTTGCCGCTGGGTCCCTGAAGGCAAGAGAAGCACACTCGACCGATTGTCGCTTGGTGACGTGCGTGGAAAAGCTCTTGAAAACGCGAAAAATTGTCTGCACATTGTTGAGTACCTGGGAGGTAAAAAGAGTGAAGGGTTGAGTTTGTGTGTGGGGGTGAAGTGGGTGGGGTACTGTTGGGATGGTTGGGGTGATCGGGAGATCCTCGCGTTGGGTCCCATCGGCTAGGAAACCCCGAGGATAAACGGGAGAACAAACAGTCTCTTCATCTTCTTCTCTTCATCCCGGAGATCGCCCGTCGATTCGAAAAATCCACACCCGCCGAGCCGAGCCGACAGTTTTTCTGGTCCTCGAAGCGCGGCCGTCTCTCGTTTCCGGTGGCTTGATATGTTATCTTTGATACTAAGCAGCTATTTTGAATTGCTGCTTCTTGGTTGTTCAGTGCTCTCATAACGTGGTCTATCTTGCGAACACGTATCTTGAAATCCCTGAAAAAAAGCGTTTACTTTTCTCCAAACAATCTACAACTTTTGAAGACACCTCAAATTGGCCATTTCGCGCATATTTTTAGCAAAAACCTATGTAACTTTTGAAGGCGAGCTGCTCAGCAAATTAAGAAATCGGAATGGTTTTAATGAATTTCCTACGATTCAGCATTCGCTTGAGGCCGATGATCCGTTTTTGTGACATCATAAATACGGGTTTATTTTTGTCTGCAAGCTGCTGCATTCCACAGGAAATTGACTAGCAAACAATGCTCTCAAAATTCGCTCCTCCATCATATTTACTGTAAGAGACACTCATAACAGCTGCGAGTTATTTTGAGTTTCGAGAAGTTAGCGCCCACCCACGCGCTAAAGAGTACCTTAAAAGCCATTCAGTTAGCGCAATTTCACTTTACAGGTTTTGAACATGATATCGTCCATCTTCAAATAAATATATTTCCAAATGTTGCTTACTAGTCGTTAGTCCTGTGTCTAGCCGAAAAAGAAATCAGCTGTCGGGATGGGAGCTTTACAGTGTAGTTGTTGGCGCTTGTCCATCCCAAATATTTGAGTGTTGAGCCGAATGGATTGTCGCCATTCATGCCAGTCTTTTCTCCGTTCCGACCGTTACTCGATGTGCTATTGATTCTTTTGCTAAAGAATTTGCTGTAATTGCATAGCACCGTTAAATATCGCTTATTTGTTTTAGTAAGTCATATGACATATCTAACAACATAATGGTAAATATGCCAATAGCGTTTTAGTAAACGTGTTATTATTTTTAATAATATTCCTAATTGAAATTTTGTCGAAAATCGGTTATTTTTGGTAGAGATTCGGCATTTTTTTGTAATTTTAATATAAATTTGTAAAGTTTCTGCGTTTGGTAATAATAAAAAAACCGGGATAGAAACACTTCCTAATTTTGTTAGTGGAAAATGGATACTAAAGAAAATTGTTGATTCGCCCTGATAACCCCCTCCCCCCCGATAATGCACTCTACCAGGGTCCTGTTAGCTGTGGTGAAAATTTGAAGCCATTCGGACAAACCTGAGCCGACTTACGGGCGCGTATTGGTTTTTGAAGCCTAGAGGCTGGGGGTCGCCCTACACCTCAAGGAACCTCAAGTCTCCTTTTATAGCGACGACCCTTTCCTGACGAATGTCGTGGCGATCGAGTGTTCGAGGTCCAGCGAAACCTTCGTTTGCATGTCCATTCCCCTTCCGAGTCGTCCCGAGTATCCCAGATGTAGTACTTCGCAGAATATTCTCAATGATGTCCTACAAAGGTTTGTCTGTCCAGCTCAAAATTATGATGGTACAATTAATAACTAATAACTAATGTAGAACTATGCGCTTGTGAAGCCGTCTGTCGTAGATGGCAAACCATCATACAACAGCAGATGAAGCGCGATATCCACGAGATCTCACTGGAATCGGTAAGCATACCATTGTGGTTGAGCCCGAATTTAGATTGGTTCCTACAATGTAAATATTATGTGGCAAAAGGGGCTGAAACGGTTGACGGTACGAATGCTGGATAGTTTGTTGAAATTCGTTCAGGTTTCTTGCCCACCATCGTCACCAGATTTTCTTGCGGGGTTGATTCGTAGGCATAGGGCTTCTATTGCTCGATTGACTACGGATTTTAGATTCCTATGTACCATAGAATCGGTAAGTGGCTTCAGGTTTCGTTAACTCGTTAACTCTCCAGATTCGCGTGAACAAAGACGAAAAACGTAAATACTTTGGTAAAGCTGAAGAATTATGGGTATTGGTCGTTTGCCCAAAAGAAGAGGACGTTGTTCGATTCGAATCAGTTGAAGAACGCATTTTTAACGTAGGAATATACCCAAAATTCGTTCAACCAAATTCAGGAATTAACCGGCATCACCCTGCAATTAATGGTCTCGTCGAAATTTGTAATCACGTCAAACGCTCGAATCCTTCAAATTTTTGCCCAACGACACCCACAGGCCCAGATTACAATCGAGCTGCATGCCGATAATGCAAATTTGGTCGGTAACCAAATTGGGTTATAAAATGCAGCTACTTTTTTAGATCTTCGCCCAACTAGAAGCTTTCCCAGCCTGTAATCCGCTTAAAATTAAAATAATCTGCACCGATTTTAACTTGCCCCGGTTTAAACTGGATACACTGTCGGAGGTGAGGGCATTTACTTGAGAATTAAACGAATTTACAGATTCTATCTGCACAACGGATCGCGGCCAAGATCATCACGTTCAGGTTTAGATCATATATTTCGCAATTTTTTTTCTATAGAGATTGGACCCTGTGCTGTGACGGGATCACTCCAGTGGTACCCGGTCCTCTGGATACATTCAGAATATCATCATGTACAATCGAGTCAGTGGATGCTCTAGTCGATTCGTTTAAGGTACGTAACTAGCTCAAATACTTCAAGTGAAATTAAACTAGGCTGCCGTGAAAAAAATGGCTCCGAAGAAAGTGGTGAAGAAGGTTGTGAAAAAGAAGGCTGAAGCTCCACCTTTGGATGAGGAGCCGAAGCCAAAGAAGGTGAGCTGATAGAATACATCCAATAAGGAGAAAGCGTTTTAGAAGGTTGTCCGGAAAGTGCTGAAAAAGAGGCCGCCTGTAGTAAAAAGAGTTGAAGTGGCAGGGCAATGTACACTACGTGGGCTCGATTTTTTGCATCATAAAGCACACACTGAGCTTGAGAATCGGTGAGTTGACTTAATTACTAAAATTGAAATTAGATACTGCCGCTTTATTTAAAATAGACTTCCTCTATTTAATTTTAGCCTTGCCGCTTGTGTTCCTACGATGGAAATTGACACCTCAGAAATCTACTATTGGGACTGACACATGAGCGCGTGAGCTGATCACGAATGACGCCTTCATACCTAAAAAACCCAAATGGAAAACTAATTCACAAAATAATCCAAACATAATCCTTCTTTAATCATCGAATTGAGAATTGAGAGAATTTCTCGGAGCAATATTCCGCATGATTAAGAAAAAAACTTCAAAATTTCGGATTTCCACGGCTTCTTCCTAACTGCACTATCGCTTTGCATGCGCTTCAAACTTTTGGGTGTGTTGGTGTCTTTGCGGTCTTTTCACGCGCTATTCGTAGAAAACTTTATTGATTTTTAGCAATATCTTAACTTTTGAATAGATTTTCGAATGGATTTTTCATACAATACTTGTTAGCGTCTTTAGGTTAGATACTTTCATTGTTCTTTTCCCTACCTTACAATCCCGTTTTTTTTTTGTTTTAATAGCATATCGTGCCTTTAGTGTATATAGGTCGATTCTGATACTTTATCTGTTATTTGGGACCATTTTTTGCATGGTTTGATACATTCATTCTCTGCCTTCTGCCCTGTCGCCTATTCCAAATTACTGCTTGTCATCTCTGAACGGGAAAGTACAATTTTTTCTACGTTTTTGCCAATTGCATTTTTTTTTTGCATTACTCGCTGCTGTGTGTACCATTTAATAAATGCTATTTATTCCTTACAAAGTCATTCGAAGTGAAATGATAAAATGATGAGATCACCGTGTGGTCTTTCGGAAGCCCTGTTCCGGAAGAAAGACTAGATGACTGAAGATGGGGGGGCACGAATAGATAAATGCAAATTGGAAATGATGTGGCACAATTATTATTCAAACAATGGCTTGTGACTCAATGGGTGATTTTGTGAAGGCTAATTCTGACGGGGTGGCAATGAAGACTTTTGGTTCTTGCCGTGAAAAAGTTCTATCAGTTCTGGTTACCGGTCTTGTGCTGGGGGGAAGCTAAAAAGTACGTTTAAATAATGCAAGATTTACATCATCCTACATCTAAAACCATATTTTTTTCTTCTTATTGACCGACCTCATCCCAACTTCTATGGCGTTGACCTCGCGGAGGCCTTTCTCGAGTATATGATCGTTCGGATGGGAAATCTTCGTAATATAGCTCCTTAATTAAATAGTTAAGCCCATTTTCAATAAAACAAAAAGATAATAGTCAGGTAAATTTATAAAACTTACCCGAATAATATTTGCCGTTCCCCTTGGCCGTCGCATTGGTCGTGGTGGCTCTATTTTCCAGGGAAATTCCATATCGTAGGCTTCCGGAGCATTCAGATCGATACTAAAATCGCTAGATATTCTAAAGTTTACAAATACGCACACTAAAATATACAAAAAATGTAAAATTAATAAACCGGTTTCAAAATGACACTATTTGCAACTCCTACCCTTTTTCTGCATATAAACGGCGTCGTCTTTCTTCTTGTGTCCGGATTTCTTGATTATTTTGCCTTCTCAACTCGCGACCAAGAGTTTCAGGTGGAGCTTGAGACCATTCAGTACGCCATGGTGGTATCTAAAAACATAAAATACTGTAAAAGAGATGCCATTATCTACCGTATTTTCCTCCGCTACAACAGTTCGACCACGACTCGTCGAATGATACTTCTTTCTTCCATGACTTCTACTGCGACTTCGGTGTCTTCTGCCAGGGCGAAGTTTTTCCACTTTTTCCACAACTTTCACGACCTCCACCTGTTCTTGTGGCAACCCGTTTTTAGGTTCATATGCCTAAAATATACTTTTTTTATCCATAAGACTGAAACTAACAATTCGATATTCCTTTCGATATTTGTCGTAGTGTCGTTTTGGTTTATTTGAGGTCAAGCCACCGTTTAAACGGATGTAATAGAAGATGACGACAACATACATAATACCCTGAATTTGACGAACTCCCGATTTATATGGCTAAAACTTACGTTGAATGCTAATGTGAGGACAAATTCCGAAACGGACATGATCAGCTGGGCCGTGAAAACGTCCTAACAAAACCGATCTTTTTAAGCTGATGTTTGGAACCTACCCCGCTCCACCATAATACCGAATATGCTGTGACCATAATTATCAAACCGCCGGCTGTGAAAAGCCATGGAAAAATGAATGACTGACGACGCTAAAATGTATTCAATTTTTGTTTTTCAAAATCTAAACTCACTTTCCAGCAGCCGTAGATCATAGGAAAGGTAAAGATAAAGTGTAGAATTGTTATGAACAAACAGATAAGCACTATTGCGTACATTGCTAAAAATTTTTATGAGCTGTGTTAAAAACTATGACCTACCATTGACCCGCCTTCGTTCCGGATATTCGCTATAAAGTTGGTACAGCCCTGGGAATCGGGCTTGGAACCCGTCGATCCTAAGCGTTGCATAGATAAATCGCATAAAAAAAACATACATTCCATTCCTTGGAATTTCTCGATTCTCCCATTCCCATTGGAGATCTTTGACCTAAAATTAACATCATATTCGAAATTTTAAGAAATTGGAGTGATTTTTGTACTTACCACTTGCACTTGCCAACCGAGCACGCCAAATTGGATCAAGCAGTAGAGCTAAAAAATCCAGGTACAACGTTAAAACGGTGGTTTTTAAATTTTGATTAAGCTAGAGTAACTCCGGCTACCAAAAACGTACAATGTTAAAAAATCCAATCAGCACTGAAGAGATTCGCAGGCATTGGAGTGGATCCGACATCGTCTAATTATCATCGAGGACGGTATGAGATAACTAAATCATGCGTTTAGATAGTAAAATTTGGCATATCGAGGTCAGACAAAAGTAAAGCTGGCATGAAAAATCGTGGAAAGATGCCAGGGGAATTTATCAGCCGGGCGGAGTGAATCATAAAAGGGAGCGGATCGATAGCTGAAGCCGTACGAGGCATCGATTTTGGGGTGGGAAAATAGGAAAAGCAGGATTGTAGAGCGGCCTGGAGTAGAGTTATTCTTATTCAAATCAGATTGACATTTGTTTTTAGACCACGACCTTTAAAAACCAAATTCAAACAATTCAAATCGATCGGCTTTGCTTGATCTGAATCTGAGCAACTCTTACAAAATTAGTAATATATTTGACTTGGGATTGATAATTCCAGAATGGGAAAAAGTTTAGTAAGTATCGGGTAAAGATGCGCCATCAAAACCAAGTACAATGCTTACTAGGAGTATAACGACGAGCCTAGCCTCACCCCCCCGTCACCCCCAGAAATTCCAAGTATCAGGTGACGATGGTGGACGTGGTGCCAGGAATCGATGGTGGGAAGGGAAACGGGGAATGGAGGAATGGTAGAAATGGGAGAAAGGGTGCCCGATGGAAGCATGGATGGATGCTGGTGAAGGGGGAACGAACGACCAAAAACAAACACAAGCCCTCGAGCCGGCTGAGGCACCCCAACCAACACCACCACCACCACCATCACAAATACCACTCCCATCCATGCGTATGTTCCGCATCCTGGAGCCTAAAGGGGGAATTATCAAAGTCATCTTGTTCCTGTAAAATTCTAAGATTATATTTAGAACGACGAAATACATAAAATAATCCTTCTATTCAAATTTTAATGACCTTTGAAAAATCTAAGCGGTGTACAATCCTCTAGGCAGTATTACGTAGCTAATGCCGTATCATTCATTCCTTTAATTATGGATACCATCCCGAAGGACGCCATCCCTAAAAATTTGCATGCAAAAACTTCATTAGTATAGAAAACTAGCTCCTTTTTCTATGGTGGACCTGACTTTTCGCATGCAAATTTTTCGGGATGGTGTTTTTCGGGATGGTGCCTTTCGGGATGGTGTCCATCTACCCATAATTCACCCCCTATAGCAATATTACTGGAATACGTGTATTAAAACGATATACAACTACAGACAGGCAAAGCCATACACCCATCATCTGTTCAGAATACACGCATTTAACCCAAAACATTATTTATTAAAATCACCCAAGCTGTTGCGTTTACAAAATCCATTAATAAAATCGAACCTTAAGAAAACACATAAAAAGTCGCATTATCAATAGAATCATTGGTTTGTCGGCCTAGTTGACGGATTGGTTTGGTTCGGTCGGTCCTGCATTGGTCTGCTTGTTGTTGCCGGACCCCAGACCTTCACGCTGATTTTGCGAAAAGTCCCAGGATACATCTGGCCATCCCATTTCAGAACCTAAACACCACATCAACCTTCCAATAATCAACCAACGCTGTTGGCTTTTGCCACCGTTTTAAACTCGGCAATGCAGGTGCTATGTGATGGGTTATTTCTCACGAGCGCAGGCCTAAATTTCTCTAGAGTCAGCTGCGTTTTTCCAACTGGACAAGCTCTTGGTGTCCGGCAGGTTCGAATAGGGCTCGTACCACATCATCGGATTTGACATCCTTGGGTAGGTTCCAGAAGTAAAGCTAAATGTGTGCACTCCGGTAGAAAAGATCATTAAGGCAGGGTTTATAAAAATTACTGACCTTCCTTTGATTGATGGATTGCTGTTCTTGGGGATTGCGTTGAGGCGGTGCGCGATATGGTGTCTAAATAAGTGTTTATCTGTAAGTTTACACTTTTCCGGTGATACCTGAACATGTACCATAGGTCGAGCGGAATTCCGTGACACAGGCGCCGATGGTTTTGGATCAATTGGTTTATTTTCAGTGCGCCTGTAGGTCGCGTACTTCGCAGTGATACGGTTGTCTGGCTTTCCGAGGTACAATGTCCCATTACACGAGTTGATGAACTAAAATGAAGCGGTTTTTAGGGTTTAGTGAACTGACGCACCTTTGTAGCGCTTTCTTCAGTTGCAAATGTCACCACGCATCGCCCGGCACTTCTTGGTTCATAGGGTTTGATCCTATTATTAAATTAAATTAAAATTTTAAATTAATTAAATTTTAAATTATTTAAATTAAAATTGTGATTATTATGGTTAGATACCTAGCTTCTTCTTCTGGAACCACAAGCGCAGCCATTGCTTTCACTTCATTGTCCGTCCACTCGGCAGGCAACCCGGTCAGATACACGCCGTTTTTCTTTTGCTGTAGAAAATTAACGTCATTCGTTGCAAAAAAAGAAACCAATCGGTCGAAAAAATCTCCTCACCTCAGGTTTTTCAAGTAGCATTTGTCTCAGCTCTGCCTGAAGTAAAAATGGTATATCAAGACAAAATTAAACAACAGCTAAAACCTACGATTAGCGATGATGTTTCTTGCTTTCCGCTTTCCTCCAGCTTCTTCCTAAAGATTTTTTGTATATTTTTGGGCCGTCTCTATTCGAATTTTGGTAAGTCGCTTGGCAATAGTAAGAACTAAATGGTTTGGATACATAACGGGAATGGCTCGAGATCGATTGAAGTCTCCCGTCCCCAAAATTGGATTAAGGTACTTACTTCATTTCGGCTAACTGTTGTTGTTGAAATTCGACTCCACTTTCGAGCTTGAGAGCCGTAACTTGGTTGTTGAAAGCAGCGTCCTAAATTCCAATACAGCTGGGCATCTTCATACATACCTCCTGTTTCCGTCTCATATCTTCGTTATGGCTGAGGACCAAAGCTCGCAATGTTTCCAACTCTTCTCTTTCTTGGCGCGATTTCACATGAAAGTATATTTTTTTTTGCGGAATCGGTAAATCCCTACTGTGATCATTTGCAATTGCTCGGCGAAATTCCGGGATGTTTCAATCAATTGTCTGCGCTCATTGAGGGCATCTATAGGGGAAATGCAAATCGATACAACTCCGCTCACTCTCAAGTTCGTAGTTGATTTGATGTGAGACGTAATGGCTTCGACATATTGGACACTTGTTCCTGTACCATATCTAAAATTCAATTTACAAATCAAGGGAACGCACAGAGACTGGGCAAGACATAGTTGGCACACGACCGTATGTCCACATGGCATCAGAATCGTTGGTCGCCTTAGGTCAGAAACTGAAAAAATGCGCTTACCTTGACATATATTTAACATTATACTCTGGTGTACTTTATTTACAAAGTTGTACATTGGAGTCCCCATTTTATAGCTTAATTGCATAGACTCACAGTCTTCAAGGCACACGACACATGAGAAGTCCTGCATGTTGATACCAGCCATCGTTGCCTGAGATACCCTAAAATCAAGCAAGCTACTGCGGTATTTATTTACTATAGCGACAAAAGGACGAATTGGCAACCGAAAAATTCGAGAAATCTAACACGCTAACAAAATTCAAGGCTAGCTTCATACCAAAGAAATCTACCAAGTATAATCCTACTATATATAAAAAAATAGTGTCTCTGTGTTTGTGTGTGTGTGCCACTTTGCATCCACTTCCGTCTGTCTGTCCGGAGGATATCTCGATAGGGAGCAATTTTAAAGTATTTTGATACGTCATTAGGTGCGCAACGGTCTTGAGGTGACTGCACGCAGATAAAATTTATCAAAATCACCTATTTTCGACATTAAATTTTAGTTTTTGTTAAAACTTCTTTGTTCGGCATAATTAACATAGGCCGGAAATTGGGATGCAACTATATAAAGGCACAGAAGTGGTTGTTTTTAGAGTGAGGGAGGCCTAGGCTAAAGCCTAGGCTAGCCTAGGCTTCCTCAGGCTTTTTTAATTTGCATCGCCTAGGCTGAGCCTGGGCTATGCAAAGTACGCCTGACCTCTAATTAGTCAGGCTTTATCTGGAAATTTTATGTAAAGTCGTATAATATTCGAAGTTTTGCCGAACAAATAAGGAATTTTTTTGAAACTTCCGGGGGTCGAAGAGCTGTATTGGGTTCAAGAATATTCTACAAAGTTAGGGTACTGTTTTTGACGAACCTTACGGCACGATACGTTAATCGCACGTGGATACACAAAAGCCAAGAGTCGGATCAAACGGGCGGGGGATGCAATTGCCTCTCCTGATACCTTGCCTATATGTTTCCCACCTTCGGCATCCTTGTAATTTGTTATTACGACAAAAAATACGAACGTTTTAGATGCAGTAACCAGATTAACATGTTTTCACGCATTGCATAAAAAGCCTGCGTAAATCCTTAGGCTTCCGCCAGGCGTCGGCAGGCGCGGAAATGCAATTCGGCCCAAGAAAGCCTGAGGAGGCCTGCCGCTCCCTCACTCTAGTTGTTTTCATATTTTGACCTCCGAATTTAGCACAATTATGCAAAGTGAAGGATAAAATTGGCTCAGACGGGGCCAGGGTTGAAGAGTCGCGAAGCGGCTTTTCAACTCTGGTATTGTTTAAATCAGTGTTTGTAGAGGCTGGAAACCATGTGCTTGTGGCTGGTATTCAGTGAAGAGTTTCGAATGTTTTTGAACCTCTGACGGACTAGCGCCGCAACCTTACTCGATAAAATCCTCCCATTTACGGTATCTTATCGCGCCGCTTCTCCCCCTTGATGTTTGCGGCATGCCGAGCTTTTTCTGCTTGTCGAGCGCAAGAGCTCCACATACCATAAGTCTGACATCAGATATGGGTCACAACATTTCAAGTCCGGGATAAAATGTGTGTAAATGCAAAAATTTGCCTAAGTTGTGCTGTGTATTTAATAAATATTAAGTTGTAATTTTTACATCTAACGAACAACTTTATCGACTCGGTAAACAAAACAACGATTGAGCATATGTGCAGGCATGTCTTATATGTACAGTCCCGTGTTTAGAAAGGTTGTGACCAGAATTCCTCTTCGTCTCCTAGTTGCATGTAGTAGTCGAAGCCTTCACGGTTTGTATAGCCCTCGATGTCGAAGGAAAACCTGAGGCAATTTGCATTTTATATTATACCAACAAAATCTATTATAATAACGTTTTAAGCTAAATTAATATAACTCACCGGTGATAGGTGCCCTCCGTACACAATGCAACAATGGACTGGAACCGGGTTTTCGTCTCCGGCACGAAAGCTAGCGCGAGAACGCGTGATTCTAGGCTAATTTGGGCGATGCTTCGCTGCTCGGATGGCATAAACTAAATGGGATTTTTTTTAATGTAAACGAATAAAGCAAACCTGTTGTAGAATAGTTTTCTTTGGGGCAACGACTTCCTTTTTCGAATCTCTGCATGAGAAGATGTGAATTGTGCCCTTGTCGGAGGAGACGGCCAGGAAGGTGGAGCACGGAGAAAACTAGAATTAATTTATTGTTAGTTTTAATGAGGATTTGTTACATTAATAGCACCTTACAACTGTTGTAATTAGTAGACTTACCTGCATACAATACAGTCCTGCCGGATCCGTTCCTCTTCTGAATTCCCACATTGGCTGGCAAGTCCTAGTTCCGAATATCCGGATCACTAGAAAAATTCCATAAAAAAATCACCGCTCTGTACTTACCAGTCCCTTTAACTGAACCAGTGGCCAGCAGTGTTCCTTGTTTATTCATCGCCATTTGAGCAATTTCATTTTTGTGAGCATTGATGTTTTTTGAATGCTGCGAGGAGCTGGTCGAGACCTTTTCCAGGCTCATTATTTGAACCGTGCCAATCTAAAACAGTACTTTAACCATTGTTAGGTTAAAAACTCACGCTTGAACCCGTAAAAGCCAGACAGGGATTCAGGATATCTGGGCTTAACGTGCAGATGGCTTTCTGATGAAAGGCAACTTCTTCAGTTCGCAGTAATTTACATGGATTTGGGAACTGAATTATGATTACTTAGGCACTTAAAACCGGTATTACTTGGAATATATGCAATTTCCGTGGTTGTACGATGACGAGATGGGTGTATGAAGCGAGGATATTTAGGATTTGACCAGCTGGCACTGTCACCTAAATTTTTCAGCTTTTTTGTAGAAGATGAATTAGACTAACCTCCAAAACGAGCTTTTTCGCCTTGTCATCCCAAACGTAAACCGTATTCGGTGGGAATTTTGAGCCTGGGGCTCCAGAGAAGAGGACCAGGTTGGATTTGTGAAGGATGGCGCATGCTCCGACAGACCCGACAAGCTCCTGAAGTTTTTGGATGAGGAATGGTCTTTTAAGATAGTTGCTTTGGTTTTCTTATTGATCCTTACCTTAGGTATTCCAGAAAGCAACGTCAACGGGCTGACGTTAAATAACCGTATTCCTTGATCCGTAGCAACAGTGAAAATGTCTTGTTCGGCATTTACCCCGATCGAATTGATCCGTGAGGGGCGCATCTGAAAAATTAAGTTATGTTTCTTCATCATTTTCAGGTACGCTGGAAAACATTAGAAAAGTTATTTTATGCTTTATATAATTTAAAATGGTGTATTTAAACAAATTTAGTAATTTTTAAAAGATAAAAACACGCTTTCTTGAATTTAGCCTGTTGGGTATCAATGCTGGGACTCAGGGATGAGGTGAGGACGCAAAAAACTCCCCCTAATATTTCATTATACCCAAAATTTGGCAACAGAATTGATAGCAAAATGACAATGGACCCTCAAAAAGGTGTGGGGAATAGACAGTCATGTGTTCATTGCATGGCGTGATCGGGGCACGGAATAGGAAACGAGCCCGCAGATGGCGCCGCTCAAATGGGTAGTAAACAATGAGTTAGTGTTAAAAAAATAATTTAGACAGCTATGTATATTTGGAAAGTCTATGTTTAAAAAATAATTCTACTAAAAACTGGTGAATTTTGACAGGCATAATCATAAGGCAAGCGAAATAATTCAAATGTCAAAAATTGGCGCGTTTGGAGTGTAAGCATTAATCGGAGGGTGCCTGACCTAAAGCAGATGGAACTCGATTTTCTAATTCAAGGGGTACTGATATTTTTCGAATGAGGATGAGTAAATTTTGGATAGTAAAAAATTGTTATGCCACCGCGTTATAAACCAGGCTGGCTTCAAAAATTCAAAAACAAATTAATTTTGATCGAATTATGGCAAGAAAGAACCCCATTCAGGAAAGTAAGGGGGATACGCCTCAATCTTGCTAATATTTCAAATTACCCCGGGGTTATGTAAATTCCATTCCACGGTGCAAAAAATGTATTAACAAATTAAAAAAATACGAAAAGAGACAATTAAACTCTAAAGGTTTAAAAAGATATCCTGTGTTAACATTTTGGTAAACCAACTATTTTTCTTTCAGGCTTCCGTCCATTGGTCCGAATTCTAAAGCCAATTTTGCTCTTTCTAAAGCACTCTTTGGGCTACGATCGCAACGAGCAAAGAGCTACAAAACTATCCTTTTACGAGCCTACAAACAGCACCTTGGCGATAATAAAATCTCGAGCGAATACGAGGGGTTTATCGTGGCGAGGGATCTAGGAGAACAGTTCCAGTCCTGGCCAGCCGGATGGGTTCTTTGAGGGAGGATGTTGGGTTGGAATGGAGGGATATAGAGGCTACAGAAACAGTCCACACGCCGTTTCAACCGGCCACACCTTGACCTGTATTTCTAGTTTTTAAGGGATTGCGTATGGATGGTTGACAATTGGAGTAGTTGTCCAGTGCACTTCCTGAAATAGGCGGGTTTTAGAACTGTTGTTAATTTTTAAATTATTTTTGTTTCTTTTAGCCGGTTTTTAGCACCTACCGTAAAACTTACGCCTTTTTGGGGTTGTATTTTATTGGCTTATTATTATTTTCCATTACTAACAATACCTAATCCATATTTTGGGCTAGTGGAAGCCGTACCAATTCTGACTCGCACACCATTTTTCCGCAACACTCCACTATGACGTGATTTTTGTCGGCTCGTTCACCTTCTCAAGTTACTCACCAACTACCTTCCCTTACAGTAAATCCTCTAGGGTGAAGCTGAGCACAAGAGTATCACGGGTTCAAGTTGTCGTTTCAGCCAAACGTTTTTGGAGCATGAGATGAGAGGTTGAGGAAGAAGGAAGGAAAGAAAAGAAAAGGGAAAGGGGGGGCAAATGTTCTGGCGCCTCGCCGTGATAAATGACCGCGGTTCCGCGAGGGGGCCGCTGGCTCGGCCGGCTGAGATTTCCGTTGTGAGCCGCCTTTTTTGTGTGGCCGGAATTTTGGATGGGGCATTGATGGACTGCTTGGCTGCATCCGAGGCTATACTTTTTGATGTGAAGCGTTTAGAGTGGTTTATTGAGCTAGGCAATGGCGGCTGTAAAAACAGCCGTCAGAAACCCAAATTTGAATTCCCGATATCACAATATCTGAGCAAAATACTTTCCTCTAGTCCCCTTCAAACCTATCTCTATTTACCCACTCCTCGTTGTCACCTCCTTCCACTCAACCTCCCCCATATAGGTACACTTTTCCAAGGCTTCCCAACACATTTCTTGACCCCTAACAAAGATTTTTGACCTTTGACCAGCGCCCAGTAATTCCCAATGGAAACAACTTCATTACCTTTCTAGTTCCGACCTCAAACGGATTAGTCCCAGCTTACCTGTCGATGCGAAAGCACCAACACCCCTTGTTAGCGCGCCCAACCCCAGCAAGATGCATTTTTATACTAGCAGCCGCTTTCAAGTTTTCCGAATTATTTTGCGAATGTCTTACTCGTTTTTGGAAAGACCTCCAGTGAACCATACTGAAATGGAAACCACGCATGCCCGCTGGGTATTGTGGTTAATCGACCGGAAACATCGGTTGGAGCAAGAGGGAGAGCACGAGCTTTTCGTGGTAGCTTATAGGTGTGTGTTGGAACGTGAAGGTTTCGGTTTGGTCTAGTGTTTGGGCCGACTATTTTTTTTGCTGAATGTTATTGCTTTCGGTGAACTGGCGGACGAGGGGGAAGGTGTAAGAAAAAGATTAGAATTTTTGCTACACCTTACACCCCGATTTTAAAGGATTTTTATGTATTAAGGCACGGTCTTTACGTATTTAACGGATAGTCTGACGTATTGTGGGAAGAGGGAAGAGTCTATCGGGGATGTGAGTTTTTCGGCGCCGCTTTCAGCCAGCAGCACCCGAGGACAGGATCTCATATTTCAACGGGCCCTACAGGGCTTCAACCACTTTTTGTTCCCATCTCTGTCCACTCTAAACAACACTAAATGTCGTCTCTGCGGGTCTGTCGCTCTTTCTCTGTCTCTCTCTGACTCTCTCTCTCTCTCTCGCTCTCTCTCTCGCTCTCTCTCCATCTCTCTGTCCCTCTCGGTCCACCTCACCAAGGCCAATTCTTCGATTCCTTGTTGTTAGTGCATTTTGAGGTTGATTGACGGGTGTTCCCCTTTGACAGGTAATGTCTATCCGAGAACTGAATTCGACAACATTCCTAGGCTTTGAATTTCGTTATTTCTCCCAGGGTATTATTGGCATAGGTACAATTTGAACTGAACAATTTGTTTTCGAACGCAGCACTAAAAAGTTCCAAATTGGTGTTGCTATGGAACGACAATCCGAACCCCCTCTTCCCACCCATAAAAATTGAGGGGGTTTCGTGGGGGGGTATTTTGGGTGTCCCTCGGAATTCAAGGGCTATTCAGAGAACAGGCGCAAACGATTTCGAAAATAAACAAAAATGACGGCGTGTGTGGAAATTTAGCAATGGACTTTTCGTAGAGATTCATTTATTACTGTGGTTTAAAGTTGACAGAAAAGAAAAATAATTACTTGTCAGTTTAATTGCAATTGGTGGACTAGTTTTTGGTGTTCAATTTTTAGTTTTAGTGCTTTATGCAAATTACAGATTTTTCAGATTACTTTTATACATTTATCGGGAATAATTTATTTAAAGTAGTTAGAAACAAAAACCTTTAAGTGGAACTATAATTGGTGCTTCTTTTTTGGGGTGCTATTCTTTAGTTAATAGAATTTTTATGCAAAATTTTAATTTTTATAGCTCCGTGGCATCAAAAGCTCACTTCCCCCGCATTGTGCGTACAAATGGTGTACACACGAGTTGGTTTATGACTATACATAAGAATGCTATCCAACCGGAAAGGCACCAGCTGGCCCACCTGCCGTCCCCTAGCAACGATTTAAGCCGCTCCCCGAGACTCTCGAACAACAAATAGAATATTTAGATTTTTGCCGGCTGGCAGATTTCCAAAACCACTCATTCACGGGTCACACCTTTTAATCCCGCAATTTAGAATTAACTAAGTGATTTTATAGACTGCCAAAGACAATTTTTTGTAGTTATCCCAAAAAACCCCACTAACCCTTCCGACTAAAGTGTCCATTTTACAAAACCAGTTCAGCCGCGTAATTTTGCGGGGCGCTGAATCGATGTGTTCGCGCTGGGTGACTCACCTCAATGGTCAACCGCGCAATACGGAGCTCCGATTTCGCGGCACCGTATTTGTTCAGGCTGGGACAACTATCCACCCGGGACACATCACACAGGAGGCTGCAACCTAGAAGCATATTCAGGGGGGCCATGGATCGTTGTGGCGCTTGAAATTGTTGAATTTTGTGGACTGCAATTAGTCAGGTTTGTGGATTTCGAAATGGTAGATAGAATGACTATAGGTTGTCTCTTTTTTTATGCTTTTAACGCTTAAATTTTTTATATAGTATGATTTACAAAGGGGCGTGTTTTAAGGGGTTGTTGAATGGTTATTCTAATTAAAATTTAGCTCAACGCCTTGCTATCTCTTTCTCTCCCGCTCTCTCTCCCCTCTCTCTCTCCCTCTCTCTCGCTACTTGCCTTTGCTATTGCCATAAATTTAACGTTTCGCATCTTGATTTTTTCTTATCTTTTGTATCTGTCGCTTTCTTTCTCTCTCTTTCTCTCTCCCTCTCTCTCTCTCTTCCACGAATATTCAAATTTTTCCAAAATCCCCCGTAGCACATCCCTAACCCAAACCCCTAACAGGGTCACACGGCCCATTTCGTATGACTTTTGCCCAACTGTTAGCTCCTGAGGAGCGCGAGCAAAAAAAAGGCTACGGACGTTGGGACCGGTTATGCTGAAGGGACGAGATCCGTCTCCACACCACACCATCTTCCTTTTCCCCTCTCTCCCCTTGAAACGCACAAATTGCCCCCCGGGCTGCTCCCGGGCGGCACCATTGGGCTTATCATTCCAATATACACCCCTCAGCTTCTGCTGGCAGCCACTTCACACATGGCTGACCTCTCGGAAAATCTGGGCTTGAGGTGGAATTTAACGGATAGATTTTTTTACTAAAATAATACTTCGAAGATTTGAAATTAGCAATTATTGAGACTTGCATGCCGTGACTGAATAACAATAACTACAGTATAAACCCTATGTTTTTGAACCTTTCACCCAACCTGTTTACTATGAAATGTTGGACTGCTGGCTAGAGGATCTCCTCGGATAAGAGCCAACATTTCGCCCAGTGTTTACTAGGTAGAGTGATTTTGCAAGTCTTTTTCGACCCGCCTTTGCCATCAAACCCGCGCACTCCACTATCATATTTTGTGTCTTGGGTCAGCGGGCGGAAAGCTTTTGGTTGTTTGCCAGCACCGTTTGCATCTACATCAAGATTTGGGGCTTAATGCTTCGATTCGTTGCGGTTTGGTTGGATTGTTAAATTAGGATAGAAAAACGTGGAAAATTCTCTAGGCTTTGGAAGGTTTAAACTTTATTTTGGGTCTGCTTACAAGTGAAGTATGCCAAAGTTTTCGCTTTGATTTGTAGAGTAAGAAAACATTAACTTAAGTTAAAAATAGAAAGCAAACATGCTGTTTAAAACTAAAATTTTATGTTGCTCGGAAAATGGCTTGTTCGAAAAGGTGCTTTTTGTGTGTTTTCTAGGCGGTTACACATGCAAATTTTTGACAAAATTACTTTGTATATAGGTGATTTTAGTGGGCCAAAAACGCGACTGTGGGACTTAGAATTTAGCCAAATCTTCTAAAGTAAACATTGCTGAATTCCCCTCTCATTTCCCCCATGATACAAAGTTCAATCGGACGTCTCCCATTCATCCTCTTTTCCACTCCCAACCAAAAGCCGTTAGATTACAATGTTGACCTCCCCTCACCCTTCAATTCCCGCCGTTCCCGTCTCGACCCCCGGCTTCAAATGCCACCCGCGCTATTTGCCAGTATGTTTTTTCGGGCTTCACCATGGAAAAAGGGGCTGGGCAACGTGGTGGGGGAAATGTGCCCCGGCTAATCCAATTTTCACACACACCAACCCTCCTCTCAGCCACTCACACACACACACACACACGAATACTCCATCATCACCACTACCTGTTCCACCCGAGATCGTTTTCAACCGGTTTTTTTGCTTCGGGGACCACTTCATTTGGGGCTAATTCGAATCTGTGTTTAGTCGTGTGGGGTTTGTTGTAAAAAATGGTCGAGTCAAAATTTGGGAAGTTGATACGGAATGGGGAAGCTATGTGGGTGGGCCTGGTGTTTTCAGTTTTTCAAGTTTGCTAAAAATTAATGTTTAGAATTTTGGAATAAAAAAGTTGTAGCTATCAATGAATTCAAAAGATCTATCTAGCTTTTTATTGGTTCCCTTACTAAAATTCTGATATCCATAATTCAAAGATAATAGAATAATTAGACTAATTTAAAGATGCTGATATTTATTTTTACAACAATTTTCGCAAATATCTAAATTTCCACCTTATTAAAATACCTTAGTTAATTAATTAGGACGGATAAAAAAATATCATCAACTTGCGGATGTGGTTATGTTCATTAATAACCTCCTGAAAATTTTAATTATGTATTGCCAATCATTAAAATGACTCCCAGGTGTGAGCCATATGTTTACCTTCCACTTGATAGTCAGGAATAATTCGCGGGTGGGTCCCCTACCAAGCGGGGGGCCCACTCCCTGCTGGGCCCGCTTCCTTTTCCCGATCCACTCATATTTGTCGGAGCCACATGTGGACTGGCAGCCGGGGCTATTCGCCGGAAGTTTCTTTCATTTAGCTGCTATTCTAAGGAATGGCTTTACGAGAAAACCCGAAAACTACTAAAAACGTTTTTTTATCTATCCTAAAAGTAACCTTCATTTTTGTTGCAACCCACGCAACTAGCAACTACTACCTTATCCTACTCTCTTTGTCTAAAAATTAGCAATTCCACCTCCCATCCTTTTGTCTGTCCGAAAAGTCGGTTAGAACGGGTAACCCCTCCCCTCCAACACCTCATGAATATTTTTGTAGCCTCCCCTTCCCTCCCGCTCATACACTACCGACTAAAAACTTTGCCCCAGATATTCCCACATCTTTCTTTTCTTCCATAACGAACAGTTATCCCGGTCACAAACTTTTTCTGCTCTGACTCCTGATTTTTCGGGAATTTGGGGATGATAGAGTGGCATGTGCTAGGGGGTTTTGTGTCCGCTTCCTGTTTCTTTGGCAAGCAAGTGAAACGGAAAGCAATCCAATTATCGGTCGAGGTCAGTTCGTTTGGTGGGGAAATGGAATTGGAATGGACCTAGGAGGGTAACGATTACATTCTGTGCCCGTATGCTAATACATACACTGGTTTAGAATTTTTCCTTAGGATTCAAGCCTTATTTTTATCCCGATGGAGTTCTTTAGACGTAATTTTCAGAATATCAGCTTACTCTTTACACGTTTCAGATATTCGATAGCCGATTTACGTTTATTTCACTAATTTTCATTTTTTTCATTAATTAATTTCGGCCTTTTTTGACCGTGAGAATTATCCCAAAGAATTTTAATTTAAGTCACAGGTATATTAAGTAATATTTTTTATATTGGTTCGTTAAATACGGACCTTATTTAGGTATTGCATAATTACGAAGCCTGGATAAAAAGGAAATTGGCGAAATATGAAAGTTACTTCACTTGTTGTAATCCCGTGGCAAAACTTGCTTTAATAAGCTTACGATTAAGCCTCCTCCATTCTGACTATCCGTTGTTGTTTTCTGTTTCCCATATCTCTTCTTCTTCCATTCTTGGACAACGTGGAAAGCATCGATTGCACGTGGCCAATTTGGCCCTTTTTTCCTTCCGTTTTTTTTGCAAGGCCAACCACCGGATGGGCCCTCGCCCCCATGCTCGCTTTGAATTGCCGGTTTCGAAATGGGCCCCCAACGACAATAACTTCCCGGGAATTTCCGTTTTAATGCTTTTTCCGATATTTGACTCGCCATCGCGGACGCTTTATATCAGAAACATTTCAGGGGATGACCTCGGACACGATCGTTCATATAGCCACGCCGATTGAAGAGAAATCACCCCACGAATTGGTAAGTGAATTCGGTCGAAAAGTGATGACCATTTTTAGATAAATCAAGATAACATCATGAAGGTAGCAATGCTGGAAGAGCAGCTGGCTGCTGTTAATGATAAAGTGAGGAGAGGATTTTTGGGAATTCAACAGTTTTAGATGCACCGTCGCGAGACCGTAATATCACAACTGGAAGAAGAGATTCGGGCCAAGGAGGAGTTGGTCGCTGAGCAGAAGCATTTGATTGAAGTGTTAGATGCTGTTCATAACAATGCAAAAAATGAGGAGAATGAAAAGGAAGATTCGGTGGGTTTTTTTTTTTGATATTTTATCGACCCATGAATATGTGGAAAAAATTTGAAAAATTTTTTATGTTTAGTAAGATTAAATTAATTACTAAAAACCCCTCAAAACACATTGCTCATCATTAGCACTCTGTTAGAACGTGTAGCAAGGAGGTGGTTGCTGGTTAGTTTGGGGTGTTGGGTTGCGCGTATGGCCTCCTTACACATTTCCCCGGTTGGCCCATCCCCGTTCTCTTTCTCTCTTGTCTGATCCGATCGTGGCCCATCTATTATAGCCGAACAGATCCTCACTCTCACTTGAACCCTTCCCCCCCCCCCTCTCTTGCTAGCCTATTGGCACCCGCGAAACGGCCTTTATTATTTGCTATAGTCATTCATGACTGGTACATCATTTGATGAGGTAATCTCGTTGATTTTTCAAGACTTTGGAAAAAAATTATATCTAGTAATTACGTTTAATTATAAATTAAATTAATAGTTATAATCACGCTTAACGTCCAATTAGATTTGACAAGATTATTCATGGTTTTTATAAAAATCTTCCCAGGACTTGAAATGACAACCTTTTTAATAAGCAAATATTGATCAAAATCTAAACCGAGCAAAGTCTTAACAACCTCTATTTATATTCCAGGTCTCGATTCAAAGCGATGCAGAAGTTACCGTCATCGAAAATCACCCAGAACGTACGTTTTTTGTTTTAATTCCTACGACCATTTTTTAAGCCAGCACCTCAAAAGCTCCCGAAGACCTTCCCCAACCAGCGCAATGTATTTTTGATGAAATGGAACGCTTAAGGGTTGCATTAAGACGAGCCATGATTGATCGGTGAGATTTAAAAACCAGAAAATTATATGTCTTCTTTTAGCGAAAAACTCGAACTACAAAATGAACAACTTTTGCGCCAATGGGAGGAAGCTCTCGAATATGTGAGCACTGTAGGTTACAGTGCAACGACAGTAATACATAACATTTAAAGGTCCAACGACAACTCCAAGAAGAGATGCAAAGATGCTGTATATTACAAGAGCAATCAATAGAAGGCAAGAAAAGGCATCAAGATATGGTAATGAAAAATGTTTAAACTTCATAGCTTCAAAAGCAATTGCAGGTATGCGTTTCTCGGGATTTCGTCCAGTTTCTTGGTGTTTTTGCGGCGGTTATGGCGCTTTGGCTCTACATGCTATGACTAAAATGACAACACTAAAATCTAAATTATAGTTCCAACGCTAGTTTCCTTAAAAATCCCTTCATTTTCTGTATGTATATCTCGTTGAATGTAAAACATCGAAAATCCCTAGATCTCATGATAGTGCCAAATCCTAGCTTTATAAGCTTAAATACCCCAAAAACAAAATTAGGCAATGATTTTCGCCCCAACATCTTTTCATAACCGTTTTACCTCTAATTACTCAGTACACCCACACTAGTCGTGATTTTACGTGTAACTTGCAAACCGTGTATATCCCGTGGCCTTTTTCTTTTGCTCGTGGACTTTTCTTTGTATAAATTTTAATATTGGTTAATGAACTATTACAAGATAGCATATTCGCTTTAATTTAGAGCACACCAACACCTGCCATAATAATAAACATTAAGGCTATGGGGGCAATGAGAAATAGGAATACAGAGCCATAGAGGAGTCGTTTGTTGCGCCAAATTCTACGAGAGAACGTGTCGCGATGGTGATGTGGGACTGGAAATTTGAATGTACGGAATAAATACGTGAAATACGTTTTTGCATAGGAAGATCGCTTACCTCGTCGTCGTGCTCTGGCTTGTCGTCTAGCTATTTGTTGATTGTAATGATATCCAGGTTCTGAAATCATTATTAGAAATTAAATTTCGGATTTAAGAGGAGAATAAAAGTTAGAATTCAAATTTCGAAGTGTTTTTACCTCTATTGTAATTTATCCATCCATCATCAAACATTGGGTGTGGCGTATAAGCGGGTGGACTATCGATACATGCCGCTGGATATGGAGGGGGCTGTAATTTTCAATACTTGTAGTAAATTTCTATAATTTCATTTAAATATTATTAACTTTATCTCTTTTCAAGAATGTTATACTTAAAGTTGTTTGGAATACCTGTGAAAATCGGTTAGAATTCGGCATGGAGGTCGGTCGAAGTAATGCTGGATCCAAAGGCTACAAACGCCATAAATTTTGGATTCTAATTTCAAGCTCACCTCCAATAACCGCAATTCGGGTCTCGAAACTAGTGCCGGCGTGGGTCGATGAGCGTGTACGGTACAGTACGGTAGTCGATAATCACAGGAAGGCCCTTCGTCTTGCCCATTGTATCCCCAATTATCCATGCTGAACTATTAAGTGAGTTTTTCAAACAATCTTGCTAAAAAGTTTTCCACAAAAATAGCAAGATCTTTTACTGACCTGCTGTGCTTCGATAACTATGGGCAGAATCATAAGATTACATACGAAATTAATGAAATTATTACAAAAACCCGTGCGAAAAGCCGTCGCTGTATTCTTTTGCATAAACCCCCGTGGCCGCAATCAAATTTGGGGGTGGTGGGCGGTCAGCCCGATAAGAGCAGCGATGAGTGGTTTTGTCAGCCGAGTTGCAACAAGACGGTTTTCTTAAGAACAATAGCACAACATTATACATATTTTAAACATGGGTAAACCATTTATGATTTGATCAGGAATTGCAAGGTGAATTTAAAAAGTGCAGACGATTTCGGTGGGACCGTAAAACCGTATGAACTTGACCGCACCGATTACTACTGATAGTGGCCGTTTGGGGTGTGGGCGGAGCTTTGTGACGTTGGCAACTTCTTCCGGAAGCCGGAAATCTGAAAAAGTGTGGTGATTGTAGAAGATATATTGATTAGGATGTGATTTGTGGTTTTATAGAATTAATTTGAAGCTCTGGGAAGGCCTATTGAATGGCATCGATTTTTGCAAAACACAAAAACCTAGTTTTAAAAATTTGAAGACTTTCACCTCTTACCACAAAATCCTTAATTTTCTACGCCTTTTTGGAGTTTGGACGAAAACTGTATTGTGTCTACTCATCATTCACGTCGCTGATTCACTGCTCTCGACGGGACCTTTTCAACTGCAAGACCCGTTTTTGTACCACTTATCGTACTATTTTATAGTTTCCAAAAATCTCGAAAAATTTAAAAATTTAACCAATTTTAAATATTAATACCACGCTTTAATTAAGAATTTCAGGAGTCTATTGCATTTATTACCATAACCAGGGTGTTACTGCATTCACTCCAGCCACCCATTTTTCACACTGTCCACCACCCCATTATAAACGCATGGGTATTGTTAGCGGATGGCGGAGTGTTTGCTGTGACCGACAGAAGAGCCACCCTCTATCATTAGCATACGCCGACGACTACGCGACGCTCCACAGCACATCCAGATACTGCCCACTAACCGCCGGTGTCTCCAGGATTACCGGCTGGACAACACGAACTGTTCACCGTTCTCCTTACACGGACATTTCCGGATGACCTCATTATTTTGGCAGATTAAGAATTGTTCGATTACATAATCATATGAATTTCAGGCCAAAATGGCTGCCCCAGGCCGCCCATTCGAGCCTTTGATGCCTTCAACTATATTTGATCGAGGTTTGGAATTTGTAAAAATACTTTGAAACGGCTTGGAAGGTTGTTGATTAGAGACATGTTTTGAGGATACCTTATAGAAGTAAATATTTATTTTCTATAGCGTGTTGTAATGGCAATTTTTGATTTTATTTTTTAAAGTATGGTCTGTAGTTACATTTTAAATTTTTTGTAATGAAATTCCAACTTGACTATGCTTAATTTCCTTCGCTATGCATTTTCGGCAAATTGATGAATGCGCCATTATAAAATTTTACATAATACAAAATTAGCCATAGGGAAAGTTGGTGTAATAAAAATCGGCAAAACGAAGATTTACCGTAACGAAGGGTTAAGATAGACCTTCCAAGCTATACCTTAACCAACATTCAGCCCTTTTCAGACCCAGACATGGATATTTCGGAAGAAATGGAGGAAATTCGCGAGGTCCTCTACGCCCTCATCAAATCACATTTCCCGATGGGTGTCTCATCTGCTCATCTTGCTGAGAAGTATCACGAGGAGTTGGTCCTATCCACTTCTTCACCACACTAACCCAGGTTCACATTCTAACAAATTCCCCCTCCTTCGTTTTGCACATCATTCAATTGAAATTATATCTTTCCGGGATTTTTTGTATCACTATGTTTTGAAAGGATTTGGAAATTTTATGCATGCGCTGAAATATTGGGGAAGGCTGGATGTGCCTAATTTCGATACGAATCCGAAAAAAACATTTGATTACTGGGTCTTGGCTTGAACGAGAAAATAAGATAAAAAATTTGCATTTTTTTTCTAGGATTTTGGCTCCCTAAAAGCAAGAAATATATATTTTCTACCAGCGCCCAAAACCCGCTTCGCGGGCCTTGGGCGCTGGAATTGGGCCTTTGCAAGAAAAATTTGACTTTCCGATAGCTCGGGTCCTTCGGACCCCTCCCCCCACCGACTACACACGCGCGGGCAAATTGCAAGAATGAGGAAATTTGTATTTTTTCATATTATGCAAATTACCCCCAAAAATGAATAAAACCGGCTTTAACTTTGTAAACTTGTATTTTATCGAAATTCTGGAAACGCCATCGGAAAGAGGAGCGTCGATTCCCCCAAGTGACGAAAAATCAGCGCATTTGGGACACGGGAAGGCCCTCAAATCGGGTCTCGAAAGTGACATCCACACACACACACAGAGCTACACTCCAAAATTATATAAGGTAGGATAAAAAAAAATAGTGTCTGTGTGTGTGTGCCACTTTGCATCCACTTCCGTATCGTTGTTCCAGAAGTATCTCCATAGGGGAAGAAGTTAGGGGTGGGTACGATATGTCATTAGGTACGTAATGGCTTTGGGATGACTGCCCACATATCAGATTTATAAAAATCAGCCATTTTCGATATTAAATTTAAGTTTTTGTAAAACCCTCTTCGCTAGGAAAAATTAGCATTGACCGGAAGTAGGAAGTCGCCTATATAAAGGGTCACAAGCGAATCATTTTCATTTTTTTGGTCATCTGAATTCAGCGCAATTATGCAAACAGTAGAACAGCATGCGGTCCAAGACGGGGCCAGGGTTGAAAAGTCGCGAAGCGGCTTTTCAACCCTGGTTTTCTATAATTTATAGCAACCAATTTTTCACTAGCCGTTTCGGCATTGTATCCCTGAATTTTCGAGTTTGTAATGCGATATTTATTTTCTATCCGAGTTAGGTGAGGAAATATTCAGCTTTTTATTAGATTTAATTATCAATATCTCTCTGTACCTCTCCCTCTCACTCTCTCTCTCTCTCTCGCTTGCTCTCTATAGTTGTTTCTCTCTGGCTAACACAATTTTTCGATCGTCATACAAGCCTACAGCACGTCACAAAAACCACCGAACCCTTTACAGTCCAAAGTAGTCACATCTCCTCGACATATCCGCAACTTTTTCCAAAAGGCCCCCGCGCGCTGAATTCACACGCTAGGCGTCGAGGGTGTCAGGGATTCGTGGTGTGGAAGGATGTGGTGGGGAGGGAGGGGGAAAAAAGGGGGGCAAACAGGGGCATACCGATGGGGGGTGGTGGAGGTTGTTTGGTCAGCCGTGCTCTGTATAAGAGAGTGTCCATCCACGCCCTCACAGTTCCTCTTCTACCACCTCTAACCCGTAGCGCCGCTCGTTTGTTCGGCCGTTAAAATTTGCATGGTGGTAGAGGAGGGGTTCGAGCATGGAATAGTGTTGCTTCTGTGATCCGGAAGTAAATAGAGATAAAGGGTTTGGAGATGTTTGAGAGGAGCCAAGGGATTTGAAAGCATGACATGATCAGAAAAATTCTATCCTGATTTCATGTCCGTTTTTCATTTTTTCAAAACTTGAAAAAAAATACCTATTATCATACTCATTGTTTTTATACCCATTTTTTCTCATCCTCTCAAAAACGGAGTATCTAGCTACAATCTTGCCCTCTCTCACCTCCAAAAACTGCCAATTTCCCCCATGAATGGCTACTTTCCGGGTTGTGAGAAAGGGAAAATCGAAGCAGGGGTGTTTGATTGACCGGAAAGTTGCATCCCCCTTTTCCGTTGATCCTCCCTCCCCCAATACTTTCGACCTCTTTTCCTTCCTACAATACCAACCTCTCTCACCCGCCTAGGGCGACCTCCATTTTGTTCATTTTTCTCGTTGGGGAGGGGGGGGGGGCGACGGGTTACCCAAACAAAGTGAGGTGGGAAAGGAAAGGGGGGATCTCGCGTTCGGTCCATCGAGTCTTCTCACTTTCATTCCATTCAATTCCGATCCTACACCTTCCTTAGGTAATATGAAATGCATATACTTTTTGAGTGCACCTAACTACACCGTATCCACCATTTGCACTCGTCGTCAGTCCACCAACGTAACAAAAACTTTTTAGCTAGTTTCTACAGATCAACTAGATAGAACTCTGTGTAGGTTTACGGATAGTGTAGCGTGCTTAGTGTAGTATGTATTGTAGGGAAAGGAGATTCTGATTAAAATGTCAGGTTTCCAGATATGTGGCTACTGGAATGGGAAGAGAGCTGCCGCCTGAATGGCTCGAGCAAGTTATGGCAGCTGAAGAATTTGAGACACAAGTAAGCGCGTTTCAAAATTTCTTTGTATAATTTAGAAAGATTTAGCTAAAGAAAGATGTTGTATTGTAAAGAAAAATTGTAATTATTACAGATTCGTGGTCCATTGACGATCCTTTTTGTCCGATTGTCAAATACCTCATCCTTCCGGCGACCCCATATTCCGGTGACAAATATGCGAAGTGGGTTTTTGTCAAATTAGTCCCCGCTTTCTTAATTGCCTGCATACATTCACAAAAAGTGCTCCTTACAACCCTACAGCGCGTTAAATCCTTTCCTTGAAATTTACCGAGGAATCCCCCAGAGAATGGTGTTTGAGCCCTCCTGGGTGTGACCAGTCCTTGTAACCTGACAGTCCTTTTTCGAGAATGTATTGCCTCTATAATCCGCGCGTTCTCCTCTCTCTCTCTCTCTCTCTCTCTCTCTCTCTCTCTCTCTCTCTCTCTCTCTCTCTCTCTCTCTCTCCCTCTCTTTCTACCGCCTCCCATTCCAGTCATCGCGTCCGGTAAAGAGACGGCCAATTATCCATTGGAATCCGAGAAGCCCTCACCTCCCCTACCATCGGCTAGAAAGAGCCCCCGAGACATCGCCACACAGGTAACCCTTCTCAACGGTCTCACTCACTTATTACTCACTTTTAGCTCGAATCCAGCGTACTTGACAACCAATGGGTACTACCAATGAAAGTGCACATCAGCCATGTAAGCAAATTAACCACAAAAAGCAAATGAATTTAGATAAATTCCCCCAACGATTTCTACATCATATCGTCGGACCCAAAAAGACAAGATGAACTGCGGGGGCAGTTGAATGACTACTACCAAAAGAACGACGAGGGAACAAGGGTCGAGCTACATGTGCGTCTCTCTCTGCATTCAGCTAGAAAAATTAATTCTAGGAAGTATGTGTCAATGGGGCGTATGCTGTGGTGGATGAAAATGGGGATTGGCATAGGGTCATTATATTGGTACGTCTTTAATAAATAGATTCTATCACTACTATATTAAAAAACTAGCTCTAGTTTGAAGTACTTGTTGTTACAGTCATGTGAAAGTGGAGGGATGGCCAAGTGCTCTTTCGTTGACAATGGTCGTTCACTCACCGTTCCAGTTGACAAGATTCGCTTTTTGTCGTGCCCACAGGCGAGTTTTATGTTTTTAATACTTTTTTTATTTTTTCTCCGAAAGAATTCCACTGAACGTTCTTGTATTTAGATGGTCACTTCTTCCCTAGCAGCCCGATGTTCGTTGGACATTCCACAAGACCACGCTCAAGCAAAAACAGATGCGTTCAAGAAAATGGTAACCGACGCTGGTGCACCAATCATCGTTAAGGTTTATCACTACCTTAATAGAAAATTAAAACTTACATACTCTTAGGCCGCACTAATCGAGAATGTCAAATCATTGCGAACCATCAAGCTCACTCTGCTCGATGACAAAAATGTGAAAGACGCGCTTTTGAAAAGCGGATCGACAGAAAAAGAAAATAGAAGCCCGCCAAGGTATGATCATACATTTACGTTTTCAAAATTAGGAATTTTTTAAGCTCTCAACCTGGCACTCGACCCACATCCACAACATCCCTCAGCCTCACCGCACCACTACTTAATTTTGTGGATGACCCGGAAATTCAGCCCATGAGCGTCCAAGAAGTAAAAAATTATTTCAATTTTTCCTTAAAAAGCTTTTATTAATTATCATATTCGCTGAATTTTGCTTTTATAGATGCCAGCAACCACGTTCTATTCCCACGCCCTATTCGCTGCCGGTCCAGCCGATATATCGATGCGTCAGACGTCAATGGTCGGTTTGTTGCCAACACTGCACAAATATAGTCGTTTTATTCGACGTTTGTACACTTTATTTTATAATTTTTTAGGACCCAATGCCTGATTACATGTATGAAAAACTGGCCGAAGAATGCTCCCTGCCAGCGGCCGCTCTGGTGGATAGCCCTGTCCCCGGCTCTTTTTACGGAGCGTTCATCGAAGAACGGTAATAAAACAATACAAATTATTTTTAATAATTTGCAGCTGGGAACGAGTGATTTGTGTGCGTGGTTCAAAAGTCGATCCAGCCTCTTTTTGTGTGTACTTGGTAAGTGAAAAGGAAGTACATTGAAAGCAAGCTATAATACTGTGCCTCTCCGGCCCCTCCCTGGCCCCTCCCCTTCCTGATGACCCTTCCCCTCTCCCTACCCATCCTCCCATGTGGTCTAGTGGTTAGGATTCGTGGTTTTCACCCACGCGGCCCGGGTTCGATTCCCGGCATGGGAAGTTATTTTTGCTTTTTGGCGTTTTTATAGGGCAGAACCATACAAAGTTAATCTCAACCACAAGTTGGATTATAAAGCTCTTTAGTTCTATCTTTATTATTATAAAAATTTATTAGGCTGCTTATTTGGCTTTCCGATATTTGAATATGATCAGTTGATTTTCCAAACTTCGCAAAAATCGCCCATACAGTTAGTTTTATGTAGATCCGTAGGGCGGTATTGACTAGAGATGTTACGCATACGATTACGTTGTGGTACTTCCGGCAGATTAGCCCGATATGCATATCTGATTTGAGAAAGAGCGCCGATAATTCGAATACGACGATCGTATTCGAATAAGCCTCGGCTAATTCCGACGCGATGATCTGCCAAGTCGGCTTCACGTCGGGATAAAAAGCTAATTTAAAATTCAAGACGAACTGCTATGTAAATATCAAAATATTGACAGCCACCGGAAATGACCGAGAAATTGGCTCCTAAATCTATTCAAATTATGCATAGACTGACTACTTGTTTCCATTTTCCGGCCGTTTTCTTCGTAATATCGCTTTGCATCCAAATTAGCTTATTAGGTTTCAGTAGATCAACAGCTAGAAAATCAAAATTTAATAATCTTTGTTAGATGCTCTGTTATTCTTGATGTAAAATTTATTCCCTTTGTCGGTAGCCTGGGCAGCAAAGAGGGACAGGGCAGGAGCCACCTCATCCTTTGCCACCCGCTCTTCCTCTTCCCCTTCCATCCTCCCATGTGGTCTAGTGGTTAGGATTCGTGGTTTTCACCCACGCGGCCCGGGTTCGATTCCCGGCATGGGAAGTTATTTTTGCTTTTTGGCCTATTTGTAGGGGAGAACCATACCAAGTCAATCTCACTCAGATCTTGGGTTATAGAAGTTATTTAGACAGCGTTTTTACATTTTTCAATAAAAATTTGCAGGTCGACGTTGGAGCTTTTCACTACGTCCGTGGGGAGGCCATGCGTCGGTTGAATGCGAAGACACCCTTTAAAAAGATGCTGATGTTCAAGGCGAAGGTCTGAAACAGAGGCTGAATCCCCGAGGGACACCATTTAGGTTGCTGGAATTGTGCCAATTGGTGGTGCTGATGTATGGAGTCGAGAGGCCCATTTGGCCACTCGCGAGTTCTTCGAGGCATCCCTTGGGGAGCATGTCGAGGTGAGCATAATTGCGTTTAGGAGAAACCAAAAACTACATCCTCTTTGTCATTTAATTTTTACTTACTTTTTCTTCTAGGTGACTCCAATTTCATTTCCAAAAACGCCACGGACTGCAGAAACAAAGACCGCTTGGAATAAGTAGGTTTTTCTAATGTCGTAAAGTTAATTTATTTAGGTGGAAACAACTCAATGCTCCCACCGTCCCAGTCGTTGAAGCCCGGATTTCGGTGGCTGGGCGCGATTTAGCCGATTGGCTGATGGGCTGTGGCTTGGCCGTGCCCGCTGTATAATTTAGGGAATATCGAAAAATTTATACCCAATGCTTTACGCCAAAAATGCTCAATTCTCTCGTGGTGTCACCTACTCACAATCTACCCATCTGGTCCGAAAATTTGCTCCAAATTAATGTATTTGACGTACTTTTCGCTCAAGCCCAACAAAGTTGAGCTTTTCATCTCCCCTTTGGTTTCCGGGCCTTCCTGGCCAAAAAAGAATGACTTTTCCCCCTTCCACAACCCCATATATTCGCTCCCATCCTAGCTCTACTTGATAGTCAATTCTCCTCTGTGCTATTCTCCCGATACCGATTTCTAGTTTAGCCGTTGCCATACTATTTTATTAGTCTCAGTTCTGTGCAACGTCAGTTTTCAGCTTTCAAATGTGATATAAAATCAAACCTCCATTTGTGATATTCTATTTTAATCCTGGAAGGTTATGTATTTGCATATCCGCAAAGAGATTGGCATCTGGTGCCTTACGAGCTTTCACAGCTACTTAAACCTATCTTCAAAACTACTTAGAAATGTTAGGGTTTGGAAATAAATGTATATGGATGAAAAGTGTAAAAATTGAAGGCGTTTTCTACGCTGGATAATATCTAGAGATGTTTAAATGATTTTTCTAATGTATTTTGTATTTATCATTTGATATTTTAAGGTAACAAGTTTAAGTCCGGCTTTCGCAGCTGTGACGGCCCCGTCAGGATTGGCGTACGGTAACAGCAGCCAGAAGCCGAGCATATGTAGGTTTTAGCACTAAATCCAATCAATATAAATTTATCTATTATTTGCATATTAGACATTTAAATTAGTTTAATATAAACCCATAGAAATGGCCTGGAAAAAGCATCCATCAGCGTTAGAAGAGTAAGATTTTCAAAGGTTTTCCGGGGTTTTTTGTTTATTCTTTTTCACGCCCTGGGTTTGGTTTTTGGGTCTATGATTTTATTTTATTATTTAAAAATGAATTTTAAATTTAGGGTCTGTTTGCGGGGCCCAAGGTCTACAGTATGCCGGGCAATTCTTGTGACAAGTATTGTCTGGTTGTTACTTGATGTCATCGTTTTGTTACACTACCTCGACCCAGCCAGCAATACAAACAAAGAAAAGTGAGTGGATTTTAGTTTTTTAGGCAATATGGATTTTTAGAACACTAATCCGAGCAAATCGGTTAGTACAATCAAATAATGATGTGGAGACTGGGGATGGTGGATTTAATCCAGGGCAGGCAAGAGGACCGCCAGCACCTCCAGAACCTACTGAAGAAGTTTATGGAAAACCCGAAGATCGTCGATATTTAGAAAGATTAATGCGAGGTTCGTGCAAAATTCTAATTAAAACGTAATACATCACATAATATTAGTACCCGCCTTCAATCCGGAGACTACTGATGGAAACCTTGGAACGGGAGTACAAATCCCAGCCGACAAAGCTGATGAACAAACGAAACGGTTCAAAGAAAACCAATTTAATGTAATGGCCTCCGAGATGATGAGCGTCAACCGTACATTGCCAAACCATCAATCACCCAGGTAATTTTACATTCCATAATATTTATTAATACCTTTTTAGCTGCAAATCCGTTCAAAAGACCTACGCTGGGGCAAATCTTCCAAAAGTCAGCATTATCATTGGTAGGTCTTATTTGAACCTGATGAGTTGATGCTCGTTTTAGTCTTCCACAATGAAGGCTGGACGACATTGTTGCGGACCCTGCATTCCGTATGCAATCGATCGCCATTACATTTGCTGGAAGAAATTATTCTCATTGACGATATGTCGGATCGGGATTATTTGAAAGGACCTCTGGATATTTACATCAGAAGATTACCGGTACGTTTTTGATACGCAAATTATTATTTTCCATACCTTCAGATACCGATTAAAATCATTCATCTGCCACGAAGATCTGGTCTGATTCGGGCTCGTTTGACCGGAAGTGAGGCTTCAAAGGCGCCCGTTCTGCTTTTCCTTGATGCACACGTGGAGGTGACAGAAGGATGGTTGGAGCCACTTTTGTCTAGAGTACAAGCTGACCGGACGGTAGGTGGAGCACGTTTTACCAAAGACCTTTTTCAGGTGGTTGTCGCACCAATTATCGATGTGATTTCCGACGACGATTTCGAATATGTGACAGCTTCTGAAACAACATGGGGTGGCTTCAACTGGCACCTGAACTTCCGCTGGTACTCCGTACCACCTAGAGAGATGAAGCGCCGGAACCACGATCGAGCTTCACCTATCAAGTATTAACTACAATGTCATTCGGATTTTGGTTTTAGAACTCCTACAATTGCTGGAGGTCTCTTCGCCATTGACCGTTCATATTTCTATGAAATTGGTTCTTACGATGAGGGCATGGAAGTTTGGGGTGGAGAAAATTTGGAGATTTCATTCAGGGTGAGTAAGGTTAATGACATTTGAATGAATTAACCGAATTGGATTAAGGAAACTTGATCAAAACCATTTCTTTAGGTCTGGATGTGTGGTGGTTCACTAGAAATCCACCCATGCTCGAGGGTAGGCCACGTGTTCCGTAAGCAAACTCCGTACACTTTCCCCGGTGGAACAGCCAGGGTAAGTTCTAGTAAAGTAGTATCACGTAAATGATTGCTAGGTAATCCACCATAACTCCGCCCGTACCGCTGAAGTATGGATGGATGAATACAAGGAATTCTTCTATAAAATGGTCCCATCTGCAAAGAGAGTCGATGCTGGAGATATGACTTCTAGGAAAGAGCTGCGGAATAAGCTGCAATGCAAGAGTTTCCAATGGTATTTGGAGAATGTATATCCAGAGGTAGATTTTATGACGTGTTTATTAAATTTTTCCATAGGCACCCCTTCCAATTACATTTGTCTCTCTTGGTCAAGTTGCCTCGGGACAGCAATGTATGGATACGGTGGGGCAGAAGGCTGGTGGACAAGTGAAGGCTGGACCGTGTCATGGACAAGGCGGAAATCAGGTAATATTCTAAGTGCAAAATTGACATAAAAATCCTTTTCACAGGCATTCTCTCTGAGCGGAAATGGCGAGCTAAGATTTGATGACCTGTGCCTAGCATCAAGTGGAGGCTTCACGATGGACACTGGAGTGAAATTGGAACGATGCTCTACAAATGGCACCCCAACCAACCGCCATTTGTGGAAATACCTAGAAGCGGTAATCATACCTTAACAGTAACCTTTTTTAAAATTTTAGACCAATCAACTCGTCAACGAAAAAGCCGATCAATGCATAACGATCGGCAGTGAGAATAAAATCGTGCTTGCCGCCTGTGAAGCCGTAAGTTTCTGGAAATCCAAGAACCTTGGCATTAAAAAACAAAATATGATCAACAATTTGTTACAGGGTGAGGAAAATCAACGATGGACTCTGGAGGGATATCAGAAAAAGTAAACAAACACGCCTTCATATTTCACAATACTCAAAACAGGGAGCAATAATTTGGCAGCTGAACCGGTTTCTGACAATCAATTCCCCCACTATCTTTCCCGTTGACCATAATCATTTATCATTTTTGTTTTAATTATATCTGAACCACAGGTCTTATCGGTTGTGAAAAAACCTTGTTCATTCCCATCATTTACCTTAGAATCATGTCTTTGTCTATGTTGTCTTTCCAAAAAAGAAGACTCGTTTTCCGGATTTGCATTTGTTGTTTTTAGTTCTAAAGGGTTTGAGGGTATTCACAGAATTTAGTTAACTTCCATTCCCTTTAGAACATCACTTTATCATGTTGCGCCCGGGCTCTAAACCACATATTTGTGATAGGTCCATTTTTGTGATCCACTATGCATAGTCTAACTATGGGTATACGCTTCTCCGACTCGCATAAAAACTTTTCTACAATCTTCCATTTTCCGCATTTTCCAATTTACTACAACTACAAAATGTAACTTTCTAAAAAAACGTTTATCACCAAAATTCCCCGCAAAATAATGACCTTGAATAATAAAGGTGGCAATGGAAATATACTCGTAGTGAGGAAATTGCAATTTTTTTCGAAGATCTGAGTCTAAGAAGGCTAAATAAATTTTAAAGCATCGCCAAGCATGGTCTTAGTCAAAATCAAATTCAGATATAGTTTCAGCGTCGAGACTCCAAAATTTCTTCAGCGTCTGCATAGCATACGTCTCCTCCTTTGCTTTGTCAACTTTTCCCGACTAAACAGAAATTTTTGGCGTAAACTTATATCTTGCCGAATAGTCGAAGGGGTCGACGAGCAGAAGGAGACGGAGCTTCCGAAGTGCTCGTTGCGTTCCCATCGCAGAGACGCGAATTTTTGTAGCTGGTTCACCCTTTTCTAAATCATAATATCTAAAATGAGCTGTTTAAAGAAGTGACTTACGTTTTGACGCTTTACGGCGTAATCGAATATCTTCAAGTCCACATAGTTCACGAAGTGAGCCTTCGATGTTGACTTCTCGTATCGACACTTCATAGTCAGCTCAATTTCGGGGGATTGCGTGGATAGGTCTTACTTGGGAGCTCAATGGTAAAAGGAGGGCCCTCTCGTACAACCTCGGGAAGTGCTTCTTCCGCATTCTCCAAAGGCAAATCTTCAAATCGCGAAGAAAAGACCATCGATAGAAAAGACAATCGGGCTGCCTAGAGAAGAAATGTAAATTAATGCAAATCCCTACAGCATGCAATGGCTTCCATTCCAGCTCCTCCAGAATTGACTCATATTGCATATCGGAGAATTCGAGGCGCTCGAGGTGGAGGAATGCACTTGAGCCAACATACTGTAAAGAGAATTTACAATGTTACTCGGAGTTTAGATCGTTCCACTTTTTTAGAAGATCTCTCTACCTGCATAAATCCAACAAGAAGCTGCCCCGGTCCACGTAGACTGACAGTATCATCCACACCAATTTGGCTAACGGCAGCAAGATCAATCTAGATCCAATTCTCCATTGAATAAGTATCATTCTTTCAACCTTTTGTATCTGGACATTCCCATCGTTTTGAGCTCCTGGTAATGAGCCCACTGAATATTGTAGAAATAGCAAAAGTACATGCATTTCCTAAAAAACGAACTAAAGATTCCAAACTACCGTACCCGAAAGTGTCCCTCGCAAACCTTTGAAATTTCGGCCCATTGGCTAACGATAAAGAGTAATTGTAGCAGACCTAATAATTAAATAAACATGTTAAAAGATTTTAACTTACCAGGCAAATCCTTTTCATTTTCAGCCATAGTCTCGCGATGTCGAGTCCTCCAATGGCCTCTGCCATCATATTTCAGGCAATACATATAGAGGACTCGGAATGACCGGACTCGCAGGATAAATTCCTCATAAGCTTTCTGCTTCTCCTTGCAATACAACGAGATATGAGTGGTCAGTTGCTAAAAAGTGCTCATTTCGTGCATGGGCGAGACTTACATGATAAAAATGGCGATCAGCCAGCTGAGCCGCAATTTCAGCATTGGCGGGGTTGAGAGAGAATTCACGCTTCACTTCCGTGAGTACATCCCAAACAAGCCAGGGGAATGAAAGTACTCGCCCTTGTTCGGGGTGTACATTTTGAGCATGTTCTGTGAAATAGTAAGATGTCAAATAGTCGCGTTGCTTTTCTTGCTTACCGTAAGCTACTTTGTAATACGCTACAGCCTTTTGTTTCATCTCCCTCGTCATTGCGGAGCTCATACAGAAATAATGCAGATCATAGTTCTCATTGGAATGTACAGTTTGGCGTAGGGCACATAGTTGACGGTATAAACCAAAAGCTGGCAGCCCGGCGTGGGTGTTTGCCTTCTCGAAGAATTTTTTCCGGAAGCTTGTCCAGACGGCTGTCATCTGAAAAATAACATAAAATTCAGGGCCACATTTAATTCCGCCACCTTATTATCGATAACATGTGTTGTATTGTAAAGGCTCATATCATCCTGTTCCTTTTCTGATAACTTGTTTCTCATTTCCATTATAGCGCCGGAAAGGAGCTCAGCCTCGGTGAGGATACCGTAATACTCCATTTCTCGCTAAAAATTGATAATAACCGGTTAATACGGTAAGAATTACCCGGATAGAATTGCAATATTGTGCATAATCATCTTCGGCATCCTTTTTGAATATTTCCCATCCAGGTATTGTAATTGTCTCGTCAAGAGGTATGCTTAATTGCTGATCTCGATGTGCCGAGAAATGTAGAATATCTTCCACGGTCCGAATTTGCCTGAAGTAATTGAATAATTTCTTGTTTCATTGATACTTGACCCACCGATAGATCCTTCCAGCAAGTCGACGACTCCGATATACAGGTTCATGATCTTTTTCCAGAAAATCTGGATATCGTTTGGTTCTTTCAGGCGGCATTAAGATGGGCGGTTCATCATCAGTCATTGTCCAATCTGTTGTCAGATTCGCCGGTTTTATCCCGGTTTTTGGGAAATCCACAGCTTGCGAGTGCTTTTTCGCAATGCCTTTGGCCACGAGAGAATCCAATCCGTAGAGGTCAGAGGCGGCAAGGTGAGCAATTGCCACCATTCCAACCTTGCCATCATTTAGTTTTTTAAATTCTGTATTTCCCTACCTGATCCTGTATTAGGTAGTCATAGTAGTAAGAAATCATCTGAGATGTAACCTCGGCTTTTGTTAGGTTCTTGGGAGCTGATTCCGAGGTGTAATCCATTGCCGGCATATTGTAATCGAACAACAGCTCTTTATCCCAAATTACGGAATATTCATCACCATCCAAGTCCGAGCCTGTAGAGAAGGCGAAAATATTGTATGTTATTGAAATATCATACCAGCCATTTCATCAGGATGTGGACGAGGGCCATGTCGTGGGAATACAATGACATCCCGAAGGTGGTGTAACTGTGGAATGTCGACTGCTTCAAAAATGCGAACATCACCAGAGACGATGCAGGGATTTTTTGTGATAAGAATTGGTCCTAAACAAACTGATTTTACAAATTGATTCCCGCACCTTCCAAGATTTTTGTAATAGCACGGGGCCCCGGCGCTTTAAGCCCGATATTCGTGGTGTAGCTACAGTAGACTTGTCCATACTGTAGCTGCCCGGTCTCATCCACAACACCGAACATTGCTCGCCCGAGGTTATGTGGAATTTGGATCTGCGCCTTGTGAAGTTGCTTGTCTAAAATTAAAAATTAATATATAATGAATTGAGTTCGAAAGACAGGCAAGATTATAGCATTAATAAATAGTATAACCTACGTATGGAATAGCGGACCAAAGCTTTGACCAGCGAACGGAAAAATGGTTCCGTACACATTTCAAACAACCCCATACGATCCAAATCAAGTCGATACGTCAATTCCTAAGCAGTAAAGAGAAGTTGTAGCTTGTTGAGAATGCATACTTTAAGCTTTGCCCTGCAGAGTGCCTCATCGACCAGCACCATTGAAACCATATGAAGATGTCGATCAAGTAGTGTTTCGATACGATTACAGATACGAGTATGGCATTGCACTGATTGCATTTCAGAGACTTGATCCAAAATGTTGATGAAAGGTCGATTCAATGAGAGTGGTGTCGGGGTGCTGTGCTTCACCAATTCGATATCCGAAGTACCGTCCTTTCGTTTTGGTCCAAGAAATCTGAAATAAGCGTTGGTGACAATAACCACTGAAAACTCACTTCATCTGACTATCACGAAAAATGACTTTATGAAATGTGATGGCGTCTGGCTTATGGAATAGTAACTTATCCACAAAGCCCTAAATTTAAATGTTAGATTGAAATTAAAATTTCATACCGTATCCTTTTGCACAAATCTTAGCGCAATGCCAAATGAGAGGATATCATCAAGGGTTGGTTCAAGGGTGAGTACACCCTTTCCACCTCGGAACCGGAACTGAGGTAATGAATGGGATTCAGCCATATTTAATGTTGTACCTGCACGCAAGACGGCATAAAATTCTTTGGGAAAGAGCATTTTGTGGCCAGAAGTCGTAAGAAAGCTTTCGAAGCTTTGCCGACTCCATCGCTAATAACATTACGGGATTACTGGTTGGTAGTACCTGAATGTATATTCTTTCCCGTTACTGTCTTGCCCTCCGATCACATCGGCTTCCGTTTCATAATCCCTCGCAGCAACCCCATCACTTTTTAAGTTCACCTCGACTGCCTGACAAAGGTTTTGTAATGTTATAAGGGTTCCAAGCGTACCCGGCTTTGGGTGAAGCACAGTCCCAATCGGGCGACAACTTTTGAAATTGTTTCCAGGTGCGAAAATTTCCCCAAACGTTCTCGGATTTTTCTAAATGATCATTTAGCTTACAATAATATAACAGAGACCTATACAAAACAACCTACTCGCATTGAAGCCTGCTCCCCTGGTAATAATAACAGCCGTGATCCCTCATTTGTGAATTTGAATTACCCAGATAGTTGAAAATTTGGCCTTCATCGAGTTTACTCTTTAGAAAAACAAAATACCTCCAATTCTCAAACCATTCTCCATGTTTTTCTTAACTGTTTTATCTATAGTCCAGGATCCTGTCATCACTTTTCGCATTAATCCACCATCTTCGTCCCTGGAATTGAACTTTTTTTAAGCTTCGCCGAGCAACCCTTTACCTAAATGACACCCTCAGTATCATATATTTATCCGGTGAATTTTGGTTTTGATCCTTTTTGTGGATGCCATGGTTTCTGAAATGGAACTATTATATGGTCATTAAATACAAGTTGAAACCTGAGCACTCGATTCCCCATCATTGTTTCTGGTGCTACGTAAATCATTCTAGCCGGCATCACGATAACCTAGCAATCTTTTACGGTAAATGATCGCACATACCTTTCGACACCTCACAAAGCCTTCATGGATCACCAGTCGCTTCTCGTGCTCTTCCGTACTTCGACGCTCGGTCATCTAAAAATTCCAGGAATGACGACCACTAATGAACGAACCATTTTTTGGAAAAGCTGCCTCAGACAAAATGGATCAGCCATTTGGTCGACAGCGGTTAGCATTTGTTCCAACACCCATTCACAGCGAATCCGATCATTTGGATTCCGGTAATATGGTAGGATTAGGTTGAGGAATTTCCGATATTGTTCTGCGCTTTGTATTAATTGATTCTGAAACTAATATGTCAGGAATGGTAAATTCTGAATACCTTTACGATCGCCCCCCTTGAGAGTAGTCCTTCAATTAAATAGAGTATTGGGAAAACTTGTCGCTGGAATGTTTGAGATTTTTATATTTTTTATATAGCCGTAATTTTTTATATAAAATAAAGCAATCAACACTTACCGCGATTCCATCATTGTCGCATTGATAATTCATTGGATCCAGTCCTATTCCAGAATAGATAAGCCTGATATTTTCCAAAGAATGTATATCGATATAGGAGATATGGGAAAAGTCATCCGTTGGGGCTCGTGTCAACAACGCATAGACAATTTGTATCCGTGCAAATTCCACCTCTGCACCGCTTCTGTGATGCAGTCTGGTGACAAGGTCATATAATGAACTGTCATCCTAAAACATACATATTTCTAGGTAAAATCGAAGCAAACCATATTTTCAAAAGTGATGCTGAATACGGGGCTTTCGGAAAAGACTTCCTTGTTCTTCGGTTTTTCATAATGGGTCCGTCCACGCCATATCTCATGGTATCGCTCCCAACCCCCGTCTAAGCGATCATCTTTTGTCTTTCGACTATCCCAACGCTTCCGAATTGAAGGCGAAACGGCTGTGATAAAGTGGATTCGACAGGCCTGCCATGAATCAAATAATCATAACAACTCAAAAAGACTTACTTTTCCCGTTCCACTTTCCGACCCCAATCCAGGCTCCTTCACATCCAATTCCACGATCATTTTCCGTATACACTTGTAGTAAAGCGACAGTTTATAATTGCAAAATCCATTTCCGGATTCTGAAGGAGTGTTGTATAATAAGTAAGTGCTGGCTCACCCTGCTTGTTGTCTTGCTCGTATGTTCGGAAATAGAAATGGCACTGTGTTTCATCGTGGATAAACTCGGAACTGATATATTTTTCTTTTACTAGATCTGGTTTTTGGGTGCGTAGGTAGTAAGAGACCTGCGAAGCGATATCAGAAAAATTTATAAGTTCAGTTTACCTCCCAATGGCATAAAAGATTTCCACGAGCTGGGAAACTACCCCATCGAATTGCGTGTAGACGTTTTTCATTGAGCTCGGTGCTAGAACGCATTTTTACGATATGATATTGCGAAAAGCCTGTTGTATCCGGAAGTACACTTACGATAGGGTATTTTTCAATACGATCCTTGCCGGTATGCGCATTATCGGCCATAGATGTAGTGGCAAAGACGCTGTCGGAACGATAAACATAAAACCACGAGCAAATGCGAACAGCAAACGGCTCCATCCCATCGCCCCCGCTTCGACCTAATAAATACACAGTTTTCACTCGTTTAACAACCATTAAAATAAACTAACCTCAACCTCAACTTCCAAAATGTCATCCTCCAGCACCCGAGCCTCCTGCCGGAGAAATTTAATGGCACCGTAACTCTGCTCATTGATCATTTGACATGCCGTTTCAAAATCGAGAATCGTTCTTTTCTCATAGGCCTTGATGAGGGGTTTCGTGTAGTCAAGCTTCACCGAAAACCGGGCTGGCTGTAAAATAACGTTTCTTAAACATTGTTCTGCTACTTTAAATTTACCAAAACTACCTATATGCCACTGACCAAGAATCTAAGTAAAATTATTAATTATTTAGCATAATAAAGCTAATAATAATACGCCGCCAAATATACAAATACCTACCACCTGGCTAGTCGATGCCATTTGGTTCTAGCGTGCAACCAATTTGCTTCCAGCCTTTCTGAAAGAGAAAAATTCATGTAAACGAATTATGATTAATGTTGGAAAATATAATGGATTTTTTGCCCTAATAGTTCCAAGCCGGTTTGGGTGTGAGAGGTAAAAGCGGAACGGATTTTTATCAAGCATAGCAAAAAATTGAACAGGCGGTAGGTGCTTACGCGCCCTTTTCATCGCGTAAGGGAATGCGAGAAAGAAGAGAAAGGATGTGAATTCCCAATCCGAGTATGACGCAAAACGGTTTCGAACCGGCTTTGATAAAGCAACACCAAAAATGTGGCACTATGTGTCATGAAAAACGTCTTCTTTGAGAAGAAGTACTGCAATGCTTTAATGTCTAGATAAAGTTTTCGGAAATTTCTTGGAAAAATTATTCTGCGGCTCCGCAACTGTCCAGCAGTCGATTCTCAATGAAAAAACTTAGTGCGGTATATAAAAAAATCATAATAAAGCGATAAATCCGTGCTGTCAAAGGCCGTCCTATCCTTTGAATGGCTGCGGGATAGAGTGTAAAGTTGACAATCGATCAGTGATTGGTGGGATGTATCGTTTGTTGTATCCTGAAATATACGTAGCGAAGCACCAACCATTTTATCCCTGGGTTCGATAACCTTACCATTGCATAGAAAAATTTGCAACCTACATTTTTTCAGAGACTTTTGTCTTTCTATAATACACTTGGGTCCAAAAATGTTAAATTTAAAACCCGTACGAAGCTTCTTTATTTCATGCCCTAGCACATAAGGTTTTCGATGCCATTTCAGGTTCCTTCGGGCGTTTGGAGCAGCAGAAAAAGCAAGATTTTCTATATGTGGTATTTGAACAAAGACGCCGAGAAGCTTAAGAATTTTTGCGTTTCGCTGATAAAGCTAAAGCCGGCCTTTTCGTCCATTCAGAACCGATTCTTATTTTTTTAATAATCCTTTTTATTTTTTATTTTTTATGTAATAAACAATTTGGCTAAACGACACGCACAAATAACACAAAAACCGCGTACGTATGCCCTTTATCTTGCCTACAACTGTCCAAATTCCACGAACCCAGAGGGTGTGTCACTTTGAATATGTGTAACCCACGGGGGTTCGTTCTTGTTTTTGCAATCGCAAATGAAATTGGAATGCGGACGTCAAAGGTGATCTTCCCCCTTGGGAGATGGCTAATCCGAGGCTTGGGCAAAATCCCCGCCCGGGCAACACGGATGAAAAAAGGTGCTCAAGTTTTGTTGTTTCGTGGAAATGAGGGCTGAAATTGTGCTCTAAGTCTCATCAAGTTGTTCTTTGCACCCTGTAGTAAAGAATTTTTAGCAAATTTTAACATATTTTTAACTGCAACTATTGGTGCAATTATTTTTTAATGGAATAGAGCGCTTTAGCTTGCAAAGCACAAATTCTAATTAACCTAACATTCTCACGTGGTTTGCGCCAGACACCCGTTACCGTGAATACTGAACACCCCCGCAGGAGCTACGTGGGAATTGCACATGCTCACCAAATTACTGGCCCAATTTTTTCCTGTGTACTTGGTGGGCCGCAGCCATCCCCAGGGATTTTCGGCCTCCCGGCCCCATTAAGAGGTGTGAACAGACGTCTAATTTCAGACCAAGAGCCCCCTTCACCTGGCGGCATTTGACATACTACTTCTTCAGAAAAGTGAATTTAGGTGCAAACAAAAACAAGGTCCTTCCAGGGATCGCAAGTCATTTTTGGCGTTACCATGGTGAGACAGGGGGAAAGGTGAGGGATCGAAAAAAAGCAAATTGAAACCCGCCGATTTTCTTGGAATGCGGTTGGGTACAAGGTTCAGATATAAGGGACCAGAATTGGGGGCTTCGAACTTCCATCTGCTCCCCTGACTCTTTTTTATCCGCCAAACCCCAGTTACTTGCCCAGTTACAGTTAACTTACCCAGTTCTTTAAACACGAAATTTTGAAATGTGTTTTAAGTATGGATGTCGAAAGAACAACGAGAATCCGCAAAAGATCGCTGAAAAACAAACGCATCCATTCTTGCCTGATTTGCGGCAGCTATCCGGCCACCTTTAACTATGGAGCTCTCACTTGCAGGTATACAAACAATCACTATTCAAATTTTTTTCGGTTTTTAGTGTGTGCAAAACGTTTTTCTTACGTCATGCCACACGTCCGCACACCCCCGTCTGCGCTGAATTTGGCGAATGTGGATACCGTAGGATAAAATGCGTAAAGGCGAAACACGACTCCTTTTCAGCTCTAATCAAATGTAAAGCATGCCGATATGCCAAGTGCCTGGAGGTTGGAATGCATCCAGAAAGTAGGAATCTGGTTCCAGCTTTAGCTTTATTTTTCTGCAGGGGCAGGCAAGCGTTCGGGCTGCATGAGGCGTAAACGTCATGGAACGGAGTTAGGGATGAATGAGTCACCAGAATTGCCGCTTTTATTAACTGTAGGTTCTTTAGAGTAATTTTAACGACTTTGAAATGTAGGAACATCAACGCTTCGCGCAGGTGTGTCCTTCTACAATGCTTCAAGCGCAGCGGATGGACAATTTGGATTCGGAGATACGGTGTTTGATTGAGATTGAGAAGTAGGTGTGGGGGCTGACCTTAGTACTTTCTGTGGTTAGAGAAGGAGAGAAACAGAGAGAGAGAGAGAGAGAGAGAGAGAGAGAGAGAGAGAGAGAGTAAACAAGATGGGTGAGATATAAAGATAACGAGAAGAAGATAGAGCAGTATAGGGAGCCATGGAGAAAGACCCTGAGCGAACGACAGAGACAGACAGGAGGTTCGAGAGACAGAGGTTGCGAGACAGTGCGAGCGATCGAGATTGAGATACATAGAGAGACACAGAGTGATAGAGAGAGATAGAATGAGGGAGAGAGAGCGAGAGCGAGCAAAATGAGCAAGAGCCCGATTACATCCGCAGTAATTGTAGGGCATGTTCTGCCGATTCACCATGGACCCCTAAAATGCACGAATTCTCATTTGACCTCAGCGTCACCATGATGGACATCTTGGAACAACCCCAAAAAATATGCGCTCGAGTTCCGGTAATTCTTTCGTATTAAATATTAAAATACCTCCTTCGATTTAGCTCGGTCTATGCAATTCAGCAACCGAATTCAACCCATGCCGGGAAAACATGGGTGGTAAATGTCTGGCCCGAATGATGCTCTACTGTGCTGACTTCTTTCGAGAAACCCCCGAAATATGGCAGCTTGGACATGATGATCGCGTATTTATCCACCAGCAATATTCAAATCCAGTCATTTAGCGGAGGTTCTGTCTTTATGGAAGCATGCTTCTCTCCCAAATCCAACTATATTATCACACATTTGCCATTGGGTGCAAAGGGTTTTTGAGTGGACTTGGACAACGCTACGATCCAAGACCCGATGGGCCCGCTGGGTAAGTTTAAGAATATCTATGACTTTTATATTTTATTATTCTTAGATTTAATGACATCGCTGGCGTTTGTAGCTACGAACTACATAACTTAATATTCCCTGCGCTTCGCCGTATTAATTTTACGTATGAGGAGTTTTTATTGTGGAAGATGGTGGTGCTGTTCTCTCCTGGACGTAAGGGGTTTTTTTTGTAAACTACTAGATTTTTTCTAGCTATCGGTTTATCTGATGAGGGGGCTGCAATAATTCGGTGTACAAGGCGAAAGTATGAGGCTATGTTATTGGAGGTTTGCTTAAGCGTAGTCAATTAAAATTTAGAATTCAGCTAATCAGCCGCGATACCTTGGCAATGTCCGCTTTTTCAAAAATGAGCGTTTTGTGTGAAGTCCAACGATGGTGTCAGGTCAGTAATTCTAATTTGGGAAATTTTTGAGATGTAGGCGAATACAAATCGCTGGGCTGCCTTCGGGATCAAGGTCTTGGTTGCGAGAGGCGCGGGGTACGGTATAAACGGTACTCTCTCTGCCGAAACTATGCTTGCAAGATTGTAAATCCTCGGTTGCATGATTATCTTTATTGAATTTTCTTCATTCTTGATTCAATTTTAATATATTTCTGTATTGTTGGACTTTCCATGATTAAACATAATATTTCGGCTGTCTCGCGCAATTCCCTGCCACATCACCAAACCGGTAAAAGAGGCAATGGGTATTGGAACATCCATGATCAGAGATGCAGAGTTGTCCTGAATGTACAGTAATAAAGGTTTAATGGTACACGCGTTTACCATTGACAGCAGCACACATTCGCTCATTGCTATTCGTTGTGTAACACCCCAGATCAATACTACAGTCAGTACTGGTAGAACATCTAGCTAAAATCCAAATTTCCTGCGTTTCTATTTTTTTTGACATACACCACCAGCCGCCAAGGATAACAGGTTGATCGCGTTGAAGTCCAGAGGGATTCTAAAATTCATTATAGTTTTAAAATTGTATAATGTGCCACCGTTCCATATTTTTGAAACGTCACGTGAGAGATCATATGGGAATTCAATAGATTCGATTTGTCGAAATTTTGTTTTTGGGGGCTAAAATTTTAGACATAGAAAAAGGCGCTAATTGAGGTCCATGGTTTCTAGTTTTAACTTGCCTGAACACACGTCCGACTGCCCTCAACATCGCATGAATATCCAGACTCGCATTGCTCATCCGACGTACAGCCGTATTGGCGATGGTGATGGTGAGGGGTGATGTTTTCCTAAAAACGGCATTACCAATCTGATACGATGAACAGCCCTTACCAAACACTCATGAAGTCCATTCCCCATATCTACACAAGATTTTCCATGTGGACAATCGGCTGTAGAGCGACAGTTGCCCTATGGGAATCGAGTGCTTTGAATTATGTAATGTTTCTTACAACGGTACACAATGGTCTTTGATTAACAGTACAAATAAATCCGGATTCACAGAATTGGCTTCTCGCGCAAGGACTTGGGGTTGGAAGGGCAGGGGCTTGGTCCTGAAACAATGGGTTTTTTGGATATTTTATATTTCAGCCTACCAGACATCTCCTATAACCTCTCTCCGTTTCTACGCATACCGTACCCACACGACAGTCCGTATTGAAACGGCATGAGAAACCGGGAGTAGGTTCCTAAAAGTGTTCTTGATTGATAGTTGATAGATGGTAAAGGTATGCTGATTCCGCAAATCACCCACTTGACATTGTGCCACACCAGAATAATCGGCCTGGCAAATTTGCCCCAATATACAATCAGTATCTCTGGCACAGGACAATGGTCTAGGCATCGGAAGTGGTAGTGGTGGAGCAGCTTCCTGCAATCTAATTTACACGCTTTTTCTGGGTAGCACAAACCAAACATCCTCTTCTCCCAGTATCATCCAACAATGCACATTGATAATTCGGAGGACAGTCGTAGTCGCTTTCACATCCGTTATTGCTGGGCTAAACACGGAATTATCCCTCGTTCTCATTTCTAGCCATTACCGTATGACAATTCAGCGATTGACATGGTTGGCAACTCCGAAATACACCGATAGGCAGGCACTCAAAACCGTTCTGGCATTGGTCGTTTGACGAACAAAGTGGGAAGCCATGCGCTGCTGATGCAAGAAATACCGCAAGGGGTAGTATAGCGGTAATTCGGTTCATTGTTGGTATGGATTGTGAAGCATTGAGGTTTTGAGGGGTGGTTCTTTCTTGAGACTCCCCCCTACTTGGGCCCGCACCCCTCTAACAAACAATTCACTGTTTTCTCGCAGGATTTTTGGGTCCGTTCAAGTAGGGGGGGCAGGGGTAGATGAACAGGTTTTTTTTGTAGTCACTGGAGTTTTGGTTGGCTTTGGAAAATCGGAGAATTATTCATAGGATAAGTATGTTGACATTAATTTAAACTTAGGTAAACCTTTGACTATTTACATTAACTTAAATATGTATATTGACCCAGATGACCTAAATATTTTTGTCTAAAAATTGAAAACTTTGTCAAAAAGCCCAAAAATAAAAAATCCACTTTAGAAATCAATAACTTTTTAAGCACCTTTTTCGGCAAAAAAAAAGAATATTTGAAAGCATATCTGCAATTTGTTGTTGTGTAATTGATTACTACCGCCATTCAAGCCACGAATTGACACCCGAATTTATTCGAAGATCACCAGTCTCATGGAATGTAAATTGAGCCTTATAAACATTACATACAATTTCTTGAATACACAGCATAGAGGTACATAGGGTTATCGCTTAGCATCCGTGATGATGATGGTGGTGGTGTCCCCATCCATGATGACCATGATGATGGTGGGTCAGATCATGCATCATTCCACCAAGGAATGAATGGTGATGGTGATGATATCCATGATGATGTCCGTCCATTACGACGACTTGAGGTTGGACGACTGGTACTGAAAAATTTAATTTCATGAGGGATACTATCTATTACTACATTAATTACGCATGTCACGCCGGCGGCGTGGCTTAGGCTTAGGCTTAGGCTTAGGCTTAGGCTTAGGCTTAGGCTTAGGCTTAGGCTTAGGCTTAGGCTTAGGCTTAGGCTTAGGCTTAGGCTTAGGCTTAGGCTTAGGCTTAGGCTTAGGGCTTAGGCTTAGGCTTAGGCTTAGGCTTAGGCTTAGGCTTAGACTTAGGATTAGGCTTAGGCTTAGGCTTAGGCTTAGGGCTTAGGGCTTAGGCTACCACTAAAAAACCATTGAAAGCTGTATAGCTATTTTTCAAAACTGATGAAACTAAATTAGAAAAAACTCACCAACAGCTGGAGCCGGATAAACGGCTGGCGCAACGTAGCCAGGGGCGGCATAGCCATAAGGTTGGTATCCGTAGGGGTACGACATTTCTGAAAATTAATTTTTTAAATCATACGCCATAATGAATAAAATTGAAAACAGAGAGAAATTTAAGCCTCTAAAGATACCGGCTGAGATTCCAAACACTTGACCAGCCGCGTATTTATAGGAAAAAGGGTTGTGAAATCACGGCTCGTGTCCCTTGGGAGAACCCGGCCCACCGAACTGTTTGCTCAGAGCTTCTCGCCCCATTTTATAAGCAAACCAACCCGAATACCGATAAGACCCGATGACGTACGGTGAGTCATGCGAATTTGACTGAATCACCACGGTTCAACTGATAGCGCGGCCAAAAAACGTATCTGATGCCGAAGTGGGTGGCCGGGGTTGAGTTTGGATACGTATGATGGAGATCTGGGTGTTACGCAATAATGCGTCAAAACAAACTTTGGGGAATATAGGGAACAAACCGAGCGTACAGCCTTGTGACGAAATTAGTGCACGAAATATTTCGGGACGTAAGGACGATTTGGGAAATAAATGAATTTAGCAAAATTCAGACATGAAAATGCAGCATTTTGAATTACACTTTAAAGAAGACACTGGGCCGTTAAGTATCAAACTTCTAGAGTCCTTCACAATTTTGCAAAAATGTGAATAATTTTGGCGTCTTTGATTTGATTCTTGTGTTGCACGGGTATGGTTTGTAAATTTTATTACTAAGCATTAAACAACCATTCTAACCATTGGTTAACTCATCTTTAAGTACCTTTAAGTGGATATATCTTTTTAATTCTATAAACCTACATGATTTTACATTAGGCGCCAATTACCCTAAAGACGTTTCATAACCCATCCGCTGTCCAATAATTTCTACTCATAAATCCTCTCTTGCTCAGTGCCCATAGCCAACTTGATGGAAAAGTGATGCGAAATTTACCGGGCCCTTGATAAGGAATTCAAGCCAGTCAGGCAAATCGATTCATGCCAGTCTCGCTCTCCCACTAGAAAAACTCAAGCATGGACTCGGCGATTCTGGGCCGTATTCTTGGTGTTGGTGGCTTTGGCACTGTATTTGGTGAAAACAGGAATGGACGGTAAGTGGTGATTCGTTGCCTGCTCAACTCATTCTGTATTAAAATTACCGTTATCCTTAGATTTGTGGCAATAAAACGTCTTCCATCTCATTTACATCCCCGAAGTCTTCGCCGTGAAATCGAAAACCTTCAACACCTCTCCCATCCAAATATCGTTGAATATATCGAATTCTATGAAAGTGATGAGGGGAAACTGGCTAATATTGTCACCGAATATTACGAAAGAGGAGACTTGAAAAAATGTGAGTGCGACTCTCTATGAGTTTTATTAAAATTGTAGTCATAAACCGAAGGGAGCAATGCTACTCAATTTCACTTGTCATCGATTGGGCATGCCAGTTATTTGAAGCTTTGGTATATTTGGAAGGGAAACGGATTTTCCACAGAGATATCAAGGCATCGAAGTGAGTTTCAGAATAGAATGTACCTTAACATTTTGTTTTAGCATATTACTTGGCCAAACCTACGAAATGAAACTTTGCGATTTTGGTTTGTCAAAATCCGAGGAAGCAGAAAACTCAAAGTAGGCTTGTTTTTTATTTTTGATTTTTAATACGTTTTAGCTACGGAGTGGTTGGTACAATGCGATACACACCTCCAGAAACTTTTGGAATTATCAAGGACCGACAAATTGTATGTTTAATAATATTTAATGTAAATCTTTTTAGTTTACATATGCAAGCGATCTCTATGCCTCTGGACTTGTACTTTGGGAATGCATAGAAAGGCGGTAAGCTTTATATAAAGATTAAAAGCTTCATTTGAATTTCAGTGTTGTTTTTCACGACGCAAATCCACTGATACCACGTATATGTTTTGGTGAGCCGCTAGAAAGAGCGAATTGTCGAGATTGTATGGCCGACCTCATTGAAACGTATGCAAGTTATATAATGGTTTGAGTAAACAATTTCAGATGTGTACGTAAAATGCCAGATGACCGACCAAACGCTTCAAAAGCTTTAGAAAAAGCTAAAGCTATAAAGAATGTAATTGATATGCGGCATAATAAGTCAATACAACTTTTAGGAATCATTCTACAAGCGGTTTTGCATGGAACCATATGATTTGGCGGTATCCCCGGATAGTGATGAACCAGCGCCAGTCGTTGGGGCAAAAGAAACATGGATGGATGAAATTATAATCGATAAGACGATCACAAAGGTATGCAAATAACTTAGCATCTTAATTCTAAAATATTCTCAAGAATTTGACAAAAACTTCCGAGGCAGATGATGTGACAATAATGGTTGGAGCCCTGAAATCGACAGTTCTGAGTGAAATTGATGATAAGACGGTGATGGTTTCTGGAGGACCAGTTCAAGCAGTAAGTCAGAAAAATCTGTAGTTTTATTTAAATAAGGAGGCGGGGAAGGTGGCGCTTGACGCATCGAGAATTGGGATGAATTACATGCGAAGTATCAACGAAGCATGTCAAATGTCGAAAGATGTGGAGGATCTTACGGTAAAATTGAGAAACATAATTTTGGTTGAAAGTGAAAGCGCGAGAGCGAGGCAGAGAGAGAGAGAGAAGGCGGGAGAGAAAGCGAGAGAAAGAGAGCGATAGAGAAAGAGAGAAAGAAATAAAATCGCTCAACATAAACTTTTGGTTTACAGATACGCGTCGCGAAATTTGACGATGAAGATGAAATCACTCTGCGGCCATTAAGCTTTACTAGCAGGTTAGATATATTTAACTCAGCTTAAATACTTAGCTTCAGCAACCCGGAAAGACGAAGTGAGAGCTTTGAAGAAAATTGTGTCGAGCTTCTGTCGAAATCTGTAGAAATCGGATCCGCGGCTCCATATCCAACAAAGTTTTCGACTATCGAAGAAGCGACGGAACCTCTTGACCGCGTAATTAAACTATACATTCTACCACTTAACCAACTACCTTAGGATAATGGAGATTTTACTCACGTCTATGGAAAGTTAGTGAATTTGCCTTCAACGTCCACAGCGGTGACAATCATCTGGTTTTACTAAAGATTTTTTTCTTAGTCTTACCCGGAGGAAGACAGCGGATTTGTGGAAAAAAGCTTTTATTGTACACCTGTACGACCAGCTGTAAGCATAAAGAAGTATTTAAATAATTTCTTTTTAGCCGCCACCTCCTCCACCAAAAGTTGGTTGGGCGGTGCCAGATACCCCCAAATTCCGCGCACCGATGGATTATGACCCTCTAAAGGAACGAGGTAACCTAATGCTAATTATCCCAAACAAAGTGTATTCAGAAAAATTACATTTCCGATATTCATTGCCAACTCAAAATGAAGACCCACCAGCAGTACCACAACGGAAATTAACGCCAGGTAAGATCTAAAAAGTAAAAAACATTTTTCCACTTTAGCTTCTGCTCCTCCACCCCCATTACGACATATTAGCTTGAAACAAGATAAATGGGTCTCCGACAAATTGTTAATGATCTGGTGCCGGGTATCAAAAATTGAGCCTAAGAACCCATTTTTTAGAGCCTGGTGACCGAACATCCGACATGGTGTATTGACACGCTACAATAGTTTGAGCACCATTGTCAGGGAGAAAAACGAGGCGAAGCTCAAGGAATTCTTCTCGCGAGTGCTGCTGTTTGAAAACGGCCAGCCAAGTAGACAATTCTGGGTGGTAATTCCCCATTTTTAGATGGGCCTGGTTCTCAACTAGGCTGTGTTCTTAAGCTTCAAATTGGCGGCAACAGTACTATCTATTTCTTGAAAGGATTTGATCTGTTTTTCAGGAATTTTTTGAGGTATGATAAAAAGCAAAAAAACGTGAGGATGATGGGCTTTAGGCGATGCGACTATTTTACGAACGGCAAATCTGTTTATATGGAGGCGGTGGAGTATTGTTTTGATGTTTTAAGTAGACGAAGTGAGGTCTATCAGAAGGTAGCCACCAATAGAGCAATGGCTACCAAAGCATTTAGGCCGCAATGCTGTTCTTGGCTTTTGATTTGGTCGCTTTTAAGGAATGGTCAACTCCATTCATATGGTAGATTACATAATTTATGTTATTGTACAATTTAAACCTTCAGCGAGACGCTAGGAACTACCAAAGAATTTTTGACGTGCCATATCGCAAAGTCGCTGCTTTCTCTGACTGAGGAGCTACCGAATGAAGCGCAAAGAATATTATTAAGATCGGAGGTCGACTCGTTGAGATACGGTAACATTTTGATCCCGTTTGAGGCGTGGTTTTAGGTGGCATTACCGAGCAACGATTTTTCATCCAAAGAGCACTTCCATAAATGCCTATCATCCATCGCTCACCACACCAGTTCGACAGCCAAAGCTTTTGTGTGTTTTTCTGATTATAAATCTTCTGGGAACATTTTTCTGTTTATTCTAACAATTTTGATGGTTGGCGATGATCCAGTCGACAGTCTTGAGGGCGGCTTTAGCCCATGAAAAACGATGGGCAACTCCGCCCAATGCAAATGGGGGGGGGGATGGAGGGCTTCACACATATCGGTCATTTTTCGCGGAGTAATTCTCACAACACGACGGCCGAAAAAAATTTTGTTTTTGTTGAAAATTCGTGGATAGTGGATAACTTATCGAGCTTACGAAACCTACTTCATCTGCGTTTTTGCGCTACATGTGCCTGATTGCCTGATAAAAGAGCTCTGTTAATTCAAATTAGTATTGAACGGTTGCTAACTGTATTTCTCTAATTAGACCTTGTTTGTTGCAAATCTGCGTTTTACGGGGTTTTTTTAATCCTGCAATAACTCCGCGTCAACGAGTGACTTGGTTTTAATATAATTCATAGCTTTTTAATTCCTACAAAATACAAATTACCTGTTTCACTAGCCCGACACGTGACCCTGTTTCTCTGCTTCCTCTCTTTTTAACCCTCCGCCCAAAAAGATTCATCATTTGCATCTTTTGAAAACAATTCCCGACCTACGCATCGTTTGGTATTTAAGCACGCTGTATGTGCGTCATTTGGAGTATCCCGTCGTTGTCCTACTAAAAACCAGTGATTCGACCTAGAGCCAGGCTCGCAGCTCTTATCAGCCTTCCATCTTTTCTCCCCGATCCGTTGTCTCTCTAGTCGTTGTCATCCTCACTTTTCCTTACCAAATATCACCCTCTGCTGCGCTACAGTTGTTGCGGTTAGCGCTACGTGCAAGCGCTCTTTGCTTTAAATCGTTTTTTGTTGTTTTTGTCTTTATTTTGGGCAGGCAGTATATAAAAAATGTTGCCTAGAGTTTACCAACCTTAAAACTTGTATCAAAATTTTAAAACCATATAATGGAATTTATTCTAATAAAAATAAAATTTTGGTAGATTTCCATGGCCAGTTTGTTTCAGCCGAGCTAGTAGCTTTACAAAAAATAATGTTTTTAGAATTGAATGGCTGAAAGCGGGACAGACTATTCGCTATTTGCAGAAGTATGTGCACTTGTCAAACCAAAAGAAGAAGACCCGGATATGCCAGGTAGACTCCAAAAGAAATTTTCTATTTATGGTTAACCCAAATTAGTGGAAAATTCAGCTCGAAAATCAAACTATCTTTTAGGCTTGCCTCCAATCAGATACCGACCGCCGTTCATCGGCACTAATGCACATGATGCAAGAAATGACGCTGTTCAGCTGGTTGTTGATAATTTACGACAACAGTACCTTTTAAATTAAAAGTCAAAACTTTTTTTAAGGGGTTTATCGACGACACATGCTCAACTGTTGGCTCAAATATTCGTAGATGAACACGCTGAGAATCCGGACATACGGTCAGCTCGGGTACCGTTTGAGGTATGGTAGTATTAGGCTCGAAATTTATGAATTCAATTCATGCTAAAACTCTCGCTCGCTCGCTCGCTCGCTCTCTCTCTCTCTCTCTCTCTCTCTCTCTCTCTCTAACAAAAACTACTTCAGAAGGATGTCTACGATTCGATCGATGCTTCGGTCTGGTGCCGAAAAGTTGTCGCAGCAATCCCAAATTTCCTACAATCCATTGCTGAAGGGAAATTGAAAATCCCAGGTTTGCTTGAACTCGTTTTCACGAAATTTCGGAGTATAGACGTACCAACCAGCTACACACAATTCCTCTATTCGGTCTGTTCCGAAAAAAATAAGCGCTCAAAGATGGAAGACCGGCATTTGTGCATGCCAACGATGGAGATGTGGGGTGGAAAGAATGGTAGATTTTCTTAAAAAACTGTTGAAAATAACCAGTGAAAATTAATAATCCCAACCAGTCCAAAATTCCAGATGGTTCCGCATTATTTGCTGTCTTTGATGGACATGCCGGTACGGAAGTATCATCGTATGCAGCTGCCCATATGCCGCCAGTTTTTGAGGCCCAACAAGGCTCTCTTCAGGACAGATTGCAGAATAGTTTTATGGAATTAGGTGGGTTGTTTCGTAGTTGTTATTACTTTGCGCTTGAATTCCAGAGGTTCGCACAGCAATGCGGTGCGAAAAGGAACACTGGAAAAGCGGGAGCACAGCTGTATGTTTGGCTGTAAATCAGGAGGTGAGATTTTTGTCTTATTTTTGTATATTCTAAACAATCCTGAAATTCCGGTGTGGATTAAAATACCACAATTCAGGAACTGTGTTTTGGTTGGGTTGGAGATTCTGCCGGGTATCTGATGTCCTCAACGGAAGTGACGAAAATGACAACCGATCATTCTCCAAATGACCCGGTAGGACAATGACAAGCTTTGAATTTATTTTAATGCCTCTGAAGGCCGAGGCAAAACGAATAGAGGAAGCTGGCGGATTCTTGACTTGGATCCAAGGGGAATATCGGGTGAATGGCGTATTGAATCTAACACGGTCACTAGGTAAGTCCCAAAAAGAATTGATGCATCTCTTATCTACAAATTCCTAAATCCTACAATCTAATTTATTTAGGTGACATTGCTGGTCGACCGGTAATAATTTCCGACGCCGAATTAAACGTGCAAAAACGTTCTGGCACCGAATACCTAGCAATATTGGCTTGTGATGGCATCAGCGACATTTTAACCGAAACGCAATTGTACGACGTGATCAACACCTTTGTGGAGAATCACGAGCAATCCGGTACGGTCATCCAAAAAATATCACAACCAATTATTTGCAGAATACAAAAAGCTGGGCGATGCGTTTTGCGCGGCCGCGAAGGATCAAGGCTCGAGAGATAATCTGAGCGTGGTTGTCGTCTTTTTGCGGCCTCTAGAAGATCTATGGAATTTATTCAGTGGTGATCTCCCGCCTAGCGAAAAGCTTCAAGGGGATAAGACTGACCACTTGTAGCCTTTATATGCTTTGTACATTTCGCATCCCTGGTCCCCAGATTCGCCGGCTTTTATTCATCAACCCTCTGACCGTTGCAACCAAATTTATCTGAAGCATTACTGGTTGTCGTGTGTATCATCTTTATCAATTTGAATTTCCCTACATATCTATCCGTTACCCGCTCATCTTACAAAAATTGTGCTACCTATCACCTTTGGCGTTTGCAGCGCTGCTGCCCATTGTTGTATTTATTTTGTAACCCCCCAGAAAACTCAGATTCTACGATTCATCTAATTTTTTTGTTTCTGAAACAGTGATTGGAAGGTCATAAAAATTTATATAAATGTTACGTGCATAAGAGTCGCTAATTGCGTAGAATTGACAGCTCGAAAGGATCGGGGTAATGTCTACGACGCACGATTTATTAGATGTCATATTTTGCCATGTTCCTGGGCACCCAACATTGTTCTTCTTTCGAAAAAACCAGACGGCCGGCTTACTCCTTTCTTTCTCCCCCTCCGGCCAAAGGATCTGTGAGCCAGAGGAACTGGGAATAGGGGAGAGAAGGATCGCAAGTGAGCGAGTCGATCAATTTGTGGCATAGACCCGCCATTCCCTCCCGGTTCTGCCCATATCTCCTATCTTTTCTCTGTCCCTCATTTAGCCAGATAATGGCTATAAGATTACGCAGCTAGGAAGTGATTTATTATCGAGTTAAATCAAGTTTATTCAAAAGCAACGTTTTGTTGACCTGATTTCGAGTTTTTTGACATATTTTTCTGTTCTAACTAGTAGATTTTCTTCAATTTCAATAACAACATTTTTAAATAAGTAAAACGAATTATAATCTGATTTGTACCAATCCTTGGCCCGGAAATAGGCCTTTTTTACTTATAAATCTCTCTTTGCAACGCGGATGGCCCGCCGCGTAACATGTCACCTAGATATTTACCCTCCTTCCGCAAATACCCAGCCGTCATGTTTCTACTCACCCTCATGCCGCAAATATTTTATTTTTTCCCGAATTCATATACGTTTCAGGTTCCCTTTATGAACCGGTGAAACTTGCGGGAATTATGCCAATCCCCCGATTCGGGCCCACACTCTACACCACAGCCCTCGTGTATGTAGCTGTTCAGGTTTTATTTTTTTTACTAAATATATTTTTATCGTGTAGGTTGCGTTGGTGTCGTTTCTCAGCTCCTACTATAACGTCGGCTTCAGCAATGTAACATGTTGGCTGTTGGATAAGCTGGAAGAGGTTGATATTAGCTGCGATTATATTTTTCTTATTTTTAGAACGATTATATGCGAGAGAAGATTGAGGTGGTGAAAGAATGGGTTGACGTTGCACAGGTAAAAGATTCCTTTTCATTATCTGTAGTAAAATTATTTAGGAAACAACAAAATCTACGTTCAGCAAAAAGACTCGAGGGTCAGTGGAAGAGCATTCAGCGCCAATACAGGCCGATGTAAGAAATTTTATATATGTTTTAAATTTCTCTAGCGTCCTTAACGTTTTATCTGGTCTTTTTTTAGATAGCATCTGGTGAATTAACCGGGATGAAAGTTTTTACACCGGAACAACTCTCGTTATTTAACGGCAATCGTGCATCTCGACCTGTCTACTTGGCAATTTTGGGACGCGTAGGTTTCTATTGACCACCAATTTCCCGAAATTTTAGGTTTACGATGTTGATAAGGGCAAGAAGCACTATGGAAAGGGCGGCGGTTATTCGTTTTTCGCTGGTAACTGCCATAAAATTGACATGATTCTTTTTTTATAGGGAAAGACGGTAGCCGTGCTTTCGTCTCTGGAGATTTTACCGAGAAGGGTTTGATCGACGATTTGGATGGATTAGGTAAAAAGTGACTTTTCCTTGCTCACGTGCTGTCCGTTTCCAGGTCATGACGATTTGCTCGGCGTTCGGGACTGGGTCTCGTTTTACGATAAGGATTATTCCCTCGTCGGAGTGGTTACCGGACGCTATTATGATGTGGACGGAAATCCTACACAAGAGCTGAAAGATGTATGTCCTTTTTGTTGTATGATAAGAGGCTTGTTAACTTGCTTGAATTGCCGCTTACAAACGCGTACTTTTATCATTTACAGGTACTAGCAAGGATGGAGGTGGCAGCACAGTGGCGAGCCAATAAGGCCGCCGAACAAGAAGTCTTCCCGCCATGCAATTCGGAATGGAAGAAAGAGACAGGTGGCCGAGTGTGGTGTACAATGAAGAGCGGCGGCATTCATCGAGATTGGGTTCGTCTTATATATCGTTTATGGCTATAGCGGTTTCTCTTAGAAATTGACCTGTTTTTAGGTTGGCGTCCCGCGGAAATACAAGGAACCGACGGCTAAAGCTCCACGCTGCGCGTGTGTCAAGAATTTCGGTCGCGGATTATCAGCAAAAGCCACGGAGGACGGAAATAAGTAGGCTTTTAGTCAAAGATCAACAGACGGATATTGCATGTTTACACACAGCTTGAAATTTCGATCAGCTGCTTGATATAAATATTACTTTTCAGAGGCGACCTCGATCATCCTTATCTCGAATTATATGAGGGGTGTCCGGCTACATCGATGAGCTGCAAGATCAACGACTGAATCGATCCGACCCCATTAACCAACTCCTTAATTCCCGGCCACGACATAGTCAAAAATAACCTTGCGGCTCTATCTTCACAAGCTCAACTAGTCTGTGGACATCTTGTCCACGCTCGCTTTTGGAAATCTCGAAAATTATTATGGGTACTCATTCCGTTTTCTCCGTTTGTTTTCAGAAACTTCCGTTTCCAACACTGCCTTTATCTTTTCATTGTGATTTTCCAAATATTTGATGTGCCTCTTAGGCGAATAGGTCATTTTGAAAAGTTCTAATAAATTGTTTCATTACAGAAGCCATCACGCGGCATCAACAACAGAGCCTTGGAGTCTTTGAGGGTTTTCTCGGTGTGCAGCAGCTTTGAAAACACGGCTTTTCCCAAAAGAAAGAGATAGGATGGGCGCTTCTGTGACGCTTAGTTGAACTTTTAGGCGTGCTTGCCTGAAAAATCATCTGGAAACAGATGATGCAAAGGCAGCGCAAGCACACCCCGATAACAGGCGGGCAAAGGGCCACCCCCAAACAGTTCACTTCGGCAGAAGCATCTCTATTCCGGCGTTCGGAAAATGTTCATCTCTTTCCCGTCTGTGCTCCTTGCTGTCTTCGACTCCCCTGAATCAACTATTGTATCGAAGAAAAATCAAGGCGAACGGCAAGCTGGTGGAGGTGTCAGGTACGTTCATTTCTAAATCTAAGCATATGGCTTGCATTCTTTGAGCGAGTTTGCCCGATATAGGGCTGAAGAAGCAGTACTCGTTGTAATCATCGCGTTTCTAGATATCAACAATCTGAGGTAGAAGTCTTCTCCGTTCGCCAATATCTGCAACGAAGATTCTCAAGCCTCTCGTCCACCTCGCGGAATTCATAATGGGGCATTGTAAATATATGTAAATAAAGCTAAACAAGACCATACAGCAACATGCAAGAAAGACATGTTATTATCTCACCTCACCCCCTCCCCCCTTGACAGTTAGACCTCGCTCCCAAGCAGACCAGCAAAAAATTTATCTACATAGAAAACATGAGAAAAACCGTACAAAGTTACATAGCATTGGGCACAGATATCTTTTCGGGTAAGGCACACACGCTTCGAATCAACTAGAGAGGAGGAGGGCTGGGTTTTTGGATATCAGAGGGCATAGGAGACTAGAATCTATTTCAGTTGAGAATAAGGTGTCGCAGTCAGAATTTTCGACTGCATCTTCTCGATCAACGGCACTGTAAAAAACGTTATTTAAGCAAATTAGTGAGATGATTACCAGTGTAGGCGACGGTCGCGTCCCATCCAGGCTTTGCCCACGTCGACGTTCGAGTCTCGTTGCGTCCGGTCATCGACGGATATGCCCAGATGTGGTAGACCACATACAACTGGCCAACCTAAAAAAAACGGATGTGTCACATAAGTAATATGAAAAACATACCTGAGAGAAAAATCCGCCGACATCTTGATTGTGTTCGCGTCGATAAGTAATTCCTTTCGCCCATGCATTCCCCCATTCGATCATTGAGCCCGGCTATAATTGTTCATTCATCGTCCGCGCAATGGAACAACCTTCAGGACGTAGCTTCGCATATCGTACACATGTGGCTCGTTTCGTGGCTTTGGGTCACCCCAGTAGGAGAAGCTCTTCGTTAGAATCGATCTGAAAAGCTGTTTCATTCAAGCCTCTAAAAAACCTTCGTAAGCGAACAGAACACTAAAACTCACTTTCTACGGCCGCAAAGCTCAGCAAGAGCTTCGTCGGCTTTGGCAAGTTCCTGGTCTTTGCGGAGGGACACTTGCCTGGAAATTGACAATCGACGAAAACAGAAATAAACTCACACGTCAACATCAGAATATCCCTTCTTGTAGCGCCATAGATGGATCGCCTGATCCCTAGTTCGGCCATATGCTGTTAGCCACGAGCCAACCAATTCGACGGAGGGAAGTTTCTGGAAATCAAGATAAATGACAGTAAGATGCCAATAGCAGCGGGGAGAATCAAAAAAAAGTCAATACCTTTCCAAGGACCTCTTTGTATTCACCAAACCGTTCAAGGTACTTCTGAGTAGATCCGGGGCGGTAGTTGTGAGCTATAAAGGTGCATAAGAAGTTGTAAGCGGTCCAATTGGCGGACCAATTAATCCAAAACCTATTGCAATTTTGAGAAGAACAATTTTCAAGGCCTTCTGCCTACGAGCGTATTTGAAGAAAAAGGACCCGGCAAGTTAATTCTGGAGTGTCATAACCTCTAATACCACCCAAATGTAACGAAAAGTTAAAAACGCACTTGAAAATTCGTAGACGTATCCGGAAGAAGAGAGCAACGACGAGTGTGATTGCTTTTGCATACCCTCAGCGTTGAATTGTTGGCCAACGAATAGTTTTGAAATCCATCCTAAAACAGACAAGCGTAAGTTTTAGGGCAACGAGATACCTTGGCTGTTTGGCGAATCAGCACCTCCGGCTGGAGGAGCCGGCGGTCCTTCTGGATTCGATGCGTAAGCCCGTTCACAGATGGTCCATCTAAATAACAATTACAAACAATGACTTAGCTACTTACCTGCCAGAGATGCGCCCACATCGTAACAGCGCCGGTTGGGCCAATTTCATGATTGAGCGGGCGTGCGGGGCGCTGTAAATCGAAGTATTATTCTGTTAATCAGTGGGAAGATAATTGATACCTATATACTATACAACGGGTAAAAAGGAGAAGCAAAGCCGGTCCGAAATCGCCCGCAAAAAAACCTTTTCAGAAATGTCGAACGCGCCCAAAGCCCACAAACTAGCCCCGCTCCCAGCAACAGCTGTCAATTGGCCGAGATTGCTTCCGCAAAAAAAGCGGAGATACACATTGGCTATCACCAAAAATCTTCGAAATACATTTGGTAATAATATGTTATTATTGTTATCACCGATCGAACAAAAAGCTTACACAAAAAAACAAACAGAAAATAAACATAAAAACCACATTCACAGAAAGGCAAAGGCATGTAGGAGAAGGCGTATTCGATACCCAAGTAACGCGGACTAGATTGAACAGAGTAATAAAGTTACGATTTTACAAGTCGGTAAAGTGTCGAGGAATAAGTTAGAAAATGAAATGTGCGAAAAGATCTAGTTAGATTGATTTCCAGGGAGAGCGAGTTATTCGGCAACTTTCTTGTAGGCGCCCCAAGCGTGGAAGCAGCGGGTAAACTTGTTCGTTTCATGACCCTAAAATCGATAATTTGAGGTAAAATCCATAAGCAATACCTTCGCCGTAGCAACCACTTTACGCGGACGTTCTGGTTGCTTCAGACGGAGATGAGCCTCGTAAACATGTATGGCCTTGTAAGAAAGCTTGATCTCCACATCGGAAGCTTTCGGGCCCAGCCACAGGAATATATAAGTTCCGTTGTCGAGGATCATCACGTCGTCGTCTTCCAGATCATCCTGAAAACAAAAATATAGCACCAATTGTACATTTGGAGGCTTATCTGACTGCTTAGTAATAATAAAGAACTACCTGGCAGAAGTCAATAGTTTTTTCAGTAACTGAAAAGTATCCTTTGTCGTTTGAGCATCGGAAAAGACGAGTGTATTGCATGAAGCTGGGATCCGTCACATATTTATGTTTGCCTAGAAAAAAGTTGGAGGATTCGGGCAAGGCTTACCGCCGAGGGCATCCCAGAAGAGTTCGGGCTCGTCGCCTTCTTTCACAGATACAACCTCCTCACCATCAGCAAGCATCGATTCGGCAATCTAAGAAGATAATTTTGTCGTTGATTAAATATTACCTCCTGAGCGAGAACAACATCATCTTCGGGAGCGGTTTTTCCTGCCCAAATGAAGACGCAACCATCCCATTTGTCACAGGCCGGCACGCGGAGAAGATGGCAGAAACCAGAGCACAAATTCTTTGCTCTGTAAAAAAAACAGTTCAAAATTTCCCCCGGCATGATTTCGGATGAAAGTCATTTACACACGCGAAAATAACAAACTTTGTGGGAATCTGGATGGTCCGCGTGCTGACATTGCTGCCGTTTGCGCGCATTTGGAAGAGTTCGGGTTGAGCATCAGCCTTCTCTCGTTGACTCCTCTTTCCGGTGAAGATGAGGATCTTGTGGTTGAAGTGAGACAAAAACCAGTGGTTTTCCCGTTGTTGATAGATGCGGACGACCTGGAAAAGAAAAATAATGTACCAGACCACCTAAAGAGAATCCGCGCTGGATGCCAAAAAGCTCGGAAATGCTATGTAGAGTAAAAGCGTAAAAATACACACCTCCATCTTGTCCTTGAAGAGTTGCTCTAGTTTGGGACGTAGCCCAAACGTGAAGTGCAGCCAGTCCATATTGCTTGCGTCACGCCCTTGCCAGAAGTAGACCATACACTTGAAATCGACAGCAACCTTCTTTTCCTCGTTTTGGTTCGAATCAGTAGCCTAAAAGGAGGTGTTGCGCCGAGGAAGTGATAAATAAAACACCGATATCTGCAGAATTTTATCTATATAGAAGCACCAAGTGAGGAAAGCATAAAAAAACGTACCACAACCGACTCTTCGTCGTCCACATCAGAATCGTCATCCCCGAAGATTGTGTACTTGCAGAGGAAGACATAACTTTCACCGGAATAGAAAATTCCGAGTTCTGACTTGGGTTGAGCCGCAAACTGTTTGCCGTTCTGAAAAAAGATGCATGCAAAAGTTACACGGTTATTAGATGATTTCTAGTCGTCCAAAAACCAACCAAATTGAAAACTTCAATCATCTCAAAGCCAGTGTTGAAGTCACGAATAAGCTTTTCGCCGTCCGCCTTCGACATGAGATCATTACGCTCCATGAACAGATGTGTGAGATCGGTCTTCAACTGATCACGCTCCATGATCACCTAAAATCTCGACATCTGGATGGCAACAAAATCAGGCCAATCTGCTGCTGAAATAAGCACCTTTACATCTGGTCCGCGCTTTTCAATCGATTCGGGCGTGCGTGTATAGTCAACAGGCACAATGTCATCCCAGTGAGCAAAGTTGAGCTTGAAAAATGACGTTTCCTCGCCCTCGTTTTCACGTTGCATTTGTGCGTAGTCCGGTCGAGTGATCATACGGAAGATGTCATTCAAAAGGCGTTGTCCGGCCATCTTCAGTAAGCGGCCTGCTTTCTTGCCAGTCCAGGAATAAACGTCTGTGCCGCAGTCGAGGATGTAGCAGCCTTTGGATTGGAGCATCTCCTAAAATAATCGATAAAGCCGTCTACATAATCATATTAGCCGCGCATTTTGACTTGAATCCAATGCAACCCGCACCTGCTTAGCGATCCCGTGCTCAAGTTCAATTTGAGGCAACTCGATGAAACCAGCGCTAATGACAGTCTTGTACAGTTTTGGATTGCGCGACAAATCATCTGGCACGTGCTCAAAGATCGGTTCATCCGGCGCGTTCGGTGAGCCTAAATTCAAATTCGAGAAATAAATAACGGACGAACCAGTAAGATCCATCCAAAATTCTTCCGGGGTACGGCGCTGATGACAGGTCTCGATTTCTGCAGCGCCTTTCCGGTCCCGCTTGTTCATGCGCTCCGCAAACAGGCGAGCTTTTGTGGTAACCGTAAGCTAAAAAAGGATGAAGAAATCTAGCGAAAACTACTTGACTTCGGCTGCCCGACCAGATCCATATACGCTTTTCGGCGTCGAGTAGAAAAGCGTAACGGGGATCGAGCGAATCGCTGCTTGGGGGAACTGGCTCCATCTCAATGTTGATGCCGCTGACTGACACACGGTACAATCTTAAAAACACGGTGTTCTATAACTAAAATAACGATTACCTGGTAACATGAACCTTCTGCTCGACCGTGAAGAAACCAGACGTAGTACGCGCGCCATCTAGATAGATTATCTCATCCCCATAAAGCGACAGAAACTCGTCGGATTCCTCATTTTGTTCTTCCCGTTGAGTTCTGTAAAGGGAGAGATCGTTAGCTAGCTAGCTCTGCGGAAAAGTAAGATAACGGAGGCCTTTATAGTAAAAAAACCACGTCTTACCTACACGAGACACCAAGGTGTTGCGATAAAGCAACAGAATGCATTGCTGCACACATTCGACGATCCTGGGTCGTTTTCTCACCAAGCCAGTAGAATATTTCGTATTCGAACTTTCCATTGGCGTCCTGGAAAAGCCGTAATGAAGAATGTGGTGAAAGATGCTACCATTGTGACATTGAGGACGATATAGCAGTCTCCTTCATAAAAATATCCGTGGAATTCAGGCTCGATGGCGGCTGGATGGAACTTATCTATTTCCCACATCCACCTAAAACATGTTATATTCTATGTAAACAACGACAAAACTCACATTCCCTCAGTTTTTCCAACGTCTGCGTCAAAGAATTCCGAATAATCGATCTTCTGTCGCTCTTTACCCATAGCGGCCTGGAACAAACATGTGAAAAACGGATATACCACTACCTTCCAGCCGGGAATCCCAGGAGATGACGCTGAATCATCGTCACCACGATCCAGAAACTCGGCAGTGGCACCGGCGCTCTTGCTCATCCCCTACAACCAGTATTTGGATGCCACCTCGTTAAAAAAACCTTGATCAGCTTATCGGCACAATTCTCGTCTGCTTGGTGACGACGACGGCGGATAAAGTCCTAAAAATAGTTTAATAAAGCGGAATGGCGCATACTTTTCGCCGCTGGATTGGAGAGCCGCTTGAAGACGCTGCGGTTGCCGTATTCATCAACGTCTGAAGCCGCCCTGCCATTTTAAGCTGAAAAGAGGATGGTGAAAAACGAAATAAAAAGAGATTGATATGGTAGAAGCGAATAATAAACCATCCAGTCACAATCCCACGCTATTTTCGAGAACCGTAATAGATCGAAAGTAGAAACAAACGTAGATCGATAAAATTAAATAAAAGATACTAAATAATATCCTCGAAAAAGTTTTGCGAAATGGCCAGGAGCCCGCACCAAAAACTTTCAAATATCAGATTCCGTATGCACCTATGTTCACTGACCGCGTATTGTAGCGAAACGGAACCACGCAATTCATCATTCTTTCACCTTTTCCATTTTTCTAGATTTTGCGAACCTGGCCTTGCAAGCTGAAGTCGATATTGTAAAAAGCCAAACGTCGACGTTTTTCGCTCGGCTTCGGTGGCATGACGAGTCCTTCGTTCCTGATTGTGCTGCTTTAAAAATGGGATTTTCTTTCCTTACCCGTTCAGCCGCAATTCAGAAAGATCCGGTAGTAGATGGATTCCGTCGGGCAGGGTAATCAATCGGTTATGGTCTAGGCGAAGCCGCTGTAGCTTTACACACCTGAAATTTTTAGTTTGTTTTTAGTTTTTCTAGCTCAAATTATTCTGGATAATGAAATTTTGATGGGGTGAGTCTACGCACCTGCTCAACCCCTCCGGCACCAATTCAAGTCTATTGTTCGATAGATGGAGAACAGTGAGTTGGATCAATTTGCCGATGCCTCCGGGGAATCCTGCAAAGGGGAATTCAGGGGTTTTCTTCACGTTTTAGGCTGCTAATCCTTGAAATATTGTCGGGCCTACCGTCAAATGTGAGCTCGTTGTTGTTAGCGTATAGTCGCTGCAACTGGTCCATACGCACAATGCCCTCCGGCAGCGACGTTAGCTCGTTTGACGAGACGTTGAGCGTTACCAGACCTTCCCAGCACCCTTCAGGGATTTCTAGCTTTTTCAGCTAAAAAAAGTTGCTGTTTTACTTTGGTCAGTTAGCCACAGACCTTATTGCCACTCAAGTTGAGTTTACGCAATTTTTTCAACTGATAGAGGCCCCGCGGTACTTCAGGAAGGTCGTTTTGGGCAAAGCTGACATCCTGAAAAAATTCTTTTCAATTGTCAATCGATCGTCTGCGTTGTTTTTATGCTGACTCACAGCCCCTGGCCGCCTATGATGAAAGAAAAAAAATAGCAAAGTGAGAGCTGACCATTAAATTCTCCAGATCGTCGAAGGTATCGGGCAAATTTTGTAGAGTTCGATTTGTATTAGACATGTGGAGAACGCGAAGATTTTTGGTACTAAAGAAAAAAGTGTAAAAACGTGGTGGACCTACCAAGGCAGTTGCTTAAGTTGGAAGTGACTGAGCGGGTTGTTTGAAAGATGTAGAACCTAAGAATCCCGGGTTTGGAAGATTGTACCTTTTCTGGTTACCTGTAAGAGCAACAAACGCCTGAGCTGTGGGGGTAGCATGTCAATTTTGTTGTCGGAAAGGTCCAAGTGGATAAGGTCGATCAGATTCGTGAAAACCTATTAGGATATTGTTTGCTTTTATCATTTCACTTACCTGATTTGGTACATTTTCAATTTTATTATGCGACAGGTTGAGCACAATAGCACCCTTTGCGTATTCGAGATTCGGGGGTACCTAAATGAAATAGTATTTGGTTTGTTTTTTTAGGTTCCAACCTCCCGAAGGTGATTATGGCTGAAATCGATGATTGTGAGATCCTTCATTCGAAAAATATCAGTTGGGATGCCGGAAGTTTTAATCTGAAAAGGTTAGATTTCCGGTATGTATGACCATCACATTTTTGGTTGGATATTGCTTTTTAAATACTGACTGTGTTATGCCGGACAATAATGGAACGCAATCGTGGAAGGTCTGAGAGTTCTCCATGGACGGAAGTCAAAGAATTCTTTGACATTTGCAAGTGTTCCAGCTTTGTCATCCGGGAGAGCACATCGGGTACCTTTAATCATTGTTTAGAACGGTTTTGTATTGAGGTTCTATGATAGGGTTTGGCTTTATTTTGGCTATTTAACCCACTCGCTCCAACGAAGTGTTGTTGAGCTTCAGCCATGTCATCTGCGTGCAGGCCTCCAACTCCTGGGGGAATTTTTCATTCTAAATCGCTTGTTTAGAAAACACGGGAGGCTTTTTGACAGACCGCAAAATCATTCCTAGAAAAGTCGATCCCTTTGACAAAGGGTAATACGCCGGCCGACGCCATTTAGCAACCGATTATCACATCAAAGGCTTCTGAATTCGCTGTGTAGACCCGTAGAAATGCTGGAAATTTGGGGGGGGGTTCTATTTGACGGATAATTTACAAAATAAATGCAAGAAAAACGATCGATAACGTGTATGTAGGGGTGGTATCAGCTGGTAAGCGCTGGGGGGAATTTTTGTTTTGGAAACGGTTGTGGGCGCTGCGAAACGATGGACACCTATGGACACAGAGGGGGAAGGGAACACTCAAAGGCTGGTTGAGAGGGGAAGGGGGATGCATCAAGATGGTCTTACCCCCCGCCAACACAGCCGGCTGTTTTGGAGGGCACATCTGGACAAAGAGCCCCCCTCGGGTCACATATAGAAATCGAAACAATGCGGATGATGTGAACATTTAGTTTATGCTCGGTATTAACAAGGAATTTTGACGTTTTGCTGTGCATCTAACTTCTAAAAAAACTAATAGAATAAAATAAGATCTACTATAACCCTGCATATAAAAACAACCTTTGTTTCAATCTGCATTTGCCTGTAGTTTCCGACAGCATGCCTCAGTAGTGAGCGCCTTTATAGGGTAAGACTTAAGGTACATCGGATACATTATTATTTGCGTAACGCCCCGGAGATGATTGCAGATACCTCCGGTTCTTCAAAATCAGCTTTATCTCGACATGAATTCGGTTTTTTTTTGTGTGAAAATCTTAGCTTTTAGCTAGGAAACAATTAACATTCACCGCAAAAGGGGGGTTACGCGAATAAAAGGGGAAATTAGAAGCGTTTCGTGTTTTTTGAACGAACTCGCGAAGAACCATGCAACGCTGAAGAATATTAAGGGTTCTAGATGGGGGTTAAAAGTAGCGAAGCGGTTTTTCAATCCGGGGCAGGTACCAAGATTCCGCCCCGTTTCATACGCAAATCTGTCTAGTCGTCCCTCTCCCGCTGTTTTTCGGAAACCCAGCTGGATGCCGAAATAGCCGAGGCATATCGCCATAAATATCACGAACAACCCTACACCCTCCTTAAAATCCGCATATGCGAAGACGTGCAAATAAAGCGAAGGGAATCAAATTTTGCAACAACGAAACCAGATTGGAAAATGCGACGCTGCCCCATCTATTAGGGCGGAGATTACTATCTGAAGTGCCCGGTGCGACGTCTCGGGAATTCATCCGCCTGTTCCGGTCATTAGCCCGAAAGCAAAAAATGTTGTCGTTTAGGGGTGTTACATCCTCAATCCTTGCGAAAACCTATCAGATTGGTCACATGCACTTTTTAGGGCATTTAGGTTGCCAATTCTTTCGGCTTATCTGATCATTTACGCAGCGGAGGCGCAGGCTAAGCCATTGATAAGTGCGTGCTGCAAGCTAGAATACAACCTTTTGAAAGGGGGGGTTAAGGTAAAGTTGGAAATCTGAAATTTACTAGGGCGGGATTCATCTATTCTGACTCCGGACGACGGAAATACCGCCTGGATGTAGTTTTTTCACGCTTTTGACTCTGGTCCGGTCCGGGACCCATAGTAGTCTGCGCGTTGCAAACTTATTCCCGAACCCCGCTGCAAAAAATAATAGACAGTACCCACTCCGGGTACTGTCTAATTGTTTCCAGAATCTTCCGATTAGCAGGATTTATTTTCAGAACGGCTTTATTTTAATCTTGAAAATTTATTGTGCAAAGTTTAATGACTTTTCCGTCGCTATTAGGCCACTACGAGCCTAATGACGTGGCAAACCGACTTATAAGTCCTTCCCGCATAGAAATATTTCCAGATAGCTGACGGAATCTGTTTCAAAGTGTGGCAAGCGCCGGCACATACACTTTAGAAATATATAATTCTAAATGTCTGCATAAATGTCTCTTTCGCTCTCCGCCCCCCCCCCCCATAACCGCCATTTTCCAGAATATCACGCTTGTTAGTTGCACAAGTGCAGCCCGGCCGGGGGAGAAGAAACATTTTATTGAAGGTTTCGAAGGGCCACGAGGCGGATGATTGCAACAGCCCCGCCGGAGCGGCCGACGGCTTTGGTCTCCCCCCTCCTATCGAATAGCAATATGTGCATGTGGAGATGTGAGAGGAAAAGAAGGGGGGGGGGGTTGGAGAACACATCTCCGCTTCGTCGCTCGAATAAAATACCCCCCCCTTGGCGGAGTGCGGTGGGAGGGCCTAACTCTTCTTTTGCCATGGGCCTTCCCCTAGGGCTCCAGGGCCGCTTATGTGGCATGGAGATTGGCGGAGAGAAATTCGAAACCCCCCTCTGGGCCAGTCTTTTCCTCCCTTCCACCACACACACACACACAACGTCCGGCTCCACACTCTTCTCGACGACTCCACACTCATCCACTGGCACTTCCAAGTTTTTGAAGTGGTTCTCTCGGCCATAACAAAGGCTTTTTGGGGTTGATATGAGCATAATTCATGGATTTTGAGGTTTATGTTACCAAGTTTTTATTTTTGCGGCAGGAGGGGTTTGCTGGCACGCGTGCCACTAATGAGTTTCAGTTTTAGATGGACGGGCAAGGATGAGTTCTATTAACTTATTTTTCGACAATGATCGATTTTGCCGCAGGAGGCAATTCCTTGCACGCTCCCTTTAGTCACTTTTTAGTTTGAAAGGGACCGGAAAGGAGAACTATGGATTTTGTTAACTGGAAAAATACGGACTTGGACGCATCAAGAATATTTATGCAACGTACCTGTCACATTATTTCCACCGGTTATAACCGATAACGCAATGAAAACAAGCCTGCGTTGTGTATTGCGGGCGCGGCAGAATCTATCCGGAATTCACAGCAGAATTCCATAGCAGCGTCATCCTTGCCGGTGCCTTTAAACCTCTGAAAAAGTGGGAAACCCGCTTCCTAAGCGTATCAATAAAGCCTACCCCTTTTCAAAATATCGCATGAAGTTGCGCAATAAATTGGCCTTCACAAAACCCGGAAACACCATACGGGACCCCGGGTCGGTCGAGAGTCAATGGGGCGGCACATGCAGTCGCTGGTTAGAACGGACACGGTTCACCTCGTCTAGCCAAAACATCTTTTTTGCCCTGCCAAATCTACCGTAGCAAGTGAAACCCGGACATCTGCACTTTTATGGGATTCGTACCTTTGAAGTCTTTTTTAACGAATTTTCTGTACTTATTAAACATGGCTGGCATTCAAGTTGGCCCAAATCGAGATTTTTTCAAGATTATTCGGCGGTTTTTAAAATGTTACAGGCGTTAAAACTCGAGATGTATCAGCTAAAAATGGTTGAAACGACGAAAATAGCAAAACTTGGAATCGAAAATTTTGAGCTGGCATACCTCGAATTCCAACGTTGCTGGAGGATTGGAAGAACTCCTGTTTTTGGAGGCGCTTAAAAATGTAGACGACGTTTTTTAAAAATTTAACTGCCGAAAATTCCAATCCCTTAAACCCCAGATCTCTCCCTAAAATGCAAATATATTTTTTTGAAAATTGAGGAGCCCAGGGTCAACATGGTTCCCGCTCCTCGGCCCTTCCGGATTACCATCCGGAACGACAAGTGGAAGAAAAGAGCGCGCAAGCTCCCCAGGGTCGGATGCGCCTTTTCTACGGCCCATTCAGCCCTCGCGGGGCACAAATTCTATTTGGGCAGTTGTGGGGAGACCCCCATCAGGCTTTCGAAGCGGGGGCCCACCCCAGGGCCACATGGCCCCGAGGTCCAGTCTTGTTCCCAGGATGATAGATTCATCAGTATTATAATATCTCATCGATCCTACAAAGTTTTATTTTAAACACTGTATTTCGCTTATTTATGAAAAAAAATGATGTTTGTGGTAGTGGGGAAGTTTTCAGTTAAAATTCAGCTTTGAAGTGCCACTTACGTATGCGTCTCTAACATATATGACATATAATGGATTTTTTCAAAATGAGTTTTCCGGCTTTTCAAATTTAATTGCAATAGAGATATGAAGGTGCTTTTGATACGTAATTGTATCCATTGTTTGCATATTTGTCAACTTTTTCAAAATAAAGTTAATTTTTTTGATGATTTTTCTGTTCGATCCTCATTAATTGCCAAAAGTACCATTATTGCTCCGGGTAACCTAAGCCCTACATTGTAGGATATATTCTATAAATAACCAACCTCAGCGCGCACGTGTTGCCGAATTTCACGCGATCCCCTAGGGGGCCCTGGGTGCAGGATGGCCCGCTGTGCTTTGTGTCCGAGATTTCCAAATTTTTCTTGCAAATTATTGAAGTTTGGGAGTCGGGGGTTTGATTTTGGGGGTATTTTGAGTGGCCTGGGAAGGATTGACATTTCGTGGTATTGTCGGGGGGCAACTTTTTTATGCGTATCTTTTCCAGATGGGTGGTTTGGATCTGGGTAGCGTCTCGCTTTCTCAAAAATTACAATTACTCCACCTCTGAGTGAATGTTAGAGTTTCCGCTCCCAGAACATAACTTTTTTGGCTTCATATTTCCAAAGCCAAGCGAATCCCCTAGCGCCGCTTTGACGTCAATTTAGGGCGGAAAGTCTATACGTTTGGAGAGCGGGGAGGTCGAGTGCATTGGCAAGAGTATTTTTGGGGGACCCGTTGATGAGGGGGCAATTTATTAATGCCGAGTTGCCAGCCGATGGCTAGATGGGAGGGGAAGGGTTAAGGTCGACGGCATCGTTTTTTTCATATCTATACGATTGAACGCTGAAAATTCCGATTCATTCCGTTTAATGCGATGAAATCGAGGACGTTTGCATTAAATTCTCGACAGAAACACCCATATCACCCCGTTCCGGGTCGGCGGCTTTGATCTAAATGGCGTCCAATTTGAATAGGCGGATGGGTCACATTTGATGCAGAGCCGACGGGCTATCCTTCAAATATTGCGATGCATCTGATGACACGTGTGGGCACGATCCGGACGTCCTTGCTTCTCGTTCAATTAGTATCACCCCTCGCATCCGGTTTTCGCACGTTCATTTCGGCGAATTCGTGGGTAGGGAGGGAAATTTCGAGATTTCAGTGTAGTACAATT